ACGAACGATGCCAGCTGCAGAGAAGGCCAATTCGTGCTTGGAGTTGTGCTGATGATGAGGCAAGGCAAGACGAACAAGGACGGCAAGATTCAGTATGGAGTTGCAGTTCGGAACAAAGAAGTAGATGTGTGTCCAGTTGGCGCGCTAGCCTTTTATTTGCTTGAGCTTTGGTCGGTAAGTGGCGTGCATGTGGTAAATGTCGGCGGCCGACGCGTGGTGTCACTCATATTTCAACACTCATTTAATAATGCGTTCTTCCCCCCCCCCCTCTTCCTTTTTTTTGCTGTACTAAGAGCAAAAACAAAAGGGCGCCTGATCTCACCAACCCTAAATGGACCGACTACCATCTGTTAGCTGGAAACAAACCAATGGATGTACCGATGACTTACAACTCCCAGTTCCAGGCGCAGGTGGAGGCTCTTCATGAGAGCGGGATATTGGACAAGGGCACAGTGACTCACCTTGGGCGCAAGCACGGCTCCAGATTCGCGCATATGTGTGGATCTACGGTAGAGGCGATCGCTAAGCACGGGAACTGGGCATCGAACCGTCTCTCAACTCACTATCTCGAGGGTGTAGAGCCTTCAGTGGCCCTTCGATTGGCTGGATTTGACCGCGACCGTCTAGAGCGCTTTTGGCTGGCTCGGAACACTGTGATCCCCAGCATTGAGCTCCAAAGGCAGTTGTTCCCTTTCATCGAGGATGCTTGCTCCGACACGTTCTGGAGGCTCACGATTGACAACATTATGCGTGACTGCGACGTTTTCCACGGACGCGAGGAGTTGCGTGAGAAGCTGCGACGGGGCGAGTGCAAGGAAGTCAAGCAGGTGTACACGGACAAGGATATGCAGACCGTTCTGTCGAATGAGGTCATTTCAAGAAAGCGCCATCTTAGCCTTCTCGCCCACCTGCGAAAGGTTATCCTTCAGGATGCAGCTGTCATCCTGTTCGGGGGTGGTGCTGCCGCCGCGCACCCTGTTTTCGATCACCCTGTCTTCAAAACACCTGCGTTTCAAGATTTCCAGAAAACCCTACTCGAGAGCATGAGAAATCCCTCTCCTCTCACGGATTCCCTCGCATCTGCCACACCCATCATCCAACTGGAGTTTGACAGGGTCGGCGCGAGGCTCGGTGTCCAAGATGCTGCAATCCGGAGCCTGCAGCAAAGCCAGCAAGCCGGACTTCAGAGTTTGCACGCCGGTATGAATGTTCTAGCAGCTACTTTACAAGCTCAGAATGATAGGACAGCATCCGAGCTGAAGGACTTGAAGCGGTGCATTGGCAACAATGACAAACTGGCAGGCAACAAGCGACAATGTTTGAACAAGGATGCCGTTCGATCTCAGTTGATGCAAGCTCTCAAGTCAACGGTGGAAGCCGTGGTGGCGATTAGCGAGGACGATGAGGTGAATGTCAGTGACGACGTCAACGGCAGTGCAGCAAGCCAGAGTACCACTATGGCTACCGCCATCGCTCTTCTTCAGCTTCCAGAGCCGGACGCTGGCCAGCAAGAATCAAGACCTCCGACTTCTTCCACTGCAGTTCTTTCAAGGGATGCGCACCGCCGCGCAGCTCTGGCCGCTTTCAACCCCAGCGACAATGTCGAGGACAGAATGCGACAAGTAGCCGTCTTAGTCGCCGACGAGAAGAGGGCGAGAGGAGAGACCCAACACCATATGCCCCTAATGCCCGAGTGCAAGCTGATCCCACGACCGAATACGCTCGACCAACTGTGGCAAGAGTGGTTTTACCACGGCGTCGATGGGTCCCCCTCCATCGCAGAGCTTAATAGGTGGTTCGGATCAGCGTGGCGAGGCAAAGATGCACAGCTCTACAAGTGGAAGAAGGACATTGTACATTCGGTTCTGCGCTCTATCCCAGCTGGCTTGCAGGTTGACAAGTCCGCCGTAAACAATGCACTTGCCTTCGTAAGAGGGCAAATCGATACTGTTGGTTCAATTGATAAATACTACAAGGCTCTTCCCAAAGCACCCTCGAGAAAGTACCCAAAGAGAAGAGAATAAACACCATCCTTGGTCTATCACAGTGTTACATGTCAGCTCGCTCTACATATGGTTAGGAGCAGGGTGAGGGCAAAGCTGAGGGAAGGAGGAGAGAAGAGGATAGTAGAGAGGGGAGTAGAGAGAGTGATGATAGAAGGACCTAGGGATAGAGGGAGGGAAGAGCAGAGAGGAATAGAGAGCAGAGAGTGTGATGTAAGCAGGAGGGCAACGCAGTTCTCAATGTGTTCAGGCACAGGCACGAGAGGATAGGGCACATGAAACAATCTATTCACACATATGTGACTGGTTTATAACTGTCTATCGTGCTCGGAATAAAAAAATCTATAAACCATTATAAGCCGCTAATCTGCGTATAATGTAGTGGGGTTGTCGTTCAGTGTCGTGTAGAAAAGGGAACAGATGTATAGAATGTGAAGGGAAGAAAAAAAGAGATCGAGTGTTGTCTTTCTGAAGAGAGTGTGTTGTGTGTGTGTTGGTTAGGTGCGGGTGAGGCTGGAGAATAGGGTATGCTTTTCGCCAGTATCAACTTCGCTTAATTGAATAGGCCTTTTTGGCTCGCACTTTTTATACCAAGAATAACATTGATCATAAATTGATAATTTTGCGTGAAATCCACTATATTATTATTTCATGGACAACTAGCGATATCACATTTTTCTTTCCCGCTGCTCTATTCGTCAGAACCAACCATGGGTCCGTTTTGATGGCATAAAAAAAAAGTGTCGGATATGAGGGGTTTAATCACAAACGATACTGTGTTGACACTCGATGGACGCTGGTGTCTTTGGGGTTTGTTGGAGATGACCGATACAACGTGTATTTTTTTTAAAGTAGAGAGGGATACGTCCTTGCCGCCATGACCTCGGATCTACTGCTGATTTCCTTTGCTGCCTTTTTCTTTACAAACGGGATGCGATCCATTGTCGGGAGAGTCGAGGTACTTGGGTAGCAAGACAAGTTGGTTGATAGAATAGTTCACCATGTCCTCGCTGATCCATAGGATTGCTTGCTTTGGGTTGTCGGCAAACGCGGCCACTACCAGCATCTCGTCCTTTTGCGTTGGGTAGGGTATATCGATGTATTTGCGTATGTGAAAAAACACCAACGAGTAGACTTGTTTGTACGTAGAGGATGTCAACGATTGTTTCATGTCCATTTGACCCAAAAAAACCCCCAAAGTGATGTTGGCTTGCAAATAGGAGCAGTAGTGGGTCAATCTTAAACGCGATGCAAAATGCCGTCAATCGATCGATCAACCAAGGAGGCCTTTCAAGTCCAAATTGTAATATAGTATATGTTACATCTTTACAGACCTTGACAATATCTACAGCGACCATTAGAGGAGAGTGTATGTATAATATCCACCATGTAAAACAACCACTGTAACATCCCTTGCATAACTATCCTACTAAACACCAACCTATTCTCCAAACAACAAAGTCTTCTTATTTTTCGCACACCAATCTCTTGAATGTGTCCATCTATTATTAACCTGTAACCCTCACTACAAGATTAAGGGTAGTACTTCTTGTATGTGATCATTGTTACTCAGGGGAGAGGGTCGACGGCCAGAGTTGTAGGACCGCTGTTAGGTCCTCAATTGGTACGGAGGGGGGAAGGGGGTTGTAGGTTGGGGGGGGGGAAGTGACAATAGCGTCCTAAAAGAATCACACAAAACGATACACTGCAGCGTGCCAGCGAAACTCTTGTCAATACTGCTCTCGTCCAAGTGATGTGTAAAAGGACCTTGTATTCATATTATTAAAGAGGGGGTTGTTACCTGCAGCGTGCCAGCGAAACTCTTGTCAATACTGCTCTCGTCCAAGTGATGTGTAAAAGGACAAAGAGCAGACAAGAGGGCTCGGCGCACTACTAATACTATGTCTACTAAAGAATATGACTGCTAACCTAAGGCATCGCCGCCACTGCCTAGCCACCACATCTTTTTGTAACATCATCTAAAGCACCTGTACCCTCAACTGTATTTTTGTCGTGAAATACAGGGGAGAGATTACATTTTAAAAAAACATGTGCTATCTATTGCTATTTTATCTTATGTTCTATTGCCGACTTTAAAGAGATACATCAGCTATGGAAGTCAACACTGTATTCCTTGGGCTTTGGATATTTTGTATATGCCTTATTATATCCTTTGCACATGGAGAGGCCGCCAAGGATAAAATTCGCGAATACGTCAAGGAGTGTACCACCCCCGGGGGATGTTGGCAAGACAACGCGGTTACTATGTGCTATATACTAGAGCATGGTAAACCCCTCGGTGAAAAGGACATTGTCTACGCCGAGAATGGTAGCATTGTCAAGATCAAGGGTACCGAAGTACCCGATGGTGTGCTACTGTTGAAGGAGAAAAAGAAGTCCATCAAAGCCATCGAGCAAATTCTGAGTTTTTTCTTTTTTCAGTTCGGTGCTGTAGGCACGGCACCTTCTTTCGTCTTTTTTTTTAACCGCATTTGTAGAACAGGACCTTTCGCATTCTAACCACTCAGGAAGTTGGCGTTTTGTTTTTTGATTACCAGGTGGAGGATTAGAAGAGTTGAAAAATGTAATCGAGCCTCGCTTTTAACATTGCGGGCAACGATACGTCAACTGGGTAAGTGTACCCGGAGTTGCGTTTATTGTGAGTATGGCAGGATAATGAAGAGGCAAAAGAAAAACTGCAACCTTGCGCATCTGAAATAAAAGCCGAAGGAACAGCTCAAGCAAGAGGAGGGGCGAATCTTGTGCCCATGATGGATGCTGATGCACCTCATGACTTTTTTTGCTTTTCATCAATCGCATCACTCTCATTGACAATACCTTGGCATTACATCATGTTTTCTGGGCATGGGTGGCGTCTTGCCAACATGCATGGGTGTGGAACAGCAACCATAATGAATCTATATCTTTTTTTCTGGCTGTACAAATGATAATAAAACTACAATGTCTAGAGAAAAATCCTTCGCGCCACCTCGATGTCTACAGCGGCTTGCTTTTGTTGACGGTGTCAGATTCAACCTCAAATCCTAAGCTCTTGATGCCCTTGCGCCGTCCCCTTCCACCATCGCCATACAACCCATCCCATTTTCTCAGCTCAGTCAGACTCTCCATATTCTCAGAGCACGATGGTGTGATCTGAGCCAGGGCCTTGTCGAAATGTCTCTTATGGATCACACGCGTCGCCGCCGTCGTCTCTGTGACCGAGGTTATAAGGGATGATGGTGCTGGTGCAGTGATCTTGGCGAGGGCCTCCTGTTTGTACTGGTCCAGAAGGGGCGAAAGATCCAGAACCTTGTCCTTCTCCTTGGCATCCTTGTCCTTGTCATTCGCGACCATCACCGACACGTCAGGCACAAACTCGTCTGCAGAGGCAGCATCACCACCTTGAAGCGCCTTGACTTCTCCCTCAACAAGCTCACGAACAGATGCCAAAGCAGCAGAGACACACAAGTTCTTGAGATCGCTTCCCGAGAACAATGCCGTCTTCTTGGCGAGCTCCTTGACATCAATGCCCGCATCCAGTGTCTCCTGGCTCAAATACACATTCAAGATCTTCTCCCTCGCCTGTTCTGACGGCAGATCTACCAAGATCCTCCGTGGCAACCTTCTCAAAACGGCATCGTCCAACTCGAAGGGTCGGTTTGTCGACGCCATGACCACAATCCCGTTGTTCTGCCCACTCGACCGAAGACCATCCCACTCAACCATAAATTGGTTCAAAATCTCGCGTTGACTTGAATGTCCGCCGCTACCTCCACCACCAGCGCCTCCAAGACTGCGAGCCCTGAAAATAGAATCGACCTCATCCAGAAAAATAACACAGGGAGACAGTTTCCGAGCCAGACTGAAAACTGCCGAGACGTTCTTCTCGCCTTCGCCGACATACATGTCAAAGATATCAGATGCCTTGATCTCGAGCATCCTGGCGCCAGACTCTTTGGCGACAGCCTTGGCCAGCAAGGTCTTTCCCGTTCCTGGAGGGCCAAAGAGCAGTAGTCCTGACAGGAATTCATTCTGGAGGAGTCCTTGTGAGAACAGCTGAGGGCGGATGAGGGGCAGGGTGATCATGGTCTGAAGGGCGTTGACAGTCTCTGCAGGCGTAATCGTGTTCTTGAACGTTGTCTTGATCTTTTCTGCTCGCGACAACATAATTAGAACCGTTTAGTAACTGCATCTCTACTGCACGGACCACAATCAAAAAAACACTGGCCAAATAAATTACCTGGATCGACAATGCTGCCGAGCAACTTGCGCTCGTATCGGTTACAATCCTCAGCTCGGACCAAGGGTTTGGCCATAGGTGCCTTCTTGTTACCGGTCCAATCTGACGTCGCAATTACCTTTCGCAGCCTAGCATTCTCGTTTGACGTCTCCAACGCTCCTCTAAAATGGCTCTCCGACAGCACCGCAGCCTTCCCAGTACTAACACCCTCTCCTCCTCGTGCCTCCAAATCGCTCAAGTACAAGGTTCCAAGAGCGTTCGAGATGACCCTGTACACCTTGCCAAAGCCCCAGACTTCCGTGTCAATCCCACGAAGCGATCCAAACGCCTGCAAAGGTGACTCTGACTCTGACAGGACGCCTCCTCGGAACTGAAGGACCGCAAGCATATTACGACTGTTGACCTGCTTGATCCTCTCTGCCTTGTCCTGCCTCAGCTGCTGCGCATTCTCAAGTGCGTACCGCTGCTGAGTTTCTCTGTCGACTGGGTGAGTGAGGCTCCCTGTCCCCATCTTTGCTGTAGTTGTCGAAGCAGTGGGCGGGGGGACAAAGGGTGGGATAGAGATGTGGTGAAAGGTCTGCGTTGGTCCTGGGAAGGTATCGTATGCAAGTGATGTAAGCAACATGGAAGACGCATTAGGTCCCATAGCAGAGCGACCTGAATCTGCTGACGTCGGCGATCTCAGTTTCTGAAGGATGGTAACCAGAGACATCTCCTTGGTCACTTCTGTATCATCCGAATAGGCGTTTCCAAGACTCTGGCCGTCCAAAAATCCTCCATCGCCGCTGTGTTGGTCATCCTGTCGGGTTGTCAAGAGTGAGGGCGAATGTCCTGCGACGACCATGATATTATGACCAGCCTTGCGGAGAGTATGTACAGCACTGGTCAGGGAGGGTATCAAAGTAGAGCCGAGGGAGGTATGAATAATATCGGCGATATCCCTCAAGAACAAGATCTTGGGTGCTGACGTTGTCGCTGGGGTATCTCCGGATCCAGCAGTCGTCCTTGTCGTCCTTGTCGTCGCTGCCGCTGCTGATGTTGACGATGCTGACGATGTTTTGGGCTCGGCAAGTAGGAGAGCCGTCCAGAACTTTTCAAACTTCTCCTTAAGCGAGAGAGCAGAAGATGAATGTCCATGACGACCGCTGCCACTTCCATGGCGCCCTTTGGAAAAGATTCTGGAGTCTACGAACACGGCGGTTGGGGTACTGGCACGGTCGTTGTCGTCCTGGTCATCATCATCATCCGCATCGTCCTGAAACTCATCGTCAGAGCTGTCATCCAGGTCCTCCAGAAACTCGATTGGGATGGGCGACGACACGAAAGGGTTGAACCCACGGGCCAAGAAATCCACCGGCCAAGGGTTGCCTAATTAATTTCCATAAACAACGATAGAGGGATCAGCCACAGCCTTTTAATTAAGATGCCAATACGTCCTTTCAAATGCGGATAAACAATAGCAAAAAGTACCAGTGCTCTTGCTGTTGAACATGTCTGGGGTGAGCTCCATGAGATCTTGGACGTCGATGGTGATCACACTGGCGCCGACTTTCCTTGCTGCGACCATAGTAACCGCCTCCAGCATCTGCGACGACCCTTCTGAGGGTGAGCTCAGCAAGACATTGTTATGTCTGGCTGGCATCCTATGGATATGTGCCTGGGGTCCAGCGGGCGTCAAAAGACATGACGCAATCGTATTGAGAACTTCGTCCTGAACGCTCTGGTGGATATGATACGGGAGACTGGCGAAGGTAGTCTTGTTATCGACTGATAATGACAAAGCTGGGTGATAATGAGTGGCTATGAACGACTCTGGGATCGAGGGGACGTAGACCTTGGCCGTTGGATCAGCTGCGAGAGACGTCCGAAGAGTTGCACGACCGATCGCACGCTGTAATTTCGCCCGACGCTTTGCCAAGGGCGACGCTGCTCCTGTTGCTGGTTGCCGGGTTGAGGATGGGGTGTCTACTGTGCTTCCCGCCGACTCCTTGTTGCTGTCAGAGTCGGGTGTCTTTTTTGGTGTAGCGTCGCTAGAGGGTTCCGGCACAGCTGCAACCGCGAAAAGTCGTGTCGACTGATGGATATGCCTTGAGCGAACGGACTTAGCGGCATTGAGAGTGGCGGTAGCACGGAGCGGCCGGTGGTCGAGAGGTGCCGAATGCAATGTCCGCAGTAACCGTTGAGCTGATCTCCTGTCTTTGAGAGCTGTCCTTGAGGATGCCGCTCTGATCAGCGACAGCATGATGGGAGAAAGGTGAATGCGAGGAGTGGGTTTGTGGATGTGTCCTGACCGTAGAATGTGTACTCCTGTGTTGTACTGATGTGGTTGTAATGGTCCAAGCGATTCAATGGTTGTCGGATCGAGAGGAGCTGGATTCGTTTTTGTGGTTGGCCGGGTCTGTTGCTGAGAAATTGTTGCCACCAACAGCACAAGCAAGTCACTTTTAGCTGAGAGTCTTTTGTTCCTGAGAGTACAGTAGTTGACGCGAAGACCGGACGGATGACTTTCAGGCACAGGGTTTGCCTTGAGCCAGGGGGTAAACAGGCGAAGAAAGGGGCATGTATGCTGTCATCATCATCACGGAGGATACATACAGAAGATGAAGGCTGCTCAAGTCAATCAGGCTGGAATGAATTACAAGGTAAACAACTAAAATAATGCCCGTGTCGCACGCACTCTTGGTTCACATTTCAGGTCCAGAAGTGTAGCGGCTGACATGACATGGCCAACTAACCCCTTTATTTCTTATATATCTTCTCACTCCACCTGACATTCGATCCATCCCCTTCTTCTTGGGGCTACTGTGCGTGGAAGAAGGGGGCATCAGGAGAGGAAGGGTCTCTCTCCCTCCTTTTTTCTCTTTTTCATTGTCTACTCACTCCACCACATTTCTTCTCTTCTTTCGTTTCTTTCTTTTCTCTTTTCCTCCTCTTTTTTTGTAGAAAAGAACATATCCCCTTTACTTACTTTCCTTCACTCCCTCTCTCCCATTTACCACATACCTCGCACTACCAAACTCTCTTTTTGTTTCTCAAAAACTCTACTTCACACCCACAAACAAAGAGAAATCACACTCACATTACCTATTACTATCCCACGCAACCACCGCCGACAGGACACCTCGTTTCTTTTTCTATTACTACGCTCTTCCGCCAACACCACAACCAACGAAAACTACACAGGAACCTGAGTAGCCAACCAAACAAAGCAAGCACCAGTGACAGGAATCACAAAAGGAGTTGACAAAGAAGATGGAGGACTCGGTCATATTCCCGCGATCGCCTTCATACAGGGGACTCGCAGTCGATGCAGTCGCACAGGCGGCGTTTAATGAAAAGAAGTGGGTCTGGGTTGAGGACAAGGACGAAGGATACATTGCCGCCTGGATCTCTCAAGAGCAAGGAGATCAGGTCCAAGTTCACCTCAACAATGGACTGGTGCGTACATCTTTTTTTTTGTTGTTTCGTTTTGAATGCGGTGTGGGCGTTCGTGTGAATGTGACCGCGCAGAAAAGTATCAAGGTTGTAACAATTGGAATTTTTACCGCGCCACGCCATGCCATGCATTCGTGTGTGGGTATGTTACTCTCCGCATGATTATAATCGAAATAGGTCAAGACGGTGAACATCAACCAGACGGGCAAGATGAACCCTCCAAAGTTCGACAAGGTCGAGGATATGGCAGATTTGACATACCTGAACGAAGCCTCTGTCATCCACAACCTCCGTCTTCGCTACCATTCCAACTTGATCTACGTAAGTCTTACCTTCCCTCTTCTCTTTGTCCTTCTCAGACAGCTATGCAACTTAGAGCCATGCTTCACCATGCTCAACTATTTTGTGGTACTTTGCTCTTGTATGTGTGTCCAAATAGACATATTCGGGACTCTTCTTGGTGGCAGTGAACCCTTACCGCAAACTGGGGATCTACACCGACGAGGTCGTGCTCTCGTACAAGCACAAAAAAAGGCACGAGATGGCGCCTCATATCTTTGCCGTCTCTGACGCAGCCTATCATGACATGCTCCAGGACCGCGACAACCAGTCCATCCTCATCACGTAAGTTTGTCTTTTTTGTCTCTGTTTCACTGCATATACACCATTTGTTCATGCCAACAGGTACTAACTGGCGTTGTTTTCTTTACCCCTTGTTGTCTTTGATCACGATGGGTGTGTGTGTACGGGACATGTAAATCAAACACTAACAAAAAAAACAAAAATAGGGGAGAGTCGGGTGCCGGAAAGACAGAGAACACAAAGAAGGTCATCCAGTACTTGGCATCGATTGCCACAGACAAAAACCACAAGATTGGTCGTCTTGAGAGCCAGATCCTCCAGGCCAATCCTATTCTCGAGTCCTTTGGAAACGCCCAAACCATCCGCAACAACAACTCCTCCCGCTTCGTAAGTTATTCTTTCTTGCTTGCTCTTCGTCCTCTGCTTTTGCCAAGTGTTTTGAACGAGAAACGTCGACTAACATGCACCTGTATGTGTTTTGTTTGTGCCCTATGACAATGTAGGGAAAGTTCATTAGGATCGAGTTCACGTCGTCGGGTCACATCGCAGGAGGCAACATTGAGCGCTACCTGTTTGAGAAATCACGCGTCACCTTCCAGACTTCCCAGGAGCGCAACTACCACATCTTTTACCAGCTCCTCGCCGGAGCCCCCGCCGACCTCAAAAGTAAGCTTCCCCCTACTTCTTCTTTTATCTACTTGTTGCTTCTATATGTGTAGTGTCGTTCAATGGCTGTTCCTTTTTTTTGTGCGCATTTTCGACTGTACCTTGAAAGTCATGCGCTTTTTATTCCCATCGTGATCTGACTGACCCCTTTTTCTGAAATTCTCATATCCGCCGGTACATTTTACTACTTTTTCACCAGAAACGTTGCTGCTGGATGGCGGACTGCGCGACTATGGGTACGTCAAGAACTCGAACCACGTCATCCCCGGCGTCGACGATGGCGAGGACTACCAGCTCCTTCTTGTACGTATTTGTCACCTTTCTTACTATTATGTGCATGTATTTTGGTTTCCTTGTCTGTGAGTGAACCTAAGGAACGCGGATATTTACTATTCTTCTCTATCCCACCCAAAACACAAAAGGAATCGATGGATGTGATGGGGTTCACGAAACAAGAACAGCACAACCTATTCCGCGTCATCGCCGCAATCCTGCACCTTGGAAATATATCCATCACTCAGGACAGGTCCGACCAAGCCCAACTGAGAGACACCTCCATTGCAGAAAAAGTCTGTCATGTCCTAGGGATCCCTCTCTCTGAATTCGTCAAGGGATTGTTGAAACCAAAGGTCAAGGCCGGGAGGGAGTGGGTGGTCCAGGCGAGGACAGATCAACAGGTGTTGTACTCGATTGAGGCGTTGTCGACGGCGTTGTATGAGAGGATGTTTGATTCGATTATTGGACGGATTAACCTGGCCATTGATACGCCCGGGAAGAAGTTTACGACGTTCATTGGTGTCCTTGATATCGCTGGTTTTGAGATCTTTGAGGTAACTTCAGTCTCTTTGTTCTGCCTATGCTTGTCTGCATGCTGTGCATGTTCATTTATTGTGCTGTCTAACCTAAAATCAATTTAACAAAAAACAAATAGGTGAACAGCTTTGAGCAGTTGTGTATCAACTACACGAACGAGAAGCTGCAACAATTTTTCAACCACCACATGTTCATCCTGGAACAAGACGAGTACAAGCGCGAGAACATCGAATGGCAGTACGTCGATTTCGGCCAGGACCTCCAGCCCACCATTCAGCTCATCGAGGACTCCAACGTAAGTTATTGTTTTTTTTTCATTCCACGAGCAATTCGTCATTCGTTTTGCTCTTTGTCATGAATGTTTTTTACTTCTTCGCCGTACTGACACCATCCTTCTTTTGGTTGCGTGTAACGATAATTAGCCGATCGGTATTCTGTCATGCCTGGATGAAGAATGCGTGGTCCCCAAAGGTACCGACAAATCCTTCCTCACAAAACTTACCACCCTCTGGAAAGGCAAATCGGACAAATACGAGGCACCTCGATTCCAAGAAGGCTTCATCCTCCACCACTACGCTGGAAAAGTCGAATACAAAACCGACGGCTGGCTCGACAAGAACAAGGACCCCCTCAACGAGAACATTACTCGCCTCCTTGCTCATTCCTCGGAAAAGTATATCGCCAGCTTGTTTGGGGATTACTTGGTGGAGGAGGAAGATTTTACGGTGAGGGGACGGGCCAAGAAGGGTGCGTTTAGGACGGTGGCTCAGAGGCACAAGGAGCAGCTGAGGTCGTTGATGGATCATTTGTATGAGACCCGGCCGCATTTTGTTAGGTGTATTTTGCCGAATGAGGAGAAGCGCGCCGGGAAGATTCATGTGCCGTTGGTGCTGGATCAACTCAGGTGTAATGGTGTCTTGGAGGGAATTCGGATCTGTAGGGCTGGGTTCCCGAACCGAATTCTGTTTGCGGAATTCAGGCAGCGGTATGAGATCTTGAACCCTGGGCTGATTCCGAGTGGGTATATGGATGGGCGGGTTGCGGCGCAGACGTTGCTGGAGGGTTTGCAGATGGATAAGTCGCAGTATCGTGTCGGAACTAGCAAAGTCTTTTTCCGTTCCGGCGTCGTAAGTCCTTTTCTTTTTTTTTTTTGTCTTTGTTTTCTTTGTCTCGTGGTTGGATTGATGCACGTCTAAAAGAACACAAGCCCATTGACACTTGTACTTTTTTTTTATTTTCTTTTATTTTTCTACACACAAACCCCTAGTTGGCAGAGCTGGAAGATATCCGCGATCAAAAGCTCGCTCAAATCTTCACAAAATGCCAAGCAGTCTGCCGAGGCTACCTCGCCCGCCGCCACCTCAACCAAAAGATCGACCGCGCCAAGGCCATAAAAATCATCCAACGCAACGCGCGAGTTTACGTCCAACTCCGAGAATGGTCCTGGTGGAAGATGTATGTCCGGATCAAACCCCTCCTCAACGTCACCCGAGTTGCGGAAGAACTCCGAGAGAACCAAGAGAAGGTGAGGATGTTGGCCGAGAAGCAGGAACAAGAGGCCGAGGCGAGGTTGAAGTTGGAGGAGGCTGGGAGGGCTCACGAGGACGAGAAGGCGAGGTTAGAGGAGTTGTTACAGACAGAGAGGAGGTTGGGGATTGATAATGAGCAGATTCTGATGAGGACTCAGGCTAGGGCGGCAGAGTTGGAGGATCGAGTGAGGGAGATTGAGGGGGAGTTGGCAGTTACTGAGGCTCAGTTGGAAGAGTTGACGTTGGCCAGGAATGAGGTTGCCTTGCAGGCGAATCAGTTGGAGGAGAAGGTCACTCAGCAAGGGGACGCTATCGAGAGGTTGGAGAAGGAGCGGTCGTCCAAGGAGATTGAGCTCAGACATGTCCAGACTGCTCGGGATACCGATATGGTGTCCGTCCAGAAACTCGAGGCGGAGAAACATAACCTGGAGGGCCGACTTGAGGAGCTGCACAAGGAAGTCGATGACAAGAACTTGGAGCTTGAGCGGGTCCGGTTGCGGTTGAAGAATTCGATCGAGGAGCTCGAGAGCAAGATTGAGACCGTCGAGTCGGAAAAGCTGGCCTTCAAGAACAAGCACATGGCAGCTGAGGCTGAGCTCAAGCAGGCGAGGGAGCAGGCCTTGGAGCTTGGCCGGACTTGTGCGAACCAGGAGAAGCAGATCCAGGACAAGTCGAACCGGTTGTCGGCGTTGGAGACTGAACTCGATCGTGAGAAGACCAGTGGTGAGAAGAGCCGGCGGGATCTTTTGGTCAAGCTACAGCAGAACGAAGAGGAACTCGAGTCTGAGCGCCATGAACTTTCTAAACTGGAAAAGGTCAAGTCCCGTCTGGAGGAGCAACTGGACGAGATGAAGGGGGCTCTGGAGGCCAAGGGCGATGAAGAGACCAAGCACACTGAGCTCCAACGAATGCGCGAGACAGAACTCGACCGCCTCAAGGAAGAGATCCAATCCCTACAATCCGAACTCGAGGAAGGGCGCAAGAAGCAGGCCGCCCTTGGCGAGCAGTACCGTCAAGAAGTCGAGGTCCTCTCCCAAGAGAACGCCGCTGTGATGGCGGACAAACACGGTCTGGAGAAGAAGCTGGAGGATATGGGCAACCATGTCGAGCGTCACCTGCAGTTGGTCGATACCTGGCAAAAATCCCACAAGCAGACCACCAGTGAACTCCAATTCTCCCGAAACCGTGAGGCTGAGCTGGAAGGAGCGTTGGATCAAGAGCGTCTGACCAAGGAGAGTTACCTCCGCCAGTTGAGTACTGCCAACTCGAGGAACGACGATACCAATGAGCGGTTGGTCCGATTGGAGCGCGACAAGACTTCGAACCAGAAGCAGATCGATATGCTCCGTGAGGAACTCGAGGAAGAGACCCAGCGTCGCAAGGTTGCAGAGTCTGGCCGTCGCGAACTCGAGATGGAGCTGGAAGAGCTGAAACGACTCCGAGACGAGGATGAGGTCTGCAAGGCTGAATTCTCACAGAAGACGTCTAACCAGGCCGCCGAGCTAGACGAGCTCCGGTTTAAGCTCCAGAACGAGGCCCTTGAACGCAACACGGAACTCGAGGAGAGCAAGCGGCGGTTGGAAAAGACGGTTACGGAACTTCAAGCCCGTCATGAGGAGATCTCGTTGGCGTCCAGCAATGTCGAAAAGTCCAAGGCTCGTTTGACAGCTGAAGTCGAAGATCTTCGTCATGAGCTCGAGCGTGACCATGCGGTTGCCAGGGCTGCCGAGAAGATGGCCAAGGCGACCGAGATCCAGTTGTCACAAGTCAAGGAGCAGGTTCAAGTCGAGCGTCACCACCGCGAACTAGCCGAGTCGAACGCCCGCAAGCTCCAGTCAAGTGTCGACAGTCTCAACCTCGACATCGAGTCCAAGTCCCAGCAGATCACCAACCTTTCCCGGTCCAAGGCCGAGCTCGAGAAGGAACTGGGCTCGCTCATCAACGAGTTCGGAACCAGTGGCAAGAGCACCCATGAGTCCGAGAAGGTCCGCCGCAAACTCGAGGCGCAGATCCAGGAGATCGAGGGCAAGTACGAGGAGGAGAAGAACCTGCGGTACGCTGCCGAGGAGCTCAAGCGGCGGTTCGAAGAGCAGTTGACCGAATCTCGTCGTGCCATGGCTGCAGATATGGAGGCCAAGGAGCAGCAACAGGAGGAGACCAAGAAAATCCTGTTGTTAGAGATTGATGACCTGGGTCAACAGGTTACGGACCACATGTCAATGTTGAATGAGTTGAACAAGGCCAACAAGAAGCTTCAGGAGCGGATCGATGACCTGAGTCTGAACCACAACACGTCAACGAGGTCCAAGACGGATATGGAGCGAACCAAGAAGAAGCTCGAGATGTCGTTGAGGGAGTACCAGACCCGCCTCGAGGCCGAGGAGAGGCTACGCAAGAATTTTGAAGAACTGGCATCAAGACATGAACGCAAGTCTAACGCCATCCAGAATGAACTCGAGGCTATCCAAGACGAGAAGGAGACCCAGGACCGGACTTACAAGCAGTTGCTGACTGAAGTTGAGACGCTAAGACAGGAACTGGACGGTGGCGATGATTCGAAAGCCAACTTGGTCGAGAAGCTGCGTAAGCTCGAGAGGGATAACCAACGACTCCAGGAGTTGGTGGATGAGGAGGCCGATACGAGGGAGATGATGGCCGCCGCCAAGAAGGGCGATTCCTCAGAACTCGAGTACCTGACGACCAAGATCCGAGGTGAGATGGAGGACCAGTTCCAGGGATTGGAAGAGTCTCGAAAGGCAGCCGTAGCAGCCCAGAGGATCGCACAGCTCGAACTCGAGGACAAGTTGGGCGAGATCACGAACCTGGACAAGCAACGCAAGTCTCTCCTTTCCGACCTCGACGACATGAAGGCACAACTCGAGGCCGAAATCCTAGCCAAGAACGAAGAAGCCGCCAGCAAGCGTCGTCTCGCCGCCGAGCTACAGGAGCTCCAAATCCGATCCGAGTCCGAGGCGGCCAAGATGAGCGAACTCATGGACTCCCTCCAGATGTACAAGGCCAAGGCCGACAGTACGCTCACAAAACTCGAAACCACCGACCTGATCCGCCTCAAGGCCGAGAAGTCCGAAGGCTTTGTCCGTCTTCAACTCAAGGACCTCGAGGAATCCCTCCAAGAAGCCCTAGCCGAACGTCGCGACGCCGAAGAGAAAGCCGCCGCCTACCAACAACAAATGCGGGAGCTCGAAGACCGTGTCGAAGAAGACCTTATCGCCAACGCTGACCTCAACATGACCCGCCGACGCCTCGACGAAGAACTGGTTTCCGAGAAAGAAAAACACCGCAAGGAGATCGAAGAGACCGAACGCGCCCTCGAAATCTCCAAGCGGAAATACCAAAAGGAAATCCGCCAGCTCATCACCGAGATCGACCTCGAAAAGGCCAACCTCCAAAAGATGCGCGACTCCCAGAAACAACTCGCCCAGGAGCTCGAAGACGTTCACCAGAAACTCGACCAAGAACTCCGGAGCTCTCAATCCTGGAAGAAGGACAAGGAACGTCTCGAGGCTAAGAACGCAGATCTGAACCAGATGTACCAGGACCTCCTCGCCTCCCAGGATGACCTCCAAGTCCAAACCGTTTCCCTCCTCTCCCAAGTCCGCGAGGTCCGGGCCGCACTGGACGAATCTGAATCTGCGCGGGCGGCGCTGGAGAAGACCAAGCGTGGATTGGAGCAGCGGTTGGTGGATGTTGGAGAGCAGTTCAACACGGTGACACAGAACAAGCAGGTTGCGGAGCGGATCAAGATGGCGTTGGGACAGGAGGCTGGCGATTTGAGGGAGAGGCTTGAGGAGCAGATCCAAGTTGTTACATTGAGTACTGAGAAGCTGCGCAAGGCTGAGATTGCGGTTGTTGAGGCAGAGGGCGAGCTCGCCAAGGAAAGGGCCATCAGCGAGGAGAATCTACGCGCCAAGGTAACGATTTGTTCTGTTTTTTGTTGACTAAGAAGGGATAGAAAGGGGAAGAAAGGGCGAGGGATAGAGGGGATAGTGTCTCATCCTGATCTGTGGCTACTGCCTGACGCGACTTGTCTCTCTTTGAACTTTACTAACTCTTTTTTTTTTCCTTCCTTCTCTCACCACCACTCTACCAACCTACCACCAACGCGTCCAAACCCCACCTCCCCACAATAGATCGCACTAGAAAAACAGGTGTCAGAACTAGGTCTCCGGATCACAGACCTCGAAACCGCCCTGCAAACAACTGGCCCCCGGTCGGCCTCCCTCCTCCAACAAAAGCTCGATGAAAAATCCGCCCTCCTCGACGACGAGATCCGGAACCGCCAAGAAGCCCTCCGAGTCCAACGACGATCCGAGAGAATGGTCCGGGATCTGCAGCACCAGCTGTTGGAGAGGGACAAGCTGAAGGCGAGACAGGAGGATGAGGCTGCCAAGAGTGAGCAAAGGTTTAAGACACTCAGGCAGAGGGTTGAAGATTTGGTGTTGTCGGAGAATAATCTGACACTTGCGAAGCGCAAGGCAGAAAGGGAGAGTATTGAGTCCAAGGAGCGGTCTGTTAGGTGAGTTGTACTTGATGGTGGTGGTGGTTTTCTTTTTTTTTCGGCGTTGACGGTTTGATATTCACTATGCTGACTCTTCTTTTCTCCCCCTCCTTGGTTGAATATGTGAATAGATTGGAGAGAGAGGTGGAGAAGATGAGGGCCAGATTGGAGACACGCTCCATTCCCGTAGCATAACCACCACCCATCCAACCGCTGAAATGAATGAACACAAAAAAAAAAAAAAAAAAAAAAAAAAGGTCTAATGGGATATTATCATTAAATAAACAATTGCTAACAAAAACAAATATGTAGTGAAAGACACACATCCATCGATGGCTCTTTTAGATGGATGTTTTATCCCGATTGAAAATGTTGTGCGACAAACAAGGGGATCTCTCATCGATAGCTTTTTTAGTTGATGGTTTTTTTTTGTTTATTTTGACGTGATATTACAAATACAAATACAAATCCGGTCGCAAAAACGTGGATGATGGATGTTGGGCGAGCGGAGAGCTATATCGTAGACACGAGGATAGAAAGAACAATAACAGTTAGATTTTGTTTATCATTTCTTCACTTTCTTGCACGATTGACGATGCAAACGACCAAGTTGAGAGAGATGAGGGATATTGTATAATAATCAGAAATCAAGTTCTCGACACAGTATGGATTAAGTCAGGGATAACTGATTAATAAAAACTTCATCATTCACTACAATATCTCTCTCTCGTTCCTTGTTCGTTTGTTGTTGGTGGAGGGGTGGGATAGAAGGCGTGAATGGAATGAGGAGGGGTAGACTTACAGATCGGTTAGAAGAGAGGTAGTGATTGCTTCAATCGCTACCTCCCTTGAAGTCGAACACGAGAAGGACGTGTTCGACGGTGGGGTATGTGGATGTGTGAAAGGAAAGTGGGAAAAGGTGGGAAAGGGATAAAGAAGAAAGGAAAAGAAAAAAAAATGTGTCGTGTTTGTTGTTATGTTTTTTCACGGATCGAAAGAAAAAAAAACGAGCGTGTTTTCCTTCCAAGCCACACAACAAACTTCCACCATGGGCGGGATCCCAATTGACAACAGGGAATGAGGACCGTCATTTAAAGAGGGGGAGGATCTACCATTGGATCGCACATACTACAGTTTGCAGAAATAATTTTTGCTTTTTGCCTGCTGGGAGAGAGAGGAGAAAAGAGGCAATTGAGCATGGGGCCCCCCGTTAATTACTGTGAGGCTAGAAACCACTAGACCATAAAGATAAATAAACGAGAGAGCGTGAAAGGTGGCAACAAATACAATCAATTAACAGACCGGCAACGAGCATCAATATCAATACAGAAAGGACAAAGAGGCATGCAGTGGGACGTCCGGGCCGGCCCCTTCTTTCCTTGTTGAAAATAAACGTGGTGCTCACATTTTCCCGCCTGTTAGAAAAAAAACAGTCAGGCGCGTGTGCCCACTGCACCATGCCGTGCGAGAATAATTGGCTTCCAACGTCTGGTGGTCATTGCTGTCTGTCTCCGTGTCTATCTACAAATTACAACAGGCTCATAATCGAAGCGTTAGGCTGGTCCGCGTTCGATAAATTGGGAAGCACAACACACGGGAAGGACGAAAAGAAAATAGATAGGGCTCTTCCTTTCTTTTGTTTTGTTTTGTTTTCATTTCGTCCTCGACGGTCTATGGGAAGCGAAGAGTGGATGAGCATACTGGATATAGCCATAATGAGGATCGGGGTAGAAGGAAGGAACATTTTGAGCTGTTCCCACATATATAACCACCTGCGTGTATCTGTCTGTATCGGTCTTTTATTACAAACACTCTGGCATGCATGAAAAACGTAGCTTTGACGAAATAAATTGACAAAGGCGGTTGGACTCATGTCAATTTCTTCCTGTTGGCACGAGCACACCTTCTGCTTGTATTTTTTTTCGCTACTCCACGCATCGTACGAAGATGGATGTGTGTGTGCGTCAGGAGGTCACTATCACAAACGGACGGACCAGGCACCGCAGGAAGAAGCAAAGGCAGAAGTGCGCTTTTTTTCATTGACTTCTTATTCCTTTCCGCTATCGTGTCGATGCCTCTTAACGATCCAGAAAGAAAAGAGACCCCCGTCCTTCCTTGTTCCTTGTTGTGCCCCTATTTGAATCTGTTGGCCCTCCATTAGTCAAAAAATCGAAAAGCGCTTCCTCCCCGTGCAGTTTTTGGCGGTTTTAGTCACTTTGTAACTTAGTAGGAGAACAAGTCCAGGGTGTGTAGTAGAAGAACTTGCTTCTGTCCCTCTGTGTATCCGTGTGAAACTTTCTGTCTTTCTGTCGTCCTGTCCTTCCTCTCTGTCCCCCTACTCCGCGGTCGAGCCCTTCTATTTGCCCTTTTTTCTCCTTCAACCCCACGCCTTCCCTCCTCGTTTCTGCTTTGTTTCTAGTTTCTAGTTTGTTGTTTTGGTGTTTGGTTTGGTTTCTGTCTAATGATATTATTGCATTATTTTTCTTTTCGATCGGCAAAGGCTGAATAATAAAAAAAGGGCGCAAAACCTCCTACAGGGAAGGATCAATTGGGCTTGGATCTGAGAGATGGGGGTGATGGGAAGAGGAAGGGGCTGAAGGTAATCAAGCATGAGAGAGAAAGAGACAGTGACGGAAGGGAAGGAAGGAAGGAAAGAAGGAAGGGAAGAGGTATTTAGAGTGTGCATGAACAAAGCATTCGTAGATTAGCACGATGCTTAGGCTCATGATCTCCTTTCTTCTTTCTCTCTCTTTTTCTTCTCTCTCTGATGGTGGATGTCTATGACCCCGGGCCCGGTGGTGAGTGTTGTCACTTTCGACCCTCATATTCTGGGTTGCGCGTTCTTGTATCCTTATGTGTCTTGTGTCGTTCTGTGTTTGCTTACTCTACTCCTCGGGGCATATTATATTTTGTTTGTGTTTGATTACCTTTGGAGGCAACAAAGGGAAAACCTTAACAATTGTTGTTGTGCAAGTATTTGGTGTGAGAAAAAAAAAGACACAAGGCAAAAAAGCAATCGAACTTGGTTAGAGGGAGTATTGCAGAGAGGCGATGATTAGGGTCATAAGGCAGGTTGGAGAGAGAAGGGAATTTGGCGATCGAAGAAGGGAAAGGCAAAGGAGGATAAGGGCGAGACAAAGTGGAATTCTTCATTCATCGATGACTCCAACAAAGGAGAAAAAATCGTACAAAACCTTCTTTTTTCTTCGCTCCCGGCTCAGCGAAAGAGATTGACGTTGTTTGTTTCTCTCTCTCTCTGCTTGTTTAGGCCCGTTCCTTTTTCAAGGGAAAGAAGGTTTTCTTGCTTCGGTTTCTCTTAGCGTTTGAGTGGATGAAGTACGGCGGTGAAGTCGAAAGGGAGTGTGGCTCAACGGTTAGTGGCATTTTCGGTTAATTAACGTTCTATTGTGAGTGTGCGTGTGCCTCCTCCATTCCACAAGGGAGATGGATTGCGCATGCCCACTGCTGTTTCTTCAACTCCTCTTCCCTTGGGAGTCACTAGTGCTGGCATTGGCAATGAGAGAAGAACAAGAGGAGCATTATGCGTGGCGGATGTACAAGTGTTGATCCGACTGGGAATAGAGAGAAATATGTCATCGTTATTAACGTGGATATAAAAATATATGAAAGGAGCATAGAGCATGGTGCTGCAGTTCCGGAACAAAGTCATTAGAAACAGCGAGGCGGTATGTTTTTCAGTCGTTGCAAATGTCTCTGCCATGCATGGCTGGGATGAATAGGATGAATAGGATGAATAGATGATAGTGATAACCTGTTTAGATGTGTTTGTAAGGGTGCGTCTTTTTCCCGCTGAAGACGAAGTATGAATAAACAAGCCCGAGGGCCAAGCATCCCATGCTCTTGCCCTATCGTGAATCCAATTGAACACAAAGTCATGCCTTGCTTGGCTGTCTGAATGTGTGTATGTCTTGACTAGGCCGTTTGATCCTTCTTCCTTCCTCCCTCCTTCCTCCTTCCTCCTTCCTTTCTTTTTTTCGATTCCCCTGTCTCCCTATACTTCCTCTTTTTACGCTTCTTCTCTTCTCCCCTTCTTCTCCTCTTCTTCTCTCTCATTGAATCCCTTCCCTCTCTCTCTCCATCCTCCATCCTTCTTTCCTCCTCTCTCCCATTCAATCAACCAGCTTCCTCCTTTCCTTCCTTCACTCGCCCACTCTCACTTCCTCATCATCACTTCAACCCTACACTATTTTTTATTCTATTCCCCCCTTTTCCCCTTTAACGTCTCTCCTTCCCTTCCCTTGCGTGTACTCCACCCATCGTATCACCCCTCTTCTTTCGCTTCTCTATTCTCTCTTGTAAACTATTGTTCATTCTTGTTACTTCTACTGTACTTGTATACCAATACTCAATACTCTATACCCATCCATAAATACACTTTTCTATTCTTTCGCTTCCTCTCCTTCGCTCACACACACTCCACTCGCTCAACAGTACTCATATACACCCACACCTTCACTCCTCCCTTTCATTCATTACCGCCAAAATAATACTCACTAATAATGGGTGTGGCCAGCGATATTGAGCCACGGACATCGATGGAGCGCCATCTGATGGACAGAGACCGCGAGGGCCAGCTCTACCTCGAGGCCAGGCGCCAGCAGGCTGCCCTCGACCTCCTCAAGAATAGATCCTCCCTCCTCTCCACCATCACCCCTCCTTCCTCCAACCCTTCCTCTGCCGCCTCTTCTCTCTTCCGCGAACCAACTGGTTCCTCCGCCTCTTCCTCCTCTTCTTCCTCTCTTCCTTCTTTCACGCAACAACAACCTCCTTCTAATTCAACAGTGCCGAATACGCCCACATCCCCTCTCACCAACATGTCCCCTGCAGCCACAGCAACAACGATACACACACAATCTCGGTCACAATCATCACAACCACAACCACATTCAGGAGGGGCACACGGAGCAATACAACGACAGGGACAAGCAGGAGCTTCATCCCTTGCTATATCTTCTTCAACGCCATACCCATATACCAGTCCACTTTCTTCCGCTGATACTTCCACTCGTGCGACAACAAATAATAATACGACGACAACGGTACTTTTACTTACCCCCGCCAACAACAAAAAGACCCGCCAACGGTCTGCAACAACAGGGCCTGGGCGTGGCCGAAGCGAGCGAAGCGACAACTTCAAAGGGATTCCCGAACGGCCCGTATTACCCATCTCGCCCTCCAGTCTCGAATACCAGCTCACAGCCAACCTCCTCAATTATCCTCATCCTGCTGCTGCAGCTAATACATCGTCGTCCTCTTCGACAGCCCAGTCTCGGCCACGGTCTCGATCCCGCTCAAAGTCTCGTCCTCAACAACCATTACAACAACAACCAGAATCACCATCACCAGTCGCAACAACGACGACAAAGGCTAGACGACATACCGTCAACAAGGACGCGCGTGTCGGCACGACTTCTTTTGCGCCTCCTCGAGGCACGGGCCACAGACAACAACAGCAGACTCATCACAAACATCACGACAGCAACGGTAGTAACGGTAGTAACGACACTACTACCACCACGACCACCAATGACAACAGACACAACAACAGTAACTCGGTACAGCCGATGACACCACAAGAATGGATCCCGACCTCGTTGCTGGGTTCGTATCCTCCAAGTCCGACAGTAGCCTGTGCCCTGGGTCCCAGCTCTACTTCCGACAACCCATACTTTACCACTGCCTCCGCCACTACCACCCTGACTACTCCTCCCACTGAACCAAAACTCGTTAGTGTCCCTCTGCCTCCCATCCCTCCCTCCCCACCACTGCCCCCTCTCCCTCCCAAGAGCCCTCAGACTCTTATTGCCCAGTACTTCCCTCGCTCCCTTGCACCACCTCCCTCGAGAGATCGTATCCCCTATGGTCAACGTGAACCCATTGTTGCGCCCACACCCTTCAAGACCCCCACCTTTGGACCAGCCTTGATCTCTCCAACACTTGCCTCGACTACCACCCACCCCGATGCGCCCCCACTCCCCCCACCTTCGGCCTCCTTTCAGTATATACCCACGTCCGATGTCTCGCGTGTCTCAACTTCACATGCCCTTCATAGTTCTCAACATCACCAGTATCTCTTTACGGAGGACAACTCGTCGGATTTTTCGTCGTCCTCGAATCGACCCTCGCCTAACACCTCTGTCGTTGGGTTCCAAGGATCAGCGGCTCCTACTCCTCCTCCACGGATGATACCCCACCAACAGCATCCTGCGCGTCTCCCCTCGGATTTGGATTTGATCCTGTATAACTCTCGGCAGCGTTCTTCGAGACTTGCTTGTTCTAATTCTACGGTCAATAAGCAAGGTGCCAGCAGTGTCAGCAGTAACGAAGGATCGGGACCTGTGAATGCTCGTGATGAGATTGTGGTTCCTGGACCAGTGGCCCCGACGGCTCCGGGTTTGCTGTTTGCGCCCCTGCGACCGCGCTCTCCTGCTACTGGCGCTGCTGGGATTCGCGCTACACAGTCGACGACTTCACTCGCGAATCCACCACTTTCCAGCCAGACCACTCTGCCGACAACTCCTATTTATCCGAGAGGTCTCTCGTCTCCTTCTATCCTCGGCGACAATGCTCAGGTTATCATTCGTCTGCACCAGAAGCCTGTACCTTATATTCGCGAGCTCGTTCCTGGCAAGGAGACTGGACTCGCTGCTTCCGCCACCACCATAACCACTACCACGGCAGCAGGAACAGGGGGAGGAGCGTCGTCAACGGTAGCATTTGTGGCCACACCGCCCTCACAACCGGCCAGTACCAACACGAGCCGAGATCTGGAGATGATCCTAGATGAGATCACTGGCCGTCTACGAACCAACCGGACCAGTATCGACCCTTGGGCTTACTACCTCTCGCCTTGGGACGATAAACCTCTCCCGCCTGTCCGGCGCGAACGGGGGTCGAGGTATTGGGTCTTCCAGGATCAGGGTGAGTTAGTCCCTGGACCGATCTTGTTCCTGGCGGGGCATTTGTTCCCGCCACTGTGGTGGGTTGGTGCGTTGTATCCACGGTTGGAGCATCCAGATGATGTTGCAGCTTTGGAGGCTGAGGTTGCTAGGGCTGCTGAGATGGAGGCTTATTCTGTTGCTGCTCGTGTCGCGTCCCCTGGTACTGCTCAGGCTGTGGAAGGGCAGGAGGACGATGCGAGGGATCAACAGAACGGGATGGCATTGCAATGGCTCCAACGACAGCTCAAGACCCTTGGCGTCACCGTCGCCTCCATCACCCTCAGCTCTTCCTCATCCTCGAAACCTCAACCCGAAAGTAATAGTACCGACGACGGCAACTCGACGATCGCCACCTTTCAAATCTCTCAAGTCCCTCCTTCATTTGGCGGCGACAACGAACGTGAAGGGTCGACACTGGCCAACATCAGCACCATCCAGGTCCCTTATCAACCACCTCCACCCATGCCGCCTTCGATCCTGGACTCGAGAGGTCCTTGGGCAGCGAGAGGGGGTTCGAGTCGGGCGTCGTCGTTGTTTGAGCAACGAATGGCGCATGATAGGAAGGTGTTGCGGTATGAGTTGAATCTGCGGTGGAGGAGGATTAATTTGTTGTGGTCATTTGCATCGTTGTTGCTGGCCATTTGTCTTGTTGCCATCGTCCTTGGTGTCCGCAAGTAATCCCCTTTCTTCATTTTCTCTATTTTTTTTTAGGTAGCCTTTCTTCTTTTTCGTTTTCTTTTTGCATGTTCTTTTAGAGTACCTTTTTTTTGTTATTCCTCACTATACTTTCTTGTATCTTTTTTTTTCCCTTTCATTCGTCCACATTGTACAATAGCATTTTTTTTCTTCCTTCATCAACGATACCTTAATAAACCCCCACAAAGCATGTCCATATTGTAAGAAACACAAACCATCAGAACGCCTTTTATGCAATGCGAGGGTATAACAGGATGAGTTTTTGTGAAGATGCGAGTGAGTAGAGATAGAGAGAGAAAGTGTGTGTGTGTGTGTGCTTGTGGATCGAAATAACTATAATATATAGTGTAAGCTCAAAAATACGTGCTGGTGAAATAAGTGGTTCAAGGAGTTTTTTTTTCCTTCACACTCGTGGAGATTCTTCTAGACAACCGACTTGGTGATCATGTTGTAGTCGCTATGAGACAAAAGGAAGAAAGAAAATAAAAACGCGTCGCGGGGTTAATCATCCTGATCGTGAACCAACCCTCCCCACCTAACCCAGCATTTCAAAAAAAAAGACCACACACTCCTGAACACTCAAGCAAACATCACCAAAACTTACGTGAACGACAGGGCGCCATCAAAGCTCTGGATCATGACAACATTCCTAGTAGGATGAAACAAAGCCTGTGCGACCTTATTCCCGCCCACCTCCAGAACCTGACTTGGCCCACCTCTTCTCCCCTTTGCCGAACTATTCAACCTCTGATTAATCCCCCACAGCAATGGATGGGTCTTGCCAACTCCAAAATCAAACTTCTCCGCCTCCCTCGTCGTAACCAGAGCTCGGGCAGCCATGATCCCATCCTCCGAGATGTCGGCCGTGATACAACCTTTACCAGGGCGAGACTTGTCATCGAGCGTGATACCCGCCCACCGGACATCCCAGATATTAACGAATCCCTTTTCATCTGTGCCCGAACAGAAGAGGCCACCCTCGGTGTGCCATGAGGGGGTTGAGAATTTCGAGACGGTTGTTTTGCATCTGTGGTCGAGGGTCAGGACCTTTTGGCCGGGAACTCGTTCGTCGAGGAGTTGGTATTGGTACTGCGTTGATTCTGAAAAGCTATTTTTTTTTTTTTTTGGTAATTGACAATTTGTTTGTGATTATTATTGGTCAGTAAAAATGTCAATAAAACAAATAACCGTGCCCTTTTGCCACGCTCTTTACATAAACCACACAACATAAAATAAAATAAAATCTCCGAAATAGACAATGCGAAGAGAGAGTGAGAAGAAAAAGAGAGAGAGTGAGAGCCTCAAAAGAAAGAAATGAGAGAGAGAGAGAGAGAGAGAGAGAGAGAGAGAGAGAGGTACTTACACAACAGCATGGAGGCGCGGGTCAGCTGGATTTTGGACAATGTGAACAATTCGGCCCAATTTGTCGTTGACGATGGTCTTGCGCCCCTCCATATCATAGACAATGTATCGCCCATCGAGTCCACCCGAGTAGAACCGTTTCGAGGTGTGGGAGTACATCGTGGTCAGAATCGTGTTTGTATGAAGATTGTGCACATCCGCCATCCCTCCGCCCACAAAGTTACCGCCGTCCAGTTTCGTGAACTTCCAATGTACCTACCGAACCAAAAGAAGAAACGGCAAAAAAAAATAATCGTTAGGTCATGCCCCGCAACAAATACAATACATTCATGCTATCACAATCTCCCAAAAGGCCAAACGGATATGAACAAACTTACTAAGCGCTTGTCCCGTCCTGCAGTCACATAGCCCATAGTATTGTCGTCGCGCGACACGGCAGTGACGGTCTGGATCGGCCTGTCATGAGGGAACCCCTGGATGGTAAAGATCCTGTTCTTGAGCTCACCATCTCTGCCATAAAAGATACTTATCAGATTGGTCTGGGTCTCGGGCGGCGAGAACCTAGACGGGTCGTTATCAGCCACATCCGTTCCCGCTGCCTTAGCTCTCGCCAGGTTCTCTTTGACTCCCTCCCAAGTCTGTCCTGACTTCAAATGGCTGACTGCCACAAACGTATCCTCGGACACCCACGCCAGCGTCTCCGTAAACGGAATCACTCTCGACAACTTTGGCGCAATCTCCATGACCTTTTCCTGACGGTCAATATCATACAGCGTAATCAAGCTACAAAAAAGGTCAACCAGGGAAAAAAAAAATTTGTCAAAACGTGCGGAGCAAATTATCGACAGAGCAAAGTGCAGAAAAAAATCTCGCAAACTAGTACTTTACCCATCCAAGCTATTGACGGCAGCAATGTTTTCGAAGGGTGTTCCACGAGCAAACGGATTCAACACCAACGGACGACGGCCTCCTCCACCTCCAATCTTTCCCATGGCTTTAGACTTCCCCAAGGAGATGAACGAGAGCTCCTGAAGCTTGGCGATTGGAAGGTCGTAAGTCGCCCGGTCAAAGACGCGTCTAGCGCCGATCGATCGAGTCGGTGCTGTTGCATAATTCTGCACATTCGGTGCCGATCTTTCTCCTCTTGCCCCTCCTCCTCCTCTTTCCGCCCCTGATAGATTAGGCATCTGCTCATCACTAGTCGTCCTCCGACGATTTCTCTTGATCAAGCTCAAGCTTTCATCAGGGTCATCCTCCGTCTTGGCAGTCACTCCTGCGCTCGCCGGTATCAGTGAAGGAGGCGGTGGTACAGCATTTTGACCATTGGTGTCCGCAGGGGTATTTACAGCTCCTCCGTTCCAAGTACTCGCTCGAGATCTGGAGAAACTGCGCGATCTAGAAGAGGACGGCTCTGATGCACCTGGATCTGCGCGATTCCCTGTTGCTGCTCCCGACTCTGCGTTCTGCGCCAGTGGTGGAGAAGGTTGTGGAGTCGAACGCGGGGTTGACTTTGAAGTAGAACGCGGAGCCGAATCTTTGGGCTGACCGGATTGTGTCGACTGTGTGTCCTGAGCGGCTTGTTTTCCTGAACCTCCTGTTTGCGAATCAGGTCCAGGGGGGAACTCCCGTTTGAGCTCTCGAATCTCTGACTCAAAGTCCTTCGTAATCCGACGAATCTTCTTCTGCACCCGCCGTTGCTTCTCCCCCAGCTCCGAATATCGGTTATTCAATCGTTTCAACTAAATCCACGTGAATGAAACGAAAGGTAAGGCGCATTTGATACAGGTTAGCAGAAGCGCTTAATGATGCAGCAATTCAGTTGCCAGCATTGGACATATGGCAGCTTACAATGAATAACTAATTAGAACTTTACCTCTGACAACATTTCGACCAGTGGGCCGTTGACTCGTTCCGCAGGCGTGAAGCCACTGGTATCTGTCCTCATCGTTGATGCTCCGTTCGTGTCCACCTCAGCCACGCTGTCGTCGTTGGAATCGCCGTTATCCAGATCACTTGAGCTGTCTTCGGACGAGCTGTAGAACCTTCTCCTTTTGTAACGTCGGTTCTTCCTGTAGTAGTCGCTGTCGCTGTCGCTAAACTCGCTGTTGCTGCTATCAGAGTCGTAGCGCCCACGCTTCGAGCGAGAAGGAGACCTGTACGAGCGCTCGTATGAACCCATAGAGATATCCTGGCGAACGGCTCGACTCAAGCTCCTGTATCGGCTCCTGCTCGTTGGCCGACTCCTTGCTCGACTCCTTGCTCGTGATGGACTTCTTGGGCGCGAATGACGTGAAACGCTCTTGCTCCTTCCACGCTCACGCGATGGTCCAGCTGAATCTGTTAGTGGGGCTCGCCCAGAGACTGTTCCAGGAGATCGACCTCGGCTCTTGCTACGGTGCCTAGACACTGACGCCTTTGATCGCTCTCCATCCAAACTGGATGAGGACAATGACGATGGCGGTGTATCTCTGCCACCTGTAGGTGACCCTCGGTACCCCATCGAGCTGAGGGTACGTCCTCCTGTGTAAGCGCCTGGGGGAGGTCCTGGATGCGATCTTGATGGAGGTCCAGAGTAGGATCCTGAGGGAGGTCCAGGGTATGATCCTGATGGTGGTCCAGAATGGGAGCTTGAGGGACGCCCAGAATAGGAACCTGAGGAGGTTCTAGAGTGTGATTCAGAATAGGACCCCGAGTATGATCCTGAATGTCCTTGAGAAGGCCCCATTGGCGCAATGTTTGATCCTCCTGATGCTGAGTGTGCAAGCTTTTCAAAGGGGTTCCGGTAGCCCCTCGCTGTTGGCGTTGTTGGCGTTGTTGGCGATGTCGGTACTCCTGGTCCTCCCAGCATTCCCGAGCTTGACATCGTTGATGGTCCAGACACTGCACCAAGATCCCATTGACGCGCATTATTTCTGCTGCTGCTCTGTTGGCTGCCGACATTCTGGTCAGGACGACTGGGTGGGGGGCCATTGGGCTGAAAATCGGTTGAAGGGTGACGATAGCGTGCAGGTGGCAGCGGAGGTTGCTGCCTTGACGGAGCTGATGGGCTATACGCTCGACTCCACGATCGTCGTCCACTAACGCTACTGCCTGGGGTCGAGGTAGAGTCTGGATGCGCTGAGGTCGAACCCTGATATCCGTTGTGTTGTGGCTGGTTGCGGGAAGGTGGTCCAGGCGGTCCGGATGGTCCGTTCGATCTAGAAGGTTGGCTACTCCCTTGTGCTGGTGGTGGCGGCGGAGGAGGGTTGTTGTTCAAGGCTGCATACGGGTCTCGTGGACGATTTGACATCAAGTATTCGCGTTCCTCCTTGACGCGTTGTTCGTCTCTGGGTGGTTCCTGTTGATAGGACCGTGGTGGAGGGTAGGCTTGGGAGCCTGGAGGCAGAATTGGTTGAGCTGGTCGTGGCCGCGACTGAGACCGGGCCCTTGACTGGGATCGTTTTTGAGTCTGAGCCTGCGATGTGGAAGGAGGGACCGTCGATGCTGTCGTTCTAGTTGTAACTGTAGCTGAGGCTGCTGATGGAGGTACCGGTTTGGTTGCGCTGGTTGCGCTGGCTGGATTTAGAGAGGAGTTTGTTGGTGGCGGTGCTGATGTTGTTGTTGTTGTTGTTGTTGAGGGAGTGGGAGGAGTTGAAGATGGGGAGGAGGAGGATTGCTGTCTACGGAGACGCGGATCCTTTGACATGCCGAGCAAGAGTGAATCCTTTCGAGAGAGATGAAGAAAGGGAGAAAAGAAAGAGAAACTTGCTGTGGTGGAGAAGGAAGGAATGAGAATCGAGAAGGAAGCAGGAGCAGGAGGAAGAAGAAGAAAGGAGCTGATGGTTGTTGTGATCAGTCAGTCAGTCCGATTGTTGAAGACACGGCGAACAACAACCTGATATACAAATAATATATTTTGTTTCGATTCATTCCCTGCCAATTGTCTCTGTCTCTGTCTTTCTCTGTCTTCTCTCTCTTCTCTATTGCCATTTGTTTGTTTAGTGGCAAGTGAAGCGAAAGAGGGTGGTTTGCTCTCTTTGAATATGATCAGTGTCAGTGATGGTGCCTAGGATCATATCGAAAGATAAATTGATCAGTTATGGTCATGTTTCTTGGGCAAAGAGATATTGATACAAAGTGTGTCTTTCTGAACGCGTCGTGGTCATCACAAGGAACGTCGCCTGGCGAACGCCAGACGGGCTAGTAACGAACACGCAAAAAGGCTTTTAGGATAAAAATATTTTTGAATGGATAGATGGATGGATGGATTGTTCTCGGGTTTGTGGTATTGTGTTGCCACCATTACCACAAAATATCACTACCGGGCTGGAGCTGAGATATGTATGACATTGCAATCGACACAATCAGGCTTTATTTCTATGTGATCCTGTTGGTGATGATCAACAGTGATCATTACTCTCTCTATGTCTCTCTCTCTCTCAAAGGACATATCCCACCATCATCACCACAGAAAGGCTTCCTTCTTATTATCCTTCTCCTAGAACTTATTCCAGTCCAGAAGAATCGAGAGTCACGGGGGATGGACGTCACAATGAGAGGTAGACACCCAGCCCGTCTGTCTCGCCTTCGTTCTCACTTCAACTTCTCTCCTCGACGCTTTCCATCTTTTTCTCTCATTCCTCTTCTTACACTCTCATTCTTCCTTCACCCTTTCTCCCTCCTCACACAGCCCCTCCTCTATACCCCCCCCCCCCCCTTTTTACTGCCATCAACAATCACCAAAAACCGACCGTTAAATACACGCCAACCAACCAACAGCCATGTCTGAAAGAAAACTACCAATGGACAAGAGCGAGCGACTCCTCAACGACCTCCTCAAGATCCCCGTCAACACCATCTGCTGCGACTGCGGTGCCGCCAGTAAGAACCTCTCCCTCCCCTCCCTCGTTTCTCCTCATCCGCGAAAAGCAAACCGCCGGTTGGATTGAAGTGTAGTGCCCTGTATCAACAATCATTGCTTTTCGTATTTTTTCGACTCTTCACTATGAAAAGTGAAATGGAAAATAATAGAAAAGAGACTTGGCTAAAACCTGTCCACGTATTGACTCGTCTTTGCATCGTCGAATCAATTATTGATAGATCCTAATTGGGCTTCATACTCCTTGGGCTGTTTCCTCTGTGTCCGTTGCTGCAGTGTCCACAGAAAAATGGGCACTCACATCTCCAAAGTCAGGTCTGTTTCTCTCGACTCGTGGACTCAGGATGATATCGATGTAAGCGACCTTCTCTTCTTCTTTGCTTTTGGCTTATTGACAATTATCGACATTCCAGGCCTCAATGTTATTTTATGCATATGATGCATGGCTCTTAAATGAATGAAGAGAAGGAAAATCCAAAATCCAAGGAGAGTCCCACAACCCACACAAACGATCCAAGGATTAGCTACGGCTCACTCACTCTCTTTACTCACTAACCCGCTTACTTTCGGGTTTCTCTTCCGTCCTTTCATGTCTGCCTCTTGTTTTTTTCGTTTGGATTAAACTAGACTATGAAAAAATGGGGCAACGGCAAGGTCAACTCTATGTACATGCCACACCCCGAGCGTCACCCACCACCAATAAGCATGGAGGGCAGGTAAACTATCATCACACCTTCACACTCTCACATCTCTCATGATTATCACCAAGTGGTCATGGTGGATCATTATTTTAACATGTCATTCTTTAATCCAATTAGTGCTATGGAACAGTATATCCGGTCAAAGTACGAGCGAAAGGAGTTTATGGAGGGCGGAGGAAATTACCAGGTAAAAATTGCTTGGCCAACCGAAAGGATTTTGGAACTGGATATTGCAGGCTTTCGGAACTGGACATAGTGACAGGAAGAATCGTGTGGCACTTTGCCTTGCAACTTTCCACCAACTAACCATTTAACTCAACTTTCCAACTCTTACTCTTGCAACAGCCCTCGGGACGATCTGCCTACGGAAACACTTTTTCAGGAGGACGCGGAACTGGGTCGAGGAACGACGTCGTCAACTCCAACTCTTACACGACTCAGATGTCTGCCCTACGTGCTATGGGTTTCAAAGACAATGCAAAGAACCTCCAGGTCCTCCAATCAACAGATGGTGATGTTCCTAATGCCATTGAGATTCTGTGCCGTATTGGCCAAGGACCCGTCAGTTCTCCGCCCATCGCTTCTTCCAACAACAACAACAACAATAACAACATCTCAAGGACGTACAGTCGACCCTCGCCATCTTCAAACAACAATAATAACAGTAATAACAACGCCAGTCGCGATCCCAAGGAGGCGATTCTCTGGAACATGGGTTTCAATGACTCGGCATTGAACAAGGAGGCGCTCCGTCGTGCTGGCGGCAACCCTGAAGTGGCGGCTGCGCTTTTGATTGATGAGAAGGACAAGCTGGCCAAGGCCGTGCGGGAAAAGGGAGGCTCATCTTCGCCATTGCCAGCTCGCTTGGATCCTCCAGGCGCCAAGAAGTCTCAAAAGAGCGAGGACCTTCTGCTCGATCTTTCGACTGATGATGACCAGCAGCAGCAACAGCAGCAACAGCATATGATGATGCAGCAACAAATGCAGATGCAGAACGCATTCGGCAACAATAACCAGCAATGGAATCAGCAAACCGCCGGTCTCGATCAGTTCGGTGAGTATCGGCATGAGTGCATTGGCATTGTTGATGTTATCATAAGGCATGGATATCATGGAAAAGGAGACTGATCGGTACTTTGTTCTTGTGCAAAATAGGCCAAAACCAGAACCAGCTGCAGTCGATTCTGGACAAGAACGCCCAGATCCTCGCCCTCTACAGCAACGAGACCAACAACAACAATAACAACAACATGTTTGGCAACAACGGGATGAACAACGCATTTGGTGTTCAGCAGCAGCAGACTGGATTCAACAACGATATGAACTCGTGGGCCATGAACAACAACAATAACAACAACAACCAGCAAATGAACTCGGCGTTCGGGATCCAGACAAGCATGGCCACGGGTGCCAACAACATGTTTGGCGACACCAACTCAAGTATGGGTATGGGTATGGGCACCATGGGCACCATGGGCATGAATAACCTTCAGCAGCAACAGTTACAGCATCAGCAGCAACAAATGAACCCCTTTGGTGTATCACAGGCGTCTCAGCAGCCTACCAGTAACGCTCTCGGGAACAACATGTTTAACAACAATAACAACAACAACCAGTTTGCGGGTATGGGAGGCAACAATGGCGGAGGACTCGGATCACCGTTCAACTCTGTATCGGCCACCACCAATACCAACAACAACAATATGTTTGGACACAACCCAATGGGCGGCATGGGCATGAACACCAACAACAACGGCATGAACGGAGGGTTCGGCGCCGGCGGCAACTCGCCCTTTGGGATGAACAATAATAACAACAATAATAACAACAACTTTAACAACAATAACCCTAACCCTTGGGGCAACAACAACAACAACAACAACAACAATCTCTTCTAAAGAAGTCCTCTTGTTGTTGGATGAATAAAAAAAATGTATTGGTAAATATTTTTGGGTGGAGGGTTTGGGGGAAATAACCATATACAGCTAGCTACACTACGAGAAGATGTCGTCGCGTCGGTGGTTGAGGACAGGCATCTCGGCGCGGATTCGTTCTAATATCGACAGGTCGATGTCCGCGACGGCGAGCCCTTCGTCAACCCCATCGAACTGTGTACACACCTTTCCCCAAGGATCCACGATCTGCACGATTTGCAATAACAATGTGTCCACCTGTCAGTAAAAAAAAAGGCTTTGAAGTGTGCAAGCATCTGTCATTGCCCATTTTTCAGGAGCAAGAGCGTGTCACTTACCATGGCGTGTCCGTAGCTTGTACGTGTTTCTGAATGCTTTCCAACTTGTGCTGCCGCGACCACATAGCACTGCGTCTCGATCGCCCTACTCCTCAGTAACACCTCTTATTCACCCATAGACCAACAAACAAATAAATCATATCACATTTTAGTACAATTTTGCCCAAGTAAAACTTCCACCGAAGCCCTTTTCACTCAACCCTTTTCACTCAACCCTTTTCACTCAACCATCCTACAACAAAATACTTACCCCAATGGGCCTCGCCAGTCTTGAGAGTAAAAGCCGAGGGATACGTCAGAATCTCGGCCCCCTTCTTCCTCAACGCAAGCGCCATCTCAGGGAACCTGAGATCATAGCAAATGCCTAGACCAATCTTGCCGACGGGTGTCGAAACAGGGGGGACGAGATGATCGCCGGCGACGGTGGAATTGGATTCCATGATTCGGGGGCCGTTGGCGATATCGACGTCGAAGAGGTGGATCTTGCGGTAGGTTTGTGTGATTGTGCCCTGGGGGGAGATTAGGACGTGGGTGTTGTAGAGGCGGCCTTCGATAGGGCTCTATTGTGTTCCATGCGCGGGGTAATAGAAGGAGAGGGGGAGAGAGGGGGAGAGAGGGGGGGGGGAGTATTAGTTGCGGGTATTCGCATGGTGGTTCTGAGAAACGCGTAAAAAAAATGCTTTCGATACCACTTTTTTTTTTTTTTCTTCTTGGACGTGGAACGTGTACCTGCTCATGAACACCAACAGAACATCCAATTCCAACCTCCTTCGCCCCCTGACAAAGTCCTTCCAAAAACTCCCCCTCCCCAACTCTCTCCACCCCATCTTCCTTCGCACCAATTGGAGAAGCGAGGGTGAGGGCTTCTTCGGGCGGATTGCCAATAAAGTCGGTCGCCTCAGGAAAGAAGACATGTTTTACGCCCTGGGACTTGGCGAGTTGCATGAGAAGTTTGCATTTCGCGAGGTTCTTGGAGACGGATGGGCCACCGTTGAATTGTACTACTCCGATCGTTGCTTTTTGCATTGCGTTGAATGAGTGATGGGTGAATGGATGATGGGTGAAGGAGGTGAAGGAGGAAAGGGAGTGCAAGTGCGAAGTGAGCAAAGAAGTCAGTCAGGAACAGCCACCCCTGAAACGGGCAACGCTTTTAATTTTTTAAGACCTGAGGAATCAAACGGCCTTCCTTCGCTTGGACACCCGACGACCCTTGGACACATTATCCAACGGATCCTCCAAGTTGATATCCTCAATACGTTCTGCTACCACCGTCTCCTCTTCAACCTCCTGTTTGACAACAACCAATTCCTCCTTTACCTCAACTTTAAGAACCACCCTGTCATCTTCCTCCAGGACCTCAACCTTAACAACATCAGGATCCTCCTTCACCCGTCCCTCAATCGTCCTCAGATCCGCCGCAAACAGCACAGAATGCGCCCACCCCGCATATCCGCCAAACAAGTCCACGAAATGCCTCCCTACAGCCTTGTAGATCGCCGGAGAGATAGTTTTAGGTGTTTTGCCCTCGAACCGGAACCGGTAGTCGCGTACTGCAATCTGCCAGACGTGTGTATCCACCGGGATCGTCTCGTGTTTGTCTAGCGACATTAAACACTATTGTATATGTTGGAACGAGAAGGGGAAAGTCTGTTAGTCAAGATATTGAAATAGTGGATCCTTATTAATCAGAAATAAAATAAAATAAAATAAAACAAAAACAACAAGGAGCAAAAAAAGACGTACGACACAGTCGGCGACTTTAGGTCCAACGCCCTGAAGAGTCAAAAGCCCAGTATGCGCATCCTCATATGACAGCTTCCTCAACCCATGCAACCACGCCTCTCCATCTTCCATCTTTTGGATCATCCTAGCTGTCGTGGCGATATATTTCGCCCGGTACCCGAATCCGAGATTACGAAGCGTCTCCTCAACACCGTCCTGTGCCAGCGCAGCGATTGTTGGAAATTCGTAAAATGTCCTGCTGGTAGTGGAAATGGTAGAGTCGAGAGGGTCGATGACTGCTGGAGGGACTGTGAGTGGTGATCCATACTCAGAACACATTTTCGCCGCCTATTAGAAAAAGAGTAATATTCTGGTTAGATACCTTTCTTTTAACCAACCAGAGCATGTTGAAATGAAAAACATTTCAGAATACATACCATTTGGGTGATGCGACTGATGTTGTTATTAGAACTACAAATAAAGCAAAACAAGTTCTCAACAGGGTCCTGACGCAACATCCTGACACCCGGGAAGAATGGAGCTTTCGCTTTAAAGTTCTTGTCCGTCGCTGACCATTTGGTGTACAGCTCCGTCAACGGTACGTCCAGTTGGAAATAGTCCCTCAAGAACGCCCTGTCAACTTTCTCCAGCTCTTCCTCTTCTTCCTTGCCTGTCGCCCTCCAAGTAACCGCCGCGGGTGCTGGTGATGACTTTGTTGTTGTTGAGGTTGGGGTGGAAGAGGGAGAGGAGGAAGAGGAGGAAGAGGGACGAACAGTCCTAAATCGGAACCCATCATCTGTCTCCTGAATAAACCAAACCCGTCGATCAAGGACACAAGACCAAGTCGGAGCCGAGATCTCGCCCGAGGGTAACTCCTGATGCTCTCTCTGCCAGCGGAAGGACTGTCCGCATTTCAGGGTTGTGGTTAGGTCCAGTTCTGAACGGGGGACTTTGATTGATACCCAGGGGGTTGAGTGGACGTAGGGTGGGGGGTGCAGTTCCTTGCGAGGCTTTGGTACTGCTGCGGAGGAGGTTGGTGACTTGACGGTGGCAGCGGTCTTGGCTGTCGTTGTGGCTGTCGTAGCTGTCGTCACTGTTGTTGTCTTAGTCTTGATGGTGGCCACTGAGGTCGTCGATGTGTCCTTGGCGAGGGAGAGGGCACGCTTCCGAGTCGTCCTTGTCAGTGCAGCCATCATCTGTTGAGAAAAGAAAGCAAAAGGAGGAACAAATTATCTCGCAAGGCTCGATGGGTTAAAAAATTGAGTGTGGCTTTGGGTGAAGGTCAACCTTGTCTCCTATTGGTTTAATTTTTAGTGGCGCTTACCTGCACAAAAAAAATGAATGTCAGCTCGCTAGGTTGAGAAGGGACGTCAATGTGGTTGGTTGGATATGGCTGGGGTAGAGTCAGAACACTGTAGCCAGTACCAGTATCATCACGCTTGACAGTATCACCGTGCTTAACAACGAAAAAGAAAACGGAAAATGGCTAGTTGATCTCAACCATCAATTTATTTCAGGTACAGTCATTATCTTCACTTGCAGTCCATAAGCGAGAATCAGTTCCATACGGACGATTTATACTACCCTAACATAATGTTAGAAATGAACGTGCGAGGAAAAAAAATTGCATTTCTTTCGCCAAGCCAGTTCTAATGTGTTAGAACCTGTCTTTTTTGTCGAAGCCCATAGGCAGATCATACCTTGAGAATATTACTGTGAGATCTGAAGGTATAAGTTCGGGAACAGGATATACCAGTTATAATCGTCTTCACAGCTCTGCGTTATAGTTGTTGTCGAACCACAAATCGCTGCATTGATTGAAGAATAAACAGAGACGCGTCATCAATCACCGGTGAACACAGACGATAGATGTGAAAAAGGAACTCAAACCTTTGGTTGATGTTTGTAGTCCACGCGCTGAGCAACATTAACATGTTGTTAGCTTATGGACACAGTTCAATGATGGGCTTGTTGAGAAAAAAAATGAGTAGCATTGAGTGACGATCTGAACAGCAAGCGGGTCGATACTAGTAGCCTCGATTATAATATCTGCGGTGTTGTAACGAAGGTAATCGTTCATACTACACTCTCAAATCACCAACTCGACTCGAATGAAATAAAAAATTCATGAGCTACAATGAAATCACACTGTCAGCCAGCATGCAAAACCGCTATCGCAACCAGCAAAAAATATAAGAAAGGCATGCACACTCTCACCCACCCACTACTTCGACAAAAAAAATAGCACTTTTCACAATTAAGGTGAAAAGGGCAAAAAGATCGCGTCAACAGCAGGATTTGAACCTGCGCGGGAGAACCCATGTGATTTCTAGTCACACGCCTTAACCGCTCGGCCATATTGACTTGTACTAATAGAGTTTTAAGTAACTTTTATACAACATGAACAGTAGCCAGACATAATCTCGTGATCCGTCACGTGCACGAGAATTGGTGGCGTCATTTGGATCTGAAAAAATGCATTTTCTCCCGTTTACCACACATTGTGAAGGAAATCTGGGCGGTGCTTTGGCAGGCTGTGGAATCTCGGCCAGGCGGGGTTGAGGTGGTGTGGATCAAAGGTCACAGCAACATCCACGGAAACGAACTTGCGGATCAGGCGGCGAAGGTGGCAGCACAGAGTGGTTCAGTGCCCTGGATGGTGGATCTCACTCAACAGACGGATATCACGACCTTTGCACATTGTTACGGCGGGATTGTTGAAATCGATCTACGTCAGCTCCTCAAACAACAATCGACAATCCGTCACCATCAGGCCTGGATGTCACAGAGGCGGGTCAAGAGGGCGATCCCTGACATCGATGACGTGGAATGGAACTCGACCTTGGCTTATGTCCACGACAGGCACGCAGTCTTCACCTTTTACAGCAACAGCAAGGACTCTCACCAACGCACACATCATATCAAAAAGCTGCATGGAATGCTGCCCACTCTGAACTCCATGCAGGCTCGCAAGCCCAACCTGTACCCAACATGCGTGTGCCAACGATGCGAGCTCGAGAAGGAGGATAACGATCACGTCTGGAAATGCCCTTCGGCAGCTGAGACCACCACTGAGATCTGGAAGGAGGCCATGGGCAAGATTAATGAGTGGGGTGTGCAGGCGACAAACAGCTACAACGCAGCCAGGAAGCGAGAATACAAACGCGCGGTGGACAGAGGTCGTCAGGTACCGAGGCCAGTACCCATACACTGGTGGCCCCCTTCGGATGCGGATCATGTACGAGGATTTTCCTCCATCGGTGGAGCTCGAGCCGTGCACAGCGGTAGTCCAGCTCTCGATCGAGACGAGAAACCGATGTGGAATGTGTCGGATCTCCTCCGCGGCATCACCCCCTTGAGCATGTTGACTGAATGGTCCGCGGTCTTCCGGACCCCAATGTCCATCGCCAAGACAGTCCTTCACAAGTTTGTTGGCTACCTGGAGGCGCAGGCCTCGGAGCTGATCTGGAAACCTCGGTGCTCCGCGACGATCGCATGGGAACAGACCCAGGGTATCTCTGCCAAGAACAAGACATCCAAGTACACAGGCCCCCGAGGTGACTGGAGTCAAGGATACGGTTACATCACGCACGATGGTTTTTGTCCGTGTGGCGCTTCGCTAGCCACACATGATGAAGGAAGGTGCCCTGGAGCGACCAAGGACACACGCGCTGCTGACGAGCGGTTGTTGGAGAGTTTGTTAGGAAGGAGGAGGTTGTCAATGATGGAGAGGATGGGAAGAATCCCCTTCATTCGTATCTAGTTTTATTTTCTTCCGTTTAAGCTGTGAAGAGCAGCGACAATTGTTGCGCAGAGCCAGGTTCTGGACCGGACTGCGACTGGTGGATGGTGCACTGAAGAGTTTGGTCTGTAGTCCCTTTTTACTTCCAAATAACTTCTCTATGCTGTTTGTTAGAGAAATAAAATTGTGTACGAAAAAAAAAAAAAATATTGTGAAGGAAGTGGCGCTTCGCTAGCCACACATGATGAAGGAAGGTGCCCTGGAGCGACCAAGGACACACGCGCTGCTGACGAGCGGTTGTTGGAGAGTTTGTTAAGAAGGAGGAGGTTGTCAATGACGGAGAGGATGGGAAGAATCCCCTTCATTCGTATCTAGTTTTATTTTCTTCCGTTTAAGCTGTGAAGAGCAGCGACAATTGTTGCGCAGAGCCAGGTTCTGGACCGGACTGCGACTGGTGGATGGTGCACTGAAGAGTTTGGTCTGTAGTCCCCTTTTACTTACAAATGCCTTCTCTATGCTGTTTGCTTGAGAAATAAAATTGTGTAGGGAAAAAAAAAAAAAAAAAAATGCAGACTCGTCGAGGGGAGAAAGGAGATGGAGAAAAGAAGGGACAGGAAAAAAGAAACAAGAAAAATTTGCGAGACAAAGAGTGAGAGTTCTGGCAGGAAGTAGGAAAGAAAAACGCGCTTTGCGGCGGCCCTAGTGAGTCAAGACCAAGTGTCAAGGCAACAACAGTCGTTCGTAAGATAGTGGTTTGATAAAAAGGACACACAAAAGGAGGAGGTTTATGGTTTAAAAAGCATGGAAGGCTTAGGAGCTGGCTAAATACTCGAACAGGCGTGATCATCATCCACGACGAGGGCATGTTTGACAACTTCCAGGGAATGGACCTGACCGATTGGTCGCACAGAGAAAGAAATATGTACAGAGTTGTTTCCATCCTCAAGGACATCACCATTGTCGTTATCATAGTCGTGGCGAGCTCGCTTCGTGTCATGACCATGATCCGTTACGCCTTCAAGAGGTCGTTTGCTACTGCTGCCGCTGCTGGGATTACTCTTTTGATCCGCTTCCAACACTTGGAAGAAGGAGTGTTCCAGCGCCTTGTCGATCTCCAAACGTAACCCGACAACCTGGTGCATCAGCTGGTCGACAAGACCTTTTGCCTCCATGTTTGTTCTACAATTCAAAACAAAAGCAAATAAAGGCTGGGCAGTCAGTTGGGCACTCAAAAAAAGAAAAGGGTATGGATGACCAACAAAGAAAACAAGGGGGTGGCACTTACAGCTGAGCGAGACCTCCTTGCTCCGGAAAGTGCCCTCCAACGACACGAAAAACTGTGACCCCATAGGCATAGACGTCAACTGGGTAACTGTAATAGTTCTTGCCCATCATCTCAGGCGCACGATACCGCATCGTTCCACATTCTCCCCTAAAGTATGATTAAATGGTTGTGCAAAAGTGTGAGCTCGAGCAAATATATATCACCTTACACCCAACTTGTTTCGTGCATACCTTGCACCCATGGGCTTGTCTTTGAGAGAGATCGAGAGCCCAAAGTCCGAGATGATGGCGTGTTTCGAAAATGCTCCTGTCAACAAAATATTCTCAGGTTTGATGTCTCTGTGTAGGATTTGGTGTCTATGGAGATGGCTGATTCCTCGCGCGATTCCAGTTGCGATGTGCTTTGCTGATTTTACGTCCAGCTTATTTGTTGCTCTCAATGCGTCTTCTAGGCTCTATCGTTTGCAATGGATGTGAGAATAAACAGGGATGTCAGCATTGGGAGTGGTTCGTGCATTGGGCGTGCACGAATGTACGACATGGTGGACTCTCACATTCAGTACCATGTTGGCTAGCTCCAGTGATACACATAGCTGGTCCCTGTCCTGGAAAGCGGACCCAAATGCTATGATGTTGGGGTGCCAGTTCTTTTTCAACATCGACAGCATCGCGACCTCGCGGTCGTACTATGCAAACAACGAAAAATAGAGCAATTAATTTTCTCGTCAAATCCCTCTTTTCAATTCCAGAAAATAGAAAAATATAACGTAGGCAACACTTGGGGCTGCTTACGCTCGGCTTCTTTTCTTCGTTGTCGGCACACACTTTCAAGGCAAGGAAACGGTTCCTCGCCATGACTCTCAATGCACAACCAAATCCCCCCTGTTCAGACGAAAGAAAAAGAGAAACGAGATGCGTATCAGTCGTCCATTGCGCACTCAAAAGGGTGTTGATGTTCATTGTTGTGCCACTCTTTTTTTGTTTTGTTTTGTTTTGTTTTGTTTTGCAACTTACTGCTGCAATCGTCCCGAGGTATTCAAAAGTGCTTCCAGTCGACCAGTCGCGGTACCGCTAGCCGTATGAGACATGTGAGAAACGTTAGTTTGGTCAGCTCTCTCGTCCTCAATAGGTCAAGGTAAAGGCATTAGCTGTTCGTGCGTGGTCACGCAACTCAAGCTAATACCTTGTAGGGCTCCATATATCCGGGTGCCTTGACATAGACAGGAGCAGGAGTAGAATGAGGTCGAGGTTTGGGTAGATTGACGTTGGGTGATGGCGATGACCTTTCTCTTCCCCGATGGCGAGGACGAGGTACCGTGAATTGGCGCGATGATGATGATGGCGCAGGCACGAGTTCTGTTGGCGTGCAAACTGCTGCGGGTTCTGTTGGTGTACAAAGTGGAGTGCATTCTGTTGGCGCAATAACAGGGGCTGGCACATGTGACGGTAGATTCAGTGTCATGTAGAGCTGCAACGCTGTCGATTGTGATGCTGTTGGCTCTTGATCCAAGTCCTCCTCGGCATCACTCGTCAAGAACTCGCTATGGTTTGAGGGTGGTATTGTTGGAGGGAGGTCCGCTCCTGCCCAAAAGGTAGGCAAGTTTGCTAAGGATGGCCCTATTAGTTCCTCCGCTGGCTCTCCCACTTCACCCACCGCCTCTTCTCTCCCCGGCTCTGTTGATGCTTCAGGTAGTTCTACCGTCTGCTGTGAAACGGAGGATGTGGTCGATATATGCGGTACAATGGTGGACGACATTGATTGAATGGGGAGTGTAGGAGAGACGTAAAGAAAGCAAAAAAAAGGGACGACGGGATGGTGTTTATGTGATTTCAAAATGCGTAGCACTTTAGAAGGGTACTCGAAGCAACATCCTCATCCATCCATCGATTCTGTCTATTCCCTTTCCTCAATGGTTTTTCCTTTTTTTTTTGCGGCTATGCGCGACTTTCCACCTTCCACCGTTGTCTCGGAGTTCGACCCTCGTGAGACGTATGGCAAATTTTATTTGTGTCCCCTGGGAATACGGCGGTCTGTGCACTGCATACAATTGACCAAGGGTCTGCATTGTTTGTTGGCAGCACCAGAGCGGCTACCAGGTCCTACTTTTTATTTTCATTTGCCCCATTGGTATCTCTTTATAGGAGAATGGCAGCCCTGAGGTGGCACTCTCTGTAGACACTCGAACCGTGTCTCTGCGATGCCTGGTTGTCGAGAACGCCTCTCCACGTCAGTCCCTCATTTGTTGTGCGTGGGTGTACAAGTGCATATGCTTTCCAGTCCAGACCATTACCGCCACATGATTTTTTTCTCCAGTCTGACTTGACTTGATCCTTTTGTTTTTCTTTTTCTTTTTCTTTTTCCTCACACTCCCACCCCCTCTCCTAAACACGCCTCTCATTACACTCACACTCACACTCTCACGTCCTTTCAACTGTTCTCCAAGGTCATCATCCAGCCTTCCTTTTCTCTCCAACGGCCATGATCCTAATGGCAAGTCGTGTTGTTGGCTGACTATGATTCATCCGGTCTTCACGTAGCTATGTGAGAATGAGCAGAACCAAAAAAGACAGTCTGTGTGATCCTCACTTTCTATATCCTTTCTCTCAACACAAACGGTCGTGTTTTTCCATTATTTGGCGTTCACTTTGTACCTTTCGGTGAGGTGTGATACTAACCCACAGCTCTTTGTATGTCCTCTATGCTTTCACTTCAGTGGTTGACCTCCATGCCATCCAAGATGCCCAATTGAACATAACAGCTACGGAAACTTACTTGACACAGGCTACGGTATTCTTTGTTGCTGTGTGGAGTGGGCGTCACACTCTCTGCAGGAGTCTCATTGTTACACTCTCTCCTTCTCAACAAGTGTAAATGATTGTAGCCTGGGTTCACTTAAATTCTTGTGGGATCTATTACTAATTCAGACTTCTTTCCCCCCTGTGTTTACGCATGATCACTCGTATCACAGTTCGCTTTGTAGGTCCTATTGAGCGAGGTCAGGAACGGGACGATGCTGCTGCTCAAAGACAGCAACAAAAGGAAAGTGGCAGTTGCATTTTTCCTTATTCTTCGCTCAACGACGGAACAGGGGGGGATGTGTGTGGGTGTCAAGGGGTGGATGTGGCCATGGAGGCGTGCTCGTGTTGATATGCACCAAGGGACAGTATTGGGGCATTCCCAGGCTTACTTGACCTGGGAACGCTGGATGTTCTGGTGCACTTCCAGTTGTTGCTGATACCAAGGTGCAGTCCTTGCACTTTGTGACTTTGGCTTCAGGTTACGGAAGGAAATTTTATTTTTACACAGGCTACGGTATTCTTTCTTGCTGTATGGAGCGAGCATTGCTGTCTGGGGATTCGCACTTGTACATCGCTTCCCTCTTTTTTCCTAGACAAGGATTGGTGATTTGTAGCCTGATGGGGCCACTTGAACTGTGGGAGTTATTACTAACCCACGCTTTTTTTTCTCCTCCTTGTGTTTACGCAGAGTCATTGTGGAGTCGAAGAGGCAGGTCAAGAACATGATGGAACTGGATACTTGGTTTCATCATTTCATGCTCTTCACTTGACAATGGAAAGAAAGGACTATCTCTTCCTCCGTCAATTGAAAGGAGACTATTGAGCATACACATGTAATGCACACGACAGTAGGGATACTATGGATAATATAAAGAAAATCAAGCTGTCCTGACCCAAGAGATCATATCATAGCAAAACGGATAGGAAAAAAAGTGAAATAAAGCCGGCAGTGTCCATAAAACCCCTTTCTAATCTTATGACTTATACCTGACCTGAATGCTCACAGTTGTTTCAACCAAGTATGTGATCATCTTGTTATAATTATATGAGGTTTGAACTCAGTTTCACGACCGGAAGCCGGGTCACCTTTGTTCATTTCCGACAAGTCGGTTGATCATTGATAAAAGCTGTTGGATGTTGAACATAAGGACAAGGCCGCTATGCGTGAGTTTTCTGTTCTTTTGATCTGATGATGAACCTCTCCTTTTTGGATCTGGTAACGCGGTGATCGGCCAACTCTTCGAAACTAATATTCATATCTACTTTCTGCTTTGTTGAAGCGCTCCTTTTTATTTTTTTATTTTTTTATTTTTTGATCGCTTCAATGACGATAGGATTTAGCCTTGTCGTTCCGACATCCAACAGATGATTGACTTTAAGGAATAACGCGCTTTCTTCGCAATGTGGGGTTTGACGAACGTGGAGGATACAACCTCTGATAGGCAAAAACAAAGATAAAAATGATGTTGTTCTTTCTCGTCCAGATGAATGGTATGCGAGATGGTGATGGTGGATCTGCTGTTGTTTACTCTGTTATACCCTTTGCACCTCTTTGCTCAACGTTAGCCCAGTCAACAGTTTTTTTAACCCAACAAACAGCGATGTATGGGGAAGAGCTGTTACTTTCTTTTGTTCACGTTAATCAGATCTCATTATGGATATTCTGATCCGCCTTTGTTTAATAAGCCTTGAAGCTTTGTTGTCTTATTTGTAGAGGGGTGAAGGTGATGTGGCGCGTCGGAAAGGAATGTACTCCCCTTTTTCTACCTGTCATGCGAAGGGATAAGTTGATCCGAGATGATACTTTGATGTAGGAACTCACGAGAAAATAAAAAAGTTGTGGGTAGATAGTTCATTTCGTCTTGTGGTCGACTCTTGAGGTTTGTTGCGTTTTTTATTCAATGGCGACAAGCGATATTTATCAATACTTGGTATGCTGCGTTTTACTGAAAGGCGGATGAGACGACTATTTTTCTCGTTTTGACTTTTTGTTCAGCTGGATATCTCGAGAGTTTTACAGAAAGTATAATAGAGTAGACGATGGGTAAAAACGTCAATCTTGTTAGTACGGATCTCCCCCATCAGGACCTCCGGCGCCAGTAACCGGGCGTTCCCGCCTTCTACGTGCTGGATATACAGTTGAATAGAAACACAATTGTTGTCAAAAGCGTCCCAGGCTACTTTTATCACAGGCCTCAGACCAAGAACGAGAAGAGTTGCAGAGATCGCGACTCTATATTTGATCTTTCTTCGATTGTTCCATTAATACTTAATTCCAGGTGGTACTCTCACTCCAGAATTTCTTTGGCAACCTTATGGCTGATTTACCGAGTGAAAAAAAAAACGCGGCGATTGGATGGTGGCGTATGGAGTCTATGGGCGCTGTTTGGCGATTCAAGGATTAGTTTGATCATCCTACTTCACGTGGCGATCCTTTCCTCTTTCTTGGGCGTTAATCATTTTTCACCTTGTGACGCAGGCGATAGGTCAACTCATGGCTTGCTTTTTTTCTGTTTTTGGTTGAATAGGTGCGCTTTCCTTTGCTTAGGGACTTGGACTTGAGAAGCGGTTGTTCATCAGCGCTACTCGTTGTGTTGTCCAATTGACTATCATGGTAGGTGTGCTCATGCACAAGGATTGTCTTCGTAGTGTACCTTAAACGATATGCAGCCGTGAATTCGTACGTTCGTTTTGATGTCTTTTACTATGAAGTACTGTTCAAGCTCGGGTCGGGTAGTATCGTGGCGTGCATGTCCGTTCTCTTTTTTTTTTTTTTTTTTTTTTTTTTTTTGGGGGAGGGGGGGGGGCACTCACACCAGGATCTCCATCGCGGTGTTTTTCTCCTTTGCAAAATAGTAGTAGAACACGTATATGTCTGACCTGCGTTTAAAAAAAAGCCTTAAAGTTGGCAGTGTGAGGGTTTGATTGAGATCTTTCTACTGTCCATTTGCAATTCTCGAACATGCGCCTCACATGCGGCGATACCGAAAGTTGAATTGCATGCCTTTTTTCTTCTCTGTCAGTATGTATGCCCACCAGGTATAAGAGTAACCTGGTTATTGAGGATTGGTAAAAAGGAAATGAAAGCAAGGGATTCCACGCCTACAATATCTTGGTTTAAGCTTTTGTTTCCTTTTTTTTTATCTCCAAGGCTTGTCTGCAACTCAAAACACTTGCTGGCTCATGCTACATTTCTAAGGTAGTAAGAGCTGAGAGTTGACTTAATTTTTTTTGGATGCAAAATTAAGTCGACGTGTTGAAATAATAACGATCGAAGTTAAGAGGGTGTAGAGGAAGTGAGGATGGTAGAGAAAGTGCAATGTGAAAACCCTGGTATGACATGGAACAACATTAAAAGGACAGGTAAGATTGAGGAGAGGGTGACATGGTCAATCGTGGGACACATCAGCAAAGACCCATGACAGCAACTTCCATTGGCATGACCAGAATCGATCGTGCGTGCACATCATAAGCGTGACTCTTTTTCCTGCAATACAGCGAGTTTTTCATTCAAAGTCGAAACTCAAACCCAATAGTATTGTTTATTATTTTGAAGCATCTGTGAGTCTCAATCTCAGGGACTACCAGCATCCTTGACATCGGGCTGGAACTGAGATTGAGCGGTGTCCGATCGACTGAACTCTGGCGGCATAGTATCATCATCGTCGCTGCTACTCGCTTGGTATGGTGGAGGGAGGGCTGGATACTCTGGTACAGTACCCCTGATGTGTTCTGGACGCGGCGACGTGATCCTCACACCCACTATCAAGGTATAATCGAACAGAGAGCGGGATGAAAAAATTAGCAAACCAAACCTTACCCTGAAAAAATTACAAAAAAAGGACGGTGACTTACTCTCGACACGGAGCTCCCTGGCCTCTTCGCCCATACTCCCAACCCGAACCATCATAATAAGCTTCAACAAATGCGCCTTTGTCACAGGAACAGTCTCAATGCTCGCCGCCAAATCTCTCGCTCCAGGCAACTCTGCTAGCACAGTCCTCTCAAACCCTTGACTCGTCACTGGCCATCCTTCCATGACGGGTAACACAAACACGACTTTCTTCTCCCCCCGCTTCTTGTCCAGCATCCGTGGTTCCCTCAGAACCGTGTACTCCTTCAATTTTACCACTGCACTTGTGATGATAAGATCCTGGTCCTTGTGAATGCTGTTCTCGAGGAAAGGGTCAATCCGGATGGTCAAGGGCACGACTTGGCCCTGGTAGAGGACGTCAGAGGGGAGTGTGCACGTCACAGGGAGGATATCATTCCACACCAACTTGTACACTTTTGGCACATGCTCCTCCAGTTCTCGAAGTGACGAACTGTAGACCCAGACCAACTGCTTGACCGCCATGTTGCGGAACGGGAAATCCCTCTGCATGTGGGCCTTGAACCGGTAATGGAACCATCCCCTCCTGCCCTCGATGGTTGGTGGCAGATCTGGATCGAGTTGAACCTCGAATTCGTAGCGTGTGACTCCTGGAGTGATGGTTTTGTTGGTGCGGTTCAGTTTGACGTCCCATGTTTGTTCCTGCAGGCGAGTTATGTGGTGGAATGAGATGTGTGATCCTCCATGTTCCTCTGTTTTGTTTGTGTGGGGTTTGAGGAGAGGGGAGTAGGGTTCGCACGTTAGTGCGACGCGAATAAAATTTATTCCGTCCATTCATTTGTGAGCATTGACTTTGTCATCCTTCACCAGGGATTATGAGGGGGTGCCACCAATTGAACATACCTGACCATTTGGATTCTGCTCGTGCCTCAAAGGTCAGAGTAATGTCGCTCGCCTTTGTCTCCTTGATGGTCGTGAACTCGACATATCCCCTGATGACTATTCAGCAGTAAGACCAAATAATAATCATGTTTTAGCCAAGGTTCAAGAGTAGTCCCAATAATTGACGCAATTGAAAAAAAAAGAGTTGGTAACTGGCTAGGGTTGCTGTTGCATCCAGGAACAAAGACTCTTACCTGCTGGCTCCTCTGGGGTATGATAGTACAGGGGTTGCCCCTCTGGCCCATGTTCCTGGCTGTGAAAGCGGATGGTGATGGACTTGCTTGTGTCCTTGCTGTAATCCAAGATGGCCATGATTGTTATATAAATATATTTTTTTGGGGGGGGAGACGTGGGTATCGACTAATTGCGTTCCTTGTTCCTGATGCTTGTTGGGTTCGATTGCTTGTGTCCTGTACAAGTTTGTGAGAGAGAGAAGAATTGTTGAGGGGTGAGGAAAGAAGAAGAAGAGAAAAAAGGAAGAGGTAAGAAAAAGAAAGAAAGAAAGAAAGAAAGAAAGAAAGAAGAAAGGAATGAACGCGATGTGTACGTCAAAAGATGGAAGACAGAGAAGGTTTTTTGGGTTTCGTCCAACGCTTTAGCCCAAAAAAGTGAGCCGATCTCTGACGACTTTCTTGACATTCCTGACATTCTTGACATTCTGGAGATTCTTTTTTTATTTTCTCTTTCTCGTTCTCTTTCTCATTCTCTTTCTCTTTCTCTTTCTCTTTTCATTACTTCAAAAGGTCAGCTTCCAAGAAAAATAAAGATGCTGCAATACAATCATATCTTCGTCTTCGATTCTCGAAATGGTCATGGTATCGAGTCCAGCAGGACACTCAATCTCGATGCGATCGAGATTGAGTAACAAGGGCATCAAGCCAGCACAATGATAAGTTGGCAGCCATGCGAAAATCGACGCCCATTCATTTTTTTCGCTCCAGAAAATTGCAAGCAATGTAAGCCATGTATCTCTTTGTGCATCATTCTTTGTTTTTATTCATTGCAATTTCGTAACACATCTCCCTCTGCATCAAAACACCATCGACTTATTTTCGTCATCGTCCAGCTTGAGACCCGCGTCGACTAACACTACTAACAGTCAGGGGTCGACTTCCTCCACCTGGCAACACAATCGGCGTCGACGACAACACACGCTGTCTGTTCCCTCCACCTGCAATTGACGAAAGGCTAGCGTTACTCGAACTGTTGCGTCTCTGTCGATAAGCGGCGGAGGTGTTGGACTCTTGTTGGGTCAGGGTGTGGAGCATACTATCCTGTGATCCGTCGATCCAGCTGATGGACGTTGGAGTCTCCAGCTGGTGGTGTTGGATCTTGGTGGACAAGGATGACGATGGAGCAGAACCTTTTGTGGAATGGTCGTGGTTGTTGTTGACGATGGCGTTGGAGCCCTTCACACTGCCACCGCCAGCGGTAGTAGTGGGGGGTGTCATAAAGTCATCAGGAAGGGTGGACGTAAAGGGTGTTGGTGGGAGGATCGGGAGTGGAATCTGCGGTGCGGGTGTGAATTTTTTCAGCGAGGTGATGATCTTGAGACTTGGAGCGTCACCACGTCTTGCGTGTGCTGCCTGTGACAATGTCCTGCTACTACCGGAGTGCTGAGATGCAGAAGCGGCGATGGCGGGTGAAGAGGACGAGGCAAATGGAAGTGATTCCCAAGCAGCTACTGCTCGACTCTCACGACGAGAGTTGGTGCCATCCTGTGGTGTATTCGGGATATTTCCATGTGCGGTCGTATTAGAAGGGAGACTGTTGCTGCGCTGAAAGGGACCAAAGGCTGGACCGGCCTCGTTGGGGGAAGGGATATGAGCGTTGTAGAGATCATCGGGGTGCTGGTAGTCTGGGTGGAAGGGCGACAGAGGGTGGATGTTTCTTTGGACAGCTACGATATTCCTGGAAGGTCTTTCGAAGGAAAGTGGTTGGCGTTCGTCGGGGAATCGGTACTCCGCAAAAATTTGCATCCCACTGTCGACCGAGGTTGGTGACCCAGAGATCGGGATGATGGTGGTGGTGGCGGCGGTAGTAGGCTCAGAAACTGACACATATTCGATCGGGGAAGGACCAGAAGGTGAGGGGAGGGAAGAAGACACCTGATCGCGCAGTAAGCCGAGGACGGGGGACATGGATGGAGGTGTGGCCAGCATGGCAGACGAGACTGACGCGCGTCGAGGAAGAGTCGAAGGAGGAGGTGGACCAGCCAAAAGACTCTCTGGAATAAAAGTGCTTCTGAACACAGGGAGTGAATCTCGCCGCACACCTTCACGTCCAGCGCGGGATCCACAAGAGATTGTTGCGCGGCCTGATAACCCTGAAGATCCATTGATCCTCATTGCATCCACCACTTGACGCTCACCTCCCATCGATGCAGGTCGTCGCCGTTGTTGCTGCTGATGAAAAGACAGGTACACCAGAGTCTCTGATCCACTGGTGGCTCGGTCCTCGAGCTCTGTGCTGTCGTCAATATGACCATTACGGACTGCAGATTCGCTGCGGCGGCGCGTCATATAGGCTGACTGGACCCATGGACCATTGGGATCGACATCTGACACGAAGAGTCCCAACCGATCAGGACTGAATTCTTGACCGCTGGCGCCATCTTCATCTTCAGAGATTGATCCAAGGCCAAGATCTCGCTCGCTGCTTCTTGAATCACTCTGACTAGAAGACTTCAAGTTGGCGGGCAGATAGACAGACTTGTAGTAGTCGAGGATGTGAGACGACTGGCTGCCATAGCTTTGAATCGATTCGCGAAGCTCCTTGGTAACTCCTCCAGTCTCCTCTTCGTCTGCCTTCTCAATTCCACTATCCTTCTCGCTCCATTGATCCTGCAGCGGGTACATGTCCATGGATCGTCGTCGTCGGCTGCTAAAGTCATCGTTAACATCATCCTCATCATCGCTAGCAGGTGTACACTGAATCGTCGGATTAGATCCAATGCCCATCATGCCAATCAGACCCGTCATACTCTCATCGCCCGATCGCATGAACTCGTTCGCCCTCCTGCCTGGTCGCTCTCCTCCGAAATCATCATCATCGCCCTTGCTGTACTTGCCCGGGTCGTCCTTGACCGAAACCACAAAGGCCTCCTCATCACTCAACAGATCCTTGGTCATCTTCTTTTTGTTCATCTTGGCCTCCCTGCTCGCCTTGATTACACCCCACAAACGCCAGAGTGCCTTGCCAAGCTGGTAGCTAATCAAACAGGCGAGAACAATCATCACCAGGGCCTGGGAACCAGTAATGACCAAACCAACAACCGTTCGGGTGACAGTCGACAGGGCAGTCCCTTCGATCAGGATCGCGAGCATGACGACATTCAGGACACGGACGCAGCCCAAGGTGCTGTTGAGCCGGTTAGGTGTCGGATCCGAGAACGGGCGCTTCCAGATCATCAGAGTCGCAAAGACAACCTCTACCAACAACAGCAGACTGACTTGTGCCCAAGATTCGGACGATCCATGATTGTAATGGCGCTCGTGATTCTCTTCTGAGTATTGACCCAGTCCGACAATCGCAGCTTTGGACATCTGGTAGAGGATGACTGGGACAAAGAACCAGTAGGCCGAGAGTACGTATTGGTCATAGAGGGCGCCGTACTTGGACTTTATCCGCTCGTCAAAGAACAGACTCGTCCCTCCTGCTCGACGGAGCCTCAACATGATGTACGTCGCCAGCGCCAAAAACAGGAGCACCGTCATCACCGCCGAGAGAGTGATCGCCCAGGAGTCCTTGAGTGTAAGCTGGTAGAACGCCATCGTTGCGACCGCAAAGTAAGCCAGCAGAACCACACGGAGCATTCCCCCCAGGTAGTAGGACGTAAACCGGCGGCGGAGCTTTGTGAATTTGCCTGGACGGAAGTACGCGTAGGCCTCGAGGCCGATCCTGAGAAGGAGGGCGAGCATGGAGGTTGCGATGAGTAGGATGAAGAAAAGGAAGAGCGAGGTCATAAACATGTTCTTGGCGGGGATTTGGAGGCGTTGGCCGTAGGAGACAAGACCGGGTGGGCTCAGTGCGTTGGTTGAGGGGTGGTATCCGTCTTGTGGCCAGAACACTGGTGGTTTCACCTGAGGAGTAGGTGAGGCAGGGGTTGGCGTTGTTGTAAGGTTGGGAGCGTCAAAGTCATTCAGGACAGAGAGGTGGTCGCCGAGTCGATTCATAAGAGACGCGTCCTGAAGAGAAGGCAACATGTCAGCGCCAATGACAGGTGCAGGCGCTGGAGCAGGCGCTGGAGCAGATGTTGGAGGTGTAGGTAGCACTGGAGCTGCTGGTACCGCTTGAGGGGGAACGGGAGGCGTTTGACGCTTGGATACCGCAGGGTTGAGTATATGCGACAGATCGACTTTAGCCATCGCCATCGAGATTGCCTGACTCTGCGTCTTGTTATGAATAGCCTGCTCAACAAAATTCTTGACAGCACCATCCATCATCGACTGCATCGACAAGACCTTGGTTGAAGCATTCGGGTCGACCGTCGTGGTAGAAGCTTTACTGGTCGCCATTGTCGCATTTGTATCCCCTTTGTCCTTGGTGCCGACTTGTCCTTTGAACAACATATTTTCTGCGCTTGTCTTGTTCGCTTCAGCCCCGGAATCAACAGCAGCTTGAGTTCGAGAAGTCCGAGTCCTCAAACTATTGATCGCATCATTCCACCCATCCACCTGAACAAGTCCCATGCTCCACCCAAAATTATGCGTCCACTGCTGCAACAACTCCGGGTACTCCAACGTTAACGACCCAGACATGGCAATAAACTGACAGAACGATACCACATCCGCGACCGAGGGCGACAACCCTCCCGCAGTGCCCACAGTCCCCGTCCCGCCTGTTCCACCAGTCGCCGCCAGCGGCATAGTAGTAAGCACTGCAGCCGACGACAAAAACGCCAACAATCCTGTAACAGCTGCAAGAGCAACCGAAGCAGCGGTGAGGGAGACAGAGGCAATGGTGATGACGGGGGACTGGGCACTGACGGTGTTTGTGAGGGGCACGGAAGTGCAGAGGATGGGGTTGCCGTGGGTGTCGTAGAGTTGGATTAAAGCCAGGGCTTCGACTGCGGGGAAGGAGAAGAGTTGTTCGGGTAGTTGGGTTGGGAGGATGGATGGGGCTGGGAATGTTTCTTGGAATGAGAACGTTCCCTCGAACCTATTTTTTTTGTTTTATTTGAATGGAGGAAAGTAAGAGTGATGAGTGAGTGAGAGAGAAAGAGAGGTTAGGAGAGAAGGGATGGGGCATGGAGTGGTGTGTTTACCTTGGGATGAAGGGTGCCACTTTGGTAAGATCGATAGCATGGTCGTACAGGACGCGATCATAGGCAGTAAGAAGGATGTGCGCTACGCAAAGTTACGAACAAAAAAAAAGAGTGTGAGCCTTGGCCCACTGGTTGATCATCAATCATTCAGATTTCACCCTCGAAATGTGACCGCCCAAAGCGCATGGCAATAGTATACCTGAGGTGATATCAAGTTCGCGGTCAGTCGACCCTTCAGCATTGAGCGAGATAGTATTCGTCTGTTCATCGTATAATAATGCAAGGTTCGACAGCTTGATCTGTTGTTGGTCGTTCTCTCCTGTATCCGCATTTGATCCTAAACTGGCGCAGCTGCGGAACCCAATGGATCGGATAATGTTTTTGGAGGAGAGGAGGCTGTTGATAGTAGCGATCGGGTCCTTTTTGCTGGTTTTGATGTCGTAGTGACTGGTGGCGGATGGTGTTAGATCTGTTCCTGGTTCTGCCAGGACTGTTACTTTGGCATCGTTATTGTTACTGTTAGTGGTAGATGTTTCTGGAGATGTGGGTGCAGTGTGTACGGAGGACGGGAGGGATGAGGTGATGAGAAGGAGAGCCAGCCCTGCGCTGAGCAATGTGTTCTTGCGTTTCATTTTTGAGAGTTGTTGTGTGGGTGTTGGTGTTTATGTGACTGAGCGAGGGTACAATGGAGTCAAGGTTAAATGTGTGGGTGGGGGCAGGTGTTACGGGGTTGACTTGTGTTGGCAGTTGTGAGAGTGACGAGAATGCGGAGAAAGTGGCAAAGGGAGAGGTAAAGGTGATGCCAAATGAGAGGTAGTGAAGACAGAGTAAAGATATATATGATATGAAGAGACGAGAAAGATATGAATGAAGATGGCAAAGTAAATGCAAATCCACAAGACGGAAAATAAAGAAGCGAAATCGTAAGAGAATGAAAGGGATTCCTTTTGTTCCCGCCTTCACTTTATATATATCTACCCATTTCATGGCAATGGCGAAGCACCATGAACACAAAGCAAAAAAAGGAGTCCGAGACGAGATGAGTGGAAGGGACAAGATCACGATCCACCTTTACCCTCAGCACAGCGCACGACGTAAACGCGTCAGTTAATCCCGTTTCCTTCGGACCTGTCCTACCCATCTCCTTGCTTCTACTCTTTATTCGCGTCGAACCCAAGTCATCATCAGGTTTCCTTCCGATATGACATGACACTTGTATGTGTCGTTCCCGTCCCGGCCCGGCTCCTGCAGAGAAACATAGTCATACAACCGGAACCATACTGGATATGTCCCCATTCAATTATCCTTTTTGGACCCTCGTTTCTTACTTTTTCTTGGACAAGGGAAGTCTAATGTAAGAATGGAATCCAGACGTTGCAGATACAAGCATGTTTTCCTCTTGATCGTAGACATCATTGCCACCGTACTGCTCCTTTTCTTCTATCGCTTCCATCTAACTCTTTTTCTCTCGCTTCCCTCTAACCCTTTTTCTCTCGTCTCGTCTTAGACGCCTTACCTTCCTCTGTCGAGGATGAACTGGAAGCTATTGTGAGAAGAAAAGGTCGGCAATGACAAAATTCAGGAGGCGTTTTTTTGTCTTTTTTCTCGTATTTCGTCCATGAGGTACAAAATAAAGGGCACACAAATATAATCACCTCCGTGGATTATGTTGACAGGTTCGCCTTTTCTTCGTGGTACCCAAAGAACAGACAACCTCACCAACCATGATCTGCTGTCAATGCAGACACACATATATGATATTAAGGTATTTTTATTTATGAATTAACATCTATCGAACTGAGAAGACCACCGCACCAAACTGAGAAGACCGCCGCACCAAACTGCTGTAATTGGCAGATCTCTCTCTCTCACGCACCTCATAGATCATCACGGCGACCTTGTTGCTCCTGCTGCTGTTGCTGTTGCTCACGACTCTTCTTCTCAGCATACCGCCTCTGAACCCGGACAATCCTTGCTAAACGACCATCGTTACTAATCAATTGCCTCTCATTCTGTGCATCGTCATCCACATCCATGCTTACACGATCATTTCCTCCCAAAGCATCGACATTGTCATCGGTATCGATCAGGCTATCATTCTCGTTCACCTCGGAGAGCAGTCCAAACGTGGGGAACCATCCAAACAACGTGCCGTCCTTCTTAGGTGTTGGTGCTGGTGATGGGGACGACGACGACGCAGTGGTTGATATTATGGTTGTAGCGGTAGCGGTGGCGAATGGTAGTCCAGTTTGTCCTTTTGCGCCTCCTCCAGTGTCCATGGCTGCCACTGGGGGTGTTGTGGTAGCACCGGGTGGTGCTTTTACTTGAGCCGTGGCTGTTGTGGTTGGTGCGATTGTTGTTTTGGTTGCAGTGGTTGTTGCGGTCGTGGCCCCGCCACCGAAAATATTGCCAAAGAAGCCCCAAATGCCACCGGCTGCAGTTGTGGTTGTGGTTATGGTTGTGGTTGTTGTTGTTGTTGATATGGGTGTAGTGGTTGTTGGTGCTGGAGTTGTTGTCGACGATGTGGATCCACCACCTCCAAAGATCCCTCTAAAGAAATCACCAAACCCACCTCCAGATGTTGGTGACGGTGTGGGCGTGGGCGTCGGAGTCGGCGCCGGCCCACTCCCACCACCAGTCCCCAACAGCCCACCCAACAACCCACCAAGCGCAGGGACATTCGAAAGAATGCCACCTAGCCCCGGAACCAAATTCGTAATCGTGCCCAGGATACCACCCGCTTTCCCATTCGCAGGACAAGAAGATGGGTTAGCATTGGTGGCGAGGACGTCAAGGAAGGAGACGTAGTAGCAGATGGATTGGAGGACGTGGATAATGCTCAGGAACGTGGGCACTGCTGGGAGGAATTGGATGGCGTCCAGGATTCCTTCTGCTCCAAAGCCGCCCGATTCCTTGCGGTGAGATGTAACGATTCCTCCCACACTAGTGCAAGTGAATAGTGTTGGTTAGGAAATGGTTTGGATGTGGTAGTTAAACTATATGCCAGGTGTTAGAACAAACAAATAAACATGTACTTACATGGCAAAGTTGATACGGTCCGTCATGTCATAGGACGCACACTGACATGAAGCGCCCGCAGTACCGATCGTCAGGGCCTGGTGATCAGCACACCCCAGACTCAACCCCTTCATCCTTGTCGAGCCCTGAACCTCCTCCTCATCATCATCATCAGTCATCCGTTCCTTACAAGCAGCAGTACAAAGTGCGCCAAAGGTCGAGCAGTACCCTTCCATGGTATTGACCAAAGGCTCGACATGTTGGATGGGGAGTTGACCTAGGATCTGACGGATCCCATCCTTGGCCATCTCGAACTCTTCGGGTGTCAGTTCCTGTGGTGGCGCTCCCAGCGGCTGTCGCTGGTCCTGTTGTTGCTGCTGTTGCTTGGGTTCCGCATTGGATTTAGATCGTTGATCCTGATGAGTGGTGGTGGGTTGTTGGTGTGCTTCAAAGGCAGCTTGGTTAGCATGTTGTTCGGCCTGTTGGGATTGCACGACTGCAAGGAAGAATGCTGCGAGGAATATAGATTTTGTGATACGCATGGTTTTTGTTGGGTTTGGTGTCAGTGGTGGAGTGGGGATGAAGGAAGAGAGGAAATTCAAAATTACGAGAGGAAGGAGATAAAGGGAGAGGGGAGATTACGATGAAAGAGAACGCGAGGGAGGGGAGAAGAAACAAGGTCTAGGAGAATGGAAAGGGGAAGGAAGAGTAGTGAGGGGCGATATTGGTTGAAAGTGGATGCAGCGAGACACCATAAGGGAATTGCGACAGCATTAAAGATATGACATATAGGTGCATTACACGGAGGACAAACAGAAATAAAGCTCCTTGCGCGTTTCTGTTCCTGGGGGTAATAGAACAGCCACGGATTGTCGCGACATGAACGCGCGATTGGAAGAGGACCGAGGGAGAAAATCAATCACGTACGACGTTTGAAACACGTACATAATGTGGGAAGGGTCCAACGAAGGTGTAGGCATGCTCCTATTGGCCACATTGACCCTGTTACTTTCGCAGGTCTCTCACAGAACCCTTTTTGAACGGCATCCTTTTTCTTCTTTTTCCATCCCTCATCCCCACACATCCCGTCCACAAAACACAATCTCCATCCACAATGAAGTTCGCCACCCTCGCCGCCGGAGCCCTCTTCCTCGTCGCTCAAGTTATGGCCTACGACGCCCCCGCCGAGCTCGTCATCGGTACGTTCTTGTCTCGACATCCTCTTCGTCTTCTTTCACTGGAGAGTGCAGTTCCCACTTAACCTTAGTATTGTATGGGCTTTGTTCTTATGGCCTTAACCAGTCCCTCCCTTGCCTCCATGACATGCAAGAAACCAATCGCTCTCTCTTCCTATGTTAATGTATTCCAGACGTATCAACATGTTCCCATCGATGCTAACTCTCAATTTCTACTTCCTCCTAACTTTCGGCGACTTCGGCACTCCTTACCTATTTATAATCCTCCATATGGACGATACCTTTTCTTTTCTATTTCTTTTTCACAATGGAATTGGTTGTCTCTCACAGATGTCGTCAACAAGCCCGAGGGTTGTAAGACTCTATCCAAGTCTGGGTAAGTTCCCTGACATGTCGTCGACTGATAACTGTCCCTGTTCTACCAATGTCGTTCAGTTGCTAATACGAGTGATGATTTTGTTGCTTTTGGGTGAAATAGTGACAAGTTGTCAATGCACTACACCGGTACCCTCCACAAGACCGGCAGCAAGTTCGACTCTAGCTTGGATCGCAAGTCGTCCTTCGATTTTGTCCTCGGTACGGAAATGACAGCATGGATTACACGCACAAAGGACGATATGTGATTGGCGAAGCTAAGGATAATGAGGAGCGTACAACAAAAACAAGTAGAATTTACCCTGAAACTAACGCCAATTTTTTCTTTTCATTCTTCTTCTCTCCCTCTTTCTGTGCAACAGGAATTGGTCAGGTTATCAAGGGATGGGACCAGGGATTGGTCGGCATGTGCGTTGGCGAGAAGCGCAAGTTGACCATCCCCGCCAGGATGGGATACGGCTCCCGCTCCATGGGCGCTGCCATCCCCGCCAACTCGGCTCTTGTCTTTGACGTTGAGCTCCTTCGCATCAACGGCAAGGATGAGCTGTAAAAGGGGTTTCTCCATTTTATGTATATTCATTTATTTACCCATCCCTCATTTTTGTTGGATTAATAAAAAAGTAAGCAACCAGCAAGTAGACAACCAGCAAGAGCAAGGGACAGGGTGACATGCGTAGGCGGATAGTGGATGTTTTATATCAGATGGTGTCGTCAAGCCTTTTTGCCTTGTAGCACTACTCGAAGAAATGAATGCGGTTTGTCGTCTTGCTCTCTTGCGGTTTGGGGTGGAGGCGTGTATCCGTGTATGTACTACGTTATTTTTGGCGTTGACCTTTCCTAGTCTCAGTCGCGTTCGTTCCTGATCGACGCACTGCCGACTGTTGTGGTAGATCCTCGGAAAATATGACTATTGAAGCATTCGAATCTTGTACAAGTGCTCTTCTCTCTTCCTCCTCTTTGTTCTCTTCGGGAGTTTTTTGGGGGGATGGGGTAAAAAAAAGACATAAGAGCCATTGCTATAGACTGGAGAAAGAGCGATCTTTTTTTCTATCTGGTAGACTACCTCCGTCTAGATTACTCAATTGTTGGATGTCTAAAAAACGTGGCGTTTGTTTGGTATTGGAGACAAAATTGTGCTTGAACTTTTTGCCATGCTGCATCATGTATGCATGCTTTGTTTTGAATGCATGTATGTTTGTGAGTTTGGTGTGATGTTGTTTTGGTGAAGGTTGCTATCGCACTTGGACCTTTGTGATAATTATAGCAGAAACGAGATGGAACGAAGGACTGAACAACGGAGTGCTCAGGGGGATAGAGGAAAGTTGGAAAGAAGATCTGAAAGAGGAGGAAGACAAAAAGATTTGAAACTGGTGTCTGCGCAAGGTGGAGAGAGTTGCTCAAATCCCAAGGTATGTTTTCTAGGATACCGCAACCATTGCACCTTTGCCTCTCTCACTCCATTTGTCCACCATGTAGTCGCTCTAACCACCCCATGAGCATGAGCAATATATTTGTGGGCTATTGGGCTATGGATCTGAGACATGCGCACATTGCATGCGTAGCCCTTTGCCCTTTGCCATCTTAGCCTTTGTCCTGTCTTTTCATGTCCTGTCGACTTGTCTTTCCTCCGAGCGGAACCGAAAAAATTGCCAAATGACCATCGCTCAAATTGAGGTCTGCATGCTCATTCATAACTTTCATTTCTTACATGGCGGGGAGACAAAAAGGCGATGCAAAAGGGGATAGAAGCACATACTTCTTCCTCTCATTTTCTCTTTTTGATTGCAATCTGCCTATATACTTTATTGCTTGCCACCTAGGTTGAAACCCCCCATCTAGCTGCATCGATTTTTATGAACTGTAGAAAAGCAGAAAAGAAACATGAGAGCATTTAAGAAAGGGGAAGGGGTAACCTCGGAGCAAAACAAGCAGGCGGGGACCCGGACCCAGCTAGGGGTGCAGAAAAAAAAAGGATCAGGGCATTGTTGTGATGAGAGTGAGAGCCCATATCTGAGAGAAAAAAGGTAGAGGGTAATGTCCATCCCGCTCTCCTTTCCGTCTGGCCCATTTTCTCCTCAACCCTCTAAGCCGTCCTTTGTTGGATATTCAGGAACCCGATCGATGTATCCATAGCCGGGTATTCATCATTTCGCCACATTGGCGATTACAGAGTATTGCGGTTAGCTCTCTTTAACGATCTTCCTTCTCAGCCCAACCAGCGACACATGGCGGATCCATTGCTCAGATTGCGGCTCATAAAATATCGAATATGGAATTGTAGGTTAGAAGGTAGATTTCAGTTCATCTGAGAGCAAAGCAGGGGTTAACTAAAGAAGGGTAGCATAACCGTACTTTTAATGAACAATGGGTGGGAAGAGCACTAAGTAAGGGGAACAGGAACGGTCGGGTTCGGGGCTGTGCCTGAAAAGTTTTTTTTGTTGTACACGAGTCGGCAGTCAATTGAGGAGGGTTGGACTTGGAGGCTAGAAGAAAATCATACCAAAAAAAAGACACCGAGATGTGTGTGAGCGACATGAGAATTGTTACAGGGAGAACCAGCGGAGGAAGAAGCAGGGTGGACCCTCATTTTGTTGTGTCATCATCAAGGTTGGGCGTAGACAATGACCTGCGGAGAATAGAGACCGCTTTGAGTTGAATATCAGAAAGAACACAAGCGACAGGGGCTCAGCATTCATGACGATGTTGGGGGCTCGTGGTTGTTGTTTTGGCATATGAAAAAAACAGTTTACACGAACAGTTTACACGAACATTTGGCACGAACATTTGACACGAACAAAAAATGAAGGTTGGTGAACACAGAACCATAACCTGGGTTGACTACTGTCGCTGACTAGGGTAATTCGCCCAAAACTGGTTCACCTCTGTACGAGCAATCCGGGAGGGGTATTTCTTAAAACAAGCACTCTTTCAACATTCCACCTATCCCAACCTCTAGTGGAGAGCTAGAAGGGCAAGGTAATAACAATTCCAGGAAAAAGACAAAGTAGGGGAGAGAAGGAAAGGAAGAAAGGGGACTATTTCTCCTGGTCTTCTCCTTCTCTGTCAACCTCCCTGCTGATTGAATCTGGCAACAACAGAAAAACCACATGGAGAGCAGAAATCTGAACGAGAGACAGAGTGTAGATCAACTTCTCCGCCACACAACTAATTGTTCGCCTGCCCCTTGTTCTCACCTCCCTTTTTTCTGCTTCCCTTTTGTTGGAGAGAGTTCGAAAATAGAAATAAATACCTCAATCAAGGGAGATATGCATGTTGCGTTTGCGACAGTTGTGTCAGCAAGGAGGTGGTTATTGTTTTGCGTGTGTGCTCGTATGTCCTACATACATATATGTATGTTTATGCGTTTTGTGCTGTGTATGAGATCCCTTTCCCCTTGTCCAAGAAAAAGGGAAATGAAAACAGGGAGATGTAAGGGTTGGAGCAACAGGAATGGAGCCCAACCACTGCTTTCTGTTCTCCTTGATTGCCGCAAACCCTTGTCTACTCATGCGTGTGTGTGTGTGTGTGTGTGCGTGCTGCTAGCTCTCTCTCGTTTGGGTTTTCGAAACGCGTCCTTGCCGGGTGAGAAAATGCAGAAAGAAGGCATGGGAAAAAGGGTACAGGTGCCGGAGTACTTGGCCTGGCCCCCTTTCCCTCGTCTGTGCCATCTGTGCCTGTGCCAGAGGCGTCGGACTTGCTACAGTTTTGCCACACGGCCCTCCGCCCTCTCCGCTTCTCTGCACCCTCCGCATCATCCACTTTTTCATTTCTCTATTCTTGTCGAGAAATGTAGCAACTACCTTGTAGACGCTAAAGAATATACAAACGTTTCATTTCATTCGTTGGGTTGAGTTGGTAAGTAGGTACAAAAGTATGTTGTTGGTACATTGGACATAATATGCAATATATTGTCAGCATGCCTTGTTTGATGACATGATCGAGGGACGGGCGGGGCGAGAAGAGTATCTACTCTGAATTGGAGAGATGGATGGATCGATATCGATAAGCAACCCACACATTTTGTTCAATTGCAATCAAAGGAAAGGAAACAAAAGGCAAGCAAGAGTTATATGTCAGCGCTGAGCACAAAGGGAGATGAAGGAAAGGGCGGTAGCGGACAGACCTGACGTCGTTCTTTGTTGTTGTTGTTGTTCTCTACACTTTTGATGAGCACTTTTTTGTAACGAAAAATATCCAGGCCAAGATATTGACCGACAGCAACACAACGACGAAGAAAAAAACGAGGGTTGAGAGCAAAAACGAAGACAACACCGATTGCGCAGGGCAAGTGATATTCACACAACGAGAGAGACGAATGCAAATGTACCCAGTCCAAAACATATTCATTCCTTCATCGCATCGGGTTAGGCCAAGAAGAACGACCAAGACAAGGAACGGAAAGGAAAGAAAAGGGAAAGAGAATTGATTGTCGATTAATGGAGATGAGTTTTTTAGTCCGCGGCGTCCCTGGCTTGGTGTGGCGATGGCATGTATGGGATAGTTAGGACGGGATCAAAGCGGCATGCACCCCAGCAACCGAGAATTGGTCGGGCAGAAAGGGGCGGAAGTGACACATCTTCTCTCACTTCTCCTTTCTCCTCTCTTATCCTTGAAGTCTTTGTTGTTGTTGTTGTTGTTGACATGTTGTATCTTTCTCCCCTATCCCCCGTCTCTTGTCCACCATTTCATTCATATATTTTGCTCTCCGTTTTGTACCTATTTGGTTTCCCATGTACCTCTGTGCGACATCCTGTTCCCAAACACCAATTTATATTTGTTTTGATTTCATACTCTCTCACATTCACCTTGGTCATGTATAGTTTACTCGTGGGTTCATGGATGAAATGGATTCAGCGTTGTGCCTGAATTATGGCAATGAAGTTTTGAATGCTTGGAGTACAATTTTGGCACACGGGCCGCTTATTTTCTGTTTCTGGTGTAAGAGGGAGAGGTAGAGGAGGAGGGGATGATTTTTGAAGGGTTTTGATGCTCACATCCATGAATCCAAGTTTTGTATTGCCCCGAGGGAGGAACAGGAGTCGAAAGTCAGGAGGTATAGAGAGGAATAGAGAGAGTACAATGAAAAAAGGGTACAACAACAAGGAAGAATAATGAGCAGCTGAATATTGTTCTCCTCGACTCGGTTCTTTTAAGTGTTTGGGCTGGACTGGAGTCTTGGATATGGATTATGGCACTAGTGAGCGAGAGCACTTTTGTTCGAAGCAAACGGACAGTGGTTTGATATCCCATCCCCCATCGTTCTTGATTTCAAGATTGTCGCTTTTACTTATCTCTGCCAGAAAGCACGTTTTTCTTGTTCATTTCTTCATCGTCTTTTCTTTGTCAATGCAACCACACCACATCTCTCTCTTTGATCATTGACCATTGTCGCTGTTATCCCTGTCTTAACGTACCACAAAGCAACGCTCTTGCTGAAAGCGAGTAAGTACTCTGTCCATTCCTACTTTCTGCATCAAGCTACCCTCGTCATCCAACCGCCGTGACACGTCCTTCTTTCTTTGTCCTTTTTACTTTTGCACGCTGTTTTCCATTCAACTGACTTGATCGATTTTGACACGTACACAGACCAGCATCCCTTCAATACACGACCTACTTGTGTTCGTCTACTCTTTTACTTTTACTTTACTTTCATCTATCATTCATTCACTCAGTATCCCACTGACACTGCCCCCCGTCGTTTTCTTCGTTCCTTGTTCCTTCTTTCCCCCCACCCTCCCTTCACATATAATTTAATTCGCAACGGCACAACACCCCCTTTTTTCTTTCTTCCCTTCCCTTTTTTCCTTCTTTCTTTTCTCATACATTCTCTCTTCACTCATTCACTTTTTTCATTCTTGTACTTTTGTTCACTTTTCTCATTCATTCTCATTCATTCTCATTCACTTGCACCTCACTCATACATACACACTCACCCTCACTCACACTCCACTACGCAATACACACATAATACACTAATTCCCACCCCTCCAACACCAAAAACACCAAAAACAACAGCAACCCCCCTCAGACCATTTTCCCGACAACACCTTTCCTCTCTTCACCTGCCACTCACAACAATTCACCGACCCAACACTTTCGGCACCATAGCAAACCCTTTAAATTCACAGTCAACATCACTTCGGATTTTTCAGCTCTCACCTAGCGGACGGTCCATACTCTACTCAGCAACACTTTCAATCAACTTTAACCACCACTTCCCTTATCACATAAAAACTCCGTCCAGCCATGAACAAGGGGCAGCTTCATAGGTAAGGAAAGAGGGCTATTGTGTAATAAGTGAGCAGCACAACCGCAAACGAAACAGGTCTCCTTACCTTCTTCACATTAATGAATGAACAAGGGGGGTCGCAACGGAGGATGGGATCTCTATTTTTCTTCCCTTGGTATTGCTTGTTAATTGTTTATTTGTTTTTGGTTGTCTTCGTTCTATGGTGGATGAGTATACAATAATATTTGTTATTGTGTACATTGTTAAATTGGATCACATTCGATGATGATGATGATGACCCATGCCACGTTATTTTATGTGTGTATGAGCGTGTATGTATGAGTGGTTGAGCGTGTGTCAACAGAGCAAAGAGTGTTCCTGAATTTGGTCTGAGACTTGTCCAACAGAGCAACAAAACAACCATCCATCAGTTCAGGAACGATCAGAGAACAGGGCCCTCTTCCCCATCATTTCATCATATAATAGAGTTGGTGATATTCAACTCTATCTGTGTCACTTCAAAATTAATCATTGCTCTTTCTATTTCCAATGCGCCCATGCAACATATTCCTATGCACACCATGTACCACTTCTAATGTGCGTTTGCTATTGCATTCGCATTGGCGTTGTGACACAGACAGTATTGGATTCAGTCCATCTCTCTTCCTCTCCCCTCTTGATTACTCATACCATACCATTCCCTCGATCCTTTTTCTCCCGCTGTGAGATATTGCACTCAGCCCTTCCTTGGTGGATGCACAGGATCACTAATGGCAGTATTTGGCTCAAGCCCTGTTTGTGATTCGTTCTTCGTCCCTGGTTCCTGTCCCTGATCTCCTGCTACTTTTCCCTTTTTTTTGTTGTCTCCTCCCCCTTTTCGTTGTGTCAATGCATGTATGGATCATTGTACAATGGCTACACCAACCATGGACCACACAGCCGTCTCTCTCTCTCTCTCTCTGTGAACATATTCTTATCCCCCGTCTTTGGCGCATCATACATTCACACCACAGCATATGCTCTCTCTTTGTTCCTACACCCAAAACTCGACCTCTCTTTCTCCTAACACGAAAAAGCTATTCGTGGTCGACTCATTCTACCCCACGGGTTTACGCATCTGCTCTTTTTTTGTTGAGCGAGAGATGGACTGAGTGACGAGTTGACCACAACCGCTCGTTCCTCTCCTTTTTATTTCGTACCAGAGTGGCTATTAATATTTGGATTGTGGTTGCATGGTTGGCCATTCTACTACAACAAGGTTAAGAGGTGATTTTTGTGGCCTTCCTCTACACAAGGAATGGGATCTGCACTCTTTTGTAGCTAACTGATCAAAATAGCAGCTTCTGTCTCTCAATGATTCGCTAATCTCCATTCTTCGCAATGCCTCCCTTCTTTTTACTGACTCCTTGCTTGTTTATATTCTCCTCGGGGATTTTTGTTCTTGTTTACTCAACGGAACATTTTTTTCTCCATAGGATGAACACGATGGCGGCGACAAAGCAGCAAGAAGTCTTGCCCGTGTTGGAGCAAATGCCCATTCAGTTTTCACACCGTGTGATCATGAGCTGCATTGAAGAAATCAAGCTGCGAGGTAAACAACACCAACAACAACAATGCTAATTGCAAATGCATCTACACAAATATAAAACGGCGCATTGTGTTGCGGAATTATGGAAAGAGAGATGGTTGACGGGAACACAAACGACGCCTTCCTTCCCACGTTGTTATTCTTGCGCATTGACTAACCAACCAGCCCCATCTCGATTTTTTTTCCCATTTTCTTCCCGTTCCCTTGTCTCTGTCCCTGTCCATTCCTTTGTGATACCATCTCTTTAACCCGATGGACGCGTGCTTGCATGTGGACACGAACGTTATTTTATTATTTTCCCGACAATATCGGTAAACAACAAACACACAGGACTAAGACATCCACATCTATTCAGAAATGCATTCCATGGCCCTTCAGTCGAGGCGGCGCTGTCGATGCTGGCGAACCCTCAGAAGGCACATCTGTTCTCGGTCAAGATGATGCGCATCGATACCGTCGCTGGCCTGCTGACCACAGCCCTCTCACGCACCTATCCACCGCTCTTGCCCCCGCACATCCAGGAGATGTTTCAGAACCCCAATGGTATGTCGCCCTTTCTTTTCTTTTGGTGCGCCAAGCACCACGGCACCACATATGCAACTCTTAAGTGTTTGTTTACAATTTATACCCCCCCCCCCCCCCCCCCTATTCCCTATTCTTCTACAGCCAAAGCTAATGCTGAGGGCCGCGCAGGCATTATGCTCCAAAGCATCAAAAAAGGATTCCGATGCAAATCACCTCTCGCATTGACATCCTACTCCCTCCACCCCCCTCCTCACACTTGCACTTTCGCGTGCACTCGCCTATGCGCTTGATTGCATTTCTCTTTTTTGTCCTTCACCAGCGTTGTTCAATTTGGGTCATGCATGCAGTCTTGCCCCTATCGCAGCATTTTTTACGTATCGTGTGCTACTTAGCTCTGGCCTCCCTTTCGCCATCTAATCCGCCTCTTTGCCTACTTAAGCATTAAGCACTAACAGCAGTAAACAAAATAACACCATGCATATCTTATAGGCCGCTTCTTCTTCGAGTTGCTGGGCATGCTTCCAGAACTGAACCGATACCTCTTTGTCGAGATCCTGGATGTCTGCTGCGCACTGGTGGATCAACAAAAACACAACCAAATCTCACACTCAAAACTCGCAGTCTTCCCCGGATCATGCTGTTTCGGCCTCAACGAGTACAGGCCCAACTTGGACACTCGGTTTCTGATGAGTGCTGACCTGCGTCGGTTCTCGTCTGCTTTCTATCATGCCATCTATGCTTACCGCGAGGAGCGTGATCTGACCGAGGAAGAGTTGCAGGGGAAGCTAGAGCAGCGTGCTAGGGTGATGGAGATGGAGCGACAGGCGGCTTTGGAACGCGAGCATGGATACCGCGGCGCGCAGGCGATTTTGAGGATGGAGGCAAGGATAGCTCAGGGTCTGCCTGCAGAGTCGCCGACGACGATGCGGGAGATTTCGTTGTATTCCGATAGGAAAGAAAAGGTTGTTGCGGATGATGCAATTTCGCTTTTTGATATGGAGCTGGATGATGGTGAGGAGGGCGTTGCACGTGTGCCTGATCTGGATTGTGTTGCGGAGGAGGATGAAGAGTCCGAAGAGGAGGAGGAGAATGCGCAGTTGGTGTTGAAGGATCTGAGAAGGAGCAAGTCTGTTGCCTCGTTGGGTGGATCCCGATATGAGAACCAGCCTCGGTCGTCGACTTCTTCAGCAAGGAGCTCGGGATCCATCTCGACCGCTCCCACATCCGTTGGACCCTCTTCGCCGCGACAACTTGCGCAGCAGAGGCAGTACTATCAGCAAAACGGGTATCTCTCGCCTACCTCCTCGGCCATGCCTACCTCGCCCTTGTCACCAACTCATGGTGCCAGTCTCTTGTCGCGGTCGAATACTCTTGCCCGCTCGGTCTCGCTCAAGTTCCACCCGGTCTCGCCTGGCGATATCTTTGGAATCAGTCAGCGTGCGGTCGAAAAGCGTGAGCTCGAGGGCTTCTTGGCAGTTGCTAGGACGACGATTACGCGCAAGAAAGCCGCGTCCAGGAAGCGATCCATGCAGCAGCGTCAGATGTCCAAGATGAGAACCTTGACCGGTGCTGAGCCTTTGAGGACTACCACCGCTATCCATGCAGTTCCCACCATGCCGGCGACACGTCGTCAAAGGGTCAGGAATCAGACTGTTCCTTCTTTTGCTGATGGACAAGGTGTGTCTCCACAGGCCTTCGCCTCGTCGACCATTGCGGCCTCGGTCCTTCGCCGTGAGCGATCCAAGAAGACCCGCAAAGCGCTTGCGGATTACTTGGCCAAGGGCATGACCTTTAATGATGCCCTCCAAGCTCGCGAGGTCGATGTTAAGAAGCAAAAGCGTAAGGAGAAGCGTGCTCAACAAAAGGCCCTTGCCAAGGCTGAGACCGAGCGTGAGGCAGCAGCAGCAGCAGCGATTGCTGACGCGATCTCGCAGCGTGGTTGGAACCATGGTGGCGGTTTGTCGGCGACCGAGTTGATGGAGGAGGAGGCCGAGATCTTGGAGGCGTTTGATTACCTGAGCGATGCTGAGTTCCAGGAGTTTATGGATCTTGCTGGCCTGACGATGGAGGATGTCCAGGCGATCCGTGAAAAGTCTGTGGCGTTGTCTGTCAGCAAGGTTGCAGAGGATATTGTCAAGAACCCTGTTGACGACGTCGTTGTTCCAGTGGTTGCTCCTATCTCGTACAACAATGACAGCGAGTCGACGTCGGAGGAGGACGATGAGGAGATTGTCTTTAACCACCAGCGTCGTCGTCAAGCTTCGATGGTCGCCGAGTTGGCTTCTGCTCCAGCAATGGCGGACGACACTCGTGTTGAGCCACGACCCTTCAGGATCCCCCACATGACCTCGATGGACCTGTTGTTCAAGCACGCCTCGGTCGTCGGTGACGCCAACTTGCGTCTGTATCCCACTCGTCCCTCCAGCCCCACCATCTCGGATTACGAGTCTGACTCTATGCACGGTGGTCTTTTGTCCCGCGCTGCATCTGTGATGCGCAAGCATCAGACCGGTGCCGATTGTGACGACGATGAGGACGAAAATGTCACCTCCCCACCCTTCTCTGCCGCCGCTCTCCGTCGCTCGATGCCTTCTGCCACCGATGGTGCACCATCGACCCCATACGCGACGCGCCCCATCTCCAAGCAGAGTCCATATGTAACGGCACCCACCCACAATAACCACCGTCAGGAGCCTCAGGAGATGGTCTTGAATGCTCCTCAGCAACAGATCAACAACCACACCCACCACAAGCAGCTCCAAACCGTCGCCGCTATCACCATTGCCGCCCCCGTCCCTGCTCCCGTCCCTGTTCCTTCGAACCTGTTCCAGTTCGAGACCGTTGTCGACTACTCGGATGAGGATGAGTACTATGAGGAAGAAGAGGAGATTATGGTCTTTACCTCTAGTCAGCAGCAGATGCAGCAGCAGGTAGTCGTTGAGACGAAGGAGGAGACAGAGGACGAGGCCGAGTTGAGGGAATTGTTGGAGTCGATGTCTGAGGAGGAGCGGTTCGAGTTCTTGAGGCTGAGCCATCAGGATTCTGCGATGCCACTCGCTCAAAGTGTCCTCGTCGGTGGTCGCTAAGGCCTTTCCAGTTTTTCTTTTCTCTTTCTCTTTGTTTCATTTTGTGTTTTTGTTTTGTTTTCGCATTCCTCCCCTCTATTATTTCACATACCCACCTTCCACATATTTTACATATCGTATCACTCCTTTCTAGCAAGGATACCTTTTTACTTCCTGCTATTGTAATGACCCTTTCTAATGACCCACCACTTCCTGTAATCTTCACACACTTTTCAAAAGGTGTATGACACCCCCTAAAAGCACCACACACCAAAAAAAGAACCTACACCCAAAAATAACACTTGTTTTTATAGTACCTTTCACCTTTCAATACTAAAAAAAGGAATAAAACTTTCCATTACTGCCTTCTACTCTTTGTCGTACCGAACACGCCTTGTCTCGGTTGTAGTCCATGGTTCACGAAACTGGGGCGCAAGTCGGAATTTTAAGGTGACATTTTTTTTTGGTGGCGTCATATTTTTTCAAGTTCGGATCTCACTCTGCGCGTATCCATGCTTCTGTAGTTTGGCCTTTTGTTTGCTGTTCCTTCTCATTCGCATGTTTGTTTTAGCGTAATGAAAAGACGGCATGTGCAACGACGGATGTGAAAGGCGCAAAAGACTGCGGATGAAAATGTCAAGCAAAGTATGCTACTTTTCGATTTTAGCTCTTCGTTGATCTTGACTGATCGGTGCAGCGGACCGACTGGCAGGAGGATGAGGGAGAGTATGATGAGAGGAAGGATTGTGTCGATGGAGTGGAATATATTGAAGACGACTGTTACGACGGGAAGCACTAAGACGCGAACGACTCTTCCGATGAGGAGGACAACGATAAGGGCGACAGTTACGGCCACGAGGATGATTACGATGAGGACGACTACTACGACGGCGAAGATTACATTGACCAGAACGACAGTATTGTCAACAACACCTCGGCAATGCACTACTACTTCCGCTTTCATGGGTATTAAGACTCAGGCTACTGCTCCTCGTCCACCTTCTTCGCCGGAACCCGGGGTAAGTGGCCGGTGTTGACCCAACGCTGTCGAGTTTGTTTCGATTGTTTGTCGACCATATGATCTTGAGGTAAAACCACAAAGTCTAACATTTGCTTCTTCCTCTTCATCAGTTATTGATGTTCAAGACGTTTCATTTTTTAGCTCGAACTGTTGATGGATTGGTAGAAGAGTCGGAGGACTGACCTTCATTTCTTCTTGGTTGGTAAGCATGGGTCTGGCAACACCAAAGAACTAAACAACATGGGCAACTTTTCTTGGTGCTCCTTTTGGCGGCTTTGCTTAGTTCAGCCCCTACCCTGCTCATTCTTGCTTCTCTCTTCTGTTTTTGTTCTGGATCATCCCCCATATCTTCAACTTCTTCACCTTTTCCCCTTTGTGCTGGACAACAGTAAACGTCCTTAGCTTGATATTGTATGTAAAAGGTGTACTTTTGACATGTTGTTTGATGCAGTGAAATTTTTCTTGCTTTAACGCGTGCGCTAATTAATAGTAACGCGAAAAAAGGAGCATGGAGGGACGCATGCGGGCCTCCTATCCCCCAGAGTGATTCCCCCCTCCGGCCCTAACATTCTTTTGTTCTTCGTAGGACAAGAGAAAGTGAGTTGGGGGAATAAGGATCCGCAGTCCAAATAGCATTTACGCCACCAAAAAAAGGATTGAGCTTTTTCAGGGGTTTCTTATCAGGATAACGCTTACACTGCAGGCGGTGGCTGCGGACTTGACAAGAAAAAGTGGTGGATGCAGGGGAAAGAGTAGAGAAGGAGGATGTCGTAGAGTAATAATGATTATCGCACTAGGGTCGCACAAACAATTTCAATGACAGCGTGAAAAGTGTGAAAAGGTTGTCCCCTTCAACGATACGTCACTCATAAAGAGGAAGAGGGGCGGGTGAAAACGTCGAAGTCGCCCATTGCATTTGAGTCCAAACAGGCAAGCATGAGATTGAGATGGTGTCTATTGTGTATGCACTATGCATGGATTTGTGTAAGCGTGTAAGGTGCGTGCAAGAGCGAAGCTGCTTCCAATTCTCTTTGTCTTCTGGTCCTTGTTCTAATTCTTGTTCTTCTTCTTTGCAGATGGCCCCAACTCCTGCTGTCCCCTTTCACAGGCTGCAGCTCAACTCCGTCCTATCATTTTATCCTTCGAGTTGGTGGTGGTGTCTCCGTGTCTTTTATTTCTTTGCCCTTGCCCTTGCCCACCCCCACTTCCATTCACCACACCTGCTAATTCGCCTTGTTATTTATTTTACAATTTGCTCACACTTCTTTCTCAATCCACTCTCCCTTCACTTCTCTCCCTCTTCTTCTCTTTACTCATCATCATCAACAACTCACTTTCATCTCCTTCTCCTCCCCTTTCTCACTCATCTCCTACTCACTCTCCCGCTTTCCTTATACCCCACTCGTCCGCACTTCTTACTGCAGTCAACCCACCCCATATACCCTCACTCAAACAAGCGAGGTTAGTTTGCCTTCTTCTTCAACAACACAAGCAAACACACTCCATGCCGCAATGACCACTTCTCTCATTCACTCTTCTTGTTTCATGGCATGCTCTCGGGCACAACCACCCTTGCTCATCCACCAACCCAACTTTACTCACTGACTCACTCTTCTGTTTGTACCTTGCTCTCTCCTCTTCTTGAACTGACATAGCTTCTGCCTTTTCTTCCCCTTCTTGCTTCCCTTGACGCGCTCGCCACTCTCACGACTCAACTTTACAACAACAAGAACAGCCGCTACGACCATCCACGACAAAAAGCAGCTGCACACAGACTGCTTACTGCTTAGCCTACTACAGGAACGACAAACACACCCTTTTCTCTTTCTCTCACAACTCAGTCCTCTCTTTCTCTCCTTCTTTCCTCCTTTCCTTTCGTCCTTCTACGACGGACGTGCCTCGGGTCACGCACCATTACCACACGCACCGCCGATACCCCTTCAAACACAAACAAGCACAAGCAAAACAAGCAGCGGTTTCATAGAACCCTAAAAAATCAGGAACCACATCAATAACACACCTTATAACACACCCAACACCAAACGCCCCTTTCATTTCGACAGGATGCAAATATGGCCAGACAAGGAGATACCATGACCCATCGGACCCTTTCCCAGACCTCTGCTACTACTACTACAATTCCACGACATCAATTCCAACCTCGACAACTGCAACAGCAGCAACGACAACCTTACTCCACCTCAACCTCGGCTTCAACGTCCTTAGCCTCCTCAACTGCCACGTCCTCGTCTTCAACAAGTCCGACAGCAACACGGAGGCTACTATCGAACCAACAACAACAGCAACAGCACCTAGCGGTGAACGACAACACCGAGTTGGACTGGAAGTACCTTTCGGCCGCAGACACTTACACCTCTGAATACTCGTCGATAGCCTCAGATGAGTTCGAGGAGGATGGAACCGCCCATAACTCAGCCCAAGTCTCGGATTCTTCCGCGGGTTCACGAGTCGCTACTGTGCAACGCAGTCTCGGTGCACGACCCTTCTTGGTCCCCGCTTCTACAACTCCTTCGACTATGGCTACTGCTGGTACCCTATCATCGTCGTTGACAACCAAGGAGGCCGACGACAGCACCGACACGATAAAGGGAATGAGGGCGCGTGCTCTTGACAGAGTCAATGGTCGCAAGGCGTCATCCTCAAACCTCTCAGGATCGAGTGGCAACCTCCCTGGTAGTAATGACTATAATCCTTACCGGAGAAGTGTTACAACTACCTCTAGTGTGGTCGGCTCGTCGGATGCAATTACAAGCAGCCGAAATTCTTCAGGACAGGAGGCGACAACAGCAGCAGGAGCTGGAGGAACTGGCAGCAAGATCAAACGGAGGTCTTTTGGCGCATCTGACAGATCTCAATCTCTTCGAATAACCACCGCCGGCAACACTAGCGACAATTCTGCAACAAAATCAGATGCACAGCTAAACAACCCTTCAGCACCCTCAACTCTTGTTCGGAAACGCACCTCGGGCCCCATCAAATCTCAACAGCAGCAACAACAACAACAACAACAGCCACAACAACATGCGTTGTTTACGTCGGAGGACGATTCAGAGGTCCCCGGTCAGACCGTCTACCAGGACCGGACACGGTATGCATCAGAGGGAGGGATGCTGGTGAGCGAGATCAAGGCACTGAAGGCGCGGGTACAGGAACTGGAGTTGGAGCGCATGAACCGGTCGCTCTCTGGTCTCTCTGTCCAGAGCCCACAAGTCATGACGCCCAAGAGCATGGATCACTCGACAACAGCGACTAGTCTTTCATTAGCCAATGACTCTCGTCAGCTGCAACAACAGCAATCATTGACGATGAGTCACTCAGAGAAGCTGCAACATATTATTCAGAAGCATCGAGGGTCGTCGACCTCTCTCGATGTGGCGAATCCGTTGAGGTCACCGGTGATCACTGCCATGTCGGGTGTTGAGAGTGCGAGAGATGTATCGGCTATAAGGACGGCAGCAGCAGGAGGAGGAGGACGATTGGAGCCGTCGCTGACCATTACGAGTCCAGTTCGCTCACCTTTGCTCCCATTTTCGACACCAAGGCAGCCTACAACTCAACATGTCGACCTCCTGAACATTGCCTTGAAGAACTATGAAAAATGGACCGGAGCAGTATCAGGAGCGACCACGGACGCCAGCAGCAATCCCTCATTCCAGGCGATCAGTCGGGTGGCGACGAACGCTATCAGCATGAACCAGACAATCCGGGCGTGGGTCAAGGCGGATGTGAGTCTTGTCGAGTCTTCTTCGATGAACGCTCTCCAGCGGGCGAGCGATGAGCAGATCCGGAGTCTGACCGAGTTTTTGTTGGCTGCTTCACGGACATCTCACCTAACAGCCGCGGATCGGTCGGGTAACAATAATAACCCGACCTCTGATACCGAGTCTGTGAATGGAGGTGGATCGGTCATAAGCCGGCCGTATTCTCCGAGGCAGTCGACCGTTTTGCACCACCGATTTGGTCAGGGCCAGAGGCTGTCGTTGGGTATGGTTGCAAGTGAGTTGGGAGCTGGAGGGTTTGAACAGAATCCACCCTACCCTACTCGGCCACTGTCGACTACCGCGTTTGAGACATACGAGATGCTGAATGCTAGAGGAGCAGCAGGACCTGGGCCTGTCATGGTAGGCAATGGGATGACGTCATCGGGATACTTGACCAGGACGAGCTCGATTGCTTCAAGCAACATCTCGGAACCCCGTGCGCGGAGTACTGGACCCAATGTTCGACATAGCCAGGGAGGGTATGCGTCAGATTACAGTTACGACCGCCAGCCTACTTCGGGATACCAGGGTCTTGATCTCTCTCGGAATCAGCTCCATCAACAACAACAGCAGCAACAGCAACAGCAGCAGGGAGGAGGAGCGTTGTCGAGTCGAGAGAATTCACCGCCTCAGGATGAGCCTCGAGGTCCTGTTCCCAGACGCCAGGCGAGTGGGCTGTTGATGATGGATCCTCAACCGACCAATATGACACCCACACGGAATCTACAGTCGCCTCAGCACCCACCATTGGCAGCAGGTGGAGAACGCGCAAGATCTAACACGCCTTTGGACCAGCAGCAGTCATTGACACGACGACAGGTCAGTGTTCGGAACATTATGGCGCGGTATTCTCAAGGAGCCAAATCACCCAACGTGAGTGGGTTCGAGCACCAGAGCGGTGACCTGCAGGATTCTGTCATTGACCAATCACAGGAGAATGGTACTGGACGACCGTTGTCAATGACACACCAATATGATGATGGCCCACGATCACCGGTATTTCATCCAAGACAGGTCGTCGGGCAGGATCAGCAGCAGCAGCAGCAGCAGTACCGGTACCGACAGCAGTTGCAGAGACAGGATGCTGGGATGTCGGCTTCGGATGGTGCTTTTGGGCCTGGCCATGCTCAAGGGCAGGTGCAGGCACAGGCACAAGCGCAGGCGAGGATGGGTGGGTCAATCCGGAGACCGCTGTCACAGCAGGACCATCGCCGTAATATGGCCGAGTCTCGGTTGAATGAATCCGCGGAGGGTCGACATGGCAGTTTGGGAGTACGAGGTGGACAGCGGTATCTGCAGGAGAGGGCTGGCGCGTTTTCGGAGGACGAGAATGCGAACGCCAGCGATTGGGGTAGTGACTCGCAGCGTAGCAGTCGTGGAGTTGTGGTAGTTAATCCGCAGAGGGCGTCCATGGACTCTTATTCGGCACGGTTGAAGCAGTTCCGAGGTCGACATGAGCAGCAGTTACCGTTTCATCAAGAAGGTTTGAGTTTTGAGGAGCCTTATCCGGATAATGGTCAACAGCAGCAGAGTGGGGTGGCGTTTTCGGAAGGTGTAGTAGATGTGGAAGCTGGAGACGCGTTGTCAACAGGACCCGTGCCCCGGTTCGCGCAACGTCAGCACCGGTACCAGTCCCAGACGCAGTCGCAGTACCTTGACAAGCCTTCCCAGCATCGACAACAGCAGCACCAGCATCAGCACCACCAGGATATGATGATGTCGACTCCTTCGTTACCTTCGCCCAACTCATCCCCATCGTCGTCTGCAAGATTGGACGCCCCTTCGTTGATGATGTCCATGTCGAATTATGGTCAAGGAGGTGGACTTGTTGGCGCTGCGGGAGCGAGTTCTTCATCCTTGTCATCTCTTGGTGGCAATGGGGTTGATGGACGGTATCATTTGTCGCCAAGAGGACCCGTTGGTGCGGCTACCTCCCCGAGGCAAAGTGTTACCGGGTTAAACGGCGATGACCATCATCAGCATGGCGGTCTTGGAGGACCTTACCAGGGAGCTGCAGGTCGAAGGATGCAGATGGCTGCTCTTCAGACTGCTCTGTAACGGTGTGTGCGCTATCCTTGCGGTCTCGATCATACGTCAACGCAACACAACACAATCAAAACACGATACCTGTAATTTCTTTTTTTTTTCTTGTTTATTATTTTTTTCCTTCACCAAACGATCGGGACACTCTTTTTTTGTACACTACAGTCGTAATATCCATAGCTCTTTAATAGTATATCTTTCCTTCGTACTACTTTACACAAACGAGGGATGCATGTTGTGTGTTTTGTTGATTGACGCGTGAAAATGGACAAAGAATGCGATCGCAATTTGGGTGTTTGTGCTAGAGCAAAATTAATTTATTTTGGTGTTTTTTGTTGGAAGAGGAGGGTATCATGTGCCAATGTCTGGCACGAGCGGGCGAAGAAAAAAAAAAAAAAACACGATATCAAACAAAAAAAAAAAGTAAAGAGCAAATAAAAAAAAGGAAACGAAAAAAAAAAAAAAAAAAAAAACGAAAAAACAACAACACCCACTAGGAAGAAGAAGAGGAGGATGCGAGAGAGAACCCGCAGGCAGCAAAAGTCGTATGAGCACCAACACCATCCTCATCTTCATCCTCCGCCATGGATCTCGGTCTTGGGGACGGACTGCTTCGCAATTGGGCTAGGGGGTCCTTCATACTCGACAGCATCACCGTTGCACTCGTCGTCATCGTAGGCGAAGACGACGAAGAATGGGCGGGTGAGGGGAGAGGCGCGAGGGCGCGGTGCTGTGTTGTTGGGAATGGGAAGAACATTGATAGGGGTGGGGTCGTACTATCCCAGGCCGCTGCGAGGATCGTGTCTTTGTCGCTGGGTGGAGGGGTGAGGGGTAGTGGGAGGGGGTGGTGGATCTCCGCGGTAGCTTCGAAGGCGGTTGTGGGTAGTGAAGGTGGCTCGACAGACATAGAAGAGTAAGTGTGTGGAGGAGGGAGGTGCGTAGGGTGTGAGTCGTCCGAGAGGTATGAGAGCGACGCTGGCAGGTCTGTGAACGACCTAATGAACGGGTACACCATCGTCGTCGTCGCCGTCGCCGAGGCAGATGCAGTCTCTTGCAAAGTCTCTTGGATGCTAGTCGTACTACCAGTCGGCGACAAGGGTGTCAGGGCGACCTGTGAAGCTGAGGGCGAAGATGTTGCGGAAGAGAGAGAGCTGGTATCCTTTTGGTGTTGGGATTGGAGTTGGAGTTCCAGTTCGCGTTTGTATCGCTGAGGGTGTGTTAGCTTGTACATCAGACTTCGTCCTCCTGAGCCTGAGCTTGTTGGGGTTGAGGGTTCGAGCGCATTTCCTAGTCCTGGGGTAGAGATGGCTTCCGTAGATGAGGAGGATTGCAACCTTAAGGACGGGATGTTCGTCAAATCAACACTGGCACTCCTCTTCCTCTGATGCGTAGGTGAGAACGTCGTCGTCATCGTAGGCGAAAAGGTGATAGGCCCTAGACGAGGAGAGAGGGAGTGTGACATGCTGGTTGTGAGGGATACGGGGACCGATGGTGGTGGTTCCTCACCGATGACTGCTGCGACTGCTGAGGAAACTGTTGATTGTATCGAGTATAGGGACCTTGGGCGGATTAGTGTCTTTGTCGAGGAAGTGGAGGTTTGGCGCGCTCGGACGGTGGGGGCTGTTGTCGTGCTTGATGCTGTTGCAGAGTCTATTGATGCTGTTGCAGATGAGGGCGCGGTGGATTCAGTCCCTGTGGCGAATTTAGCATTCGCAACAACGACAGTGGCCGGCGAGGACACATCCCGTGGCGAAGACGTATACTCCCCCGGAGAAAACAACCCTTGCATCTGACCCCGACCCTGCTGCTGCTGCTGCTGTCTCGCCAACCGATGCTGCTGCAAGAACGTATTAATCTTTGATGGCGCCGACTGCGTCTTCTTCAAGTTCCCCCTACCCCTTCCTCCAGATGAGCTCTTGGACGAGTCGCTGTCTGATAACACGGGCGCTGAAGCCTCGAGAGTTGTTGGCGAGAGAAGTGACCGGGCGACGTCCGAGATGGGTCCTGGGGATGCGGGCATCATGAGGGATGAGAGCAGTGCGGATGCCAGGCCAGAAGTTCCGTTCGTAGGGGAGTAGCTTGTCGGTGTCATGCTGGTTGTTGTTGTGGTGGTGGTACTCGTCGCTGCGATGGTCATGACTGGCGATGTCGGCGTTTGGGATTGTTGTTGCTGTTTTCGGGGTCGCGAGAGGGGTGGTAATGCGATGGTGATCGTCGAAGCCAGTATCTTACCCGTCGAAGTTGAAAACCCGGGCCTCATGGCAGTCGTCGAGACGGGGATGCTCCGCCCATTCGACACCACACTAAACCCACTACTCCGAGCACCAGTCTCCTGTACAACAGCAGTCATTTCCTGCAGATCATCCTGCTCCTGGAGCTGACGGCGGTCCCGCACAGAAGGCATGATCGATGGTGGCCTATCCTTCTTCACCTTCTTCCCTCCTCCATGAACGAGCAAGGGCACAGAGGGGGTCGGAGACGTCGACATGGGTCCTTCAGGTGACAATGTCACTCCTGCGCCAAACTCTCCAGAAAAGAACAGCAGCACTGGCGAAGACTCCTCTTCCTCCTCATCTCCATCCTCATCTTCCTCATCGTCCTCGTCTCCGAAACGTGCCCGAGGTCGACGGTTGGTGGTAGTGGTATGGAACTGAAGGGTGTCGTTGAAGGTGACACGCTTCATGCTCCGTGGGAGGGGGTTAGCGTGTCCCGAGAGGGTCTTGACGAGCGCCCTACGGATCCTGCTCGAGTAGCTCATCTCCACTTCTCCTTGTCTTCTTGGTCCCGCTCCTCCTGACATAGACGACGCAAGAAGTCGCTTTTGAGGAGCTGACTCGATATTCTCCCCAGTACTCGAAAACGCGGGCGAGGAAGTAGTAAGTCGCGCATAGCTCCCGACAAGGTTAGCGATCGTTGACCCCAAGAACCGTAGAGCCTCAACCCTCTGCGTCAATGTCCCACCTCCCCCTACCCCTCCTGTCGGCGCATTACCATGCGTCTCAGCTGGATTTGTTTGGGATTGTGCCTGTATTTGTTGTGTATGGGCAATAAGGTTCTGAGCCCAACTCACACCAGAAGTCGACGCCGAGGAAGTCGTCCCACTTCCACTTCCGCTCCACCGCCGCCGTCTCTGCTGCCTCCTCTGATGTAGTTCCTCGTCTCCACTCCCCAATCCCTTCTTCCTAGCCCCAGACCCTGAATGCGTCGATCCTGAAGAAGAAGGCGGGTCATTGAGTTGTCCAGAAACCAGCTGCAGGATGGAAAAGACGACAGAGAGGATATAAATCGTGACACCCTGGACGACGGCGACAGAGTACTGGAGTGTGAACAAAATGATGGGTGAGGCGTCCATCCGCACTGCAACCGCCGTCCCCGCCTCCGTCCCTCTTTCTCCTGCAGTTGCTTCTATTGTTAGTGCTGTCGAAGTGTGGGCTGTCGTTATTGCGGCTGTCGTCGATGTTTGTGTTTGATGGTGTCCTGGGAATGTTGGTGATAGGTGGGTCACAGAAGTTGAAGAAGAGTCTTGGCGGTGTGGGCGATTATTGTTGTTATTATTATTATTGTTGTTGTTGTTGGAGGTGGGAGTTGTGGGAACGGAAGTCAGTCCCCGGGGAGGGACTGACAGTGTGTCGGACATGGGGTTTCGTTGCCGCCCGCCCTTGTCGGGTTTATTCGTTGGTTGGCGTGAGCTGCTTGTAGGTCTTCGAAGGGCTGACGAGAGGAGCAAAGGGTGAGTGAGAAGAAGGCTGGGTGTTTGATCGAGAGGTGGAGAGTTGTGAGTGGAAGGAGTGGAGTGGAAGAGGTGGAAGAGAAGAAAAGAGGCGACGAAGAAGAAAAATAACTGACGGCTAATCCCCTACTCCTTCCTCGGAAAGATATTCCGTGCCAGCCAAGCTGATGAGGGTAGCAATGGATCAATGGCGGTGGATAGAGAGAGAGAGAGAGAGAGAGAGAGAGAGAGAGAGAGAGAGAAAGAGAAAGAGAGAGCAGGGAGGGCTGATAGGTGGGTAAAAATAAAGGGTAGCCGATCTGTCAATTATATCGACTTTTTGTAGGTGTGAGGGGAGATGAGATGGAGAGGAGAGGAGAGCGAGGAAGTAAGGAAGTGAGGAAGAAAAGGAAAGAAGGATGGAACAAAAAAACAAGGAAGAAAGAAATAAGATAAAGAGAGGAGGGCAAGAAGGATGCACAATACATGCATGCCGCAGGAATAAGAAAGGATAAGTAAAGCAAGCTTAAAGCGAACAAGAAACAAAGACATGCAATGTGAATCGCATCCCTTGCAGGGCAGGGGATTGATTGGGCCGATGGGAAAAAAAAACTCTGCAGGCATTTCTTCTTGAAAACAGGGTAAAGAAAATAACTCGAAATAAAAGAAAACAACTCAAAATAAAAGAAAAATAACTCACAAGAAGGGTTGACTACATGGCTGCATACACCCAACACAAGAACGACTGAAAAAAAGAGAATCAGGCCACACCTTTTGAACAACCTTAAAATCCTCGTTGCGTGGTCAGGATAACCCTTCTTGTAGCGAGAAAGGAGAAAAGCTCGCAAAAAGAGTCAATGCCAGCCAGGGGCAAGAGGCAAAGTCATTCATCCACGTATCGCCTCCTCTCCTCTCGGCGAAACAAACAAGAACAGTAAACAACAAAACCTACAAAGCGCAATGACAAGTGGAAATGAAACTGACTCAACCGAGAGCATTATTGTGATCCCTCTCGATCGCACACGCACGCACTCACCCCCACCAAGAAAAAGACTAGGCAAAACGTCAAAACCAGTCAAAACGGCACATCCGACGCCCTCCTCTTCCCTATCCTCATGGACAGAAACAAAGAGTAATTTAGAATCGACACCACACAAGATCGACGTGGTTCATTCGTTACCCACAAAGTACTGTCAGAACGGGGACCAATTGGGAGACAATTCTTTTTATTACGGATTAATTCACTTTTGAACAAAAAAATTGTACTCCTACAACGTTTTCTTTCTTTTTTTTTTTCTTTTTTTTTTCTTCGTTCTTCTTTTTTTTTTTTTTTGTCATGCTGGAGGGATGACTGTACACGAATGGTGATAGAGAGGATTGTTATGAACAAAAAGAAGAAGGTGAAGCGAACACAATAAAAGTGAAATGAAAAAGAGGAAAAAAAAACTGGTATCAAGGGAAGAAAAAAAACGTGAGCAAACGAGAAAAAGACAGATAAAAATACAGGTTTTGTTTTTTGTGCAATTTACAAAAAATGAAGGAAAGGAGTGACAGATGGTCTCTTCTTGCCTCCTTTTTTTTTTTTACATGGGGCGAGGTTGCTTGTTTTAGGAACGACCAGCACGAGGACTGATAAGACCGCTAGGGATCCTAGACACAGGCAGACTCGACGTAGGAGTGTGGGGACGAGACAAGTACGACAATCCTCCAGAGTTGTATCCGGCACTCAAGGGAGAAGTCGACCGAGGAACTCTAGAGGTCGACACCGAGGGAGCAGCCAAGCGGGAGGGCATCGCCATACCCGACCGAGGAAGACCACTGCCCATGACTCTCTTCGAAGATGGGGACTGTGGAGGTGTCAACACTGCATAATCAGCTTCCTCGTCCTGGTGATAGTGCTGCTGTGATGTTCGTCCGCTCGTGGGCAAGAGACTGCTGCTGGATCCATACATCGACAAACTGCGGGTTGCACCTCCTGCTCCTGCAGTCTTGGGACGCATCAACTGGCTAGTTCCCGTTGCATTTGAGAGACGCTGTGAGAGTGGAGTCACAGTGTCTCTAGCATGGGCAAGCGAGGAAGTTGAGGAGTGGGAGGAGGTAGGTGAAACCAGATAGGACGACGAACTCGACATCCGACCCGAAGGGACACCACGGGTAGGGCTGGTGAGCTGTGTGGGTGTAGATGTACCAGTGCGCTGTGGGCTTTTCAACGTCCGACTGCCATTTGTTGAAGGGCGTGCAAGAAGAGTTGAGGACGACGCAGATCGAGAAGCCACAGCCGAAGGAGGGAGCAGTATCGAGTTGCGGCTGTTTGCCCCGACACTTCCTGCACGCTTGACGGCGCCAGGTGCTGCCATCTGACTCCTTGTAGCAGAGGGTGAAGCAATTCCAGAGCTAACCTTTGAAGGAACACGCGAACCGGGTGCGACAAGTCGAGAACCACCGGCAGCACCAGGAGTAGTACGACCATTAGTGGCCGAAGGCTTGACCAGTGACGATGACGATCCTGTCCTAGGTGCCTGCAGTCCCGATGCTGTTCTAGGTGCCTGCAATCTTGTGTTGGATGCCTGCAGGCCAGACTTTGGTGCTTGGAGTCCAGACTTGGGAGCCTGCAGTCCACTGGGTCGAGCAAGACCCGTCCTGGATCCTGGCTGGGGCACGCCTGTTGATCGAACGCCAGGCTGCGCTAGTCTGCTAGCGGGGGCCTTGAGACCCGAGGCAGCAGATGATCCAGGGAGACGAGAGACACCGGGGGGTTGAAGTCTGCTTCCACCAATGCTGCTGATGCTGCTCCTGTTGCTGATGTTGCTGTCCTGGCTGAGGGTACTGAGTCTGTTGTTGGATGAAGGGGAGGCGAGTCCTGAGGGGGTGTCCAAGTAGTCGGCATCGAGGTCATAGGGATTCCTGCCGTCGGGGAAGCGGGATGAGGCAGAGGATGGAGCTCTGAGTTGCTTTGGGCTGGTGAGTCCCCTCACCGCAGGGATCGAATGCTTCATCGAAAGCTGTGAGAACGCCTTCAGCGTCTCATCCTCCGCCATCTATTAGGTTGAATTGGTTATAATTTACATGTACAGTTAGTTATCATGGGTATTGTTTGGGTAATATTAAAGTGTAAAAACTTGAAGTAAAAAAAAAAAAAAAAAAAAAAGTACCTCGGGCTCATCCCAGTGGTCGTCTGGTTGGCGATCGTCGTACGACATGCCCGATGTGAACGATGCGCCTGTTGACCTTCTGCTCCTTTGACCCTGCTGGATCTATTTTCAAAATTCATTTGGGAATAGGAAGTTAGAAACAGTGTGGGTATGGTATGCATAGACAACAGTATATTATTTTCGGCATATGTCTTAGACAATGATTCATTTTCCATTACCTGAACAGGGTTGTTATCATCCTCATCATCACTAACTTCGAGGAAACGTCGTTGCTTTGACCAGTCGACGGTCATGATATCGTCTCCTTCCTCGAGGTCGAGCGGACATTCTTCATTGATATCTGAGCCTCCGGCGATGAGAGCATCGAGGTTGACAGAATCGTTGCTTCCCTGGGACGAGACCGACGACGACCGTGCCCTGCTGCTGGTCGAAGGAGGAGCCCATCCCGAGATGGATGAGGAAGTAGACAGTCTGGAGGACGAGTCGAATGCACTACTGCTTGTGCTGAAGCTGTAGGCCGCAATGATGTCGTTGTAAGGGGTTGTCGGCGAGGAGTGTGTTGTGGAAGTAGTGTCGTTGTTGTCGTCAGTGTTGGTGTCGAGTTGTTGTTCGTTGTTGTCGTTGTCCATGGTTGCGAGTGTGGGTGTGGTGTGTGTAGTAGGTATGGTTTGTTTGTGTGTGCGAGAGTTGTGTGGGGTAGGGAGGAGAGAGAGAAGGGAAGATAAGGCAGTCAGTGATTCGCTCCGTGAAAAAAAAAAAAAGGTGTCTGACAGAATGATCTGCTTATTGCCTGACACATATCAACCTCATGAACCTCCTTCCTTTCTCGTTCTCATTTCTTTGTCATTGTCACTTATTCTTGCTTGCTCCTCTTCTATCTGCTGCTCATTCTCAACTCTTGCTTCCTTCTTTTCTTGTTTTTCCATGCCCCTCCTCCCCTTTCCCTTTGTCTAATCATCACTCCTTATTACCCTCTCCCCTTCCTTCTCCCTCTTTCTCTTTTTCTCTCTCCCTCTCTCTGAAGAAACTTGTCTCCGTGAACACATGGAAGAGAGGAGTGTGAAAGCGGGAAAAAAGAAAAGAGCGACAAAAAAAAAAAAAAAGAAAAAAAAAGGGTGCGAGCACCCCCTTTCCTTCACCATATTTGTGATCCCCACTCATGTCAAAGCCAAAGGGGGACATTGGATGGATGACATTGGGACGCGACTATCATATGCTTGCATTGCTTTGGCTAATTGTCGTTGGTGCATGGTTCCTTGGTTTGCATATTGGTTGCAATGGTTGCAATGGTTGATTGTTGGTTGGTGGTTGATAGCGTCAATGTGAAAGGGGGTGTTGAGGGCGTCCATGGTGAAGCATACCCCGATGCATCCTGCTTTTCCAATTGCTTTCTTTTCTAAGCACCTTGTTATCTTATTCCTTACTTGAAAGTTGTCCAATTGCAAGACTTACATTCGTAGCACGGGCAATTGAAATAGCCATAAGAGAGGACGTATAGATCCCAGTATGCCCTGACCCATTGACCCATAGCTTCTTGCACTACACTCTTCATCTCTCTCTCTCTCTCTCTCTCTCTCTCTCTCTCTCTCTCCATAAGGTCACTCTCAATTGCATACCCCCCTCCTTCCTCATCTCCGATCCAAAGAACAAAATAGCAGTAATCCAACATTGGAGCAATCAATAAAAAAACAAGCACGACATAGCACACACTTCTTCATGTCTGTCCTCTTTCTCTCGCTACTCATCCTCTCTTGACAACCCAATGATTAAGAAGGGCTGCCTTGTTTCATCGACAAATGAAAAAACGTGGCTCCATGAGAGCAATAAAAGAAGTAGTAAACAATGTACCTTTGATTGGAGAGTCCAGAGAGTCGGGACCCTTTCTCAAATAGCATCGACTCTGACCTTGTCCGTTGCTGCTGCTGTAGCTGTTCTTGCTGCAACTTCGCCGAGCTTCGCCTGGCCCTGGCCATCAACGAAGCTCTCAACTCGGACGGACGCACATTAACGTTCAACACCGGTTCCTGTTCTCCTTCTTCTCCTACTTCTTTACTATTGTCATTGTCTCCTGATCCAGCGTCGGTTCCGTTGGCCGTTGTTGTCGTGTCCGGTATGCTTTTGGTGATGTTATTATGATTATTATTATGTGTAGGGAACTTTTGGTGGTGTTTTGGATCGTCGTTCTCGCTGAGGACCTGTTCGCTCTCGCCAAAGGCCAATTGAACCGGTGACTGGACCTGAAGGCTACCATTCCGCTTATGGTCTGGTGTGAGGACTCCCGCTGAGTAAGAAGTTGCGCTGGAAGAAGAAGTTATGGAGGAGAAGGAACCGGTGGAGAGATGTCGTCGTTGCAGGGCTGCATGAGCGAGCCATTCTTCTGGGGAGGTCTGAATAAAGGGAAGAGCAGGGGTTGAAGTTGTTGCTCTCTGTAGTGTCCTTGTAGAAGAAGAGTTGTGATGTGATGAGGTGGAGGAGGTGGAGGAGGTGGAGGATGCGGCGGGTGAGGATGGGTGGCGAGGCGGAAGGGAGTCGTTCAGCCTGGATGAGACTGCAAGGTCTGCCATTGTGTTTGTGTTGGGAGAAGAGAGGAGGGAGAAGGAGGAAGGTGGTGAGATGGAGAGAGAAGGGGAGAGTGGGGAGGGTAAAGAGGAGTGTGGAGGGATGATGGAAGGGTTGATATGGATTGAGCTGTTGAGAGTGAGGTGTGCCTTTGCTGAAGAGGTGGAGGGTGGAGGGAAGGTATAAGAAGACAAAGGAGAGGAAGAGGACATAGTGAAGAAGAGAAGAAGGGAAGGAAATAAAAAGGGAATGAAATATGCGATTGGCCAACTACTCTATCTAGTGAGGGGCAAAGCAGACAACGGCCAAATGGTGGTGGTGGTGGTTGGGCGGTGGTATTGTGGAGGGAGAGATATGTCCGGGATGGATAGGATAGGATAGGATTGTACAGATGGTGTGTATGAGGGAGGAGGAGGATGTGGCAAAGAGACAAAACAAACAAAGTGTAGATCCAATCCAAGTAATATGAAATAATATAAAATAATAATAAAAAAAAGGAGAGCGTTTGGTTTGATGATAATGACGATGGTGGTGGTGGTGGTGGTGGTGGTGGTGGTAAAGGAGCAGCGGGTAAAGGTGAGCGAGATAGTGGTTGAGAGAGGCGCGCGGGCTGCAGGTGTAAGTAAGAAGTACGAAGAGGGGTTGAGCTCAGTTATTGGGGGTTGAGAAAGTAGAAGGTAAGAAGGATGGAACGACGAGAGCGATTGATTTGGGAAAGAAAAATAAGGGTAAAGAGGGTGAGCGAGGAAGAGGAGGAGAAGGATGTATGTGAGACTGATATTGAGCGAAGAAAGAGAAAAGAGAAGAAGAGGAGAAAAGACGGAGGTAAGGAAGATGAATGGCACTAGGAAGCAAGGAAGAGAAGAAAAGCAAGGGGATGAAAGAGGGTATATGTGAGTGAGTGAGTGAGTGAGTGAGTGAGTGAGTGAGTGAGTGAGTGAGTGAGTGAGTGAGTGAGTGAGTGAGTGAGGAGAGTGAGGTATGCAGAGTGGGAGGATGGGTGCTGGTGAAGAGTAAAGAGTAAAGAAGAAGGAAGAAAAGGGGAAAAGAGAGGGAGAGAAGAAGAAGAAGAAGAAGAAGAAAGGAAAAGAGAGAAGAGAGAAAAGAGAAAGAAGAGAAAGGATCACACAAGCAGCAGAACAAAGAAGCAGAAAACAGGGCATGTGGATGATATGGTTCACATGCACTGCCCTGTTCTTTGTTCTTTACTCACCATCTGCTACATGGGGCAGACAGGGATATCTCTCTTTCTTTTCTTTCACCTTCTTCACTCTCCTCCTCCGACTGGATTCCTTTCAATGACCAATCCCAATGGTACCATGGACAGACGATCCATGAATGGCGCATTCAAATCTCAGATACCCATCCCATCCAAATGGTGTTCCTGCAAAGAAAGAACGTCGTCGTTCTATTGTTCACGTCCAAAGAGAATCAAAGCGAAACGAGGCGAAGAAGGGAGGGGACCCTGATCACACTGACCAGACCAGGGCTCACTCAACCAATTTTCCTTTCCTTTTCCCTTCTTCTGTTACTCATGGTCGGTCCCCTGTCAGCCTCTTGTTTTTTTTGTGTTCGCGTCTCTCTCTCTCTCTCTCTCTCAACTTTTTAGCACCAAAACAAAACACTCACCTTCCCTCAATCTCGTCATCGCCTAATCCGCATGGTCCGTCGACTCACACCACTCTCACCCTCAATATCAACAACGAGTGAGTAGGGGCTTGCTTGCGGATTTGGCTGTACCTCCCTGCCTTACAAAACGGAATGGGAAAAAACAACAATCTCTTGATGGCTGGTTGGCTCATGCTTGTGTTCCTGCAGAAACTGTGGATAGATGTCGGCAGTGTGTGGGTGTGCCCAATGCCTACTTTTCCGCGGCAGACGGACAGCTATCCCGCACACCCTCGTGCTCGCCCTTTTCCACTTTCCCCTTGCTTACTCGCCCTGTTTCCTTTCCCATCCGCACCTTTGTTGTCGTTCACCCAATCGCTTGATGGAGTGTGCGCATGGTTTACGTTTCCTCCTGTCGTGCCACTTTCCGCTTTGTTTGTGCTTGGCATAATCAAAAACAATTGCCAATCTCCTGTGCCTGAAAGAAACTCCATCTAACCCTTCCCATTACCAGTGCACAACAAGGAAGAAAAACACTCACACTCCTATTTCCCTAAAACCACGTCCGCCCTAAATGTTCATCCCACTCCCTTTCTACCTCTCCCCCCATTTTGCCTTTCCTTATGCTGACTGAGCACTGCGTTCAAAAACGACGTATCACACAAGCAGCAGCGACCGTTGATGGTCCAATTGGCCTTACATCCTCTTTTCATTTACTCCTCATTCTTTAGCTCCTTCTTCTCCAACCCCCTTTCTCTACCTCACACTCCAATCCCTTCTCTCGCGTCTCTCAAGTCTGTGCCTGTCTGTCAGTCTGTCTGCCACTTCAATCTAAAGAAAACCCCCTGGTTTTTTCATTCCAAAATCCCAACACACGAAAATCGAAGCTTTTCCCTTCACAGCCCCTGTCTCGCTCATCTACATCCATCAATCTTTCCCTTCCCCTCCATCGTGTTTCCCCTCTCCCCAAGCTTTTCTTCTTTCCAACCCAACAGACCCTTACGCCCTTTTTTTTTTTTCCTTCCTTGCCACCGAACTAACTAAGATGATCCCGTACGCATAATAACAACACCGCTTTTATTATTCATGCACTTCCCCTGCCGCTGTTATTTTTAAAACACGTCCGTCCGTCCATATTTTATTTTCCGGAGACAAAGAAAAAAACAAGGGAGTGAAAGGATGTGCCAAGTACCAACAACCAAATAAGATGGTCCGCATCCATACAACAGAGAGATAGAGAAAAAAAAAAAAGTCAAAGGAGAGGATACAGTTTTATTTGTGTCAGCCTCTCTTTTTGTCTACCCGTCCGTCCGCGCGAAACAAAGTAAGTAAGCCCAAGAAAGTCCACCCATTGCGGCCAAAGGGAATCAAGCAAGGAAGGAAAAAAAAAAAAAAAAAAAATAGGGCGGAGAAGAAAAAAAAGGTTTTGATACAGTACATGACATGCAAGATGATGACTACACCTTCATCCTCCCCTTTGCTCACCTACCCACCAACTCCAATTCGGGCTGCATAGCTTCCATACTTAGACGGCTGGCACAGGCGCTACACCACCAAGGGTTCCCGAGAATCGCAGCAACCCACCTTCCTTGGAAATGGCGACCAAAGCGGGGCCGTGTCCGACAACCCGTGCGCGTGCAGGGCCATCCAAGTCATACCCGACATACTCTCTCAGTACCTGGACTGTCGTCTCGCCTTGGATCGGCTTTGTCTCGTACACTCCACTATCCTCTATCATGTTAATCAATGTCGCACAGTTTGAAGGGAAGCAAAGAGGAAGTAAACATGAGCATGTTGGTTTAGTTTGATTACGATGGAGAGAGAAGGAGAGGTCGCCCCATGATATTTGTCATCGCCAAGAGAAAAAACATAACGGCTTGTGGGCGTGTACGACCATCCTCCCTCTCGCTTCTCTTGAGCAAACCCCAAAAACAAGTTACACACTGTATCTCAACACTACAACGTGCGTGAATACATAAGAAAACATATCTCTCCCTCATGACACAACTCTATTGTTTCCTCCTCCTTCAAAAAGTCACTCGCACATCTCATCCACTCTCCGAAAAAAAAAGAAGACTTACCACACCCAATGATAAGTCCAGGACAGTTCTGGCCAGAAGTCAAGGCCGATGACGATGACGAGGGAGCACTGACGACAATGCTAGAGATGCCCGCCGTGCCACGTTGGAACCTATTCAGCACCTGACTATTGATTCCATGTCAACGGTCATGACAACACAAGGAAAAGAAGAAAAAATCGCGCAAGCATTCCTTCGTGGTTAGGATAGCATGAGATCGGTCGACAGATCATTTTCTCTCTCTCCACAAACAAGACCGAAAAATCGCTCGTAGAAGTCGGAACGAACGAAATCGGCGGTGTTTGTCATTTTTCCTCTCATGAGAACCAACTAGTCGGAGTAGCAACAACTTACTCTGTCTTGCGGATATCAAAGATCTCAACGACACCCTCTGACGTTCCAGAGACCACAAGCGAATGCTGGGCAGAGTAAGCGCATGCCCGTAATGGGGCCTTGTTATATGACTTGCGTTGGAACGCCTATTTAGAATGTCAATGAACGAGGATCAATTGTCAATGATTCGGGACTATAGGACCACACATAAAATACGGCGACATGTTCATATCCCTGGAGCTTTACCTCTTCTGACGCCCGCACATCGAGTCCATAGAGTGTACCGTTTTCAGAAGCAGCAATCACCAGCTTTCCATCCGTGCCCACCTCCTTTGGATCTATTAATGGGTTTGCGAGAGTCGCGTCAGGGGATATTAGCATAGGGAGCTTTCCTGCATATTGAAGTGCTGATCCATTAAATCGACGCCACTAATTCTTTTCTCGAATCCTTACCAAGAGCAAGGCTAGTTTTGACGGTGGACTCCCACGAGTCCAGTGCAATAGCGTTCACGCGACCCTCGTGCTGCGACAATGTCCTGATCGTCGTTCCTGAAGCCACCTCCCACAGCTTTACCGTTCCATCATTTGACGACGCTATCAAAGGGTCCATGGGGAGATATCGGTTAGGGGAGCATTCTCAACCTGTGTGCTGGTCCGTGAATTAGCAATGAGTATGAAGGGAGTAGCTTACAGACAACGTTCCGTCCACGTTCGATAATGGCAGTATCCGTGATGGCTATTTGGCAGAGATGTCACAGTCAAAATCGTTCAGTTAGCTATGATCTGCCGACTTGATGCATGGCCATAACAACGATTATGAATGAAGAGAGCAATCAACTTACGTTTGGTGTGGCCCTTCATGGCGACTGGACAGCTTCCATCAAGTACGGACCAAACCTTGAGCAAGAAATCGCCTCCACCACTCAGCACGACTATTGGTTGAAAAAAATAATATTGGAATTAATAACACGTCCAATTTTCCCATGGTATTCATTCCCGCAGATAACATACATCCAGGTCAAAACGAAACACTGTTCTTCCTGGAACTGTACCTTGCCCGGAAGGGAAGAAGCGGCATGTGTTGACGTATTGGATGTGCGCTTTCAATTCTTGCTATATGACCATGTCAACGACGACAAAAAAAAAAGAAGAGTTGCAATCAGTCGTCTGTGCCCTGAAATGCTAAGGACGATATGCTTGCGATGCCACATTTTTCCTATTCAGAGTAGAGTGTTCATCCTGACTTACTGTAATTCGTCCCGACTCTGTCTCGCCAATCCTCAAAGTACCATCCTCAGATCCTGTAGCAAACAATGCCCCTTCCGGCGACACATCCATACACGAGATCTATTCCATTGAAAGCATAAGAGTTAGGCAGAGTTAATTCACGTTCTCTCCTACTACATACATATCTCTCATGATATTCAGGTTTCCTTGCGAAGTAATGGGCTACCTTGGCGATATTGGATCGTCGACCGGTTCCATAGACCTCCACTTGGACGTTATCATACTCTGGGATCTTGACCCTGAACGAATACTACAATTAACAGAAGAATAATAAGGAGGATCACACGTCCGTCAGTGATACATCATCTTCTGATCAGTCCAAGGTCCAGACGTTCGCCGAGATATTGGCTTAAGTGATGTCCAAGAGTGTGGTGACGATGTCCAGTATCGATCTATTCTCTCCTGTAACAGCGACGTCAATGCAAGCAAGCACGTACGTTGGTGATGGTCTCGAGGATAATACCATCATGTCCCGTGAACTGCACTTTCCGATCTTCCACAATAGCGACCTTGGCCGCTCCATGCACCGACGGCGAACCTAACATCCAAAAAAAAATGAAGAATTAATATCGAAGTGTTTAATGGATGTTGATTTTTATTATTATTATTATTACCCGGATACTATTTTTTCTTTATTGCGTGTAAAGAAAAGAGGTTTACCTCGCTTGTAGCAGGAGACCCAGAAGGTACCGGTGCTGTTGAGTCGGAGTGCGTCGGCAATGACATCTGTCCAGTCGGCCTGCACAGTGACCTGAACCAATGCCGTAGGTGTTGATCCTTCGATTCCCATTTTGTGTTCTGCGTGAAGTGGTTGCTATATGTGAATGAGAGGGTGTATTGAAAAGAGAGGTGAGAAAGAGAAAGGAGCCAGTCAGTCGAGAGAGAAGGTGAAGGTGTCAGAAAGCTGAGGGGTGTGTTGCGTAAGTGTCGTCTCGGTTGGCCGAAGCGTTTTTTTCTCTTTCATTCTTTCGCGCGTGAAGGCGTGGTTGTGACTGCTTGCACAAGGAATTACGAAGAAACGTTTTTTTTCGCCCAAAGTTCTTCAGAAGACAAAGCACATAAAGACGGCGGACAGAAGAGCTCCGTTTACGCTTGGGCGTCGATCGTGATCATGCGCGACTCGACTCGCACTCTCTTCCTTCCTGCGCTTCTACCTAACAAACACATGTAACTTTTTCCTTCGTTTTTGTTGTTTTGCAACTGCATGAGCCTAGAGGATTGATGCTCTGGAACGTAGCAAAAGGTAAAAAAAAAAGAGATGAGATGGTGCATGATATGAATTGGATAGAGAGAGCATAAAGGACAAATAAAAGAGCACAATCAAACCCTTCCCCTTCGATACCGTCAGGAAGTAGCTATGAAGGAGTGACCAAAGAAGGGGGAATCAGGTCTAGACTGTCAGTCTTCCAACCTTGTTGCTGCAAACAAGGAATAGAGTGCCATCCTCAGCCATGCGATTCGTGAACGAGGAGTAAACCATCCATCCAGCCCCATCGGAGATTCATCCCCTTCCTTCTTCCTTAGACTCCTGCAATGAAAAAACTTTTGTTTTCTGCAGAACTTTATTGGAACTAAGGGCGCTCACACATGATTCGCTTTATGAGTCCCTATACCCTTGTGGACATACCTGGCAGAATAAACTCCGTCCAACAGCCAACAAATATGAAAAAAAAACTTCTTCAGACGTCTCTGCCATCTTCGAGCTTGGGGGGAGCCATGGGGAGATGTATATAAAGGAGGGGGATCCGCCATCAGAAATCCGATGGGCCGCTTTCATCGTCTTTTCACCCCTCCTAAGCCTAAAAGACGTACATCACCATCCCTACTCGTCTCTGAATACCCCTCACGCATTCCATCGACTACCTACAACAAAAACAACATCACTAATCAACCATCATCAACATCAACCAAAGAAAAAAAATGTCATTCAACACACAGAAACAACCCGACAACACGGACTTGAAGATGGAGTTCGAGGAACTGGACCCCGTCCAGCAAGCAAAGCAGGAGGAACAGCTCTATCGCCACCCTGACACTGCCCCTATCTCCTCCACCGTCTCCCCTACCGGACAGTCCCAGGACCCTTCGGCCCCCAAGACCTGGAAGCAAAAGCTAACGTTCCTATTCTCGCGCAAGTTTATCACGATTGTGCTGTTGGGTCAGCTGTTGTCACTGTGTATTACTGCGACGACGATTATGACGACCAAGTTGACGCAGGGTGATAATCCGGTGTCGATTCCTACGACCCAGTCGTTCTTGAACTATTTGGTTCTGGGTATTGTCTACACCGGTATTACCTTCTCCAAAGTGGGCTTCCGTGGCTGGCTCGAGATCATCCGTCGCCGTGGTCTCTACTGTAAGTTCATGTGTTCGGATTGTTTGTACTATTTTCTTCAGGAACAGGTTGATGTGATCAGTGAGACAGGATTGTTTAATAATTTCAGGAACTCACTGTTCCTTATCATCACCCACCTCACAAACTCACATTCTTCTTCTTCCTCTGAATAGATATTGTGTTTGCGTTGATTGATGTGGAGGGCAACTACTTCATTGTAAAGGCCTACAACTACACTTCGCTTCTCTCGGCAATGCTGCTCGACTCATGGACAATCCCCTGTGTCGTCATCCTCTCCGTCTTTGTCCTCCGCATGCGCTTCCTCCGTCTCCACTACCTCGGCGTCTTCATCTGTCTCGTCGGCATGGGCTTCCTCGTCTGGTCCGACATGGTCGCCGGCAAGAACTTCCCTGGCTCAGACTACATCAAGGGAGACCTCTTCTGCATCATCGGAGCCACCTTCTACGCCCTCTCGAACGTCGGACAGGAGTTCTTGGTCAGACAGAGACCTATCTACGAAGTTGTTGGACAGCTCGGTTTCTGGGGAGCGATTATCAACGGAATCCAGTTGGCTATTCTGGAACGAAACGAGTTGAAGACACTTACTTGGACTGGGGAAGTTGTCGGGTACATTATTGGCTTTGATATCGCCATGTTCTTGATGTACTCTGTTGCGCCTATCCTGTTGAGGTTGAGCTCTGCGACTTTCTTCAACCTTTCGTTGTTGACCAGTGACTTTTATGGACTCCTCTTTGGCCTCTTCCTCTTCCAGTCCAAGGTAACATTCAAACGCGTCTCTCTTGTGTTCTGTCCTACTATGTTTTCTAGAGATCGTGACATTAGCGAGACTATGATCGCTAACCGCTTCTTTTTCTATCTTTCAATTGCCTCGAAAACCCATTCAATCCATTTTTCCCGCCCTCTCTCCCATTCCGCTCCCACCTATCCATCTACAAAAACCATATCCAAAAAAAATAGATCAACGAGCTGTACCCGATCGCATACGTCCTGATCATCATCGGAATCATCATCTACAACATCCGCGAAGCCCCCGAGCCTCAGTTCAAGCCCGTCCTCAAAGATCAATCTGACCAGGAAGTCGAGGACCAAGAGACAAAGGAAAAGGCTGCCATCGCAGGCGATAACTCCACCATGGCCTAATTGGTGCATCTTTGTTATTTTTTGTGTCTTGTATTTTTTTGCACAAGCACGAAACCCCTGCTTTCGTAACCCTTTTTTTTTCCTCTGTTCTTTTTTTTTCTTGCGTTCTTGTTCTTTTCTTTTCTTACTGCTTTACTTTGGTCTTTTGACTCGGTCGTGGAATGCATAGATGGTGAAGGTGTGAGGTCCCCCCCCCTCGTAGGGCCATCACATCTTTTCCTGTTTTTCTTGCATGACATCATCCTTTTTTCTTTTTTGTTTGTTGTTTCGTTCTTTGTTGGTTGTTCTCGCCTATTTTTTCTGTTCTTGTTTGTTGGTCTCTTTTTTTTTGCTACCCTTTTTTTTTCTTGTCAGTCTGTCCATCTCGATGATTTTGTCGTGGGGATTTTGAGAAGAATGGAAGGAGAGTACTTTTCTACAGCAAACAAGTTCAAAAGGGCGCGTGTATGGTTGGAACCCAGTCTACCTTTGTTGTTCCCCGCCCCCCTCCTCCTTTTCTTTGGATGTGTGTGTTTTTTTTCAATTAGACAAAGCTTTATCGGTCTGACCGAATCGCTACGACGACCTTGATTAATTCCTTTTTTTTCCTTTCTTTTATGAACGAGTATTGGTTACTTGTTTGTCAAAACGATGTCTTTGGGCAAAAAAACACAATAGTAAATAAACAAACAATGGGATAACGATAACATAACAAAAAAAAAAAAAAGAGGCAGTTCTTGAAGTTGTAAGCAATTATTGAACACTGAGAAAACCATGAGGCGACGGGAATATTGCTGATTCATGAGCAACAAAAATGAACTAAATGCGTTTGCATGTAGTCGTTTGGACTGAGGAATGGAGTTTGTTTGTTGTGGGTGTGTGTTATGTGGCAACTTGTGAGCTTCGTTTTTTTTTTGCGCCCCGAGGGAGACTGTAAACTGAGTAAAGAAAAAACGATGCTTCAGCGTGAAAAGGAAAGATGAAAAAAACAAGAGGACGAAGTGGACGAAGAGGAGGAGAAAGCGATGGGACGAGCGAACGGGAAGAGGCGGCTGACGCGCCTGAGCGCCAGGGGTCGAGCGAGGAAAAGAAGGGAGGGAAGGGAAGGGAAGGAAAGGGAAGAAGCACAGGAAATGTAGGGCGGGTCGAGGAATAGGGCAAGGGGAGGGAAGAGGAGGAGAAGAGCGAGAACAAGAAAAGAAAAAAGGAGTGTGTGTGTACTGTACTGTGATCCGTGCCTGGGCCTGTCCCTGGATTTCAATCTCTTCCTTTGTGATTTTGCACTACAGTACATTGCAAATGACGAACAACTGTGAGAGAGTATGCGACGCGATTGCATAACGGAATGAGAGTACGAATGCTATTTTTTCGTCTGTTTGCGGTGTGATGTGGTAAGATGGGAGGATGTGCGCATTGGACACCTATCAGCCCGCATCTCCCTTCAAACTTTGAACTTTCACTCGAACCTTTTTCCCACCCATATCATAAACCTCTTTCCTGACATTCTTCTTGACTTTCTATAAAACCTTCAGTGTCTCTCCCTCGATTTTCTTTTTCTTCTCTCTTCACCCAAACCTATCGTTCTTTATTTATTTATCTTTTACTTTCAATCGTCACCCTCACATTTTTCGCTCCACAAAAACACTCCCACGCTCCTTTTCTTCTCTTTTCTTCTTTTCTTCTTTTCTTCTTTTCTTTTCTTGTTCATTCTTTACGCTTCATCTTTTCTTTCTCACTCTTTCTGCTCAAACAAAAAAATGACAGAGCATTTGCATTTGCCTGCGGGTCCATGGACCTCTGAGGAGATCTTCCGCGCAATATCAACCCATCCCCTCGAGATCAAGACCGCCTACTCTGTCCTCGTCGCACCTCCCGCCCCAATCACCCCTCTCCAATCACCTCCATCATCCTCCTCTTCCTCCCGTACACCCCCCGCCTCCTCTTCCTCCAACAGAAGTCTCTCATCCGCCGCGACACCACCGCCAGGCCCCCCACGCCGTCGTGAAGTCCAGCAACGCGTCACCCTCCGCGAGAACGAGACCAAAACTCTCTATCTCACGCAGGCTTTCTCGCAGCATTTCACAGATATCGAATCGGCCCATAATGCCGCCCTGTTGAATGCTCAGCAGTACCAGCACCGCCAGTTGAGGAGCCTCAGTTCCAGGACGAGGTCCAAGTCTGGCTCTGGACCCGATTTGACGCTGCTCCCGGTTGCGCCTCCACCTGCCTCGTTGGTTACGTTGCAGGTCTCGAGTTCTACGACCCGGTTGTCGGAGAGGAGCGCTGTTCGCACCATCGAGTTGTCTATTACCCCGTCTCTTGACGCGGCTGACACGCACATCTCGGATGTCATTACGCTCAAGTCTCTGACGGCGAGACATATAAGGTTGCCGCTGGAGGGGAAGAGCGCCTTGGCAAACGGGTACCAGTCCTGGAGCACATCCTACCTCGGTGCAGATGAGACCACCGTCTTTGAGAACCCCAACTGGTTATACCACGAGCTGACCAAGTTGGCCTCGGGGTCTGATCGTCATATCTTTGAGTACCCTGCTGCCAAGGGCATGTTACACTCGAATGTGGTTACTACCTTGAGGGACAAGTGCCTGGACCCCAACCGCATTCCTCCTTCGCCCGCCGTTGCTAATGCTGCTGCTGCTTCTGCCTTGAAGGCTGCTATCAACCCCTTGTCGGTTAAATCCCCGGCCACACCTGCGAGCACTCCGCTCACCTCGCGCAACAGCACTCTGAATGGCAAGGCCGCCGTCACCAACAACAGCAGCACTGGAAGCAGCACCGGACCCCCCACCAGCGGTAACAGCACCAAGGCGCACGACACCAAGAAGGACGACGTTGAAGAGAAGAGGGAGTTTGAGCCTCGACCTGAGGAGTTGGTCCTCCTTGGATCACTGTCGGAGGACAAGGCTTACTCGTACTTCCTCATGGATACCAACCGTGATTCCCTCACCATCCTCCAGGACTGTAAGGGCAAAAAGGTACAGTCAAATTCAATTGTTCACTTGTCTAGATTATGGCAATCCACATATTTCTCTTTTCTTGGTTTGGTTTGGGTTTTTATTTTATTTGCTTACGACGTCAGATCCGCCTTTCTGTCAAACCATTCCCCAGAGGGTGTTCAATCTCGTTATCCATGCCACAACTTTATTTTTTTATTATTTTCTAGCGCGTCTTTTTCTTATTTTATTCTTTTGGTCCTTCTGGTCCTTCTGTATCCCACATAATCGTCCAATACGAAAGCACCATAAACTAAACGTGCCATGTCCTTCCTTTTTTTTTCTCACGTAACCCTCCCACTTTTGCTTCCCCCCTCCAAAAAAACAGCTCAAGGCAAACGGCGAGAAATGGGTCATGAAAACATTCATCACCTGGGACACCAAAGACACCGCCGTCTGGGACGCATACGCCGCAACATGGACCTCCCACCTCGGCGACCGTCGCGCCATCCGCAACTCGCTCACTCACCAGCTCTCGGGTTGGACATCCTGGTACCTCCATTACGAAAACATTAACGAGCAGATTATTCATCAGAATCTGGAGCATTATGCGTCGACCTCGAGCCATCATGAGCACCATGCGAGGTTGGAACATGTCCATGGGGGCAAGAGGGAGTGGCCTGGGAAGGTGTTCCAGATTGATGATGGGTATACGACGGTCGGGGACTGGTTGGATTATGATAGGAGCAAGTTCCCTGGGGGCATGGAGGCTATTGCGAGGGCGATTCGGGAGAAGGGTCTGACCCCAGGGATTTGGTTGGCGCCGTTTTTGGTGTCGAAAAAGTCCAAGATTGCGAGGGATAAGCCCCATTGGTTGGCACAGCAGCCTTGGCCGCCTACGTCGAACCGTCGCGATGGAACCAGCAACGATGGGGATGATTCGGATGATGATCTGAGTGGCCTTGGATGCTGTGGAGGTGGTATCAACACCGGTCGTCCTGGGTCCTCTCGCCCCGTCCACGCCCACCCTGCCTTCTCTGTCGGTGCTTATCTGTTGGATCTCGAGAACCCTGAAGTCCGTGAGTACCTCGCCAACGTCTTCCGAGTTATCGTCCAAGAATGGGGCTTCAAGATGCTCAAGCTCGATTTCCTCTTTGGCGCCGCCCTCCTAGCCCGGAACGGTAAAACCCGCGGTCAACTCATGTACGAAGCCATGCAAATGGTTCGCGACTGGGCCGGTCCTGACACCATCCTCCTTGGCTGCGGTGTCCCCCTCGGTGCGAGCTTCAACCTCGTCGATTTCTGTCGGATCGGCTCAGATGTCGGACCCGAATGGGACACAATGCAACGCTACTTCCATGACCGCGAATACATCTCCTGCAAGAACTCCCTCACCTCGACCTTATCCCGGTGGGCATTGTCCGGCCGGTTCTTTGGGAACGACCCAGACGTCTACTTTATCCGGGACTGGAAGATGGGTCTCAACATCACCGAGCGCCGCACTCTAATCCTCCTCAACCATCTCCTGGGCCACCTCGTCTTCACATCCGACTACATGGACCCCACAAAACTGAACGACGACCAGAAGCGCGTCCTGGACTCCTTCTTCCCCTGGCCATCAACCCCAGGATCCATCGACCACCCCTCTACCCACTCGATCCACCCCCTGGACCCACCCAAGATCATCCGCGTCCTCCAACCCAACCCCACCGTCAAGGACCTCTACCTCATCCAAGTCGCCCACAACTCCAAAACCTACATCATCGCCACAAACCTCTCCACCAAACGCCAAACCGTCCACCTCTCCGCCCTTGACCAAATCATCATCCGTGAATCCCCACCCCCACCACTCCACCTCCTCCCAACCTCTCCCCAAACCTCAGCCCGCACAGGTGGAGCATCCAAACACTCCCTCTTTGGCAACTCCACGGCTTCCCTCCTCTCCTCATCCTCAACCTTCCTCCTCTTCACCCCTTTGACAACATCAACCTACTTCCAAACCGAAACCGGTCAATTCGGATCCGCAGCCGCAGCATACTCTCTGGACCCCCACGAATCCTGTGTCTTCCTCCGCGTCCTCGACAACTACAACCAACTCTGCACATCCGCCACAACCTCCACAATTCCAATCCCCCCACGCGAAAACCTCTCTGTCATCGAAATCCTCGACATCCAGGACCCCCTGCCCTCCCATACCCACAACAACAACAACACCAACAACACCAGCCACGCCCACTCAACCTCCACAGCCTCAACCACAACGATCACAACCACCACAACAGAACAAGAAGAGCACCACCGCAAACACATCCTCCAAAAGGCCGGCTCACTCTACACCTCCCACAAACACCTCTTCCCAGCCCACCCGCAAGTCCACATCCTCGCCACAAGCGGAGGCCACATCCTGCCAACCTCCGAGATCGAAGCCCTCTCCTTCGTCAACCCACAGAACCCAGATATCCACGAACTGTCCATCAAATGGCGCGGGAACTTCTTCCCCCGTCGCGTGACCCTCTGGTTGGCTTGGAAGGTGAACCACGACCACCCCAACAAGTATCATAAGCGGCCTTGGCTCGTCAATGGTGTTCAGGCCCCGATCACAAATATTCTGCAAGGAACGGGACTCCAGGTCGCCAGCGTCACCTTGAACGTTTGAGTTTTTTTTTCTGGATAGGTTTGTCGTTTTGTAGCAATATTGGAGGTTTATTATTTATTGACAGGTGAATAAGAGAAAAAGAAATAGCACTATTAGTGTGTGTTTTTTTGTGAATCAAAGAAGAATAAAAAAGAATAGCAAAAGCAAAAAGAAAACTCGATTTGTTTTGCCAACTCGGTCTTAGAAGTGCTTCTCGATGACGCCAGAGGAGCCGTCAAACCGGTACCCACTGCTCGTAAACAAACTGCTTGATAGGAAGGGATGGATGTCATGAATATCCAGCGCAGTCGCACGATCCTTCAACTCGGAGACCTCAATCTTGATCGACTTGATCGCCATCCGTGGGTTCCTGATCTGGTTAAATCGCAAGTGTTCCCTCAGGATATCGTTCAGGATCGAGTACAGGAGCTCATCGCTGTCCTTGGCAAACGTCAGGTACTTGCTGAACGCCCGCTTGAGGTTCCGCATGACAGAGAACTTTTGTGCGCTGAAGAACGACTCGAGCATCACCCGGATCGCCATATCGATGTCGTCTGAGCGAGCATACTCTCGAAGGTGCATCTTGGCGTTGGCCTCTGACATGCGGATCATTGACTCCAAATGACGGACTGTGATAGGGATAGATCCTCCTGCCAACGACTCGCGACGGAGATCTGCGTAAAGACGGGCAATCTTGTCCTGGTCCATCTGATGAATCTTGGGTTGGATACGATCGCGCGCATACATAATGTACTTGCGCAACATGTCCTGAGGAATAATCTGTATTAGAGAAATATTTGAGCGTTAATTAATCTGAGACTCATCATGATTCCATATAGCATGCCTAAATTCCAGTTTATCACAACAAACAACTTACGTCCTCGTCGGGCTTCTCATAGATGCTGAGATGGTCAGACTCGGGAGAGAAGAGGGGGTGACTCCTGAGATGAGAGTTGAGGACAAAATTGGCGAGACGTTCATCCACAGTGGGATCGACAGTATCCTTGACGACACAGAGCACATCGAAACGCGACAGAATAGGTTCCGTCAACTCGACGTTTTCTGAGAAGGTGACCGCAGGGTTGTAGCGACCACGGATGGGGTTAGCAGCGGCCAAGATCGAGCAACGAGCCTGGAGGGTGGTGACAATACCGGCCTTGGAAATCGAAATACTCTGTTGCTCCATAGCCTCGTGAATACTGGTTCTGTCCGCATCGTTCATCTTGTCAAACTCGTCAATCAGGCAAACACCCTTGTCTGCCAGCACCAACGCGCCGCCCTCCAAGGTCCACTCACGTGTGATGGGATCCTTCCTGACTGAAGCTGTCAAACCAACAGCCGAGGCTCCCTGACCTGTCGTGAACACGGCTCTGTGTGCAGTCTTTTCGACGTATTTCAAGAACTGCGACTTTGCGGTTCCTGGATCTCCCATCATCAACAAGTTGATGTCTCCACGAAGACGATGCTTACCCTGAGGATCCTTGGGTACACCTCCAAACAACGACAATGCAATCGCCGTCTTGATATCCTCATGTCCATAAATCGAAGGCGCAATACTCTTGATAATCTGTTTCAAGTAGCCAAAAAAAAAATAGTGTAAGAAATGTTTAGCCGAGGAGTCCGGAACGAATCGTGTACAGTATATATTCGGATGTAGAACGTACCCGCTTGCCAATGTTCTCGTCCTTGCTGAGGCGGAGAATCTCTTTACGGTCCTCCTCGGTCAACTTGAAACTGGCAAAGACATCCTGCTTCTTGTTGACATAGTTGGCCTCCAGAATAGTAGCAAAGACTGGGAATCCGTTGGCCGAGTTCAGTGAAATATCAAAGTTGTTCCTGTACACTCCCGTAATTTCCTATTTCCGTCAAAGCAAATCAAGCAAAATAGATATTAGCACTTCGTACTTTGGCAACCAAGATTCTTTTGCCCAAGACAAGCGCAAGAAAATTCAAGCTCCAAGAAACACGTACGACTTCCTCGCCGGGCTTGGCGCTGTCGATGAGATCCCAGAGCAGGATGACCTCGCGATGGCGGGGAAGACGACCGGCAGGGACGGTTCCGGGGGACTCCTGCAAGGTCATCTTTTGGTAGTTGCGGTAGATGGTCTGCTCCGAGTTGACATTGAAGGGTCCTTTGGAGGGGCAAGAGGTACAGCTTCCGATCGAGATCTCTGTCTGTGAATCCTGGTAGAAAGGTCCGAGAGTTGCACCGCACTTCACGCAGTCGTACTTGACGTATTTCAATTGAGGAAAAACTCCTGTTCTCCTGGTCACCACTCCCGTCACCTGAACCAAACAGTTCAAGTTAATCTGACTATTGACATGAAAAAAAGGTAATATCGTTAGAGGCAAGGATTTCTTCAGGTGTTACCACCGGGATTTACGATAGCTCCATGAAGATAACAAGAAACATACCGAAGGTCGCGAAGGGTCGAGACGATAGGAAGATCGGTGACACGGACATGGATCTCAGAGTGAATGCGTCCATAGTCGGGGTACTCCATCTGGACGACCTCAAAGGCGATGGCATCAAACATCTTCAAGACCTCTAGCGGGGCGTTGACGACAAAGTACGCCAAAGTAGGCTTGGCCTCCGACAGATGACGGTAGCAGACCTCCAGACTCTCCTTGTTGGCCAAACCGAGCGCACGAATCAAAGGTCCGTAGACAGACTCTCCCTTGTCATCGACATACTCCAGCAAGAATCTCCTGAACTCTGACATGATTGTCCTGCGTGTCAACTCCTTTGTCACCCACTCTGTGATCGGCATTCCCTTGTGGTCGCTCAACTGCTCAGGTCCCAAAATAACATTCGACTATTTGGAAAATGAAGATTGTTTGGTTAGCCTCTGTAATAAGGTGCAAGTGGTTGGTATTGTTGTCCTTGTACTCTTATTCCCAGTCGCCAATAAGCTCAGCTAGAAAAGGGTACGTAGCATTACCATATCCTCAAGATCATCATCCATGAGGTCCTGCTCGTGAACACGCCTCCTGCGATGAACAACATTCAATGTGTTACCGGCATCATCTATCCCATTTGAAAGTGGTCAGGAACAAAGTCGTTAGTATATAGCGTCTCTAAATCCTAGTTTCCTAGCTACATCCAGAAAATCACCACCGTCTTATACATACCATCCATGAAAGCCTCGGGGATTCTTCCAGCAGCACGAGCACGCTCGGCATCACGTCTTGCCATCTCGGCTTCAGCTCTAGCACGCTCCGCAGGATCCATGCGCTCATAATCCTCATCATCAAGCTCGTCAATGTCGTACACATCCTGACTCGCGTTCACGTTATAATCGCTATCATTTTTTTTCATTTTGAAGAAAGTCCACACATATGTCAATAAAAATAAGATCTTTCCAGCAAGATAACGACACATTCGACATTAGAGCAGCCTATACTCTAAGTTAAATTATGAGAGCGTGTAGGTGGGCTTACTTTTCCATATCAGACCCATAGAGGTCCTCGCCCTCACCCTCGAGGTCGTCGTCCAGGTCCGAGATCATCTCATTATCGATCAAGCCGTTGTCCTCTGGGTCTGAAGACGGAAGTGGTGGTGACGAGCCGAGAACGGGTGAGCTTGGAGGGTAGTTGTTGTTGTTCGTGGGGGTCGTGACATTGTCATCGCGTTGACGCTTGCGATCAGCCTAGAGGTGAAAGTAAACAAAAGTAAGAATGGTGGCAACGACAGGAACGTGCGATGTGAGAAAAGTTAGTCAACGGTTGAAGACAGAATGAATGTTGGAGGTTGTGTTGGTTGAAAGAACGAAGAAGGAGAAGGAGAGTGCTCACCATGGTGTCCTGTGAGGTGAGAGATGAGGAAGGTGAGGTCAGGGAGGTGAGGAACAAACGAACCGAAAAGAAGAAGAGAGTGGAGCTGGCTCAACAGCTCGTTCCCCTGGACTACTTTTCACCACTTTTAATTTGCTCGAATTGGAAGGAAAAAAACAAATCATCAAGCCACTCAACAGGACGCGTCAGTCACGTGTAACAGACTTCATTTGAATGAGTGCATGCACTTGGATTCCCTATCTTCTTCAACTGGGACCAGGAAACATCGTTCCGGGACCTATCCTTGGTTGTCAAACTCCCACTCGATTTTTTGCGGAAGGTGAGGGCCGCCGTCTACAACTTCGTAAGCCCCTTTCAAGCCATCGCCATCATGGAAGGTGATCACCACTCCAAGGAGCAAGGGAAGCCTGGGAGCCTGGGATTCACTGCTCCAGCTACTCAGTGTCAAGTTTTCCAACTCAAGCATATCCGCAACGCTCCCGCTACTATAATCTCCATAGGCATGGGAATCTTTCTCGACATCATCCAATAGAAAGCCAAAACCGCCCACAGACTCGCCTTCCTTCTAGCGCCCCTAGATTGACGATACAAATCCTTGTTCTCCATTGAGCGCGGTCACTTCTTCGGGAGGATTTGGACCTCGAAAAGGGTCTCCACAGCTTGCAATGTTGCCAATTTGGTTCCCTACCCAACTGCCTACTCAAATACAGCTGTTTTGTTTATTGTCGCGACGAAGGGGATTCCTAACTGGGTTATGCTTGGTCCTCGACCTTCACGCCCTCCATTACCAAGGTGAGTTCTGATTTGAGTGTTGCAGGTGATGATAACGACTGTGGTTGTGGTACACTTGCTCCCGCCGTTGATGGCTCCACTTCTTCCTGCTTTGTTGATGGTGGTGGTGTCGCACAGACCTGTCCCTCCAGATACTTCTTCAATTGCGATCTAATTCAGAGAAAGCGAGGCGCACGTTAAAAAAAAATGTTATCAGTCAGGCAACCAAGTCATCCTTGCCATGCCATTTACTTCAGATATAACACCCAACCCATATCCCATTCAACACCTCCTCCCCCAAACATACCGCTTCTTCTCCAGAGTCGCCTGCTCCTCAGCCAACAACCTCCCCTGCTGGTCCGCCGACAAATCCGCACCCGGTAAATGATCCAAAATCATCTGACACTTCTTGAAGCTCGTCTTCAAATTCGACGCCAACGTTGCAATCTCCTGAGCGTCCTCGCCGGCTTCAAACTTTTGGAGGATGTGCAAGAGTTGGGAGAGGAATGAAAAGTCGGACGGTTGGAATGTCTGGTCGGGATCTTGTACGTCGGTCGGGTTTGGGAGGGATGTTAGCGCTGTTGACATCTTGGTGCTGTGTTGGTTGGTGTCGTGAGGTGTGATGGTGGTCCTGAAGGTGTCTTGTGCGTGTGATGTCCTGCGGTGAAGGTCGAATGAACTTGCAAGGAGGCAAAAATAATACATGGTGATGGTCTCTTGCAAAAGGCGGTTTTTGAGTTACTTCGGGGACAGTCACAGGGATCCTTTATGCTCCGTCCGTGCCTGAATCACAAAGTCTCCTTCGCGAACTTGTCCGGATCAGCTCTCCCTTCCTACCTCCTCAACTCCAACCATGAACCCCGCAGGAAGGTCATTCCTCACAACGAGGCTCGCCACTGCCACTAGGATTCAGCCCTTCCGGACATGTCAGGTACACTTTCACCATTCCATTCCCCTCCAACTCTCAAGCGGAACTTTCTCACACTTTCAAAAGAACGTTCCTAACTTCAACTTTTTCACCTCCAATAGTCCGTGGGCGCCCGCTACCTGACAACACCCTCCACCCCCGCTCCTCAAAAAGACCAAAAGTCAACTTCAAAACCGAAAGAGAAGCCCATTATTTTCAGTGGGATCCAACCGACAGGAAATCCCCACCTGGGGAACTACCTCGGCGCAATCTCAAACTGGGTCCAGCTCCAAGAACAAGCCCATCTGGACCAGGAAACCCTTCTCTTCTCGATCGTCGATCTTCATGCGATTACTATGCCCCAGGATCCTAAAAAGCTTCGTGAGGATCGAAAGAATATGGCAATTACGCTGTTAGCTTGTGGCGTTGATCCTAAGAAGGTTGTTTTGTTTGAGCAGTCTAAGGTATGCCACTCGTCGACTTTTTTGTGAGGAAGGGGCGTTAGGAGGTGATGAGAGGGCTGATAATTTCGTCCGCTAACGACATCTACTTTCAACTGATGGGTCTATAGGTCTCGGGACATGCGGAGCTGGCCTGGATCTTGAACTGTATAACACCCGTCGGATGGCTCGCCAGAATGACCCAGTGGAAGGTATGCCTCGTCATGTGTCTGACTTGAACGCGCTTGTTGACACTCATCATACACACATCCAAGGACGCGTCCTAAACTCTCTAAATCACTCCAACACTAGTCAAAGCTCGGTGTAACAAAGGGAGCCCAGAGTCTAGAAGACGTCAGCGCCACCCAAGGTCTCCAACTCGGTCTCTTCGCCTACCCCGTCCTCATGGCCGCCGACATCCTTCTCTACAAGGCAACAAAGATCCCAGTCGGAGAAGACCAGATCCAGCACCTGGAGCTGGCACGCGATATCGCTACCACTTTCAACAAAACCGTTCGCAAGCCTTATTTCCCCCTCCCTCGTCCCATCATCAGTAAGCTTTCGTCTTTACTCCTTTTTCATCTGATACCCCAATGGCATTATCTAGTAGGTCCTTTTTCTAACTCATCCCACGTTTTTGTTCATACAACCAAAAAAATTAATTATATAGCGGAGACGAAGCGCGTAATGTCGCTGAGGGACCCAACAAACAAAATGTCAAAATCAGACCCCTCCGACCAAACACGCATCAACCTCATCGACTCCCCCTCCTTAATCTCCACCAAAATCAAACGAGCAGTAACAGATCCCATCCGTGGAATCTCGTACTCCCGCACCGATCGCCCTGCACTCGCGAACCTTATCGAGATCTATGCTGGCATGAAGAAGGTCTCGATCGACGAGGTTGTAAAAATGCATGAGGGGGATTCGAATGCGGCGTTTAAGGAGGCCCTGACGGGGGTTATTGTTGAGGCTTTGGGACCCATTCAGGAAGAGATGAGGAGGTTGGAGGGGGAGAGTGGGTATGTTGAGGGGGTGTTGGCGGATGGTGCTAGGAAGGCTGGGGAGATTGCGAGACCAAATTTGGAGATGGCCCAGAAGCTTATGGGTCTTCGCTAGTTATGTTTGTTTCTGAATAAAATGTGCATTCTTTAGTAGTTTAAGACAAGAAAGAGAGGAGTGGCGCAATACTTGCGGATTGTTTTAATGTGATAAAGATTTTACAAGAGTGAAGGAGAACAACGAAAGAAACAAATGGATAAACGAACAAGAAGGAAACGAATGAGGGGTGTTATACTAATGTAATAAGGAGAACAAAGAGAATCCAAAAGGATCGAGGGGAAGGAAAGGAAGGAGCCTAAGAGCCAATCTTCTGACTAGCAAAGGCAGACGAAGCCAAAGCCGGTTTAGGCGTACAGCTATCATCCGCACCGCTCTTGGCAGAAGAAACGGCTGAAGACACCGCAGGAATGGGGATCGGGGTAGAAGTCCTTGTAGAGTTGGCAGTCGTGGAGGAGGACGAAAAGTTGATCGACGACGTCCAGGTGCCATCCAAGATCGCATCAATCGACTTGTTAAGATGCTTCTCGTCATAAATAGGTCGACCTGACGACGGGTCCCGTTTGCCAATGACCGGCACACACTCGATACCCAACTTTTCAATCCCCCAAGTATCAACCTGAACCTCCGAGTTATCCAGATAGATCAAGTGAGTAATATACTTAGCCGGACGATACTCTTTGGGCCAGAACTGTCCCGACAACTTGAGGGACGAGTTGAGGGCTCCTGAAAGCGCCCAAATGAAGTCCAAAGCCGTGTAGTCAGGTGTCTCCCTGTCGTTGGTTCCGTTCAACATAAAGATCTTGTTCTTGAGCGACCGCGACTCGGCAATACCCCGACCAACATCCTTGAGGATGAGACAGGGGATAATCGAGGTGTAAAGCGATCCAATAGAATAGATTAGCGTCTCCATCTCGGCCAGCGAGTAGAGCAGTTTTGGGTTGGGTGGTGGGAAGATCTCCTGTCCGTATTCGTTGATGTAATACAGGCGCGTGATCCTCGACACCAGCGAGCTCGAAAGTGTAGGACTCTTGTCGAAATGGATGTTGTTCTGTGTAAGCTTGAGTGTCGAAAAGCTATCCTCCTGCTGCTGAGATGACGACAACATGGTCGCCAGATCCGGTGTTTTTGAGCCGTCCGGCGTAGTGGATGCAGAGGCCACACCAGGTCGGACATGGCCACCACTGAACGAATCCCCCGAGGCCGCAAGAGAGGGGTGCGAGATGGCGCACTGTCCCAGGATGGTATGCCCGTTCTTCAAGAGCGCAGCGATGGCGATACCATGGTTGGTGTTGATGACGGGGATGACCCGAGTGGGTTCCGTGATTCCTGTGATAGCCGCAAAGAGGAAGATGGCCGACTCAAGCGATCCAAAGAACATGCGAGCTCCTGTCAAGAAAAAGTTGCCAATAGACCCGTTGGCGAATGAGAACCGCTTGTGCGAGCGCTTGAGGATCTCGGACTGGATATAGATAAGGAACCCTCGAATGACCTCCTTCTTTTCCGAGGGGATATGCATCCATAGTCTAGAAATGTACCAATGGAATTATATTTAGTTTCTCCTTTGGCCAATCTGTAAGCAAGTACTTCAAGACCCCAGACACTTTCGAACACGTTGCAAAGTAACCAACCGATGACTGCCTTCGACAATCTCAACCCATTCATTCTTGATGGCATGCTCGTCTCCATGTCCCGGAAGACGATAGCCCAGGAGCTCCTGGATAGCAGTACGGCCAATATCTAAGGGATCTGGCTTGATCAGACGAATGAGTCTCGAGCGGATATCGCCAATGGCTGGTCCGTCAAGAACTCGTAGAATCTCGCTTGTTGACCCGCCATTGTCCGAGATACCCACTATTTTGTGAAAAGAGGTTAAGAGTCAGCCAAACAGTCAGACGAGGTTTGTATCAATTGATGAAGAGCAACCTCCACATTCCTCTATTTGAATGATGTATACATTGATGAACATTGACGACGATAGTAGTAATAACAAATACTCTACGCCTTCATGCTCATTTGTCATTCATCATTATGAGATCGTCAACAATAAACAAATAGACATTGCCCACTTGAAGGGAGGAGATAAGGGACAAAAATAACTTTTGGGACCTGTGCTAATAAACCCTCTCCCTTCAGTGACCCCTGGGCTAGAGTGTGTTGCTTGTTGTGGTCTACCCAGGGTGCTCCACGTTTACACAAAACGATACATTGACCCAATGGGTATCCCCTGTTTTCGTCTCTTACTAATCCACTCCATCCCTGTTCCCTGTTCAAACAGCCAGTTAGAGCAGGCTGTATATTGGAGTGAGGGTGACTCAGCGAAATAAGCAATCGACCCCATATTCTTTTTCGAGCACATTGCAATTATCGCATTGTGGCTGACTGTGTGTAAGTGAGTGAGTCTTCCCTCTTTTTTTTCTTTTTTTTTTTTTTTTTTGATCTGGGTGTCCACAAAAAGTTTAAAAAAAGAACAATGAAAAGATAAAGCCGTCGAGCAAATCCTGGGTGTGTGTGTTCGCATTCCCGCCTTTGTCCTTGTCAATTGTCAATTGTTGTGGAGGAGGAGGAGTCAATGGTGCATGCGTCTCGCTCCTATCCACAGAAGAGATTCTCATCCCTGGGTTTCTCTCTTCCTTAGCCATCTCTCTCGCTCTGTTTTTGATGGTCTAAAACACACCCTCTTATCGCTTGCAACAAGTAGGACTCGCCTGACTTATCAGCATTCAGAAGAATAGCAAATATCCGGAACAAAAGGGGACAAAAGGGAAAAGAAAGGGCTAGTGTAGATAAGGAATAAGGAAAAGGGAACAGCAGTGAAGGAAAGACAAAGGTGTGAGTTCACAGTACACCCTATGACAAATGAACTTACAGACGTAGGTGACATTGGGAGTCATGTTCTGCAAGAGCTGCACCAGCGAGTTACAGGCAGTGCCTCCAGAAAAGACCAGGATACCGGCATCCGCACCTCCACGGAGATTGTCCTGTCCAGCAACCCCCGAGCAGGTCGACGTTGCTGTGGCGGGAGTGTGAAGACCTCCGTTGGTGACGGCGGGGGCAACGGTTGTTCCTGCGGTTGAAATGGCATCAGGGTGCTGATTGTCGTTGGGGTGCAATGAGGAAGGGATCAGAGCCGCCTCTGCAAGCAAGGGCCTACTTGTGCTCCCATTGGCGTCGGTTGCGGTTGTGGGCGATGCCGGGACAGAGGTACGACCAGAAGCGAGTTTTTTGTTGAATGTCGGAAGGATCGGTAAGGCGATTGCCTCTCCGTTCTTGTAACCGGGTCCGTTTCCGATGAGGGGCAGGTTCATTGGTAGTTGTGTTGGTTGTTGCTGAGGTGTTGTTGTTGTTGACAGTGAATGGGAGGTGGAGGTAAGTGGTAGTTCGAAGTGGCAAGAAGAGGAAGAGTGTTCTGTTTCGTCAGAGGGGGAGGGGGAGGGTGGTGAGGAAGAAGTAGAGAAGGGAGGAAAAGGGTAAGAAGTAGAGTGGTTGAAGGAAGGGAGAGAGGAAGGGAAGGGAGGGGAAGGTAAAGAGGACGTGAAAGTGAAGGAAGAGGAAGAAAAGGAAGAAGAGGAGGAGTGAAATGAAGAGGGGGAGAATGATAAAGATGATAATGCGGGTGGACGACTGCTGGTGCTGCCGATGTTGAATGCACCACGAGGGATGGGAGCAATAGGACGTCCTTGTTGAAGATAATGCCGCTGTTGCTGCTGCTGCTGCTGCTGCTGCTGTTGCTGCTGTTGCTGCTGTTGATCATCGTCATATAGATCGTCAGTGTGGCTGCTCATGATGGTGACAATTTGCGTTTTTCGAAAAATTATTATCTTGGGGATGGGTCTGCAGTAAGGAGGACGGAGGAGAGATAAGGAAAGGGAAACAATGTCAGCTTCAGAGAGGAGGACACAAGAGGACGAAGGAAAAAAGAAAGAAAAAAAAAAAGACAGCAGCATTCACTATCCACACACGAACATGAGTGTTCTCGGATCGGTGTTCAAGGGTCAATTGCCTTGCTAGCGCAGTTTTGTCTTTGTCGTTGCCTTTTTGCTTGTGATAGTGATAGTGAGGAAAAACAAGGGGTGGGTGAGTGGCTAGTGTGATTGGTATTGTTGTGAGAGAAGAGAGCGAGTGGCAAAGGAAGAGAGGCGAGAGTATGTGTGAGCGAGTGTGTGCGGTTGTTTGAGCTGAGGAAGAGTGTGTTTTTGAAAAGAGGGTAGGAAGAGAGAAAGAAAAGAGAAGGGAGAATGAGGAACCAAGAAAAGAAAAGAAAAGAGAAAACTGCCGATCGAAGACCGATCCCTGAAGTGACCCTTTTATCTATTTTTTCATCTACCGCATTAGCCCTATGAAACGGCTGCGATAATGAACATTTTCATGTGGAGAAGAGACTGTGACACGGGTGTGCACAGGGAGTGAGTCTCTGCTGCACTTATATCTGATCCATCGCTCTCAACTTCAACTTTACCCCAGGAACAAACCCACTCTCACAAGGACAAACGATCGAAACCACCATGGATAATAAATGCCGCTTTGTTCTGAATGATGACTCTTCATTCTCACTCGTCCAACTCTACGTACATCTCCCGCCGCCAACCTCACTCCTCGTAGAGCATAGTCATCTCCTTCTCTCATCATTAACAAAATCCAGTTGATCCGAGAGGCTCGTACAACAGCTTTCTCCATCTCGCAAACCGCATTAGCATTGCCTATCTTCATTCACCATCCCACACATCCCCTACCTCTCAACATCGCCTCCACCTTTTTTTCTTCTTATCTTTCCAATGAGCACAACCCCTGTGCCACGGTTTTTTCTCTGAAAAACAATGCAGCGTATAATAGCCTTGCAGGCTTACGCAGATAATTTTTCAAGATGAATTTTTCCTTTTTTTTTTGTGGCAATCCACATGTTTAGCGCGGAATTAGTCCAAAAACAGGGCTTCCCGATCCATCTTTTTTTTTCCTCCTTGTCTTTCGTTCGCTTTTCGCATTGAGCAATAACAACAATCCACTTCCTATCCACCCATCTTAAGTGCAGTGTGTGGGGGCAAGTGATCATTATTTTGGGCTGAACCGATTGACATTGTTGATTGTAGCTGTGTTTTCCCTTTGAGCATTGGGTTATGGGTTTCCATGCCCATGACACCTCCAATTTCTAATAAGCAGATCGCAACAACACTGGCATCTTTTCTTTTTCGTAACTGAGATGTCCTGTCATCAACACCTTTCTATTTTCCACCTCTGCCGCACCATGACACCTCCAATTTCTAATAAGCAGATCGCAACAACACTGGCATCTTTTCTTTTTCGTAACTGAGATGTCCTGTCATCAACACCTTTCTATTTTCCACCTCTGCCGCATTACCTGTTTTGGAGTGCATGAACAAAGTGACAAAGTGCTTGGCGATAGAAAAGCAGCGCCTCGGATCTAAGAGAGGACTCTCCATGAGCTCCTTTTTTCTTGCTCTTCCCTGGGAAATGAGGAGTAATGAAAATGCGCTCTTTTGTCGTGGCGGTAGTGGTGGTGGTAATTGATGCTCTTTGTGTGTGAAGGTCACACAGCATGACGGCATGACGAACGCGTCTTTTTCATTTTCTCCTACCAAAGCTGTAGTACTTGATTGCCCGAATCGAATTATTCCCTCACTCACTCATTTTTTTTTTTTGCTATTCACGAATGGGGCTCTACTAAGAGACGTACACTGTATCTTTGCAACATGCATGGCCTACATAGTCAATTGTTTTCAACTTTGGAGTGACGTATATAATAACGGACCTTTCAATGGCAAGCATCCAATTTAGCCTACATACATACCCGCCAGTGTTTGGTTTGACAGACGAGCTTGTCTGATTTCCCTAGGCCAATATTGTTTTTTTTTCGCCTCCGAGGTGGCGAAGGCGCATAAATTGGTGTAAATCACGTGTATTTTGACCAGAAACCACGGTCATCATCTATTCAATGCCATGGCAACTCTCCATCACCTTGTTTCTTTACTCCATCTTTTCTCATTCATTCATTCCAGTCCACTCAGGAATAAGCACTCCATTCAGAATAATAATAAAAGCCTCTCACCTCAGTAACAAACGACATTTTTTTTACTACTTTCTCGGGAATCCATTTTTAGGTAAGGCTGTGCGCCCTTGTTTCTACAGGAGGAAAAATAAATAAATAGCGCGCTTGCTAGGACAGAAACCTGGGAACAAAAAGGATTCGCGCCACTCCGGTTGTTATCTTATACTTCCTGTCTTTTTTTTCTTCGACTTGCCATCGTTAGGCGTAAAACAGACAGCCAGCTCAAACGATTATCCTCCTCTCCCCTTTTTCATCCTTTCCTTCCACCGCTACCAACCATAATCGCACACGCGTCTATCAATGAACGCGAAAAAGAAAATCAGATCCAATGATCATCTCGACATCCAACAACATCAACAGCTAAGAGCAACCGCCACAGCCATCGATCCCGAAAGCCAGCACTATAATCCCTTCATCGCCCAACAAGCCCAAGAACTAAACCAACTCTTTCGTAAGAAATGGCAGCCGCGCCTTCAGACCTTCATCAGTATCCTTGCAGACTCAATTCTGTCGGAGCAAGTGGTTTGGATCATGGATAATAAGCCATGGATTACTCTAGCGGATGCTATTTCGGGGGTATATGGGGTGTCGACTTTGCATATGGACCCGGTGGTGACCGAGGCGATGATGGAGGACTACAAGAAGGACGGTGGACGAGATGGGGATGGGGAGGGGTTGAAGGAGAACGAGATGCAGTGTGCTCGTCGACGACAGTGGGAGTCAGATCGGTTGTTGGACGCGGTTCTGACACTCATGCATATCCACGCCGCCTACAACGCCGTCAAAGCGTAGTTTCACTTCTGCATTTGTCAGGTGGTACCACAACAAGATACTGTGCAAAATAAACGTCCACTCTATTTTTTGCTGCAGGCATGTATCTCTTCACGACAGACGGACAAACAACAAACACAAACTGTCAACATTGGGCGTTGACGCGTCTTTGGACGTCGATCTAGACCACCACCGCCGCCGTTATTAAGCATAACTGCAGGCGCTTGAACTTTTTTCCCCTCGAAAGTGTATCAACTGGTCCATAAAGATCAGAACGTTGCCAAGGACCAAGAGACAAGGAGCACAAAGACCGGAGTGGGAGTGGGTGCAGAGAGGTTAAAAAAAGAATCGACGTCTAGAGATGGGAATTTTACTTGGGCATGTCGCACCGTCTCGACCACCCAATTGCGCGAGGGAGGGGGCGATAAGAAAGTGATGTTTATGAGTTTTTGAGTTCTTGGCAACCAAGAAAAATGGTTGACGCAAGGAAGAGAAGAAATTGAGAGCAGGGCAAATTGAAAAAAAGGGACGTAGACTTGGCACGAGCGTGCTTTGTTTTGATAGGGACCAGCGGGAAAGTGGTGGGAGAGAGAGAGGGAAAATGAAGGGAGGGGACAAGACAAAGTTGCAAAATGGATCAACGGCCCGGGAGAGTGGTATAAAAGGACTACCTATTTCTCTATTCTCCCTTCTCTTTTTTCTCCAGCAACACAACAACCACTACGACAACCACAACAGCAATAGCCACCCTTTGCTATCTCTCTTCTCAACATCAACACACACAAACCCATCCAACAAACAAAAAATGACCATCGCCACAACTCATAAAGCCTTCTTTGGTGCAACGGGCGGATGCACAAACGCCTGCCTGGTCCACACCCTCAATGCCGGATTCCACGCCACTGCTCTCGCCCGCACACCCTCCAAGCTCGTTGAGATGCTCCAAGCCCAAGGGATCACTCAAGACGTCATGGACGCCCAGCTCACAATCTTCAAGGGCGACATCTCTGACATCCATGCCATCAAGGACACCCTCACCAACCATGATGCAGGCACCACCGGTACTGTCACCCTTGCCTCGCAGATCATCTCGGGTATTGGCGGCACCCCTCAGATGCAGATTTCACTCCGTCGACCCGTGACGATTGATAATCCTGAGGTTTGTGCCACGGCGACAAAGAACATTATCAAAGCTCTCCAGGAGATCTACAGGACCCAACCCTCGACTGCCTTGCGCAAGCCCTCCATCACCGTTATTTCCACCACTGGTGTCTCGGATACCAAGGAGGATGTTCCTTTTGCGTTCAGGATCCTATACCACGTCGTTCTGGCTGACCCTCACAAGGACAAGAAGGAGATGGAACGTCTCGTCACCGAGAACACTGGAAACGGAGGAGCATTCAGTGGTGCGGTGATTGTTCGACCTAGTCTCTTGACGGGAGATCAGTCTGTGAAGGGAGGACAGGGGTGGGAGAAATTGAGGGTTGGACGGGAGGATGAGCCTGCGGTCGGGTACACAGTTCATAGGGCCGATGTCGGACAGTGGATTTTTGAACAGGTTGTCAAGACGGGAGGCGAGGCTCGCTTCGGGCAGCGTATTACTCTTACCAACTAGGGTTTTGATTCCCAACGAACCCCCTCTCCCTTACCTGATTAGCGAATTGTTTCTCATTCATTATATTTCTTCCCGCTATCTCTTTCCATAATTACCGCTGTACACTAATAAACACAATGACACATTGACCAAAACAACGGCACACAGGAGGCCCCGCGGAAAAGTAAAGAAAGGGAAGACAACGGTGTGCTGGGGGTTCAAGGCCAGGGAAAAAGTCAACCCAAACGCGAACGCGAACAAGAGACATAACTACGACGGTGTGTGTTGGTGAGACGTGTGGTGGTCATAACCTCACGCGTCGCGTCAGTCACAGCAAACGCGCTGATATATCAACCACTATGACCCGTGGGCATATAGGCACGAGAGGTGTCAATTGAGCTGCCTGCAGATCTTTTTATGCAGTGTCTTTCATCAGCCCACAGGCTGACGATCGACCATATCGCTATTATTTCTTGGGCTCTTTCCCGCCTTCGTTTTTCTACTTCTTTGTCCCACACGTTTACCCATTTTCTTTTTCTCACCTTCAACCCTTTCACACAATCATGCATCTCCCTTATCCGTCCTTCTTTCACTCTCCGCACCACAACAATTGACCGGAAAAAATAATAACAGCCTTAAACAATACGAAATGAAAGGCAGAATGGGGAGTCATTTTGGATTGCTACGTTTAAAGAATCTACAAAAACCAAAAAAAAACACACACATATACACACACACCCAAGCTGGACCTTGAAGGAAAAAGTGGTTGGTTTCAGTAGGAAAGAACGTGCATTGCCATATGCTTGTATCGGGCCGCTCTGGCACTCGCTACGAAAAGGACATGAAAAAAAGACACCCTAACGAGAACTGCGAGTCCTTGTCTCCTTGCACTGCCGCCTTGTAAAGTCACTTGAACACCAACGCATAATCCTGCGGAATTCCCGCGCCATATTTCGTATTTTAGCCCGACTTTTCCATTGACCCTCAGAATGCCCCGTGCCCGGCTGTTTGGAGATGCCAACGCATGGCGTTATGGTAATCTTGAAGGTGACCGCCCTTGTCTTCGTAGCATTATTGGCCAGCGTGACTTGAGCCTCCAGATCGCCTTGATTGACTCTGATTGACAACTGGGCAATCTACAGGAACGCGTGTTACGGATAGATGTTAATCCTACTAAAAGATTCATTGCCTCTTCTTTTTACTAGACGAAGTGGATAAGTCAAATGCTTGTCCCCACTCAGGCACTATAAATGCTGCTCAGGGACAAGCTCATGATAAAAAAAACCGGCTTCTTTACTCGTCTTTTTCTCTTCATAATATCTGGCGACACGTCACACGCGGTAACAGGGACCTCCTGATCCTGAGGCGACCATAACTGACTGCCCTCACTGACGGATTAGGCGACACCCTGTCTGTTGGGACTGACGCTGACAGAGTTGTCCTCGTTGTTGTTTGAGCATAATTGTGGTCCGCAGAGGTCTGTTCGGGGAGCTTCCATATGTGAGTAGTTGGCTAGAGCCAGTTCCATATGTCCGTGTGGGTTCCGTCCTCTAGATACTGCGGGGGTTTGAGGTACTTCCTGAGGCGAATCTGCTAGCAGTTCCATCTGTTGTGATGATGGCGAATCGGTTCCTGGGTCGGTTGGAGCATCTTCCAATACAACATCAAGGGTGACTTCAGGGACACAAGCAATACGAAGCGGGTCAAGACTATATTAATTGGACAAAGAGTGTGTTATAGTTCCCTTTTTCGTCAGCAAGTATGAACAAACAGCATGCAGCATAAAATAATTGGATAAAGAAGGGACGTACTCTCGAAAGTCGTCACCCTTGAGGAAGGGGATGACTTTGGTGCCATGCTGGAGATAAAGGGCACCTCGAAAGACGACAAGGACGTCGCTCCAGAGGATAATTTCGTTTCCTGAGGAAGAGTCAAAGTGGGTGGCGATGTGGACGGTCTTATTCCTGCTGGGGAGGTGTATGGCCTGGACGCCTTGTGGTCTCTCTGACCGCAGCTTGGGAATGGGTTGTGGGTGTTGATGAGCAAGGTTGGTGTCGACAACAGCTGGGTTGGGGATGAGGGTTTGGTTGGATTTTTTGAGTCCGAACAGACCAGGGACGACCGAGAGCTTTATGGATGAATCCTTGTCAGCAGTGGAATCCCCAGACTCATTCTGCGTATTTATCATCCGGTGGGTTGAAGAGGGTACCGACGATGGTGAAGCTGTCGATAACGGTAAGGGGTCCGATGATGGTGAAGGGACCGAAGGCTCACTCAATGAATCTCCTACGACAACATCCAGTACAGCCCCTGGAACAGAAGCAATACAATGAGGCATAATCCTATTTTTTTTGAACATGAGCAAAGAACAAAGCTGTCAGAACCCTTTAGTTGTAGCTGTAAAATACGCAGCATTGCCGAAAAAGCATAGAAAAATACTGCGATTGTTGGCATACACGTCATGATCGCCATCCCGCAGGAACGGAAGAGTTATATCCTCATGTTTGACACAACGGAGGCCAGGGAACCGATCTTGGACGTCGCCTAAATATACGACATGTTGCTTCAAGTCTCCGCGATAGACTGCCGCTATCACGACCCGGTCGGAATCAGGCGAGCCAGCTAGTCGAAATGACTGGTAGGTTGACTGGGATGAATCGTCCTGCTCCAATACACGCGTTTGTCGAAAGCGACTTAGCCGCGAAGGGACCGAAGGCTCGCTCGGTGAATCTCCCACGGCAACATCCAGTACAACCCCTGGAACAGAAGCAATACAAAGAGGCATCACCCTATTTTTTTTTTGGAACAAGAGCAAGAACAAAGCTGTCAGAAACCCTTTTGGGTGTAACTAAAAATACACAGCATTGTCGAAAATGCACAGAAAATACTGCGATTGTTGACATACTCTGTATTATCGCGATCCCTCAGGTACAGAAGAGTCTTATCCCCATGTTTGATCCGAATTCTACCCCCATGGTTGATCTTATAAACGACAGGGAACTGTTCTAGGATATCGGCCAAATATGCGACGTGCTGATTCAAGTCTTGGTGATAAACTGTCTTAATTCTTGCAATAACGGCTGGAGAGGACGAGTGAACCAGCCGAAATGACTGGTAGGTTGACTGAGATGGATCGTCCTGCTCCAATGAAAGCATTCGTCGAAAGAAATTCATTTTTTTTTGTCGAAAGAGAGGAGCTAATGAATGTACTTATGAGATGAATGCAGCAGGTGGATGAGGTTCAATCAGGGGAAAGAAGTTAGTCTCTAGTCCTTGCCCCATGCCCCCATCCAACACCCAAACACGCGTGACTTGAAAAGGTCCATTCAAGCACGTGCACCACATCAAAAATTCAGGGCCAGCACACAACATCAGCTGTAAGTTATTTAGTCTCACTCAGGTGGTCCGAGATCAATAATTAGTGATAGCGGACAAGGAGGAACAGCCACTCTTTCTTTTTACCTTGTCGACCATCCACAACAAGTCTCTGTTCACAGTTTCTCTCTTTTCTTTCTTACCCATCAGAACTCAATATCAACAATGCGCTTAATCTCCTTGCCCTCGAGCTTTTACGACACGCGACATGTTGTATCGGTTTATCAATGTAGAAAAATGAAAAAAGATGTCAAGTACTCTCGGCTGCAGCGATATCGGCGAGTGGGATACACACAGTAAAAATACGAGCAGGCCGTGAAGGTCAACATAGACAACTGTACTTGAAAGGTTGTAGGGAAAGAGCTTCACAGTGAGGACTAAAGAGACCACCCGCATCCAAGATCCTGTGCAAAGATGCTGAAGCGAGGAAAAGGTCGCCCAATTGAAAGGCGGAATCCCATTCCATAAAAAGATGTGAAGAATGAAGCAAAGACGACAAAACAGCGATCGATCTAGTTCGAACATGCCCTAGTGGTCTATTAATGAAAACGAACCTCCAGATCGAAAAGATATGTGCCGGCTCCACCGTTCAGTTCGTATACATAACAGAAAAAAGACTGGCCGACGAGTCCCGAAGCGATCCTCAATGTGTGCTCCATTTGGTAACGCCTACTTTTACCTTTGACGCCATCGCTCCTCGACAAGTCCTTGATTACGCAAATGTTGAAAAACAACGGTGAAGCGTATCTTGGCATAGCTAGCTGAAAAAGAGGTTACGGACGTTTTTTTTTCTTGTAGGAATGGTCTATGCACGATGCCCGAAAACCAGAGTAGAAAAAAAAAAAAAAAAAAAACAATGCCACCGCTGTCTCATTCAAAGAACAACACAACACCGCGGCGAACAACATGTCACATCCCTGTAGCTCATTTCTTTATTGAAGTAATGAAAACAAAATGAATCGACTGTGTGGGAAAGTGAGTGGACAACCTACTGTTGGTCAAATCGTAGTAACAATTGAACAAATAAAGAAAGAATCACCAAGACATGGGTTTGAACCATCTATCGTCCCGCTGTGTTTTGAGAGAAAAGAAGTGTGCGATAGAAAAAGACAAGGACATCTCGACGTGAAAAAACGAGCAGCGAAAAATGAATCGCGCTCCCTTTACTGGACTCGATCGCGTTGATTTTCACAGAAGAAAAGGGTGGCGCCAATGCTTTACAAACCTAATCGAATCGTCCCAGTTCGATGTTCATATGAAGGTTTTTGTAATCGCTTCTTTTCAGTTGGCTTGTGCTACACAAGCACGTTATTATTACCGACATGGCAACCACGAGCATCCACGAGTCCGACAAAACGGCATGCATGTCTCTTAGTTAACGGCTAATTGTCCATTATGCCCAAGTAATATATTTCTCACATGCCATTTGAGAGTACGTTTACGGCTGGACGATGAAAGAGACACCTGTCAAATTCATTTATTCAATTCCGCTCTCCTTCGAAACGTGAACATCAGCGTGCAAAAATAAGGGTTCGGACTTTTATTAGACGCACCATCGACATTATGCTCAACGAATACGATACTGGCAACCATGCGATCATAACCTGTTCGCTTCCCTCTTCCTTGTCAATGCCAGTTGGTGGCGTCAAAGGTACAGAGATGGAAAATGCATAAATCGATCCTCTTTGATCTGATCGACAAGACAACATGAAACTCCCAGCTTGTTGGTAATTGCGTATAAAAGTAACCTTCTTCGGTGTTCGTCAGTGTTCATCCGGTACCCGCGTCAGCCCCGACGTTTGATCCCAGTCGGAACTGACCTGCCTCTGTCAGTCCCCGACGGATCAATCCCTGCCCCTGCGCATGCCCCTTTCCCTAAAATGACGCAAAACATTTTTTCTTCAACTTGCTCTCAATGGTCCCCTCCTTTCATGTTGTTTATCCGTCCCAACACAACCTTCATCCTCAAAATGTCCAACAGGATGGAGTGTGTCCCAACAAAGGGAAAGAAGGAAGGGCCTGGATTTGCATGGTTGTGACCTGTCAAAGAATTTGAGAGCACTTTTGCAGACTCCATCGCCGCGTTATTCTTGTTGACCCTCGATTAGGCTATGTCTTAGTTGTTGTTGGGTTGTGTTTTACCGTTTTTTTCCTTTGAGTGGGTACGGTGCACGCAGAGGACGCTTTGGACGGGCCAGCGAGGATATGCACGCTGAACGGGAAGGAGAGGAGTGGAAAAAAATAATATGAGCTGGGGCAGGCAGAGCACTGATCCTCCTACACAAGCGAATGAATGCAAGGGGAGATGAAAGGACATGCAACGATTCTCCATAAGGAAGAGTGAGTAGGTAGTCTTTCTCCCGTACGTATAAATGACGGCCTTGCATCGTTTGAATATCTGTCACAAGAGGGTAAAAAACATAATGCAAGGGCGGTTGGGCGGAGATAGCTCTATGACCGAAAAAAAGAAGAGCATAGGATGATGATGAGCTAGAAGAAGAGAGGGAGCATTGAGCAACGAGCTGAAGCTGAAGCGCTGGAGGTCCGCCCCCCCTCTCCGGCTCCTGTTTCCAATTTTTATGTCTGTAAGAATGACGCCGATAAATGGTCTGCCCTTGCTCACAGAAGAAAGCGTTTGAGAACCCTTAGTTGAAGGTACAGAAAAAGTCGACAGGTCTTGTGCTGCTGGCAACAGCTGGTTCACTCTCTTTATTCCTCCAACGGGACCACTTCCTTTTTGTCCTTGTTGTTTGTGTGCGCATTGTTGTTGTTTTTCTACTGACCAACAGAAATGGACGGGGGGTGTTTTCTTCCCATCAGAGTTCAGAGCATTCTTGTATGCGAGGTGGAGTACAATAGCAACAACAAGAGACAGCAACAACGATATGAGATGGATAGATGAAAAAAAAGAGAGCAGAGTAGCAGGGGCAGGACTAGAAAACAAACAGAACGGGTAGAGTTGAGAGCGCAAGAAAAAAAAATTGTCATCTGTCTGCGCAAGAGAGGGATTAAGAAAGTGAACACATGGTGCATTCAAGTTTCTTTTTTCCCAATGTATCTAGTAGTTGATACTGTAGCAGTAGCTGCAGCAGTAGCAACATTGCGGCTCCCCTGTCCCCTTGTGTAATGCAATTGCAAGGAGAGATCAAGGGGTGCAAGAAGTGGCGGTGAGTGGTGAGTGCGGTGAGTGTTGTTTATCAGAGACCTGTCCAATGAGAACCGCTCCATCAAATTATGGATGGCAGACATAATAAACATCAACCGGTGCCTGAAAATTAAAACTTTTCTTTTCTCTTCTCTTCTCTTCTCCTCTTTTCCGTTCTTTGTCCTTGACCCGTTCCCCCTTCCTCACTCCCTACTCTCACTCACAACTCACATTTGCAACAACAACAACAACAACAACTGCAACTGCTGCAGCAACCTCACGCATCCACTCCTCCGTCCTTGACAACCACCCCCTTACGTCCTTCTCTCTTTGAACAATTAAACGGATAGTGCACTCCTCAGACAAATATAAAGAGCTACCCCTCCCTCCTTACACACACACACGCATAATGGATCCAAAACCAACAACAACAACCCCGGCCGCAAAGCCTAAACCAAAACCAACTACTGCCACAACTACTGCCGCCCCACCAAAAAAGACAACTACCACCGCTGGCGCGATCGCCCCAGGCACTCTCTCAGTCTCCACAACCCCAACCATCTCCCCCTCCGCCTCCGCCTCCCCCGATGCTTCCTCTTCTTCTGGCGCAGGAGGACTCCCCGTTGCAGCTATTGCCGGTATTGCGGCCGGAGGTGCGGTGATCTTGATGTTTCTCATCTCGATCCTTGTCTGTAAGAAGCGCCGTTCTCGCCGGTACGCTTCTCGACCGGACGGTCATGACCCGTCCCGCGACCCCATCGATCCCAACGATGTCCTCCCCTTCGACAACAAGTACGACCAACGGACCCCCACCCTCGCCCACAGCAGTGCCGCTGCTGGTGCCGCTGCTGGAGCGCTCAGCAATAGCAGGGGCGGAACCTCTCGCGATAACGATTCGGGATTCATTTCTTACCCGCTTGCACTTCGGGGTGCGAGTGAGGATGAGGAGAAGGTGAGAGAGTTGGCGGCGTATCAGGATCCTAGAACAAAGCAGACTCAACAGGCACTTGAGCAAGAGTATAGCCATTATGATGACCATATCCAGTCGCACTTTGCCCCCGAGAGTCCAGAGATGACACCTGCAAGCCTGCGCCCTGGTCCTGGCCCTGGCCCTGCATCCCCTACAAAGAGTATCAACAACGGCCGAGCTCAGCATCTCCCAACCCCCATCTCCACCACCAACCCATCCATGGAGCTCTCCCGCAACACCCCCGCACCCATGTCCCCTTCCCAACGTGGCTTCCAACAGAACCAACAGCAGCAGCAACCATACAACAACAACCAAGAGTCTTTACCTATCTCACCACGGTCACGGCCCTCACATCCCTTGGCAAGCCCCACAGGTCCCCGTGGACAAAACTCTCCTGCCGCTGTTATCGTCAACGACATGGGCAACGAGTTTGTGATGCAGTCCTCGAACACTAACAGCCTCCGTGAGAGTTTTGACCAAGAAGGATCTGTCATCCAGTCAGAGCTCTCTTACCGTCGAGGCATTCCCCCTCGCAAGTCGCAGGAATCGAATCTCGGAGGAGGATATGCAGGAGGTGCAAGTGGCCAGTACCCCAATGCAGGTACTCCTAGCCCAATGGCTCTCGGACCCCAACGAGGACTTAACAGTGGAGGACGCCCAGGACCCGGACCTGGACCCGGACAGGGACCTGGTAGCAACAGCACCTTCTCGTCCCCTCGTCAAGGACCCTCTGGATACCCGACTTCCCCACCTGTACTCCCCTCTCAATACCCACCCCAACACCAGTACCAGCCTCCTCCACAACAAGGATACCAACCACAACCTTACCAGCAGTACCCACAAGATAACATGAGCGGATACGGATCACCCCCAATGCGTCCTCAGCAACAACGACCAGGCCCAGGAGGATACCCTGGTCCTAACGGGCCTGGAGGCATTCGATCTCCTCCCATGAGTCCTCAATCCCGTGGCGGTTACTCACCACACATGGGACCCGGCTACCCTCAGCAGCACCAGCAACAATACCAGCAGCAATCCAATTACCCTCCCCAGCAGCAGCAATCGCCCAACCACCGGCCCCGCAACAACTACTAGATGCTAGAACCCCTCCACCAGTACAACCCCCCCCCACTCTCTCTCTCTTTTCACTACCCTGCATTTGCATTTTTCGCAGAAAGGGGATACCAACCGCCCCTTCCTCTTCTCACATCCCTTATTCTTAATTACTCAATCCATTCGATAATAAATAACCCACATGCCGCATTAAGTCCTCCTCCTAGCCCCTAGTGTGTGTACACGAAATACAAAATGTACCACTTGCTATGTTCAATAATCCAATTGCTCCTGGCCGGTTTGTTTCTTGATGTTTTATGAAATGCGCTAAACTACACCTGCGCAACTGTGTACATGTGTCAATAGATACCAACGTCAACCAACACCGTTGACCACCGGCGTGCAACAAAAACAAATCGCCAAACTGTCATCGTCATCGGTAATCTTTCAATTGCTCATCGCTTTGTTGCACGATAGTCCACTAGCGCCAATTTGAATTGGGTTTGATTGATTATTAAAATTTTTATTGGTTTTATGTTACTGGTGTTCTTTAGCGTCGACGGTCAGAACTCCTACGGTCGTCATAACGATTGTCTCGCGTCGACGAAGATGACGAGGTGGGCTTTCTCCTAGGACTACCCGACCGGGATCTGGACCTCCTCCTACTGCTACTACTGCTGCTCTCTTGAGGGCGTCGACTGGAACCCGAGTCACGGTGGCTGCTGTCGCGGTCGCGAGTACTACGAGAGTCGCGGTTCGAGCGGTCCCTATCGCGCTCACGTTCTCGATCCCGATCCCGATGGTCGTCCTTATGACTGCTCCGTCCATCTCCTCCATTCCTACTACTGCCGCCAGACCGTGCGCTCGCCTGATCGCCTTCAAAGACCATATCATACCTCTTACCACCAGCACCACCGCCACTACCACCCTCCCGGTACCTCGATCTCTGCTCCAGGTTCAAATCCTCGGCCACACCACCACCCTTCTTGGCGCCAACCTTCTTGACCATCCAATCCTTATGCAATTTACTCACACTCTGTGAGAAATCTACATGGACCCTCCTATCATCAATCAAGACATTATTCATCTTGAAGTAAGCCTCCGAACATTCCTCCTCCTTCTCAAACTCAATAAACGCATAGCACAACGAGTCCCCCGTCTTCTTGTCCCGGATCACCTCACAGCTCAGGATCAACCCAAACCTCGAAAAGATCAACTCCAGATCCTCGGACCGCGTCGCCGGGTTGAGCTGTGCCACAAACAACACATTCTCGGGCGGCTTGATCTCGGCAAAGGGGAGATCACCCACCATCTCGAGGGTCAACGCCCGAGCCTGAGCCTCCTTCTGTCGTCGGATCCGTTCCTCTTCCTCAGGCGGCAACAACGACTCGATCTCTTCATCGTCGCCGATCCGAACAGTGTCGAGCATAGCTTGTGTCGGGAGTGGTGATTCGTCTGGAACGGCAAGTCCCTCAGGATCGGGGAAGGGGTCGTCAAGGACAATAGTATGTTTGATCCGGATATCCTTGAACGGTCGAAACTCAGAATCCGTATATGCGGCGTTAATCTTCTCCAGAACCTCCATCCCCTCAGCAACCTTCCCAAACACTGTATACTTCCCGTCAAGATAATCCAGGTTCTCACCCATGGTGATAAAAAACTGCGACCCAATCACTCCTCCAGCTCCCGCATCACCTCCAACTCCTGACGCTCCCAGAACGCTATTAACATCCTGCTGGGCTCCTGTACTCGCACCTGCGATCGCCATCGACACCGTGCCCCTCTCTCGATGCTTCAATTTCGGATGAATCTCGGCTGGGAGGTACTTCTTCTGAAGCGTCTTGGAGTCCAGTAACGAAAACACTGATTCGCCGCCTTTTCCTGTAGCCGTGGGGTCGCCGGTTTGGAGCATAAAGTCGCGTTGAACGTTGTGGAAGCAGCAAAAGTTGTAGTATTTGACTTTGCAAAGTTTGAGGAAATTGAGGCACGTTGTGGGGGCTTCTTTTGTGTAGAGGTCGATGACGACGTCGCCGACTGATGTCTCGATCAGCACGCTCATTGTTGGAGTTGAGGGGGGTCGTTAGGTTTGTGATGGCTCGTTTTCTGAAGTGTTCTGTGTCCTTGTGCAGGTTGTCGATGGGGAGGGATCCTGTTGACGTTGCCGGCGAGGTGTCTTGAAGGCGTAGCGTTGCGATCGGGTGAGGTGAAATGAGGTGATTCGTTCGCGTCGGTCTCAAGAAATAAAAGAACAATGTGTGTGGCTTGTCTTTCAATAATGGACTGATCTCCAACTTCTTGCTCAGTTTCCCCCACTCCAAGAAACAACTTTCACAACCAACCACACCCATCAGTACTCAAGGACACGCCCCCCAAGCCAAAGGACAAGTCACCAGGAGCAGGACAACAACTACAGGAAGGAAAAAAACAGCAACAACAACAGAAACAACAAGCAACGTGAAGCAAACCATGTCGCGCCATTCAAAGAACAACACGGCCCGTGGCCACTTTACCTATGCAGAGATGCAGATGCTCGACTATGGCACCAAGAAGGTACCTTCACAACAAACGACAGAGACCTGTTCGTCTGAAGAATGATTCTACTATGACATTCTTCTCTCGCAGGGGTGCTACTTTTTTTTACGACACAGCGTCAACATGTCAAACAAAAAGACCACAAATAACTAACACCAAGATATCATTGCCTCACCCATCCACCAACAAAATAGCAACGCCTGGGACGAGACTCGATGCGCGACTACGACGCCTGCTTCCTCTGCCTCCAAACAGCCCGCGACCCGGTCTGCTGCCCTGAAGGCCATATTGCCTGCAAAGAATGCATCTACGAGAACATCCTCTCCCAGAAGCAAGAGATCCAACGTCAGGCCAAACAGGTTGAAATCCAGACTTTGCAGGAGGCGAGCGAACAGGAGAACAGGGAATTGTTGGCGCATCAAATTATTCTGGATGAGTTTGAAAAGTCGCAGATGGGTGTGTTGTCGAAGGCTGCGTCTGTCCGGACGAAGGGTGTAGCGGGATCTGCGGGAGCATCTTCACCTGGATCGCCTGCCACACCTGGAGAGTCAAATGGCAAGAAGAGTAAGTGTTTGCAAGGGAGGCAATCTTTCGTCTGAGCTGTGGTATGTATGTCAGAGAGTTGCTGGGATTTGTTACTGACTATCACATCGCTATCTTGCTACTACGTTAGATGACAAGAAGAGAACGTTCGAGCTGGATACTGAGGAGCTGGAGAGGATATCAAAGCAAGAGCGGATCGACGTCGCAAAAGTCATCGAGGACGAGGTACATTCACACTTGCACACTTCGATTATCATGCGGGGGCGTGTTCAGGAACTTGTCAGACACACAAGGGAATCGACATATCGTAACGGACGCATATTCAAATATTTCCGGTTTTTTTCTTCTAGGCAAAGTCCAAGAGACCTGTTCTCCCAAGTTTCTGGGTGGTAAGTGCCAAAGGCTCGGGATCAGCAGGACATGCTCTTGACAAAATGAGGCGGTTAATTGCTTATAGTCTAACTTTTGTTCTTTCTTTTCTCCTCGGTTTTTTGTAGCCTTCGTTGACACCATCCAACAAAAAGACCGAGTACAAGGCAACAAAACTTCACACCATGTGCACCGCCTCCGAGAACGAGCACAAACTCAGGTACTACTGCCCAACTGTCACCACTCGAAACCATGAACATTGGATCGATCAATGTGACATATCATTGACACTTTCTTCCTCCATTTCAACCACATCCTAGCCTAAAGAACTTGATCTCAGTGAAATTTGAAATGGCATTCGAAGACCACGACGACTCTGAGACCACCGAGCCCAAAAAATCCGCAATCTGCCCAATCTGCCGCAAAGGCTTCACCAACACTACAAAGCTCTCCATCCTCAAATCCTGCGGCCACGTCTTCTGTGACAGCTGCTGTGGCAAGTTTGTGAAAAAGGAAGGCAAGTGCCAGACGTGTGGGGTCAAGACGAAGGAAAAGGAGATTGTGTCGATGACGGGTGAGGGGTCGGGATTCTCGGGTGGAGGCGCCAAAGAGGCCAAGAAGTTTGATGTCGCCTTCCAATAGTAGTGCCTTCTTTTTTTGTTTTGTTCTTGACACTTGATCCCCCTTTGATAGATATAATTAAAACAAAAGAAAGTGCTTCCGATTTCATGAGTGTTGTTCGTCTGTTGAGCTGAGCTTTTATGGAGTAGTGAATGTTGATCTTTCAGCTTCCAGGTTCTAATATTCTGTATATGACGATGTGCGATGACTGACGGTGGTAATGGTATGGATGGAAAAAAAAGCGTTGGCTGTGTTGACGCAGCGTTCTCTAAACGTTGCGCTCATTAAAGACGTTATGCTTTTTCCGGGCATGATGCATAAAGTTATCAAACCCTCCAATAAACTGGATCGGCTTGCCCGGACACCCCTCCCACACCACCGGACTCGTCCTATGATCCTCTGCCCCCGGGATCTCCTATTCACCCACAACAATCCAACGTCAACCACCCAAAAAAATTTAATAAGTTAGTGCCCATGTCTCTAGCGCCTCGACAATCCACCGGCAACAAATATTCATATTCAATGGGCTAATTATTGGAAGGAGATGGAGAGGAGGAGGAGGAGGGGGGGGTACCTTGGTGAGGTGAAGGACACGATCTTTCCAATCTTTGCGGGAGTGTGCAGTGACTTCGACCTGGATATTACTCTTGCTCGATGTTGTGTCCAACCGGTCGGCGACATTCATCGCCTGTTGGAAGTACGAGCATGCCAAGAAGCCCTCCTATTTATCATAATTCCAGGGACAGAATGAAAAAAGCGGTTAGAAAAATGTAACATGAAGATTGCATAGAGGATACAACGGCGAGCAAGTAATAAATAGGAAGAGGTGTACAATGTAGTAGCAGATCTCCTTGGGCACGGGGGTGGCAGGCTTGTCTGTGAAAAAGTATGACCACAGACCCATTTTTTTTCTGAAAGGTTGATTCCGTTTGCTGAAGTGGATGAATGAACAAAAAGAAAAGAGAAAGGGGATGTGCAACAGTCCGTTCGGAAGTGGCAGGTCGAACATTAAAAATGATCAGCTGATCGTTGCCACTAAACGTCCAGTCGTCAGTGCTGGCTTTATTGTTGGACTGGATGAAAATAATACAAGGGGGGAGAAAAATGATAGGGGATATCAGCCTTGCCTGCCACATCGTTACATCCTGCTGTAGCTTCGTGCAGTTGCCGGACAAAAAAAAGAAAAGAGTAAAAAACATGAAAGAAGAAATGAACAATACAAGAAACAGAGAGAAATGCAAAAGAAAAAGGAAAAGAAATTGTTAACCAACAGCCCTACGACAAGAGCTTGGCTCGGGCTTTAGCCTCTTGCAATCGGCTCTCCTCTTGTGTTGTTGGGTGGACACCGTCCCGTCGCGAGGCCTTGACCGCATAATGTCTCAACAGAGCATCCCGACGCACAAATGGTCGGTGACAAAAGTCGCACGGCCACGTCATCTCGTTGTGCTTTGAGATTTGATGGCGTTTCAGGTCATGCACGCGCCCAAACCGCTCGCCGGGGCAGAGCTCACAACGGTATCCTCCGGCATCATGAGGGATGTTCGCCTTGTTCGATGCTCGACCTCCGCGACTTCCTGCCTGTGATCCTCCTCCTGCTCCTACTGCTGCTCCTCCTGTACTCGTTGGTGCTATAGGAACCTTAGGTGTACCCGTTGATGACGACGGTGAGCCATCGTGATGATGATGGTGGTTGGGAGGTGACATTGACGACGACGCATGGATGTTAGGCGACAATGGTGGTACCGACAGGGTCGACAGAGGACCCTGGTGATCCTTGATCGCGACAGCGGCACTGGCCAGAGTCGACAAGGCAGAGTCCGTCCGGATGGTCATGGTAAGATGCTCGACAGCGACTGGGCGGACACGAGGCTTGCGTGGTGGGTAGACCTTGGGGATCTTTCTGATAGGCTCGCGCACCTTGCGAGCAGCCTTGGACGAACGCGGGTGGCTACCAGACGATTCGTCACCAGAATGGCCAGCGTTCCCTCCGCTGCCACTGGCACCAGTGCCAGGGTGTTCTAACGACGAGGAAGCGCCCACCTCGGTGCTGGGATCGACAAGATCTTCAGGGTCAGGCTCGTCGCTGACGGAGTGGCGCTTGTTATTAGGACGCGGTTCTGGGCTCAGCATGGTTGCGTCTTGCTCGACGTCACGCGGGTGGTCGTCGGGTGACCCAATTGGCCGGCTCTGAGAAACAGCTCCAGATTCCGCGCTTGGGCTTGCTTCTGGGAGCTCTTCTTGGTCAACAGCAGAAGTAGTCGTGGTAGAGAAAGAGGGAGGTGGAGTGCTTACTGGAGATTGCTTGATGATTGGGGATGGCTCAGAAGAGACTGGCATAGAGGTGTCGCGGCCTTGTTGTTTGTCCTGGTTGGATCCTTCTTGGATCGAGTGGTCTTGGCTTGTTTGTTCCTGGTGCTGCTGAGGATGCTCCTGTGTTGACTGACTTGGTGGTGGGGACGATTGTTGCTCTTTCTGGTGACTATGGCTACGATCCTGGTCACGTCCGTAGTGGTATGAGACTTGCACCTGCTGTTGTTGTTGCTGCTCGTGTCCATATCGGTAACTCTGCTGGGAAGGCTGTGTCCTGGCACGGTGTTCATGGTCGTGTCTGTAGCTCTGAACGTGCTGGTAACTGAGGTCAGGGCGATCGACCTGGCGATGAGTCTCCTCTACGCTCCCGTGCCGATAGCTGTGCTCAATTCTCACGGGGGTCTGCTGTGGCTGTTTACTGACGTTTTCTTGGAGTTGAGAGGTGGTGGCGTCTTTAGGATCGCGATCGGGTGCCTGTCCTTGTTCACACGCGGGCTCGGTCGATCTGGGTTCCTCTGGGTTAACGGGAGGGTGAGGATGAGGTTCCTGCATCTCTTGATCCTCGCGTTGGAGAGGGGTGGTGGGGGATATTTCGCGATCGAGGTCCATCTGCTGAGCGGCCTTGTCCACTTCTGGATGTAGACTGATTGACTTGTTGGTGGCGGCTGTCGTGCTCATGGTAGTAATAGCAATCGACTGCTAGGTTAATGGGAAGAAGACGGAGGTGGAGGGAAGGAGGGAGAGCAAGGGAGTGCCGTGAAGTGAGGTGGGGATAGAGAGCGAGTGTGAGTGTGGATTGTAGTTGCTGTATGTTATTTGTGTGAAGAAGAAGAGACAAAAATAACCCGTGTGTCTGTCTGTGAAAGAAAGAAGGGGTGGGGATGGGTTTGTTATGTTTTTGGTGGCGGTGGTGGCGTCAGTTTTGCTCGAATGGTGGCGGCTCTTTTCAAGTGAACAGACAGACGGAACACACTGAATAAACTCGACACTATATAACCTGTTCTCGCTTCACACATACACACTGCACTTTTCTTCTTCTTGCGCTGCCCTTCCCACTTTCAATGCAAGAGTGGCGACAAAAAAGAGTAAAAAGATGAAGGAGGGTGATTCAAAAAGTGATGATGGTCGAACAGCCGCGCGTTAGGCGTGAAAAAGGCAGGGCACTGTTGCGCGTGATACCGAGTCGATGGAGGGTGTTGTTACCTTTCGAGTTTCTTCTCAGTTGTTGTATTATTGCCGCGAAACTAGAACGGAATGTAAAGGAAAAGGTGAATGAATGAAAAGGAAGGAAGAAAAAGAGGGAATGGATGGGAATAAAAAGAGTGAATTGATGGGAATTAAAAAAAAAAAAAAAGGGATCTTAACAACGGGAGCGTCCAAAATAACTGCTGATGCCAATTTTTATTTTTTTGGCGAGGGAGTGCGCCACCAAAGACAGCGAATTCAAACACTGGCGGGCGTGAGTGTTAGCGAGTGAATGAGTTTTCTTTGTCGACTCAACAGTCAAGAAAGGGAATGGACAGTAAAGAAGGCCTGGAAAGAGGACAAGGTAACAGTGGTGGGTAGGAAAGGAATGAGGTCGAAGAGAGAAGGCTGCTGACGCCACTAAAGGATGGGATGAAAAGAGAACTGTGGCGTATGGTCAGGTCGGGTGGGAAGGGATGTGTTGCTAGTGATCGATAGACTTGTCAAGATGCACAGTAGCGACATATCTCAGTCGTACGGAGAGAGAGAGAAAGCGAGAAGGGGAGAAAGAGGAGTGAATGGGCGTGAAGAGGAGAGGATAGCGAACAAACGGGAAAACCCTCACGGTGTGAAATATGCTACGATGTCACCGGGGCAGGTGGCGAGGGGCAATGGTGCAGGAACGGGATAAGAGCGAGAGATGGGGCGTGTTCAACGGATTGAGCATGAAGACAGGAACAAGGACAGGTGTGCGGGTGTGTGTGTGTGTGATATAAAGAGTGAAAGGCGTCGTTCAAACACGGGAAAAGAGGTGAGGCACCAGGGTTTAGGAAGTGGATTGGGCTGGTTACCAGTATCGTCGTCAATGGAAGCAAGAGAGAACCAGGTCACGGTGCAGTGGACAGTATTCAGGTGTAATTGTTCAGCCAGGACGTATGTGTCGAGAAGGAAGCAAAGGTGCAAGCTAGTTTGTGTGCGTGGAAGGGACAGAGTGGGAGCAAAGGCTAAAAAAAAGATCTCTCAAACCATTGGCGCGCCGGGATGGTGGCGTCACCAAATCGGTGCGCGGATGTGTCACGAGAGAAATCACGTGGTAATCGTACGTGAAAACGCGCAAAATAAACCTCAAGGCGCGTTCGCGTTTCCTTTTCTTCTCCTCGCCTTTTAATTGCTGCAAAGAAAGGCTAGATGACGAGCTCCATATCAAGGACAGATGCACAGCGGATGAGCCGGTCATGATCTGCAGGTGCGCTCGGGTTGGTGGGTTTAGGGAACCTCACAACGCGGTCAAGTCCATCTCCTTCAGCACGCCATCCATTGCTCACAGTCGTGTATCCCTGGTTCATCACCGCCCATTTCTGACTGGTATTGCTATCCTTCTGACCACCATGGTTGCTATGATCTAGAGCCATATCAGATTTGCTTCCAAACGTCATCCGAATAGATTGGTCCAACGTTGACAGAGATCCATGGGGGAATGTAGACGAGTTTGATGGTCGTTGCTGCGTGTCTGTTTTGGATGCTGTTTGAGATGATGGTGTCAAGGATGTTGTTGTTATCGATGACGATTGCAAGAAATTGGTGGAAGGTAATGGCGCAGTGGAGTTGGAGGAAAATAATGAGGTCGACAGTAAAGGTGGTACTGAAGTTACTGAGAGTTGAGCCGACTCTATTGCACCATTCTCATCTCCAGCTTCGGGCAGGGGTCCATCTGTTCCTGATTCTGCATCTGTTGTAAGTGTGACGGGAGGATCGACATGAGATACCCAGCCAACCTGATTTTGATCACCTTCAGTTCGCCACCACTGTTGAATCCTCCTGATCGACTCTTCAAACCGCAGCGAACTGGCGAAACTCATGAACGAAGATTGCTGTGAGCGAGTTGCTGCTGGCCGCGTGCTACTACTGTTTGAAGCGGGTGGTGTTGGGTGCCCTGCTGGGATGTTATCTCCTGTCGTGTTAGGAGGAGGTCCTTCCACGTCCTGTAGTGCGCGAATCACATGAGGTGCGGGCAGTAGTGGCCGTGATCGAATGTCATTGTAGATACTCTATGGTAAATCATTTACCGTCAGAAAAGGAGAGAGAGAAAGGGGAGGAGATAGAGAAAAGAGGGAACATGCATCAATGTCCAACCCTCGGTTTATCCACCAAGGGATGTGATTGACTTGTCCATGTAGTCTGATCCTGCTACGGTAGTGAACGTACTCAATGTCACGATGAAAATGAGGATGGACAAACGAACGACGTTGCACGGAGTGAACCAACCAAAAAGAGTGCATGGATGATGGCGACTTACTTTGAGGACCTTTTTGTCAAAGTACTTTCGAGGATAGCCACCACCCTCGTTCCGTAGAAGGCGGACAAAGTAGGCGCAGGTGACTTTGGGACGCGCCTTGGGATGGCGAAATTCTTGATCGATGAACAAGAACGTCCAGAAGAGATGGTACAGCATGTCGGGTGCATAGGCAGGTGCGAAGACATCCTTTGTGTCTGGGTTGGAGTGGTAATAAAGTTGAGAGAGGTCGCAGACATGTTTGTCGAACAGAGTCATGGACAGGAACGGGAAAGTGTCCTCTGCAAACCGCATCCTAATCTCAACCGATTCAATTAACCCAAAAAAATGATGGTTAGTTTTCCGGAGGATTTTTCCTCTCATTATTCCTCTTCAACGGAAAACTGTATTATTTTAAGCCGACGAAGCATGTATGCATGTAAACCTACCGGATGGCATGAACGAGGCCAAACCCATTGAAGGGCATATCTTGGACGAGTCGGGCTAGTTCAACTCGTGCAGGACCGTGCCAGTGGGTAGAAACAAGACTGCAATTGAGGATGCTTCTGCGGTCCATAAGATGACGAAAAATGAGTGCCAGCACCTCGATCGCACACGAGGATGCTGTGCTTGATGAATTGGCGTGGGTGTGTGATATTGAGGGTGGTGTTGTAACATTGGCCGAAGATCTCGTAGTATCCGATAGTGTAGGAGTTAGGTGTAGTTTTAACTGACTAAAGCTGATGGCTCTTTGTACGAGTCCTCGTGCTCTGGTGGATCGCTTGTTGTTTGGAGTGGTGTCGGAGGAAGCTGGTGTGGTCGAGTCAGCGTGAGAGTGATTTTGATAGGATTGGGGTTGCTGTTGTGGGCGAAGTTGAAGATCGGGTTGATAATTGAAATAGGAATGGTCGGTGGAGATTGTGGAGATGTTGGCGGGCGGAGAAATTGTGTTGGAAGTAGAGACGGCCAAGGCGGGGATGCACGGGGTCGATAGAGACCCGTGTCGGTTCGCCGACATCATCCTCCTGTTGTTGAGTGTATGGAGAGGAGGGAGAGGAGGGAGAAAAGGAGGATTGTCAAGCCTAAACAAGAGAGTGAACGAGTGAGAGTTGAATTTGCAATGGAGAAGTGAGGCGCGAGAGGGAAGGAAAGGAATGAGTGAATGAATGAATGGATGAGCAAAGAGACAGAGAAAAGACAAAGGAAGAAGGGAGGGAAGGAGGGAAGGAGGGAGGGAAGATGGTGATGGTGCAAAGAAAAAGACGACAAAGACATATCAAACATTGATATCAACGAGGGCATCAGTCTCAAAAAATGGAAAGCGAGGGTATTGTCTCACAAAGTGGTCATTTATTTCGCGTACAACAAACAACACATGCCGCCCGGCAACTGTCAATTGGGGAATTTGGGGCGGACATGTAATTTTTTTTTAAAGGTAAAAGATGCCCACACAACAGAGAACGCATAGCAGCAGGCCAATCTATGCACGTGACATCCAGCCCCATGTGTCTCATGGCACTGGCAGGCGTGCTATTTTTTAAAGGGAGTACGTGCCACTGAGTACTAGACAGCGACTCTGTTTCTTCCCTTCCGCCTCTATGCTCTCACAGCCGCTCTCTCTCTCGTTTTCTTGTGTCTCTGCCTTGTTTGTTTTTTTCTCACTTTCCTTTTTCCTCTTCCTTCTTTTTCTCTTCTCTTCGTCTTTTCCCTTCCTTCGCCATACTCACTCCTCCTCCCTTCTTCCTTTTCTCCTCCTCCTTGAACCCGCTCTCACTTTTACTCCTACTATTATTATTGTCCTCCTTCCCCCCTTTCCCCCGACTAATACTCATCACTCACTCATTCCCTTCACTCCTTCACACTCTCATCCCCTGCTTCAGCAACAGCAAGCAAATTCATCTATTTTTATTTGAACTTGTGCCGAGCACAGCTCCAGACGAAGCACAACAGCAATAATTATCGTCTTCTCCTTCACTTTTCACTTTCCTACTTTTCTCTCTCTCTCTCTCTCCCTGTTCGTTATCAATTGGCGCAGATACAGCTTTCTCCCTCCCACTTCTCCCTCCTCCCCTTCCCCCTCCCCTTCCCGACCCTCTTGTCTGCTTTTTTCTTTTCTAACTGTACACAACACTAAACTATCAATTGGTGTTTGACAGAAGGAAAAAATATATACAAGGATGGATACCCAGTCTACACAACAGCAGGCCCCGTCCTCCTCTTCACTGCAGGATCAAAATGGACACACAAGGGAACAGCAGCAACAACAAACACAACAACAAACACAACAACAAACACAACATACACAGCAACAACTCGACCAACAACAGCTACAGGAAGAGGAAGAAGACGAGACAGAACCATTCGTGGTCGTCCGTGCTCTCTACCCCTTCCACTCTGAAGAACCATCCTCGCTCTCCTTTGAACGGGAAGAGCTGATCCAGGTCCTCACCCAGCTCGACTCTGGCTGGTGGTATGGCTTTTGCCATGGCGAACACGGCTGGTTCCCCTCCAACTATGTCGAGGAAGTCACCCAGGACGAGCTTGACCTTGCCTCTGAGGCTGCTTCTGATGACGACCATCATCGCCAACACGCCGACCACAGCGACCCCGGCGAGCATGACCACGACGATGATGACCACGACGATGATGACCATCATAGTAGTGATGGTGAAGGGGAAGAAGACGATGGATCTGTAAGCACACTAGCATACAAAAAAACACACGAAAGGGAAACAGACATAGACAGCAGCAAGAAACAAGAAGCAAACAACAAGCAATAACGGCAACCCCTGGGAGAGAGGCAAAGGAAGAGGCGAACGAGTGCAACTTAAACAGCAAACAAAGGGAGTAAAAGAAAAAAAGTGGTTTCGTTATTTTGGTGGCCAATTGACTCGATTATCTATGCAACAAACAACAACAACGTTGACTTGCCAAGAACGACAAAAGCAACATCAGCAGGAGCAGTAGCACAATGTATTAACACCAACAACACACCAATTGCAACAACAACAACAACAACAACGCGCAATCAGGCAGCAAGAAATGGCAACGGGCACATGGTGACATAAGAATATCAACTCGCTTGTACTCTGCCTGACACTCCATATCTCTCTTCGTTTTACTTAATCATAGAGCAACGGCGACTTTTGGTTGCCACAAACTACTCCAGACGGTCAAGTCTTTTACGTCAACACCAACACCGGCGAGTCCTCTTGGACAATCCCTACCCCGTCCACAAGTCGAGCCATCCCCCCAATCGAGGAGCAAGAGGACGAGGCACTGGATCACACATTGCCCAAGAGTCATCAGGATACAAACCACAGCAGTATGTCTTCTGTCCCATCAACAATGCCTTCCTCTCCTTCAATTCAACTTTAAGAAGACTCATTGGTTATCAATTGCGTTCCTTAACTCCTTTTCTTAGATTCAAGAAACAGCGCCGACGCGTCAAATCGAGTGGCGTCCTCGTCAACAACATCAACAGCAGCAGCAACACCATCGGCAACAGCGAGATCATCTATAGACGCCACGACCGCGTCCGACACGCTGAATCTCGCTCGACCCAGTGACTTGTCCATCTTGACAGTTGCCCCTGGCCATGATCCGGTTGAAACCGAGAGTCAAGCGGGTTCAACTCGTCCGAACTCGCTCCAAATGTCGGCAATCCCAGTAAGTGAGCCTGTCATTGTTGATGTTGTTGTTGCTTCTTGCTTTGTTTTTTGTTCCAGGTTGTACACATGGGAGGAGGGGGGTGTATGATGTTCTCATACCAAAGAGAAAGAGAGGAAAGAGTCGGACCCCGGATGAGCTGAGCTGAACTGGGTGCGGGACCCATGCTCTATGAAGATCGGTGAAGTGAGCCCCCTTCGTCGGCGGTGTTATTCTTTGTCTTTTTACTGTTTTTTTTTTTCTTGGCTTTCTTTTTCTTTTTCTGCTTATGCTTTTAATTGTTTGTTCCTCAGTGCTCTCAAAAAAAGAAAAAAAAGCAATTGCTCTGGGTATGGGCGGACAGGAAAAAACAGAAGAAGAATAGGTTTGCCCAATGGTGTGCATGTGTGTATGGATGTGACAAGGTGGATAGCATCCCCTTTGCACCTATCTTTCAATCACGCCTGTTATTACTACCCTGCGGGTAATCGTCTCATACATATAATATCAGATATTAGAGATGGCCACCATCGGAAACACATTGCGCCCCTCTCCTTGTCCAGTTGAGCCTATTCTACTACTCCTACACTCTTCCATCTGCATCAAAGAGATGCAATGACGGTTGATCCCTTCTACCTCCTTGTCCACACACTCTCTCTCCTCCCCCTTGCCTTTCTCTTCACTTCAGTCTCACTCCTCTTACTCTTTGCCTGTCTTTCCCGTTCGTTGTATTTTCCGTAACGGATGCTCTCTAAAAAGACAAAAAGACAAAAAGACAAAAAAAAAAAAAAAAAAAAAAAGAGCGCAACACTTCGACCATGTGCGCCTTTTATTTTTTATTGTCTCTTTTGTTTTGTGCTCCTTTCCCTGTGAACCTTTCCTTGTGCGACAACCTTCGAGCCCAGCACCTGTTGAATTTCGACACAACATTCGCAATCTCTCACACCATATCTATTTTTCTTTATTTCTCCTTGGATAGACCAGAGCCGGTTCGCCCATCTCACCTTGGCCAGAAGCTCCAGGATTGAGACGTCCTTCTGGTAGAGCTCTTGCCGAGAATGCGCCTGCCCCCGAATTACCTCCCCTCCCCACCATCCCAAGCCCTTTCAACCCAGAGCCGACATGGGAATCCCTGGCCGACTATACCAGTGGAGCCATCCAGAACCTGCTCTACTCGGCCGAGAACGGTTTCAAGGGATATTTCCAGATCCAGGCAACCCAGGTCGTCGAGGCGATCCGCGTCATGCTCTATGCCTCAGGAACTGTGGACAAGGATTCGACACCCATTCGCATGCACCCAGGATTGAAACTGCACCATCGACAAATCATGGCCGCGCTCTCAAAGTTGATCCTCTCGGCCAAGATGGCTTCTGGTGTGTGGCCTGCCGAAGGAGCCGTCTCCAAGATGCTCTCGGACGCGAACGATGTCGCCCAGTCGGTTCACCATTTCATCCTCATGGCCCAAGGCGCTGGTGTTACGGTCCACGATGTCGATGCCAAGCTCATTGTCGACCCAGAGAGCTCAATGGATCCCAAGCCCACTGAGAGGTCCAACAGAGGATTGTCTTCAAGAGCCTCCATGGAGGGCGGCGAAGCCCACTTGCGACCCCAGGCGATCTCGATGGGACTGCTGAACCAGCTCGACTATTACTCCAAGAGCTCCTGCAGGGCATTGAGTACCCTTTCGCTGCAACTCAGGAAGGCCATCGACTCCTCCCGCAACACAACACCCCAGGCTACGACTTCTTCTCGCTTGTCCCTTGGCTCCTCGATCCTTAACTCGTCTCAGTCCTCCCAGATGGTCAACCAGTGCCAGCAGAGCATTTCCCAGCTGGGCTCCCTTCTCAGCCTTGTCGGCGAGTTTTATACCCTAACTCTGAACGAATACCCATCCATCGAGGACCAGTACTTCATGGACGTCCGCGCCTCCAAGCAGACTCTATACAACAACATTGCTTCTCTGGTCATGTCGATCCAGCTGGCCACCGATCCCATGGTCCAAACCTCTGTTCTCGAGATGGCTCTGGAGGCGACCACCACGGCAGAGCGATCGACAATGGAGCTGGTGGCGCTCAGCCGCTCTTTGGCAATGGAGAAGGACGAGGTCGACAAGCAGGAGCGTCTCTATGGCAAGGGAGTGTTGGACCCAGTGCCAAGTGCAGTCAACCTAACCTTCAACGCCTCCCAGCGACAAACCGAGATCGACAGTTATTTCCAGGAACCGGGATCGGACATGGATGGCTCAACTCTCAAGGACTCTCGACTCCGCTCCAACTCGCAGGTTTCGACATTCTCCAGCGCATCGTCTGCCTCTAACATCTCTGCACCAACCACTCCCGGAACAGAATACACAGGACGTTCGCAGGCAAACGCCTATCCCTTCCCCTCCAACCCAACGAGCGAAAGGAGCGCGTCCCCACCTCCTCCTGTTCCTGCTCTTCCTACAGTTGCCACTGCCATCACCAACTCTCACAGCACTCAGAATGCTCAATCGCAAAAGTTCGACAATCGTGGTCACAAGGTGAAGAAGATGTTGGGAGACGAGGCGCCAGCACCCGCAGCCAAGCCAAAAGTTCAGGAACAGCCCTGGTATCTCGGGCACGACTACTCACCCGCCGACATTTCATTCAACATGGAGGGTCACGTCCGTGGAGGCACCTTGCCAGCACTGGTCGAGCGTTTGACACTCCATGATGGACCCCAGGCCAACTTTGTAGCCAACTTTATGTTGACCTACCGCTCCTTCGCCACCACCGAGGAGCTGTTCGCTTTACTCTTCCAACGATTCACCATTGCACCACCTATGGGATTGGACGAGGCTGAGATGGGGGAGTGGACAGAGCGCAAGCTGACGCCCATTCGCCTGCGCGTGTTCAACATTATTAAGTCTTGGCTGGAGAACTATTACATGGAGGATGAGGTGGAGGACCGACAGATTCTGCCCAAGATCAAGGAGTTTTCAGAGTCGGATTTGATGAAGGACACATTGAGCTTTGCCGCTGTCCAGTTGATCAAGCTGGTGGAGAAGCGTGAGGTCTCGGACGGATCCTTGCGCAAGATGGTCCTCAACTTGACGACGCAAGCACCCCAGCCAATCACGCCCCGCAACCTGAAGCGCATCAAGTTCCTGGAACTGGATCCCCTCGAGTTTGCGCGCCAGTTGACGATCATGGAGGCTAACTACTTTAACAAGATCAAGCCAATCGAGTGTTTGGCCAAGGCCTGGATGAGCGACGATCCCGAGATTGCGGCCAAGGCGGAAAACATCAAGAAGATGATTGAGACCAGTAACTTGTTTTCCAACTGGATCGACGAGATTGTTTTGGGCGAGAAGGACCCCAAGAAACGTGCCGCCATCCTGCGCCACCTTATCGCTGTTGCCGAAGTGAGTCCCATTCCATAATTTTTTTTGCCTTGCTTTTGCATTTTGCCTTGATGCATTGCTAACTCCTTTCTTCTTTTATTTTTATTCTCGCATGTAGAAATTGCGCCAGTTGAACAACTTTAGTATGCTTTCGGCAACAACCGCGGCACTCTCTCACTCACCCATCCACCGATTGAAGCGCACATGGGAGTTGGTTCCCAACAAGTACATCAACTCGCTCGCTATGCTTCAAGCATTGACGAGCTCGGCCAAGAACTGGGCCGAGTACCGCGCGGAGCTGCATTCGGTCAACCCACCCTGTGTGCCCTTTGTAGGAATCTATCTCACGGATCTGGTGATGATTGAGGACGGCAACCCGGACATTCTTCGTAAGACAGACAACCACATCAACTTTTACAAGCGTGTCAGCACGGCAGAGGTGATTCGCGAAATTCAGCAGTACCAGTCGGTCCCTTACTGTCTGACGGTGGTCCCCGAGATCCAGGCGTTCATTCGTCGAGGAATGGATAATGCCAAGGGTGTCACGGAGCTCTATGACATGAGTCTCGCCCTTGAACCTAGGTGAGTGATTTTTTTTTAATTTTTTGTTCTGTTTTGCGATGTATTGAAATGTGGGAATGCATATGGGGTTACACTTGGGGACAAGATGAAAGGGCGCTGGCTCTGGACTGGCTGGACTGGATTGGATTGGATTGAATCTATTGTGGGTGGTACCCTCGGAAGAATCCACAATGTTTTATTTGCATGGGCGTCTCCTGGATATTGGGCACGGAAATTGAGTCGACGGGATGCAAGGTTTGATGCATCGGAATGCAAAATTAAGACGCCCCTGGACTTCTCAGCGCTTGTGAGGCGCGAATTGGGCTATTTTTGCAAGGAACCTTAGAATTTGGGCTGGACGATCTATCAGAGGAGTGGCTTTTTTGAGTTTTTTTATGGATGCTGCAGAATTGGTTTCGAGCTTGTACCTTTTGAGACGTACCTTTTTGTGGTTATTTTACTCAGATGGGTCAATGGTACCATTGGACAAGTACTTGCCCTTACATGACAGGGATCAAAGGGGACTATAGAATGTAGTCTAAAAGAGGGAATCGAAAGAACAGTGAGAGGACGTAAGGGAGAGACGCGCTCTGGAGCAACATATTTTATCGCCTAGATCGTATTTCTCTTTTATTTTTATATTTTTCTGTGTGGGTGTACATTGAGACCATGCTGACATGATGTGTTTTTTTTTGCTATCGCGAGGTAACAACTATCAACAAACAACCAAAAGGACAAAAAGAAAGAATATGAACTTGTTATGCTGACTCTCGCGCTTTTACAATGTGGCATGAACAGGGAGACAGAAGAAGAAAAGATGGCGCGACTGTTATCCAAGTCTGGGTTCATGTAGAAAAATGATGGCATCGACAATGACAACCTCAACCATTCGCAACAAACAACAACTTTTCGCTGACCAATTCGATTCCTACACCTCCCTATTCCTCCCACTCGACTCCTTTTCTCTCCGTCTGTACATTTGTCTTTTATCCGACTCGCCATTGTCTCCTTTCTTTTTTCGTCGTCGACCATCTTTCGATCCATTTCGCCAACCTCCTACAGAGCAAGACCGATGACAGGAATGCCACCATTAGCGTCCCAAAATTCGTATATCGGTGACCATGGAGCGTAAACCCCCTCGACAAGACGGACATGACCGGCAATTTCAAGTACAGGACATGACAGGAACGGCGAGCAAGAAATCGGACAGACAATCAGCAGCAGCAGCAGATGGATGTATCATGAGGGAGGAGGAAGACGAGGTGGCTGGGCATGATCGTGCCAGGATTTTTATTTATCTTTTTTGCATTTATTTATCATTCAGGAACACGCTGTTCAACGTTTATGGCAAGGCAGTGCCCATTCTCCTACACCCACCTTTTTTGATCGTCTGCATGCGACTGTTACCCTTCACACCTTTCTCTTTTCTTTGCTTGTGTTTTTGATTTGTCTTAGTTTTGTCCATGGCACATTCACATCCATATGTTATCCATTTGTTTAGTTATTTTCCTTTCGTTCTTCTTCTTATTTCCCCAGCATAACCCTCTTTCTTTCGATTCTCACTTGCACAAACAACCACGCACAGCACACTCATCTTTTTCAAAGCACTAGTTAATAATATTTACCATTTCACCTCAAACAGCCGTTAGTTTTCCATACCGATTGATGTTGATTGCTTGTGTTTTCTTCTAGAGTGGCGTACGAGTGGTTGGCTGTGCAATGACCTTCACCTAGACACTGCAATTGTAAGATGCGATATGATTGGCCTGAGCAATGGAACTAACTTTGGTGACTGCTCCTGACTCTTCCCACGCGCCCTATTTGTTGATATTCTCACTTGTTACTTTGTTCTGGCACAGTTATCAGCATCCTCTCTCTCTCTCTCCCCTCTCTCTCCCCTCTCTCTCCCCTCTCTCTCCCCAGCTGAAAAGGTAATGTTACAGAATCGTGAAACTCGCATCAGTGGCAGAGGACACTAGGGGAACTCCAAGGAAGAAGGTGATGCCATATGCTGGCTTGCCTAGCTTCCCGTCATTTTTGCTTCCTTTTGCTCCATTCAATTGCTGCCAAAAGGGAAATGATGACTGTGGCTGTCCTAGTTAGTCTTTCGTGGAACCTGATCATTCGGGGGGGGGGGACCCTTCTGCAAGGAAGTCAATGAGTTTGAGGGTCTCCAGTCATTTTCCGCGGTCTTCAGCTCTTCAGTCTAAGAATACTAAATACTCGTTTGCAGACAGCCAACATTTTAAATATTATAATATTTATGTTCAGTAAACTACTGCGCTTAGTCCACGAACTTTTCGACCCATGCAAGCAAGTTCGCCCAAAGAATCATGACAATAAGGATCGCCTATGGACTTTATATCTTGCACATGCTTTCGGGGCAGAATACTTTATGCAGTTTGAAGCGACCTCAGGACATTTCATATCTGGATTATCTTTGGTATTGTCGAGTGTGCAGCCCTCAAAGGGACACCTAGATTGAGCAGACTGAAGCGCTTCTGAACGAAGAGCATATACTCTGCGAGATATAATAACTGCTGAAGACTACACTAAGAACAGTTTCGGCAGGTACATTTGTTAATGTAATAGGAGGAAAGTTGAAGTACACTCACAAACATAATTAATCAAGCCCATTGTTAATGATGGGTGGCCAAAGTCTGCACCTCCCACCAACCTTTTCAACTTGCGCCGTCCCGTCCTCGCCCAGCTGAACTTTTGATGATGTCAAGAAGAGTCAAATCACCAAGCGAAAGATATTTTAACCCCACCTTGGGTACGGTACAACATCGGAAAAAGTTTCTTTTGCGCAACGAATACTATAAAAAATCATTCATTTTGACAAGTCCGCGTAAGCCATGACGTGCCTGCCACTTTGATTGCTCCTAGGCGGTCATGTTGATATAGAGATACGCATAGAACTGAGAACAAAGGTACATCGCGCGCTTGCTTCGTCGTTGCCTCTCGGAAAGGGTCTATTAAAGCATCACACTTTTCACAAGTGCCTTCCTGCTATGTTGCTGACTGTAGCAGCAGATAACGAAGATTCTGCATATGTAACCACAAAAAGAGAGAGACCATTGGGGCACACGACGGCCGGCCTTTTATACTACCTTGTCGGTACCTGAAAACGAGTCAGCTAACAGTGGCCGCTGTGACTTTGGAAAAGGGCGAAGAGCGCTAGATCACCACGCTACCCACCTTTTCTATATACGGAGAGGTCAACCGTTGCTGAGGTGCACAGACGAAGGACGGACTGTTCGCATTGTCATAGGTGCCATGCCTATGTGTGTGAGCTTCTTCCTCCTGACGACCTCCACTTCCCCAAGGACCCCAACCAGTATACTACGCCTGAATGGATACTCCACTCTGTTGATTTTTTTTACGCCCCTCGCCCAAACCTTACTCACGGCGTATTGTTCAGAAAAGTGAGGAGAGTGGGAGAGTGGATGGATCTAAGATGCAATTTTACCTTTTGTTCTGTCCTGGTATGAGGGCTTTTGCTTCTTCCCCTTCCCTTCCCTTTTTCTTTCCATCATCCCTTTTTTTTGTTTAAAATTTTCCTTTTCATCCTTCATCCTTCTTCCATCCTCCACCCTCATCCTCCATCCCTTCCTCTCCTTCCTCCATCCTCATCTCTCTTCCTCTCTTTGCCCTTTCAACAACTACCTACCTTTCAATAAAAAAGTAGTGCCATCGCATCTTTCAACAAGATGATCTCCACAGCCAACGGCTCGTTCTCGGCCTTTAGGAACAATTACCTTGCCGTCTACCTCACCGTCATGAGTACGTCCCTTTTCTCTGTACTGGCTGACCCGGCGCAAGCAACGCAGCTGGCCTCCATTGTTGTCACCTGCTGCGTTTGCAAGGAAAAGAAGCAAAGAGACAAAGCAGACTCAAAGGATAAAGCAAACAAGCAAGCAAAGGAAGTTACAAGACGTAGCAGGACAAGTTGAGCTGGAGAACAAACAAACAGCAATAACGTCAGCATCAACAAGCATACACAATCGATTCAAGATCGTCTTTCCTGGATATCTCTTATCGATCGCAACGCATACACACACCCATATCGGCACGACTCTTTCTTCCTTGGTCAAACAAATTGAGAAACCCACGACTATCCAACCTTCCTATTATTAACACAACTTGCTCCCAACTCGACATTTGAACCTGAACCTGATAGTGAGCGACTGGTTGCAGGGTCCTTACTTGTACGCATTATACCAATCGTACAACTTTTCGATGTACGACATTGCGGTCCTGTTCATCACTGGGTTTGTCTCGGGAGCCGTCTTTGGAACCGTCATAGCCAACACCGCCGACGTCTGGTACGTTTCTCTTGTTCTTGTAGTCTCAGGCTCGAGTGCATGGAGTGAAGGGTTCCAAAAGAAAGGGGGGATGATAATGCAGCAACGAAGACAAGGGCAAAGAAAGATAAAGGAGGAATATTTTCGATGTGTATCTCTCAATTACTGACTCTCATCCTTCTTTTTTTTTTTGTCGTTATAGGGGTCGCAAGAAGATGGCTTTGTTGTTCTGTTTGACTTCGTCGACCGCCAGTTTGATCCGTCTGTCGAGCAACTACCACTACCTCGTTGTCTCTCACTTGTTGTCCGGTCTCTCGACTGCTCTCTTGTACTGCGTCTTTGAGGCCTGGTACATCTCCCAGCACCAGCGCAAGGGTAAGCCAGCCCCTCCTTTCTTCTACTAGTCTTGGAATGAAAAAGTAGAAATTAAGGTGGCACAAAAAACTAACAACCTCCTCCTATTCTTTCATAAAAATAGGATTTGCGCCAGCATTGATTGGAGCAACATTCAGTACGGCGATTTTCCTCAACGGATTGGTAGCGATTTTGGCTGGAATTGTTTCGAACGTTGCTGTGGAATGGTCTGGTTCGATGGCGGCGCCCTTTGTTATCAGTGCTGGAACTCTTGTCGTTGCTGGAGTGTTGATCTCGACCTCGTGGGAGGAGAACTATGGCGAGTCCAAGACGAACGCCTCAGGATCTGTCCTCAAGACCATGCTCGAGGGTCTCGTCGTTCTCAAGAGCGATGTCAATATCCTGTCGTTGGGAATGGCTCAGACGGTGTTTGAGTGCTGCATGTACACTTTCGTGCTGTTGTATACTCCCGCCTTGGAGGCTTCGATCAAAGCCTCGGGCAGCATGGAGTCGCTCTTGCCTCTCGGATACCTGTTCTCGGGCATGATGTTCTGCAGTATGATGGGTTCGGTCGCCTTCAAGATCCTCTCGAGCCGCGGTGTCAAGACCGACAACCTCCTCTCGCTCGCTCTCTTTGTCGCCGGCGCCTCGTTCTGCTTCATTGTCCTCAACACCGCCAACACCTCCTACACCGTCTTGGCGTTTTTGTTGTTTGAGTTCACCACAGGAATGTACTTCCCCTCGATCGGCACCCTCAGAGCTCAGGCTATCCCTGAACAGAACCGGACAGGAGTGATGGCTTTCCTCAGAGTGCCCATGAACTTCGCGGTCATTGCTATCATGTTGAGAGTCGATACTATGCCCGTGACAGAGATCTTCCAGATCTGTGCGCTGTTGAACTTTGTTGGTGGATTGGTTATCCTCTGGAGGACTTTGGACCCTGCTCGTGGTGCCGGTGGATATACTGCCGCCCAGACTGTTGATGAGGCCCACGAGTTGTAAACGTAGAAGTCCTTTTCGTTAGCTGTAAGTAGATACTAGAGAAAAAAAACCAAGTTTATTTATTATTACCATTTGCCTTTGTTTCAACTGGGGCCACACTCCTTTTTTTTGTTGTTTCTTTTTGTTCCTTTGTCTCATGGCACAGCCGTGGCAATGCAGTAGAGTAATGGAAATAGACAGATGCTATGAGTAGCAACAGGCGGGGCATTGGGCGAAGAACGAGGAAGGGGAACAAGGGAACTCTCCTTCTTTCCCTCCTCCGACCCTTTTCGTCGCCTTTTTTACGCAGCCCCCCTTTTTATGTAATTAGTTCCAATTGTTATCCTTTGTACTTTTTTTTTGTTTCCTCCTCTTTTTCTTATTAATGTCTCCTGACCCCACTTCTGACATTCACACTTCTTTTCCATCATTCACTCTTGTCATTCAATCACTCAATCACTCATTCCACTTCGACACAACACACTCTTATTATTTTCTACGTCGCCCATCTGCCCCTCTCTGTGTTGCTCTTTTATCACACTCCATCAGTTCTTCCCTCACTTCTTGAAACCTATTATTGACGGGCATGGCGGCAACAGTAGTCCCCTGCAAGTACAGGACAGGTCGCGTCCTCGGCGAAGGCACCTATGCCACCGTGCGAGGTATGTTTTTGTAAACTCAGAAAGGGGAGTCGGTGGTAGGACAAGAGTGAATATTTTTTTATTTCTTTGTTGATTTGGTTGTTTTAAGAAACGCTGCGTAGAGAATACTGACGATTTTCTGTTCTTTATTTTTTTAATTGATGTGTCTACATAGAGGCAGTCCATGTAAGTCAAGAGCAAGGAACCCTCTTTCGGCACCACTATAACTACCTTCGGTCGCTTCGTTCAGGAAGAAAAAAACACACCTACAACAGCTCAATGGACCCGTTGCTTGCACTTCCTTCCTTCCTCCTCCTCATGCTTCTCATTCACCTTCTTTCTCCGTGAATAGATAGAGTCAGGAAAGAGATATGCGGTAAAGGTGATTAGCAAGAAGCTGATGCAGGGCAAGGAGAACATGATCAGGAACGAAATTGCGGTCTTGGGTCAAATATCTGTCGGGCATGCCAATATCCTCACCCTCACCGACTACTTTGAGACCCTCAACAACCGTATGCTCTCTCTTTGTGTTTTTATTTGTTCCTTGTTTTGTTTCCCGGTTAAAGAAGGCGGATGTGGCGCAGAGGAGGAAAGGGGGTGTGCAAGTGAATTAATTTCATTTATGCTCTTGTTTTGCGTTTGATGCATGAAAAAAAATAGTGTACCTGGTGACAGAGTTGGCAGAGGGAGGAGAGTTATTTGACAGGATCTGTAGTAAAGGCAGTTACTATGAACAGGACGCTGCTCAGCTTGTCCAGACTATCTGTCAAGGTGTCGCCTACCTCCACAGCAAGGAGATCGTCCATCGAGGTAACTTTTCTTTGGGTGTGTGTGGTTTGTGGTGAGATTCTCGTCCATGCTTGCAAGCTGCTAACACTCAATTTTTTTTCATTTTCTCTTCTTGTGCTCCGCTTTAGATTTAAAGGTAAACCGCTGGGCAAAGTCCATTGATGGGAAGAGGCGATTGTCAGGAAGTTATATATCCACATCTATTGAGAAGGAAACACTCACCATGAATCGTTCCTTCTTTCAACACGAATTAGCCAGAGAACTTGCTGTTCAAGACAAGGGCGGAGGACAGTGAGCTGATGATTGCAGATTTTGGACTGTCAAAGATCATTGACAAGGAAAAATTTGATCTTCTCACCACCACCTGCGGCACTCCTGGCTACATGGTATCTTCGCTCTCACACCCATTAATCACACGGGCAGTGCATGCACCTTTTACTTGTCCTTTTCGTGATCTTGGTGCTCTAACACATGTAAATTCACACTTGTGGTTTTTTCTTCCTTCGTTATTCCGCATTACGAATGATAGGCACCAGAGATATTACAAAAGTCGGGACACGGGAAACCGGTGGACATGTGGGCAATTGGCGTGATCACGTTCTTCTTGCTGAGTGGATACACGCCCTTTGACCGACAGAATACTGTCGACGAGATGCATGCGATCATCAAGTCGGAGTACTCCTTTGGACCGCCAGAGGCCTGGGATGGGATCAGTGATACCGGTAACTAATGCCTCTCTTTTTTTTTTTTTTTTTTTTTTTTTTTGGGGGGGGGGGGGGGGGGAGGATTTTGTTTGACCCTGCAGACGCTGAATGTGCATGAGTAGCAGCTGACGATTTGCGCATTGTTGTTCCTTTATGGATGATAGCGAGGGGGTTTGTGAAGGCGCTGCTGATGGCAAACCCGAACGAACGGATGACAGCCGTACAGGCATTGGATCATCCTTGGCTCACACAATACCAACAGCAGCAACCAGCACCACCAACCGCAGCGGCCACTACTGCCATGGACCACTACTCACAATACTACCAGTACCCACAACAACAAGTTCAACAGCCCACATACCAGTATATCCAGCGCCCACTCCCTCCACTCCCACTACCACATCAACACTCGTACGCCACCAACGCCACCACCAATGCAAATACCAACAACCACGAAGACGAGACAATGGACATGGACGGAGTAGAGTCTACAACAGCGCCACAACACGACTTGTTGCCGAATATGAAGGCGCGTATGCAGGCGCGGCGACGGTTCAAGAACGCGATCCAGGCTGTCAAGGCGGCCAACAAGTTCCGTGGACTGAAGGAGGAACTTATGCGACGGCCGCAACCTGAAGATGTCTCACATGTTTTGGCGTCGCCTCCTCGTTAATGCCCGTAGGTGGACTAGACAACGTGTGTGTGTAAAGGGCCAAATAAAGGCGTATTGTTGTTGAGAAAGAAAGCAAATCGTATATTACAAGATGAAAAAATGCAAAGTGTGAAGGACTGAAGAAGGGGGTGTTGGTGGAGGTTTAGAGGTCGATGGTGGGTCGTGATTTGAATTTTTTGGAACTTCGCTGCGACGCCCGGTAGCGGAACTGGTTCCCGTGGAGTGTAAACAGTGAATTCTTGATGTGGATCGTAAACACACTGTTCACCTTGGGTACTACTATTGTGCCAAATGAAGATGTTTAGATTAGGAAAAGAGTGTCGAGAAAATTCAATGAGGTAAATAATGTGCACTCGTGAGTCGAAAGACTGGACGTACCACGCAGGGCGTTGTTGGGTGTGATGATCTTGAACACGTTCTCAGTCTCCTGCGCAACGATCCCGCTGACCCCAATAAACGTTGGGCATTTTGACCGCGCGACTATCAATAACAGGAGCAGCAAAGTACAGTAGCGATTGGTTGGTTAGATCCAAGCATAGACATGCCTTGAATGTTGAGCCATTATCCTCCACATTGCCGTATTCATGCTGAAGGCAGGCTTACCTGTGATGATGGCGCCATGGAAATCGGCCTTGAGCAACTTTTGAGTGAATGCCAGAGGATTGGAGGTTCCAAACAGTTCCTCAACGTATCCCTTCCACAACTGATGCAACGGCTCAAACAGCTCATATTTCCGTGAAGCCAATGGGATATCGTAGACGTTGAGCTGGCGTTTCTCCTTGGCGGTAAGGACTTTAGCCTTGTTGGCACGTTTTCGTCTACGTTGAGCCTCCTTGGCATCCGCGACGGTTTTACTAGGGTTGTCGAGGTTGAAGACCTTGTTCTTGACTTTTTGGGAGAACACTTTGTCGGCCTCGAAGCCGTCTACGACAGAATTCTCGACGTATCCTGGAATGAAGGGTTGTTGTTTTGAGGATCCTGCTGCCTCTGCGCCCAGCTAATTAAAGTTGAACAATATGAGGTGGGTCGTTATGAGTATGCTGCCCGGGCTGCGAGTCTGAGTTGTTGCCAGCAGAGTTCTTCCTTAACGAAAGAATGAATGAAAGTACTTCAACATCGAGTCCGGCGGTGATGCTGACGTTCTCTGGCAATCTGCTGTAGAGACTGAGTTCTGGCCTGTTTTGATTCTCCATGCTTTTCCTTTGTTCTTGGTGTCTTCAATGGTCACTCGGTCCTGCTTCGTGTGTTGAATGGCGAAAGTGAAAGGTGAAGAGGTGAAGAGCCGATTCGATCGGTGGCGCTTTTTTTCTTTTTCACTTTTGGATCGAAAAATGTCACGTGTGGTCTGCCAGGCGCCTTTTGCTTCCAAGTGTCCCATCCCCTCCACGCGCACAAAGAGACCCCTTTTTTATTCGTGCTCATTCTCCTTCTTTTTGCTCTTCTTCTTCTTCGCCCACGATCCTCAAAACCAACTCCAAGTCAACCATTCCAGCACATCAGGCAACAACACAGACGACTACAAAACGACCCTCCATGGACGAGCTGAACGACTACAAAGACGACTCAACAGGGTCATCTACCCTCACAGACACTCATTCACCTGCTCCCAAAAGCCCATCTGAAGACCTGATGGGTCTCGAGTTCGACACCACACCTATTCCCACACCCACAGCAACAACACCGCCACCAGTAACAGCAACAGTAGGAGCAGGGAATGATACTGATACAGGGAAACAGGAGGCTGGCCTTATAAGCACATCAATCGAAGGCGATGGCGATAATGGCTTCGGAGACTTTGGCACCATCGCCGCCGCGGCACCTATGGCAGCAACAGCAACAGGAAACGAATACGATGATGATGACGGATTTGGAGATTTTGGAAATGCCGCCCCTCAAGATGCCTTTGGTACTACAAGTATGTCAGCAGCAGGAGCAGGAGACGACGACGACGATGACGGCTTTGGAGACTTTGGTGCAGCTCCAACAGCGGTAGGCGATCCTTTTGCAGGGGCAGCTGATGATGATGGATTTGGGGACTTTGGTCAAGTCCAGGCAGCAGGAGATGGTGGCGATGATGATTTTGGCGACTTTAATGATTTCGGCGATGAAGGATTCCAGAACTCGGATGATTTTGGAGACTTTGGAGGAAGTGGGGACTTTGGTGCGAGTGGCGATGCCGATGGCGATGATGATCCCTTTGGAGCATCGTCGTCGGAGCCCATCCAGCCGGAAGTGTCTACCCCTGCCCCACCAGAACCAGCTGCCCCTGCCGAGGTAATTGATCCTGCTTGGTAGTTCCTATGATGCGCTTTTGTCGTCTTCCGCAACCGCTTGATGATTATTTACAAACATCGTTTCTAATACATAATTTAGACGGCGCCGGACTTCAATGCTGTGAACTCGCGTCAGGTCGAGAACTATGTCCTCGACAAGTTGTCGGCCTTATACCCATTCGACGAATCCGTAGCAGAGGCGGGAGGACTGTTGAACACGGATCTAGACAGTCTTGATGTCACTTCAATTCTCTCGGATCAGGAATTATGGACTTCGCTCTGTGAATCCTCATTCCAGGGCGGACACCAGTACAGTAGCAGCAACAGGAGCAGTGTACAGTCCAAATCGACGTTGTCCGCAGTGGAATCTTCGTCGGCTGCACCTCAGTTCCAGTGGAAGCATTCGACCCTCCGCAAGGAATATTATGCCTCTTTGGGACTAGTTGCCACGAAAGAGCAGGTAACTATATGGGTCAACTTGGGTCGCGTGCCTTTGAGGCAGGTAATGATGGACAGTTCTCTCATACCAATTTCTTGTTTTTTTTTATACCCGATGAAATAGAACCCTGCTTCAGCACCTTCATCATCTGTACCTCATTCTGCGACAACCCCCTCGGCGTCAAGATCTAAAGTGTCGTCTCCTCTGATTATGGGCACTGAGGCTGTTGCCGAGCGCAAACCATTGGATCTCGCTGCCACCACTGCCTACTGCCAATTTACACGAGGTATTTTTCGACACCATTGTTTGCTCTCACTTTAAACAGTTCGCACTACGTTGTCCTGTACTCATACCTTCTTGCACCTTTATCACTTGTAGAATCGCTGGGAGCATACTCGGGAGAGGAGATGAAGGATATTGTCGCAAGGTTGACGGATCTGACACGCCAGGCATCGGACGAACTCACGTACTGGCTGGACCAGCGAGAGCAGATGATCATGGACAATGAGCGGTACAATGAGATGATTGCCTCACTTGTCGGAAGGGCAGCTAAACTCAAGGATGCAGAGTCGAAACAGAAGACGAATAACAAGCGAGGTATCACGCGCAACAGCTTTCATCTCAAGTAGTAGGAGCGATATCAACTCGCGTTGCTGGGGTTTCATCCCTGTGCGCCTCTGTTTTAGACTAGGAGTATAAAAGTGGGCTTTCCATACCAGAAACTTGTTATATAAAGGGCGCACGTGGATTTGAAAGACAAGGGTGAGGCGCAAAATGTGAGGAAGGAGCTGAGGCGATACTCGAGGGCCGCCAGGGAGTTTGAAAGGGGGGCATAACTACCGACAAGCTAGGAATGTCAAGGCACCGAGTAATTGGTAAAAGTGACACAAAACCCATCACTGGTCGATCAAACGCTCCTACAGTTTTAGCGCTAAATTTTTCGCGCTCTTTGTAATGTCGCTTCGCCACGAGAATCTTCCAAAGGTACTTACTGGGCCCCTCGACTACGAGATGCCTAGTCCTTTTTTTTTTATTTTAATAAACTCGCTCCGTGGCATCTTCAATCACTTGATTGGTAGAACATTGCCTTTGTAGTTCATAGAAGTTCAAGTTTATTCTTACTAATGGAAAATACCATGTGGCGTAAAAGAAAATGGAGATCATTCGTTGGAAAGAGAGCGTGTTTCTCGAGATATTTGTGAGTGTTCTTGAGTTCAGTGGGTGTCACTGTGAATTCAGTAAAGTGTCAAAACAGAGTGAGCATATGGGAAGAACAAGAAGGTCATCCACTCAACTCGAGCTGAACCTTAACCTTGCTAGCATCGGTATTTGAGATTCTCTCATTCCCTCATTCGGTCAGTTCAGGCACCAACTTCTGGCGCTCTTTTCTCTTGAACTCAATAATGCTCCTACGGCATAGAATATACAACTCCGACTTCTCCACTCTCTCCTCCTCCACTTCGCTCTTGTTTATCCCTTCTCCACTTCGCTCTTCTATCCCTCCTCCACTTCGCTCTTGTATCCCTCCTCCACTTCGCTCTTTTATCCCTCCTCCTCCTCCACGGCTCACTCCCTTGCCCCTCTTCTTTCTCCAACCATTTAAGTACCCCCTCCCGCCGGGCCCTTTCCTCGGGTTTTTCTCTTCTTATTCTTTTCTTGTTCTCGTCGTCGCTTGTCCCAACCCCTTCCCTTCGCCTGTCTGTCATCCCCCCTCACCAAGATCACTCATCCTCCTTTCTCTTTCTCTCAACGACCTTTTCCGCCCCACGACTTTGCCTTCCTTCCTTCCGCCCTTTTTCACGACTCCTAACGCGTCTTTAATAATAAACACATAATGTCTGCTCCCTCCAACCAGGTCGAGCAGCTTCCTTATGACGAACGCGAAGAAGACTACCATGAGTTCGAAGAGTACGATGAGGCGAACAAGCCAGCCACCCGCCCCTTCTACAAGAGGCGCAAGTACTGGATCTTCTGCGCCATCCTCACTGTCATCATCGTCGCCGTCGCCGTGCCCATCGCTCTCTTTGTCATCCTCCCTAAGGTGGCCCAGTCCATCATCAACAAATCCAACATGGGCTTCCAATCCATCCAGATTTCCAACCCCACGAACACCAGCTTGACCATGTCCATGAACGGAGAGCTCACCAACACCGGTCCCTTCCATGCCAAAATCAAGTTCCCCGATCCAATCGAGGTCTACTACGGCGAAACCTTGCTCGGTTCCATGAACCTGCCCGATACCAAGGCCAGCGGCGGTCGCGGTGACCTGATTGCTGATGCTACCTTTAGCATTACTGATGAGGCCGCCTTCGGAAGCTTCTCTGCTGATATGGTAAGCCCCTTCTTTCTGCTCTACTTCACACTCTGCTTTCATCGCAACGGTCATTCAATCCATCCCATTGGTACTCCCTCCTTTTCATTTCTACTCCTCCAACCCCCTTGCTCCTCTACCCTTCCATGCATTCCCCTCGATTGTGCCCTTCTCATTCACCTGATCGCTGAGCACTTTTTCCTGCACCAAAACATCGCCACTACCAACGGCAACATCCTCTCCTCTCATTTTCCGCACACAATGCCATGCTGCACCTCGTTTTATTATAACCCCTACATCCTTCATCTCTTTCTTCATTATTTCATCCTTGCCAAACACAAACGCAACGCAGAACACATGCATCACACAACCGAAATATACGCATTCAACTCTAACAACAAAACCCTTTCGTCACCCCAATGTATGATAGATGAGCAACGAGAAGTTCACCTGGAGGCTCAAGTCCACGGTCACCATCGTTGCCCTCGGACGCACCGTCAGCAACCTTAACCTCGACAAGGACCTTGAGCTCTTGGGTGCGTTATCCCTCCCTCACGTTACTACTCCATTTTGACATTTTACGACCTCACCTGCTATGAATGCATGGCCAAAATTGCATTTCGCAAAACAAGAAAAGACTGACTAACGAACCCATTCGTCTACTTTTTACTATGCATTCTTTTAACAACAACAGGTATGGGTGGTTTCCCTGATGTCCGGATTCTCAAGTTCGACTTGCCTTCCGATGCTGCTCCTGGCCAAGGTATCAACTTGGTCATCGACACTGCCATGAACAACCCCTCACCTATCGGTGTCACCCTTGGAACTATTGTCCTCGACATTGGCTTCAACGGCACTGCCCTTGGTCAGGTCCGTGCCACTGGTGCCTCCCTCTTGGGCAACTCCCAGTCCATTCTCAACTTGACCGGTACTATGGTCCCCCAGACCACCCCTGAGGGTCTTGCCACTGTCAGCTCTCTCTTCTCGGCTTACATCGCTGGTACCTCTTCCGAGACCACCGCTCGCGGTGTCTCTGTTTTGCCCGATGGTATCAACGAAGTCGGCTGGCTCTCGGCTGGTCTCAAGTCCATGGTCCTCAAGGTCGCCCTCCAGGCCCCTGCTCCTTTGAACGTCATCAAGTCCATCGCTCTCGGCCCCATGGGCATGAACTGGACCAACACTGATGCCTATGCACCCTTGGCCAACTCTCCCGGCGTCGTTGCTGGTTTCGAGATGCCCTTCGGCTTCACCTTGAACGTCACCCAGGTCCAGAACAGCATGGCCGTCATCTACAACAACAAGCCCATTGCCACCCTCAATGCTGCTGAGTGGAGCTCTGCCGTCACCACCAAGGACGCCAACGGCACTGCCATCAACTTTGTCTTGCCTCCTACTCCCTTCGCCATCGCTGCCGATTCCCATGCTGACTTTGATGACTTTGTTAACAAGCTGACCATTGGTGATACCCAGCCCTTTACCGTCAGCGGTATTGCTGGAACCGTCGCCATGACCCCCATTGGAGAGGTCAGCATCACCGGTATTCCCTTCAAGTCTGACGTTGCTTTGTCTGGTCTTCAGGGTCTCAAGACCGACCCCACCGTCATCAACAAGTTGACCGTCATTGGTGGTACCACCGCTGGTCTCCAGATTGCCCTCGACTTGACCATGACCAACCCCTCCCAGATGACCATCGACACTGGTCTCGGTGACAGCGCCGTCGTCACCTTCGGTATGGTCTACCAGGGCGACAACGTCGGAACCGTCATTTTCCCAACCTTGAACCTCGTCCCCGGTGTCAACAACATCCAGGCTGGTGCCTTGTTCACCCCCACTGGCACCGCTGGTGGCCAGGCTCTCTTGGAGCAGTACATGGGCAACCAGGTCTCTATCGTCGACATTTTCGGTTCTGCCTCGTCCTCTGTCATTCTTCCCTTGGCTGCTGGTCTCAAGGATATCCAGTTGTCGTCGAACATGCCCGGTAACCCCGCCCAGCTCCTTTCTGGAACTTCCTTGACCATCCTCGAAGATACTGGCAAGACCGGTATCGCCATGGCCATTGTCACTGTTAACAACCCTTTCATTCCCGGCTTGACCATCAAGTCCATCAAGTCGACTGTCGAGTACAACGGCCGTGCCCTCGGTGCCATTGATATCCCTGATATCACCATCGCTGTCGCCGGTATGACCCAGCAGGCCTCCCAGCCCTTGCCCCTGTCCATGGACTTGTCCATCGACTCGCTCCTCTCGCTCATGATTGACCAGGCCAACGTCAACAACCTCAACGCCGAGCCCATGATTGCTTTGGGCAAGATGGCCAAAGACCCCACTGTCAAGATCCCCTCGTCTGTCTTTGCCGGCTTCAACTTGCCCACTTTCGTCAAGGCTGCCATGGCCGGTCTCAAGGTCGATGTCACCATGACCGTCGATGTCCTCGTCGGCGAGTATGCCACTTCGCTCACGCTCGTCCAGAAGGGTGTCCCCACCGCCACCGATGACACTATTTTGAAGCTTCTTCCTATCGTCGGCACCCCCATTGCCCAGGCCATTGTCGACCTCGCCACCTTGACCTTCGACGGCGTCATGATCAACAGCCCCGCCGAGACCGACTTCACCACCAACATCAACGGTCTCATTGCCAACACTGGACCCTTCGATGCCGACATCACCTTCCCCTCGGGCTGTGGTCTTGCCTGGATCAACGGCGGCAACACCGTTTCGATCGGTCAGATTGCCATGCCCACCGTCAACGCCAAGGCCGACGTTGGTAGCACGCTCGCCTTGACCAACGTTCCCTTCCACGTCACCAGCGGCGCTAACATGGGCTCCTTTGTGGGTTACTCGCTTCAGGCCGAGTCCTTTGACTGGGAGGTCACTGCCACCAACATGACCGTCATTGCCATGGGTGCCCCCATCCCCGGTATCCACATGACCAAGAAGGTCACCCTCAAGGGCTTCAACGGCCTCAAGGACTTGACAATCGAGAAGTACGATCTCCCCTCGAACGACCCCGATGGTATCCACATTGTCCTCGCTGCCTCCCTTCCCAACCCCTCCAACATCGGTATTGAGATGGGCACTGTCGAGTTCTCCAACGAGTTCCAGGGCCAGGAGATTGGTTTCGTCAAGACCGCCGGTCTCGCTCTCCAGCCCAGCGGCACCACCCCCATCGCTCTGGAGGGTACCTTGACCAAGCAGACCTCCGAGGCCGGTCTCCAGGCCCTCGGTGACATGTTCCGCCTCGCCCTTAACGGTGGTTCGCCCAACTTGATCGTCAAGGGCAAGTCCGTCACCCCCGCCTCAGGTCCTGTCTCCTGGTTGAGCTCTGCTTTCTCGTTCTTGTCCATGAACGTCACTCTTCCCAGTCTCGGCAAGCAGGATATTATCACTGGCATCACCCTCAAGACCATGACCTTGGACTTCACCGGCTCCGACCCTTACAGCGTCATGTCCTCGTCGGACAACATCGAGGCCAACTACCACATCCCCTTCGCCTTCCCCCTGAGCATCACCCAGGTCGCCGAGGACATGAGCATCCAGTTGCCTCTCGGTAACACCGTCGCCAACTTGAAGCTCCCCATGGGTCCCGCCCAGACCATCAGCCCCGGCCTCCTCAAGACCGGTTACACCAACCAGCCCTTGAACGTCGTCGATAGCCAGCACGAGGTTTTCAACCAGTTCTCCAAGATCTTGACCACCGGCCCTGGTGTCCAGTTCTACTTGGTCGGTACCGCCGACACTGTTGCCGAGACCGCTGCCGGTGCCATCACCATCCCCGGTGTCGCCGTCAGTGTCCAGTCGACCATGATCGGCATGAATCTCAACGCCCAGCCCGCTGCCATCACCAACATCTCGGTCGCCGGCGGTACTCCCGAGTACTTGATCATCAAGCAGAACGTCGTCCTCCAGAACCCCTCGGGACTCACAGTTAAGGTCGGCAAGGTCTCGTTCGATATCACGTACTCCGGCATGTTGATGGGTAAGGCCGTCGTCAACGACATGGTCCTCGTTCCTGGTGCCAACACCCTCCCTGCCGAGTTCCACCTCGCCCCTGATAACTCGCACGTCCGCGATGCCTTCATGAGCGGTTTCGTTGCCGGTACGACCTTCAACCTCGGCATTGTCGGTGGTCCCGACTCAACCGATGTCGAGTCCCTTCATGAGGCCATGCAGTCCGTTTCGACGTCTGCCTCGATCACCGGTATCACTGACAAGTTGATTGCCCCTGGCTCTTTTGCCACTCCCAACCTCTATGAGTTGATGCAGTTTGTCAGGGAGCGCAGCACCCCCGTCCAGGTCATGCTCTACAACCCCTTCGATACCCCTCTCTACATCAAGAGCATGTACGCCAATACCACTTGGAACGGCCTGGCCTTCGGTACCGTCAACCAGGATGTCGGCATGATTGTTCCCCCCAAGTCGAACCAGCTCTCACCCGTCGTCTACATGAAGGCACCCGCCGGTCCTGAATACATGAACGTCGTGATTCCCTTCTTGGAAGCGTACCCCAAGTTGGGGGAACTCGTGGCTGTCGAGGTTCCCTTCCTCATCGAGTCTCTGATCGTTGCCGCAATCGGTGGCGAGAACGGCTATACCGGTAACGTTCTCTACACCCAGGCCGACACCGTGATTGCTGTCACTATCTCCGTCGAAGAACCCCCCGAAGAAGTCGTGCCCCAATCCGTTGGCGGTCCCGCTGTTGTTCCCGTGACCAACACTACCACCACCGCCACTACCACTGGCACCGCAACTGAGCCCTCAGCCGCTACTACTCTTCCTGAGCAGCCCACTATCACAGCCACCACTACCGTTGATACGACTACCGCTTCCGCCACGGTCTCGCCCATGACCACCGTTACCCCCGCTGCTATTGAGAAGCGTCAAGCTGCTCCTTCGATCCTTGAGGCCGGTCCTGTTGACCACTCGCCCGAGCAGGTCAAGGCCTGGTTCAAGGCTGTGATCAACGAATTGGCCGTCAACCGGGGTCTTCCCGCTCCTTTCTAAAAAGTGGATATAATCTTTTAATATTTATTATTGTTCTTTTGCCATTTTAATCTCCTGTCATTTACACAATTGCATGTAACCTCCTCCATCTCCCTTTGCCCTTTTTTTTTTCTTTCGTTCTCTCCCCTTTGTTTGAGCAAGACAATGTTCTTTTTTTTTTTTTGTTATTCTTTTTTCTTCTTCTTCTGCTCCCCAGGGAGTGTTTTCTCATTATGACCCTCATCCTTCCTCTTCACAGATATATTTTTTCTTCTATTGAATGATCTTGCGAAATTTCGACTCCTCCTCACCTTATACCCATTCCTTCCCTTGTACAGTAATTAATGATCATATTCTGTCAAATCCTTTGCAATCATCATCCTTTTGTTTGGAAAAAAAAAAAACTTGTCTGTTCGGACGCCTAGTAGTTCACAAAAGTTAATGTACCCTAATGACACGCTCTTGAAGAAAAGGAAAAAAAAAAAAAAAGAAAAAAAAAGTTGAATATCGAATAAAACTTGCATCATCTTGTTCACTCAAAAAAAAAATGAAACTAAAGGAATATGTGGCGATGTACTGTGATAATGTGAGAAAATGAGTGGAAGGTACTTTGAGGGACTTTGTTCAATTGCGCGAGAAAAAAAAACAAAAACAAGGGCATATCTTGGTCATCAGTTTCTTGTACGAGCAATACGTATGTGCTTTTATTTACTTGGTTGAGAGTGTGTGAAAAGTGTACAATGGTATCGTTTGTGATGATGGTTAAATAAACGGTAAAGATGACAAAAGCACCTTGCTTGTATTTTTTTAATGACTGAAGAAACTGTCTGGCAAACACCAATCAGGCTTGTTTATGTTTGTCGGACAAAAATGGCTCCACTATGGCAACACGAGAAAAGACCCCCTCTCTATGAAGCGTTCTCCTGACAGTGCTCCTCGAGACCTCGACGGCAAGTAGGTTGGTGATGTCGGTAAGAGTGGCACAGCGATTTCTTTTGGCAATGGAGACAACTTGACGGATAGCTCTAGCGTTCAACTTCTTCGGGCGACCCGGGCTTTTCCTTGGCTCGTAGTTCCCTCTCTCGCGGTAGCGCTTGATGACATTACCAACGGTTGCTCGGCTTTGACCCACGGACCTAGCTATCTCTGCTGGAGTGCGACCGGACTTCCACATACCAACGATCTCGCCTTGTTCTTCAACGGGTAGAGTCATCAGTGGGGGATGGACGGAAAGAAGGAGAGAAAAGAAATTGCTCGTTTTTTTTTTGCTTTCTTTTGTAAAATTCTTTTTGGAACGTGACTGTACATGTTGCTATCGACAAATAATTTAAAAACGCGTTGTTAGTTAGTGCGATGCTTTCTTTTCATGGCATTCTCACACATCGACCAACAACAACAAAAAAAGAAATTTGTATTACGAGAGCAAACCAGGAAAAGATGATGCTGACAAAGTTGTGGTCGGATCTCCAGATATTGATCGAGTGCGTCAGCGCATAGACTGCGGCAATAAAACGATCCATTGAACCAACGTCTTCGCTGGGAGGTGAATTCCGGCACCGAGTCAGACACAACCGTTTCTCCTGTCGCCGATCGCACATACTTCAGCAGCCACTGTCCACCTCGCTTGGCCACCAACTCGAAGCACAGAATACGATCCTTGGCCAGGTACATGTTGGCGGAGAAGATGTTATTCATGTCGCCTGACTGATTCTCGCCCTTGAAGTACGAAGCTAGCGGTCCGTTGCACTTGGTGTCGTTTTGCAGAACCTTGTACCGGTACGCTGAGAATGCTCCCGGCAAGACCGAGATGTATCCAAACATAGACTCGATGGACTTGTCCAGAATGTTTGACATCTTGTACTCAAAGTTCTGCGCCACGACCAGAGGGTTGGCCAGGTTGACACATCCACGACCTGTCATCGCATAGGTCTCTCCACAGGCTCCTGCGACGTGTTTGTTGACATCAAACGCCTTCCTGTAGTGATAAATTGATGTGCTGCCGGGAAGTGCCGACATCCAAGATAACACAGACGTTGGGGTTGAGGAGCGGTCCAAAGGCGTTGAAAAACCATCGACGAGAGATGAGCTTCTTGTTCTTCTTCTTGAGACAGAACAAGATCTGGACTGGAGGCGTCAATGTGACCTTCTTGGTGGACTTGCACCGATGCGCCTGTCGGGTGGGCGCAGGACCATAATGCAGCGTGGGACTGTTGTTCTGTGGTGCGAGGTAGGGATAGGAAGCTGGAGCCTGGACTACAAAAGAGAGGGGGTTTGTAGAAAAGGAAGAGTCGATTGGAGAGAAAATTTCATGCAGGGGTGCATGTCTGTCTACAAGTGGCAATATTCAATCGTAAGGGCTCATGGACCACTGCAGCCGCAATACCTTTTTTTTTGCTCTCGGGGTCCAAGTTATTCTTTTTTCTGCTTTTTCCTTTTCTTCATCTGATTCACACCTCGCATTCTTTTTCTTCTGTTCACATTCATTCCGTTCTCCTCATTCATCACCACCGTAGCACACGACCCCTCTCCCTCCCCAATGAGCGACAAGAACCTTGTCAAAGAGACCCTGGCCCTTATGGCTTCTAGCACCTCACGCGAAGGAGTCCAAGCAATTCGGTTAGCCAGCCACAACAAAATAGTCGATATCGCAACCCACAAGGACACCGCCGGACAGGAGATCGTGCTCTGGAGCGACATTATCATGGTCTTTCGTGATGCACTCTACCTCCAATATGGAACAAAAGCTATCCCCTTCCTCAAGGGTCCTGATTTCAAAGTGTAAGTCTTGTATTGGCTGGTGTGGTTGAACCTTTTTATTATTATTATTTTCGGTCCCTATTATGCATTCAAAAAGCTAACGCTTCCTTTTTTTGCAACTGAATGATAGTCTTGACCCTCTTCGGATTGCCGCGATTCCGGGAGCCACCTTGGAGGTTGTCGTTGACGACGACGATGACGACGAATCAACGACTACTGTCAGCAAGAGAGCGACTTTGTCTCGGGGCACCGTTCAAAAATCAAAGTCAACAAAGCAGAAATCGACCCCACAACGATCTACAGGCCGCTCTGTAGCACCTCCGACACCAACGCCGCCACCACCGATCCCAACAACACACAGTTCTGCACCTCAAGCGCTACCGCTGGAAATAACATTAGAGATTTCTCCAGCGTCATCGTATGAGCCAACCTCTCTGGGATCGTTATTCACGTCACCCTTCTCCAAGGTCACCCCAGAGGCTCCCACAAGAACGCAGCAACGAAGACCTCGTGTCGCATCTAACGCCATCCAGGAAACATCAACGGTTGAGTCATTGGCAGTGGCAACCAATTCTCAGGAGACAGCCAACAACAAGGACCAGCACAATGCAACCCTACGGAACCCTCAATATGGACTGGTGGAAGAGGCATTGGCCAACTACAACCATATGGAGGTTCCAGCAGAGGCACTCAAGCGTCTCGAACCACACAAATATAAGAATGACGCTCGCAACCCTCAATGCGGGTCCGACACGCCGACAGACATTCAACGCACAAACAACACCAACCAAGGGCAAGCCCCTCAGGAGTACGGCAGCCTTGATAATGAAGAGTACGGCGACCCGACGAAACCCAAGAGCACTAACGAGACAATCATGTGGGCGAACCAAGGCGATCCCGAGGCGCAAGTTGCGCTAGGAAACTTGTATCGTCATGGCAACATCGATCTTACAAAGAACTTTCAGGCGGCGATGGATTGGTACCTCAAGGCAGCAAAGCAGGGTTACGACATGGCGCAGTACAGTGTCGGCATTCTGTACTACGTTGGTGAGGGCGTTCAGCAAGACTATGCCATGGCCGAAGAATGGTTCCGCAAGGCTGCAGCGCAGGGAGGAGAGTCAGTGGTTCCGTACATGTTGGGCAAGCTGTACGAGGAAGGTCATGGCACCCAAGACAGCCCAGAAGAGGCTCAGTCTTGGTACCTCATGGCCGCCGCGCGAAACTATATCCCTGCTCAGTTGGCCCTCGGATCGTTGTTGGTGTCCGGCCATGGTGGTCGCATCCCAGAGAAGGATCGGAACTACTCGGGCGCGATGGATTGGTACCTGAAGGCGGCGCACGTAGGTGACGCACAGGCGCATTATGAAATTGGACGGATGTTTGATGAAGGGGTGGGTGTTGTTCAGGATGACTTGAAGGCGAGACAGTGGTATGCACAGGCGTCTGCGCGTGGCCATGCTGGTGCTGAGGAGAGGTTGCAGTCGTTGGGGTCAAAGTCACAGGCCCAAGTGGAATCTAGGTATGGTTCTTTGAAGGGACTCTTTGGCAGACTTAGCGAGGGGATCTTTTGACACATTGTCAATAAATGCATGATTAAATAAATGACAGCTTTTCTTTGCAAGATGCGCCAAGGAGCCGCCAATTTACAAGTCCCACAGAGAAACATGAACCGTGCAAGAAAAAATTGCTCAAAACCGTGTCATCAAAAACATTTGAGACTAACCTTCTTCCTTTCGTCACTCGCCCTGAGCTGATATGCTCTGGTCTTCTTGTCCTCTGTCTCTGATGGTGCCTAAACTGATGGTTCCTGAATTGATTTGTGTCATAGTTTAATGCTTCGCCATGTTGCACCCCTATGGTATTTTTTTTACAGCTCTTCTTGGTCTTCCCGTGTATTTGTTTATTCATGCAGCCTTTTTTTGTTTCTGACATATGGAGCATGAGGAAAAGAAAAACAGTGCCACAGAACAATCCCCAACCCAACACGACACGCTTGCTCGCCCACTCACCTTTCTTTTATGCATATGAGAAAAAGTGTTCCTTTCTTTCTTCCTTTCTTCCTTCCTTCTCACTCATTCCACACACCCTCCCTCCCCACCTACCCATTCACCCATTCATCCATTCACAAAACACACCCATAACCCAACAACAAAGCAATGACACAAGGAGACGACACACCCGAAGACAAAGTCCAAGCCCTCCGCGCCATCGTCAAAAGCACCATGGCACCCCCAACAGCGGAGGAAGATATCGTCTATGTCGACTGTCAACACGACCCGGCGACCGATAAGGAGGTCGTCCTTTGGGATGATGTCATATTGGCGTTTAATGATGCCCTTCATGTTCGACATAAGGCTAGGATTATTCCTTTTTTGAAAGGAGCTGATTTTCGCGTGTGAGTAGACAGAGGTCTATATTTGGGTGCCAAGAGGTTACAAATTACCGAAAAATGCAATTCAAAAAATGTTTGCTTTTTCACACCATTCCTTATTGCTCATTTTTTTTATGATCCGTTTACAACTAGTTTGGAGCCACGAAGGATCGCTGCTATCCCGGACACGGTCCTGGACGTCATCATCGAGTGCAAGGAACAGGAAGCCAACAACAGGCAACAGCAACAGGAACAACAAGAAATACTCGAAAGGGAAGCCATTAGCACAGAGTTTGACACCAGCGCCATCACCAGGCACGGTGGTGACGGTGGTCCTCAAATTGAAGTATCGCAAGAAGTTATCATCACCAAGCTGACGATTCCCGAAAGCCCCGTCGTCATCTCGACCACTTCGACCACTTCCCGAGCACCTCAGACCATCCTTGAGGACAACGATACCAACAAGGACAACGACAGCAACTCTACCCGCAAGAACGCAACAAACCACTCCGACAACAAGGACTTCCACCGTGGCCCTCAACTCTACGTCGACAACCTGGACCAAACCCACACCAATGCCGACCTGGGCGATGTCGCAGCACAGGTCAAACTGGGCGATATGTACCTCGAGGGAAAAGTTGCCCCCCAGAACTACCAATTGGCTCTGAAGTGGTACTTAAAAGCTGCCGAACAAGGCGACGCTGATGCCCAACGCAAGGTCGGCAACATCTACTCCAAGGGTCTCGGCGTCCCTCAGGACCAAGCAAAAGGTATGGAGTGGTATCTCAAGGCAGCTAAGCACGGCAATCCCCCCGCACAGTGCGACATCGCCATCCTCTACTCGACCGGCGACGGCGTGATCAAAGACTACAAGCACGCCGAAAAATGGTACCGCAAGTCTGCCGAGCAGGGATACGCCCTCGCTCAGTGGAGCCTAGGCAACCTGTACCGAAAGGGCGACGGCGGGATGTCAATCGATTACACCAAGGCCATGCAATGGTACCTCAAGGCATCTGGCCAAGGCAATGCCGAAGCGCAGGCAGATATCGGCACCTTGTACTACGGCGGCCTCGGTGTTCCCCAAGATTACTCAGCCGCCATGGACTGGTACCTCCGCGCCGCCGAGCAAGGAAACACCACTGCCCAGTTCAAAGTCGGATACATGCACGAGAGAGGCGAGGGGACCTCACAGGACTACTCGCAGGCGTACCGGTGGTACTGCAAGTCGGCCGAACAAGGCGATGGGAGTGCATCGAATAATGTTGGACTTTTGTACTATAAGGGGTTGGGTGTGCTGAAGGATTTAATGAAGGCTATGGATTGGTACAAGAAGGCGGTCGAGCAGGGCAACCAGGCTGCGAGGACCAACATTGACGCTGCATTGAAGGATATCCGTGCCTTGACGAAGTAGGGTGTTTGTTTTATAATTTGTAGTTTGGTCGGAAGACGGGAGCGGAGGAAAGAAAGATGTAAATCGTGCATATTTATTCAACGTATCGTTTTCTTTTGTTAAAATACATACTTTCTTTTTATTACGCGTTGATAAATGCCATTCTTTCTATGTCTGTTCACGCCCATCGCCTCCACACACGCACATGGCCCAGGAATAAAGTGTGAATGCACTTTTATTATTACTTTCGCTGTGCGACATAAGTCGCCGTGTCTGGCGTTAATTTTTAATGTAGGACGACAATCAAGCAACACACACTAGCAAACAATATTAGATGCATTGTTGTTCGCCTTTTTTTGAGACTGCGCGTTGTCCTCCCTCTGACATGATCGACAAACGCGAAAAGAAAGGGTGTAGATAGAAAACAAAAGAAGTTTAGAGAGGCCGACTGACTGCGGCCCATTTTCTGACAAATGCATTGTCAAAGTCTACAATTGGAATATATATATTTTTGACAGGCTACCGCGCAATTGACACACAGACACGCCGCGCGCTTAACAGAAAAACAAGCAACACATGGGCTGGCGGACTTTTCTTTTGCGGCGCAAAAGCTAGCATGCTAAATCCATGTACCGAGAGATGAGAAGACTGGCGCTGTGTGACAGGGAGCCCTACATTATTAATCCACTCGCACCAAAAAGGAAAGAAAGGGCACACAAAAGTTCACTTCTTGTTTGAGGTTAGGATTTCAAGCTTAGCTGACTGCCAGATGGTTGAGTAGATCGGATAGAGTAGAAAGCAAGCGAACAGGAGGTTGAAAATACAAGGACAAGGCACGGTGGGTTCTTTGAAGTGTATTATTCAGCAATGTCAAAAGTGGGCGTCAAAGCAAATGAGAAAGAAAATAGGACCATGATTTGATGTCAGTGGGATCGATCAAAGCTGATGGTTGACATTTAGACATGGCAAGAGTTGTCTGACCCAGACAAAGAAGACGCGTACTCAATCCCCGCGTGTATGTGTCTCAGAGCGCGCCATCTCTCGTCATTTCGAACAACTAAACGAGTATAAAAAGCATCCTCATGGCCAACTTTTTTTTTCTCATCACAGCAACAAACATAACAGCACCAGCCAAAGCAACTCTTCTCTCTTACACACACGCTCCTTTTCTTCTATCTTCACTCCCATTCAAACACAAAAACAAAAACAAAAATGGTGCATCCAGTCGCTCACCCCTTCTTTGACCCCGCCCAAGCTGCCGCATTCAACACCCTGGCCGACAAGACTAACAGCTCCTTCGAGGTCAGATACTTCCACCTCCATGGCCAAGGCGGCCTTTCCCGCACCCTCATCGTCATCGGCACCAACGGTCACTCCAGACTCACAAACGTCCACGAGGGCGACTGGGCCGACTACAAACCCACAACTCCCTTTGGTGTCATGCCCCTCCTCACCGAAACCTCTGCCGACGGCAAGACCAAGCTCCAAGTTGCAGAGTCGGATGCCATTGAACGTTACCTTGCACGCAAGTTCGGACTCTTTGGCAATGGCACCGCATTTGAGGAGGTCCTTGTGAACACGTTCGCGAACAGCACCCAGGGTCTGATAATGTCCATCTTCAACTCCCACGGCCTCATCGAAGACCCAGCTGTCCGCACCAAGAACAAGGGTCCTCTCATCAGTGACAACATCGCCCCCTGGATCAAGTACCACGAGCAACACCTCCAAGCCAACGGGGCCAATGGCCATTACGTCGGCAACAAGGTCTCCCTCGCAGATGTCAAGACCGACTATGTCGTCAGCATGATCCAGGGCTTGTCGGGTGATGAGTTGATCTCGGAGGAAAAGACACCCGCGATTTGGAGGGTCCGTCAGGAGATGGACAAGATTGAGGGTGTTGCCAAGTGGAAGGCGTCGGAGGAGTACAAGTCGCTCGGCAAGGAGAACTTTGATTTCCTTGGATACTAATGTCTGGTCCTGAGCCCCAACCTTGAGTCTACATCATTCACTCTCTCATCTTCTTGACAGAATAAAGCGTACGAGATCAATCACCATACTTATTATTTTTCGTGTCAACAAGCGCACTTCAGCAAATGGAAAAGAGCGTACGTCAAAAATTGAAACCTCGAAGCGAAGAGGGTCAGGGGCGAAGCAGACGCATACTAGCTGCAGGCCGTTTTTTACTCATCAGCTGGGTAAGACAGGCGAAGCATTTTGTTTTTCATATGCAAGGTCCCCCTGAGATAGGATTATGTGTTCTGATTGGTGCCAACATTATTGTACTCTGCCATTACTTCTGCATTCCATCGTATTGCAGACATATCGTGCAATGCTACCTTTGAAAGACACAGCAAGCCCGTTGTTCTGCAGAGATCTGTGCTTGTGAGTGGATGTATATTAAAATAGGCGATTGTGCATCGGTTATTTCCTGACTATCTGATAACCCAAAAAATGGCGCAGACCCCGAGACTGAGGTTCAATGACATCCTGTGAACTAAACCACGCAGACGGTGATCAGCTTCGTTCCCGGCGCTCACGCTCCAGTTTGCGCTTGCGCGACTTCTCTGCCAGCTGGCGCTCCAGCTCGGCCTCCATCTCATCCTCCTTCTTTGCAATACGAGCACTATCAAGTGGAAGCAACAACAAACTGGTGAGTAAAATGCATTACAAAACGTCATTAGTGTTATATACTGAAAACAAACACAATGGCATACCTGCGGGCTTCCTCGCGAAAGACCTCATCGGGTCTAGCTTCCATGTCGTCGTCAGAGAGATCCTCATTGACGGCGCGCGAACGGTATCGGGTTCCAAAAAGCGATCCAATAACAGACGAAACAGAAAAGTCTTCCTCGTCATCAAATGGTCCCTTACTACGTTTCTTGGTGGGTCGAGGGGAGGGGGATCGAGAGACGCGCCTCTTACTTGCTGATGATGAAGGTCCGTCTACAAACTTGTTCTTGTTGGGTCCAGTGCGATCCCGATCCCGGTCCCGATCCCGGTCGTACTCCCGGTCCCGTTCTCGTCCACGATCCTTGTCAGCCATGCTTTTCCGCTTGACTGGGCTAACTGATCTCTTTCTGCGAGGACTGGGACTGCGTTTCCTGTACTCAGGGCTGTAATTCTTCCTTTTAGCAACAGGAGGACTGACGCTTCGCTTTTTCCGAAGGGGGCTTCTGCTCCGCCTGCGTTGAACAGGACTCCTGCTCCTGCTCCTCCTCCGAGACGAGGGTCCTGGACTGCGACTGCGACTACGACTATCGCCATTCGTGGCCTCTTTACGAAGGCGATCCGTCTCCTGAGCATCGTCACTCATCAGAGCCCTGCTGAGTTTCGCTCCTTGAATGGCCTTTTCGCGCTGCTGATTCTTCCGCTGTCTGTCCTCTTCGATATCCCTCATTTTTCTCTCACGCTCCTCCTTGCGAGCGTCCTTTTCCCGCAGCTCTGCCGAGATTTCTTCAATTGTTCGGCGATCCCGTTTCGTTGAGTTGAGTGCCACTGGTCCGTCGCGAATTGCCTTCAATCCGGCGTCTCGCACATAATTGACACTTGATGTCGGAATCCTCATATTTGGGAACATTGGCTTTGGTGCTATGTTGCGCTTGACTGGTGCTAATGTCGCAGAAAGAAAGTGGTTACATAGGGGGAGAGAAACAGGTCAGTAACGTACGTTCCTATTGTGTATATTTCGTGAAGTAAAGTAATATGGTCCAATGGTCCAATGTGCCCCTTGTCGTAATAATTTGTCGCGTGGTGTCCTGAATCCTTGACTGGAGCCTCTGTAGACACCCATCATCATGCACACGAAAGAAAGCTGGGGCAAAATCCGGCAGTCAAACACCAAAAAGAGGCCAAAAACTTACGTTTCTTAGCAATCTTGGTGCCGTTAAATGATTGGGCCATAGAAAGAGGGCGCTCAGGACTGAATCCTCTGTTGACCTTGAGTTTCTCGGCGGCCGCTAGACGACTGGTGGGATAGCTGGACGAAGATCTGTCGTCGCGTCTATCTCCGTTCCTGTCTCCATTGCGTCCACGGTCGTCCGATCCATTTCTTCTGCCTCCGTTGGCTGCGATCTTTTGCAGCTGGTCAAACGAGTAGTCCTGTTTCTTTGCTGCAGGCTATTTGATGAATCAAACGTGTACAAGATAGGTAATAGTATTAGTTAGTTTGGTGTCACTAGTGCGCTGTCCAACCTTCGAACAGTCATAATGACGTCAAGAAAGGGTACCTTGGAGGCCTCGTATGACCGCGATCCAGAAGAAGTTCCTGAATAAGTATGCTTGGATCTCGAGTAGGTAGGTCCATTCCCTGAAGACGATCCTCCTCCGGCAGCAGCGCGTGCCTGTTGCTTCCTCGCCTTTTCTTGGTACTCCCTTTCCCGCTCAGCTTCCCTTTCCCGTTCCCTTGCACGTTCCTTTGCCTTCAATTGTATCGCATTCTCCCTCCGACGATGCTCCTCCTCTGCCTTTTTCCGTTCCAGCTCTCTTTGTAAAATCCTTCGGGTTTCTTCCTCCTTGCGACGACGGGCAGCCTCTTCCTCCTTGCGCCGTTGATTTGCTTCATAGTCAAGTTGCTGTTGCTTTTTTTGAAGCTCGAGCTCGGTGACTCGAGAGTTTTTTGTGCCGACCTTCCTGAGTTCCTCAAACTAGTAGATTGAATAAAAAAGGAGCATAGCAATAGAAGGTTTCCTTCTCGTGTTAGTGATGACGAAGTGCATGCATTATTACGTTCGATGGTTGTGTGCTTCCTGTGAGGAGTAGAGAAGGATAAAAAGGAACTTGCCTCTCCCATGGTCGGTGCCTGTGAGTTGCTTGTGTTGTTGTTGTTGTTGTGTTGTGGATGAGGGAGATTATGGACGCGGAGTGCACGGTTGTTTTTTGTTGCGTGCTTTTGGAGTATGAAGATTCAGAAAGAGGAGAGGGGAGGATTGTGGTATGTTGTGTGTCGTGGTTTGATGACGAGTAGAGAGGGAAAGAGATGAAAAGAGGGAGTAGAGTGTGCGCGTGTGTGTGGAAAGGAAAGGGAAAAAAGAGAGTTTTGGATGAAAAGAAGAGTAATAAGAGTGGTGATGTCGATCGAATGGAAGGGGATTCTGGAAGGTGCCATTCAAAAAGCGCCACCACACACATTTCTCTTTTTTATGCTCGCACCACTCGCACTGCACCACCACACACGAGTTTCGTTAAGGTGACGTCACTGGATTTGCTTTATGCGTAGAAGTTAGTATGGCCCATGCGCAGAGATGAGCACCGCCCACCTTTCTCAGACTCGGTAATCCTTCGAAGGTATTTCCCATGTGCTCCCTAAGATAGATATGACAGCACCCTTACTTCATATGTTGCATTACGCATTACACCTACGTGCTTGGTATAACAGCGGCAAGATGTAGCCGTTGGTTCGCACTTTCGTTCTTCCTGGACGGATTCAACCACGTGTCCTCGGTTTCATCCCAGGCTGCAATGACGAGACTCACTTGTATAAAAAAAGAAACATCGGCACATATTTTCTCTTCTTTATTGTTCTTTTCACCTTCACCTTCATCTTCACCCTCACTTTTTTGCACTCTTCCTCGTTCTTTCATTATCACCAATACCATCGACACTAATAAACCTCACATTCCTTACTTTTCGACCCTCTCTCTTTATCGACTGCACACACGCCCCTCCCCTCTCCCTTTCACTCACCCTCCCTCTCCTTTCACACCACACAACTACAATGGTACGCTCAACCCTCCCACCATCACAACTCTCCCTTTTTAGCAACCAAATTTGCTCTCACGGCCCTTTCAAACAGAAACGAACGCCTTTTGTCTCACCACCCACCTCAGCATCGCCACTAACCCTTATTCCCATCCACATCCCTCCCTCACATCAAATAGGACACCCGAACATCCTATAACCCTGTCCGCCCACTAGTAATCGCTCTCTGCGTAGTCCTAATCCTCTCCCTCTTCCTCTCCTGCCTCCGCCGTCACCGGATCGCCCGCCACCAACAACAACTCCTTCAACAGCAACAAAACCAAACCACCGAACTAGGAGACGTAGCCTACATGTACCAGTACCCTCCTCCTCCGGGAACCCCGTCGAATATATATCAGCCTCCCAGTCAGTCGATGTATTTTCCACCGCCGGGTGTGCCACCCGTGATGTCACAGTACCCAGGAGGAAATGGAGGAGGGTATTACCCTCCTATGGGTGGGACTGTGGTGAATATGGATGGACAGCAACACCAATCGTCGCCGGGGTCCCCACAAACTCATGTCCATTACCCACCTATGCCTGTCGCTCCCACTCCAACAGCTGGAACGGGATCTTCATTAACAGGAGGAGCAACGACGTATGTGGCGGCGCAAGATGGATCTGCAAACTTGACCAACGCTGATATCCATGAAGGTGTCCCTGCCGTCCCACCACCACCCTACTCCCCTACCGTCCCCAAGTAAAGCGGCCAAAGAGACTTTGAGACCACGGCGAAGACATCCGTAAAAGGGGCTTTTTCACAGCAGGAAGCAAGGACCAACAAAGACTTGGCATTCTATCACCCACTCTGTAAAATCACCCCAGCACTTCAACCCAGTCACCTATTTCACGTTCACGGACATACACAAACACTAATAAAAGAATCAACAACCCCATGTTTGTCTCTGATCATCAAATCGCATGCAGGCCGTATTATGCGCTTTCAATGGTATCGAAATAGGAGGGGGTTACTCTAGCCTACGTTTCAGCGCCGCCTTTGGCGAAAGAGGGGTAGTGAAGGGATGAGAGATACTTTTAGTACTTTGTCAAAACCACTCAACGGGTACCAAACACTCATTTCTTTTTCTTTCTTCTCGTCTGTGCAAAAAAAATTCGGACACAGACATAAAAGAAAAAAAGGTGTTGACGGCCGGATCAAAGTTTTTGCTACTGCGAATTGGTCGCCTTTCCATGGAAACATGGAACATGTGGAAAATGGACTAGGCCCGTTGAATCGATCGGACAACGTACGAGTAAGTATGCAAGCAGAGGTCGACCATTTTTCATGTGGCCGCAGGCAGGCAGAGCATAAGGGACGGTATCGTCGGCAGTGTTTTGGTGAGAGTGGATCATCATCCATCGTTGTTAACATCAAAGATATGTGATATCGCAATAATAGCACAACTAGTGTCTACTCAACACAAAAAAAACGACCACAGATGAGTTCAATTGCATTTGCATAAAAATTTAATGACAACGTACAGTTGTCAACAAATGTGACACCAGATACTCACCTAATAATATCCGAGTGACATTAATGATGACGAGAGTTCAGAAGGACTGACGGCTTGCTTCGTCCAGCGAAGAGTGTGCTTGATCTAGGGGTTTCCTGGCCGGCGGGCTTCCTTCCTGAAAATGCCCTCCACTGTGGCCCCGCTTGTGCTGTCGACTCCCTGGGTGGCCCTGATCTATACGAACATCTTCGTCGTCATCATCATCGTCGTCGTCTTCCAGCCAGCTGAAATTGCCGTCGATCTTGACCTCCTTCATGGTATCGCCTGATTTATGTGCCTGTGATCCGTCCTGCTTCTTGGACGACATGCTTTCTGATCGGTTGGTCCGTGCACTTGAACTTGATGGACCCGTTGCCTTTTCCGCGACAGGTTCTCGTAACATCTGCATCGTCTTGGATGCTGGCTGTACAGGTGATGTTGGGGACCTCGAGCCGCCTTGGTTCAATCCGTGATGTGATGATGTCGCCTGCTGTGAGTGCGCCGGATTAATCTATGAGAGGAGTCGAACTAACGATGCTTAGTCTTCCTTTTCAACGTCGAGTCGCCTGTTGCAACATGCATATTGACCACAATGAACAGACATTTAGGTCGTACTTGTTTGAAAAAATCTATGATGGCTCCGTTGGGCGAGGTGGCGGCTGGTTTAGCAAGGACAATAGGTCTTGTGGGTGAGGTAGGAGACATACTGCTGCCGTTGCTGCTACTGCCGCCGTTGCTGGCACCGGTTTGTAGCGCTGTCTTGGATGGGGTCAAGTATACTACAGGGTTACTTCTGTAAGAGTAACGTTTAGTAGTCCTAACAGCCAAACCAACTGGTTGTGCTGATGACATTGTCCCAGACAAACCACTCACAATGGCACCTTGCCTCAATTGGGTGCGGTCCTGCTGATATGAGGATGGGCCCAATGCGAACGGTGTTGAGTGGTTGGTAAACAATGAGGTTGGGGCGTGAATGCGTCCAGAACCTGGTCGAACGCCATGGGTAGAGCGTCCAGACATAGTCGAGTGGGATTGTATTTTGTTGGCGCTGCTGGTGACGTTGTTGCTGACGGTGCGGCTCCGAGGTGATGGGTATGGGCTGGTATTGTACATTTGTGTGCTATGCGGTTCGCAGTGAATAACAAGATTATAAGTATGGACTGGAGGAAGGAAATGTGCAAGGTCAATCGAGTTTCCTCGTCCTCAAGTTTCCTAGTACGTCCGTGCATTTACATTTTCCTCGCCTCCATTCTGGCCTTTTCGAACAAAGACTTCTTCTTGGGTGCTACTGGGGTCGACCACGATGAGGATCCAGGCTGTCGGAGGGTCTTCTTGGGCTTCAGTGAAGGGTCCAGAATGACACGTCGCTCCTGCTTCTCATGGTCGTACTGCGAATAGGTTTGTCGAAGTCGAGCCGATGACTTTGCAAATTTTTCTTCTTCTTGCTTCTTCATCGCCTATTGAAAAAGAGAGGCAGGTATCGATATTAGCCCAGATAATCACATCTCATCATGAGTAAGTTGACTAATGGTTCAACGAAGGCAAGGATAAAAGGTTTGACATACCTGGTACTTTGAACGCCACTCACCACTCTGATCGTACACTGGGTTACCTTCTCGCAGAAACCCAAAGTGGTTGAGAGTGTGAATGTACCATAGTTCTAAGTGAGAGGAGAGTGAAAGGTAAGCAGTCAGTTGTCAAAATCTTCCAGTTCATGTCCATGTCCCCTGCCACCAAATGTGATTTTCCTGAAAGTTGTCCTGTTGCCTTACCATCCGTATCCTCGCTCAATCCCTACAAAGTCAAGGTAAAGGACATAAAGAAGAGATCATCAGTTAATACATGTCATTAAGAATGATGATGGCAATCAGGTCATTCGGGATAAACACGATCAGGGGTCGTGGAAGCTTTCTTACCTCGGTGTGAAGCTCGATTCGAGTAAGTTGTTTGACTATGGTGAAGAAGTGAAAAGTGGTAGATCCAAAACGTGAGTACATATGGTTGCACCGAATGTCAAATTTGGTCCGCATATCGATTGGCCCTGCCTGCTGAGTGACATACCGTTGCATTTCCGAAGGACGCTTTCGATGAGGTAATAAGGGGTCGTTCCAATGTCATCCAGTACTATCCAAGGAGAATAGAAAAGGGAGATGCATATTAATGTCAGTGGAGTTGCGTTAAACCACTGTAAGCAGCACTTGGTGCTGTGTTTATTTTGTTTTCCACGCCACAATCTTCTTTTCTGCTGCGCGTCAGGTCAAGAAAAGTAAACATACGGTCGACATATCGATCTAGTGTGCTGAGGCACAAGTCTTTGAGAGAGGGGACTGCTGTTCTTGTTGCTGAGGGTGGTGTAATAGACTCCCAAGGAGGTAAAGTGTTCCCTTGTCCTGGTCCTAATCGCTGCCCAACTCCAGTGAAGGCCATCCTGAATCCAGACAAAGCATCGACCGACGGAATGAGTGGGGAATGTGTCGACTAGAGAAGTCCTGGAGGGAGGCTGTTGGTTGTAGGTTGTTGGTTGGAGAGAGAGTGGAGGGCGGGGTCGAAAAGAAAGAACGTGAAGAACGACCAATTTATACTTTTTCATCGGCATAAGCCACAGGTCGAGCAACCCTTCAAAAAGCAGCGAGAGAGACATCGCGTTCGCTCTCTCTTTATTCTTTCGCCACCATCTCGCTCTCTTCACTCACAGACACACAAGGACATCATCTCCAAGAAGCAGACAGATCCAGCAGGAATCATCCAAAAACAACAAGCAAGCAGGCAGGACAAATACAAGACATGTCGGACGGGTCAAACTCTAGCAACAGCACTATCGAGGACACCAACATGGCCAGCCCAATGCAGACAGCAAGCGGCACCTCAACCCCAGCCATCCACTCCAACTCCGATGCAGACACCAATATGACACCCGCTGTCCCCATGGATCAAGATACTCCTACGCCGCAGCAGAGCCAGAGCCAAGGCCCTTCCTCGGCCGTCGCCTCACCTGTTCTGCCTCCCATAGAACAACAACAACAGCCACAACAACAACAGCCTTCTACACCCCAGCAGGAGCAGCAGCAGCAACAAAAACCACAGGAGGCTGCTGCCACACCTGCGCCCTCGGCACCGTCAACCCCTGCTGTTCCATCTGCCCCTTCAGCTTCTGTTACACCCATTGTCCCTGCCACTGAACAGTTCTCGGCAGCAAGTCCAATGACCGGCATTATCTCCACGTCCTCACCAGCCCTTTCAGCAGCTGCCTCGCCTGTTCCTGCATCTGCAACAGTGGCCACTACCATTCCAGTTACTATTACACCCATCACAGCCCCTCCCTCAGCATCAGCGGCACCAGCATTGACACCTGCTCCAGCACAGCAACAGCCTTCACCATCACCCATCATCCCAGGATTGACCCCTGCCTTGCCCACATCTACACCCGTCGTCGTCGCACCCACACCCGCCGCTGTGCCTACGTCCACACTTACTCCAGCAGCAGCACCCACATCACAGCAGGAAGAACTTCAGAGACAACAACAACATCAGGCGCAACTCTTGCTTCTCCAGAAACAAGCTCAACAAGCCCATATCGCTCAACTTCAACGTGCTCAAGAAACTCAGGCTGCTGCCACTGCCAACGCCAGCGCAGCTGCTACTGCTAATTCCAATGCTAATGCTGCTATTTCTCCAGCAGCAACGGCAGTGACACCAGCAGCAGCAGCAGTGACTGCGAACCCGGCGACGGCAAATCTGGGATTTGTAGCTCAGCGCAGCCAGGCAGTTGGAGCAGCATTACAATCTCGCAAGGAGGAGGAGCTCAACCGCAAGGACCGGACCTTAGCAGAGTTCTTGCCCATGATGGAGACATACAACCCCATCGTATGTGTCTCTTGAGGGTTTTTTCTGTCGAATGTTTCTTTACATTTATCTCTGTGGGTGTGATAGTGTACTAATTATCTGCCTTATTATTTTAATATGATAGATCCCGGATGCAGTGACTGACTACTACCTGAGCAGGACAGGATTCGACTGCGACGATGTCAGAATGTAAGCAAACAAGGATCTCTTTTTATCGTTTAGCGCCACGACAGTACGTTCATGAAATGAACTTCATTTCTGATATTTGCATATCACTTTATGTTTACCTCCGCGATGTGTGATATAGTAAGAGATTGTTGGCACTGGCAGCGCAAAAGTTTGTCTCAGACATTGCGACGGATGCCTTCCAGTACTGCAAAGTACGACAGCAAAGTCAGAAACGACCTGCACCCGGCAAGGTAAGCCCCACTGGTCCTATTTTTAACTTGTCGAGCGTTTTCATCAACCAAGTATGGCAAAGTAGTAACGCCTTTATTTTGTGCAATTGAATCGAATAGGAGAAGAAGACGGTGTTGACGATGGAGGATTTGTCGGATGCTTTGGGCGAGTACGGCATCAACGTCAAGAAGCCAGATTACTTTATGTAGTCACCTTCACTCAACGGTTCTTCTGGATCGTGGACGTGCTTCGGGGTTCGGGAATACCTTTCTTATCGACACAACTACAAAGATAAACGGCGCCGGCATTTGCAACGACCACATTCGCAGAGGGGAATAAATACAATCATCCAATAAAAAAAAATAATGTATTAAACGATTCTCGCGTGGAAAATCCTGGGAAACCTTATGGTGCGGTATTTGGGATTGCGGAGAGGGCTATGATACAAAGAGGCGGTAAGAGAAGGTATTTACAATAACTACATAGAGTGAGGCGGCTACTGATGAGAGTAGGTGGCCTCGTAAGGTGGAGGAGCCACAGAATCGTCATCTACAGCAGGTTCGGGCTCGGGGCGATGAGGTGGGGAAGTTATCGAGACTAATGGTGGGGCGGAGGGGGCGGGCATTGGAGCAGATGTGGATCCCGAAGAACTTGCGGGACTGAACGAGAGACCTGCCATCCTGTAAACGAGCAGTGGGTCTGGAGAGCCGAGTTCTTTGTCGTCCTTAGTGGGTGGCGTGTAGGCTGCTTGCGGTGAACGTGGGGATTGAACCGAGGGAGGAGGTGGTGGTGGTGCTTCGTTAAGTTGCGGGACGGGTGGAGCTTGGTGAGGTTGCGAGACGGGTGGAGCTTGGTAAGGTTGTGAAACGTCGTCCTTTGTAGGTGGCGTGTAGGCTGCTTGCGGTAAACGTGGGAATTGAGCCGAGGGAGGAGGTGGTGGTGCTTCGTTAAGTTGCGAGACGGGTGGAGCTTGGTGAGGCTGTGAGATGGGTGGAGCTTGGTAGTACTGGTGTTGCTGTTGTTGGTGGTGGTGGTGCTGTTGTTGCTGTTGCTCTTGGGCCTCCTGCTGAGGTGGGTACGCGGGTTGACTCAAAGGCGCCGGCGCGGCCATAATCTGCGGTCTATTCTCACTTCCATTCCCGTTACTGCCCCCAGTCAGATTAACCAACCGCGTAATATCACCTATCATCCCTCCAACAACCCCACCCAGCAACTTCGGTGTAAGCCCAATCAACCGAATCGGCAACGCCGGCTCATGTCTGTTCTCGCGGGCGATAGATCTCTCAAGACGACGTTGTTGGCGGAGTTGTTGCTTTTGGTCTCTGTACAACTGTCTGTTGAGGCGTTTTTGGGTCTTGAGATCGGCCTTTTGGAGGTCGATGTTTTGTAACTGCAGTTGGCGGTCGAGGAGTTGTTGGCGTTGGGATTGCAGTTGGTGGGGTCGTTCTTGTTGTTGCTCGGGGGAGAGATGCTGGGAATGCATGGGATGGATATTGTCGCTGGCGGCAAGCGACAGCGAGGAGGACGACAGGTAGTTGTAAATGTGCCCTTGCTGCTGCTCCTTCCCTTGTCCTTGTCCTTGTCCTTGTCCTTGTCCTTGTCCTTGTCCTTGTCCTTGTCCTTGTCCTTGTCCGAAGCTGCTGTGATACCGCATCTGTATTTCCTTCCCCAACCTCCCATACTCGTGCTTAACCACCTCAACCGCAATTTTGGTGTGATATGAGAGCTCCTCCTTCAAATCCGCTGCGTGCTGCTTAAATTCGCTCCCGAACTCGCTTCCTCCATTCCCGTTCCCGTTCTCGGTGGTTGAGTTGGTGGTGGTGGTGGTGGTGGTGGTGGTGGTGGTGGTACGGGATTTGAGTTCTTTGGCTCGTTGTTTGAGGTCGAGTTTGTCCTGTTTTGCTTGGAGTTTGAGGGCTTGTTTTGCGGCTTTTTGTTGCTCTTTGGAGAGGGGTTCTGAGGACGGGACTGAGGGGACGGATGGTACTGAAGGAACCGAAGGCACAGATGGTACTGAAGGAACCGAAGGCACAAATGGTACGGAAGACATAGAAGGAGGAGGCGGGACATATGGCCGGGTGACAGGTATGGCCGGTAGAGAAGCAGCAGCGACGGGTGCGGAGGGAGTGTGTTGTTGTTGGTAATAGACACTTGCAGGTTGTGATCCGAAGGGTAATTGCGGCACCAGAACCTCCTTCTCGCCGTACATTGTCTTTTTGTCGATATCGGTCATATTCCTTTGGTTCCTGGTTGTCTGTTGGTGAGGTTGTTGATGGTTGGGATGATTGGTGGAAAGAGAAAAAAGGGGAGAGAGAAAGAAAGAAAGTGTAAACAAAAGAGAGATAAAGGTTTGATGCGGATGAGGGGCTGGGTGAGATTGTCTCCCTTTTTATTCTACCAGTCAATCCACATGGACAATTTTTGACGACGCTAAAAATAAGGGCAAACATAAAGCCAGCCGGGTAAACAAGAAGAAAGAAAGAAAGACCGCTCAGAAAAAGATAGGAGAGGACTGTGGCTCATTGTTGCCAAGAGAATCGGGCTATTTCACAAAGGAAAAGTAGAGGCAATCATGACGATGATGAAGCACGGGGCTGTGCCAAGAGAATCGTTGCCTTTTCCTTTTCTCACCGTTGCTATTTTCTATTTCTTTTTTGCTGGGCTTTCGTCTGCGGCCACCTCCCCTCGATGTCATCCTACTGTTCTGGCCTCTTCAAAAACAAAAATATAAAAAGAGAAGGGCTGTAGGGAGTACAGAGGCAATTGTGAGCTAAAGCTGACCAATTGGATTCATTCAAATCGCCCTTTTGGTGCTCGTCGTTTCCCTCGGGGCTTCATTCCTATCATTCAGCCTTAATTGTACTGAAGGAAAAGGCGGCTGACCTGCTGTAGTTAGTTGTCTGCCATGCTTAGCATGGGTGGATCTTTTCTTGCAGGTAAAAGAGGTTTTCGCCCAAAGAAAAAAAATGAAAAAAGGTGATGTTCCAGACACAGTGTGGTTCGGTGGCGGTGTTTTTAATTCTCTAGTTGGCATACATAGCAGGGTGTTCAAAAAGGAAGGCAGTGGTCCATTAGGTTCTACGTAACGCGTAGAACTAGGGTTGCTTCTAGCCAGTAGTCGACCGGCAATTCCAAGTGCACTACTCCGCACTCTGAAGCCAAAGTGGGTCACTTCAGAAAAAAAAATGGAGTCTAGGGTCTTTGCATAGGATACATTTCTCTTTCATAATTCATTTCTCAAAGAATGTTCTTTCATTTCAACGTCTGTTATTGACAGCAATGCGATGATCGTGCAATCGGGGATCCGGTTAATGCCACTGTGCTATCTTTCTGGTTGGCGTCTACTGTGCTGACTTACTTACTCTTGGTGAAGTATGACATGACACCGCTCTTTTGCCTAAATGACCGAGCGAGAAAGCAGCAAAAATGAAAAGGCTAGAAGGTTGAGAACGTCGATGGACGAGCTTCGATCCTCTCTGGCCAAGGTAGCCTACATAAAGAGCCCAGAAAGAACGAAAAGAACGAATAGAGGACATCAGTCGGTGTGAATTTGGAAATCTCCCTTTTCTCCTTGCCCTTTTCTTCCAACAGCTTCTTTATCTGATGAGAGCCGGTGCGGCGGTGTGTGACTTGATCCAACGGACACTATCGACGGAGAAAGGTGAAGGATGAGAGCAGGTGGAGTAGAGTAGAGTATGAGTTCCGATTCCGATATTCACGGCCTGAACGATGATTTTTATATTTATGTTTGCCACCAAATTTGATTCAGACCTATTGCATTTGATGGATGAATGAATTCCGGTGCAATCCAATAGTGTGGAGAGCGCATACACAAAGGTGCTTGACATACACGAATGGCACATCGTGTGTTTGTTGTCTATGTGTTTAATAGCAACAAAAAGCACGGTCGCCTGGTACGTGATCTTCCTTTTGATGGCTCTTTCCCCTATTGAGCATAAAGCATGAGATGGCTGTGCACAAAGAGTCAAGAGAGAGAGATGGTCAGAGGTAAGGAAGAGCACAAGGAGACAAGAAAAGCAAAGCATTGATTACGATGATGTATTTCATCGTTATTGTTTTGCCTTTGTGTTGAAACAAACAAACAAACAAACAAACAAGAGACGCGTGTGGGATCGGGGTCTTTTTCTTCTTTTTTATCGTCACCCCTGCTGGAGAAGATGTTTGACCGAGGGGGTCAGTTGTTTGGTGGATGTTACCCCCTATGTGTCCTCTTGGACAAAGTCCTTTGTTCATGCCTTTGCGACAGTTGGTCACCATTTCTGACTCTTTCTGCCTCGTTCTTTTTTGTCCGTTGGGTCCACGTCTGCCTGTCAACCTGTCAACCTGTCAACCTGTCAACCTGTCAGTTAGTCAGTTAGTCAGTCAGTCAGTCAGTCGTACAACTTGCTCGCACGTTGTCGTAGTGAGTGGGTCGATCATCATCATCATCATCAAAAGGAATTCAAACCATTGTCCGTGGCCCACAGCTCACTCTTCCTTCCTTCGTTCGTTCTTTTCTTTTGAACTTGATCCAACCGATCACCCCCTTCCCCTTTTCTTTGTTTTTTTCCTTCCCTCTCCCCTTCGGTCTCTGTCTCCGAGGATCAGCTATTTCTCCTTTTTAGCATGGCCCATCTAATACTTTATGCTATTGAATAGTCGTCAAGAATGCAGCATGCAACCCGCCTGGAATACAAAGAAAACGATGAAACTTCTAATGAACGACAGAAAAGAAAAGAAAAGAAAAGAGAAGAAAGAAACAGACCACCAACAGGCTGCCATCGTTTACTTCCTGCGGTTCTTGTCGCTCAATATTGGCTCTTCTCTTGATTGTTTTTATGTGTGATGTGTGATGTGTGATGTGTGATGTGTGATGTGTGGAGTGATGGTGTCGTGTGTGCAGAATCTCGATATCAAGGTGAGAGTGTTTGAGTAGCGTGAGTGAGCGAGAGTGAATAACCTGTTCGTGAGCGCCCTTCCCGGTCGACTTTTTCTTTTCTTTTCTCTTTTCTCTTTTCTTTCCTTCCTTCCTTCTTTGCCGCCACTCCTTCCTTCTCTTTCACACTCCCTTTCCTCTCTCTCTCTTCTTCGCCGTCTTCGCCACCACCCTTCCTCCTTCACACCATCCACCTCTCTTCACTTCCACTCTCCTCTCCCTCACTCCCAACCCACTCTCCTTTACTCACACTCTCAGCCATCAGACAAAACAAAACTCGATTAGATTCAACAAACAACTAACCATCAGAGTAGTCCTCACTACTCTTGCCCATAACCATCACCATGACGCCCCATGAGGACACCACCACAACCACAACCAAGGGGCTCTCCGACTTGGTTCCCCAGGGCAACGGTGTCTATGCGTCCCCCTTCGACCACCCCCACACTGTCAACACCGCCGTCCAAAAGGTCTCTGAAGGCACCCAAACCACACCCAAACCAACAGCAACTTCCCCTCCACTATCAAAGATCCCTTCCACTTCCCCTTCATCAACAAAGACTCATTCACCACTGCCTCCTCTCCCCTCTCACCCCCACTCGCGTCAACACCCTTCTTCACCCCCTCCCTCTCCTCCACAGCCACCTGCACTTCAGAACAACAACAACAATAACAAGGACGCGGACGACCCTGTGCCCTTGTCCCCATTGCCCCAAGTTCAGCCCAACGGAACCAACGGAATCTATTCCGACCCAGGCTCTTTCCAGCTGGAACCACCCCTCCAGCAGCGACAGCCGTCCCCTCCTCTTCCTCCTTTACCTTCCTCCTCCTCTCCCCCTGTGCGCGCTTTTGCACCTTCTTTTGAGCCATCTTTGTCCTCTTCCCTGACTCCCTGGAGCGCGTCCGAAACCCAACCTATGACGATCGCCGCCTCATTGACACCAGATAAAAAAGTACCCGCGCCAGCAGCAACAGGACTGGGAGCACAAGAGTCGCCAGCATCGTTGGGATCCCTTCCTGCCCCAGACCAACAACAGCAACAGCTACAACAGCAGCAGAAGCAGCAGGAACAAGGCGCCGTTCTCTCTCCTACATCAACTAATGACACGGACTATTACTACACGTTGGCGACTCCTGTCCAAGGAGTGCCACCTGCAGCTTCTCTCACCGAGCGTCACCCTGCTGCTGCTACCGCCCCCACTCCCCTTGCCTCCCCCGTGCACGTCGCTGTTACTATCCCCATCACCGCCGATGTCTATGTCAATGCCAACGCCAACATAAGCGACAATAACAGCACTGTCACCAGTACTCCTCCTCGTTCCTCACACCCAGCCGAGTCCATCGATACGCCCTCCATCGTCTCCTATCACTCTTACCATTACGCCCCTCCAGGCGTGGAGTCACCACATTCTCACCCTCTCATCGTATCATCTGAACATACCGTGCCAAGCCTACCTACCTCCCCTTCTGTTCCTCGTTCGTTTGCCTCTATGGAGCAAGAGCAACTAATCTTGTCCCAGCATCAGCAACAACTAAAGCAACTTCAGCAAGAGCCCCAGAACTCCTACCACGAGCCTCAAGATCAACAACAGCCAATCGTATACCAACAACAACCACCTGTAGTGGAGATTGTCCAGAATGACTTCCTGCTGCAGCAGGGGCAATCACAACCCCAAGGACAAAGACAAGTCCAGATGCAGGAGGGGCAACCACAACGACCACAATTGATACCCACGACTCCTCAAAGCTCAGGAGATATTGGCCCCATGGTCCCTCCCAAATCTCCTGGTACTCCCTTTGGTCCCCCTGCTCGTGCATCCACCATGGATGTGTGCCGAATTCGTCCTGGATCGCAGCTCTTGGCCGAATCGGCTGTACGATCACAGCAGCAACCTGACTCACCTCAAGGGGAGTCCTCCAGTCGGGCTCGCCATCGACAGATCTATCGACGCAACACCTACTCTGCTGATCTTGGGTCGACCTCCTTCCGCCGATCAGACGATGAGATGGAGATGGATGAACTTGAGGAAGCTAAGCGGCGCATGGAGGCATTGAAGAAGAGCAGCAGTCGGCGCATGTCCAAGCGGAAAAAGGATGAAGACAACGACCGCGTCATGATTGGTACCCGTATTGGAGAAGATCATGTCAATTATGTTCTCATGTACAACATGTTGACGGGCATTCGAGTCAGCGTAAGTTTTTATATTCTTGTTGTTCATCAGAAGAAAAGTGACGCCAACAGCCATCTGAAGATGAATTACAGGCATGCATGGAGATGGGCTGGATAAACCAAACGCTAAGCAACCGAATCCAAACCCTATCTCATTGTGATCGTCTGATGTGCTATCCCATTTAGGTCTCTCGCTGCAACGCAAAACCACAACGGATGTTGGTGGACGAAGACTTTACCGCTGCTCATAAGCTGGCCTTTGACATGTATGTAGATGATCGACTTTCTTGTTTCTTTCCCACTTTCAGTGGTTCTCTGCTACTTGTTCCTGACACCTGCATCTTTTGATTGTATTTAGCACCGGTAACGAGTTGACGCCATCGTCAAAGTATGATTTCAAGTTCAAGGACTATGCACCCTGGGTCTTTCGTCATCTACGAGAGGACTTTCACATTGATGCATCAGATTACTTGGTAAGTGGAAGAGAGCTAGAGGAGGGAAGGGGAGAAAGATGAGGAAAAGTGTAGGAGAAAACTGAACATGCACTCCCAGGGGCTTCTTTTCCTTCAGTAACTGTTTGTGTGTCCTGGCTGAGCCCACCTCCCGCCAACAAATAACGTTCTGGGCATGGGTGACGCCTGTATGGGCCGTCTATTTAATCTTGGCTGGTATTTTCAACGACGCTACTGGGGAAGAAGCAAGAGGGTCTGGAATGATGCAACTCATGGAGGGTTGTGCGTGCCGACGGGAAGAAAATCGAGCGAGGGTTGTTAGAGTTGCACACAATTAAAGACTTGACGCTAACGCAATTATCGTGTTGGGTTGGTACAAACACCTAGGTTTCGTTGACGAGCAAGTACATCCTATCGGAGCTGGGTTCGCCCGGCAAGAGTGGCAGTTTCTTCTACTTTTCTCAGGACTATCGCTTCATCATCAAAACCATCCACCACGCCGAGCACAAGTTTATGAGAAAAATCCTCAAAGACTACTTTAACGTACGTGAGCCCTCTCGCTCTTTTGTTTGTTTGTTCGTTCGTTCGTTCGTTCGTTAGTTTGCTGCTCGTGTGAACATTTGAGTAGCTTGTTTACCTTATTTCCTTTTTATCTTTCTTTCGACCGAAATAGCATGTCAAGCAGAACCCTCACACTCTTCTATGCCGCTTCTTCGGACTTCATCGTGTCAAACTACCCCATGGACGCAAGATTCACTTTGTGGTCATGGGCAATGTGTTCCCACCCAACAGGGATATTCACGAGACCTACGACTTGAAGGGCTCTACGTTAGGACGTGCTATCAGTGATGAGGAACTTGCCAACAATCCCCGTGCGACACAGAAGGATCTCAATTGGGTCAACAGGAACAGGAAGCTGGAACTAGGGCCAGAGAAGCGACATTTGTTTGTCGAACAGATCAAGCGGGATGTTGAGCTGTTATCGCGTCTCAACATTATGGACTACAGTCTGTTGATTGGAATCCATGACATTGAGCGAGGAAACAAGGACAACATCCGCGACAACACTCTCAAAGTCTTCCACGTGAGTCGCATTTTTGTTTTCTAGACGATCCGTTATCCTGTCAACCTCTCAGTCTTTATTGATACTTTGTGAGAGCGGCTATGTGCTAACTTGATCCCATGTTTTGTCTACTCTCATCCAATAGCCGGATACGTCGAAGCCATTGGCGAGGGAGACGACGAGAAAGGACAAGCGAGTGAGCAAAGTGAATGCGTTGAGGAAGGCGGTGAAGGTGTCGGACCCACAGGCACTTGGACCAACAACCCTCCCATCGGATTCGTTTTCGGAACGGCGGCACTTCATTTTTTACGCAGACGACGGCGGTCTGCTGTCTACCAACGAGCAGAACGAGCAGGGCGAGGATCTCTACTACCTCGGCATCATTGACATCCTGACACCCTACAACTATGTCAAGAAGATTGAGCACGCCTGGAAAAGTCTCAGTCAAGACAAGGTACACCCTTGTAATTTTGTTCTTGGGTTCATGTTCCTTGTCCTTGTTTTTCTTTCTCATTTCTGATGACTTTTTTTCTTTTGTGAATGATAGCATGCTATATCGGCGGTGAATCCAAGAGAGTACGCGTCGCGGTTTTTGAGTTTCATGATCCATGCGATCAAGGTTAATCATGACGTGATGGCGGCCTTGCAACAGAGTAGTCAACACCACAGCCATCCCCATTCCGAATAATATTATAATTATGGTCCCTCACTCTGACATATTTTTCTTCGTTCACTGCTCACTGCAGCTTAGCCTTTTGTTTGAAAGATTGAAAGAGGAATGGGTCAAGTGGATACGAGCAGTGGTACCTTCCCGATCATTCACTTTCACTTTTCGAGTTCAATTAGTACAAAGTTCTTTCCTCTCTTGCGTGGTCACCGTTGTCTCTCTCTCTGCCACTTCTGTAACCCTAAACGCACCTTTTTTCATTCCTTTTGTTTCCTTCACCAAATTCGTTCATTGTACTTTTCTTTGTGGCCAAGTTGTGTTTAAGAAAAGAATATTTATTATTGTTGCTACAACTGAAGATCCGACACCAGGACAAGGGGCTGGTAAATCAGAAGTAGCAGGAGGAGGAGGAGGAGGAGGAGGGGGGGGGTGGTAAGGACGACGACGATGTGCCCCCCGGGGGGGAGGCTCAAGACGAGCGAAAAGCGGGGGTAAGGTAAAACAAAAATATAAGCCAAGTAGCGAAGTAGCTAGGGCACCGACCAGGAGGAGGAGGGTTACAAGTTGCCCTTTGATCCTGGTGCATCTTGGATGGGACCGAGGTCAGGGCGCCGGGGAATAAGGATAAGAGTTGTTGTAGACGAGGGGGGAACAGTTGTTCTACCCTTTATCAAGGAGGACAAGGAAGAGGAAGCGGCGGACCAGGACGGCCAAAAGGTAGTTGATGGATTGTACTTGGTACCGGTGGAGGTCAAGTGGGGTCGGGAGAAAGACGTGGGGTAAAGTTTCTTGGTGAGAAGTCACCATCGACGAGACAATGAGAGGGGGATATGAATCGTCATAAGAAGGTAGTTGGGAGGAAGGAGATATGATGGTGGAGTGTGAGGGGTCCTCCTTCCTCTGTCCCTTGAGGGAGGAGAGGAGGAAAGGATGTGGGTGTTGGAACTGAAGGAAGGGGAGAGGAAGAAAATGATAAGAGGTGAAAGTGGGGAATACCGGTTCTTTATTTCACATCGAGCAAGATAAACAAAAAGAGGCGTGTGCTGTCCTTTTGTTTCTCGAGCATAAGAGATGACGCGCCCAGCACCTCAATCTGCATTGTTGGAAAGTGCAAACGGTGGAGGGGGTGGATGCTTGGCTCAGTTAGCCTTTTTGTTCCAACACTTTTTGCTCTTGGTTTTTTTTCTTGCAAGGCAGGTGAGATGGCGAGGCGAAACTATAATTTGTACTGTTTTTATTGTTGCTGTAGAAATGCTCGTTATGATTGAGGCAGAGGGAATTGAGCTCATTGTTGGTGTTGAATCCGAAGAGAAGGAAACAAAAGAGAGGGAGTGTGGACAGAGATGTGGATAGTCTTTGTTGGGGTCCATGTCAACAAGGCAAAAAGAAGATAGGGCAGGTCACTCCCTCCTTCGACTGATATTACTAATAACTGATCCCAGACCATCTGGCTGAGACTTTGTAACTTTCATCTGTCTGACCCCTGATTTTTTTTTGATGTGGCGCATGCGCATGAATGGAACTTCTTTCAAGTCACGCGTTTGGCGAGGGATGGGAGGGCGTTGGATGGGATAGGCGCTGTTCTTTCATCTCTTTGAACCTCATCCACCTGCCGCATTCACATTACTCTTCTCATCACCACAGCGGCAACTCATTAGCTCCCCACTTACGATAACAGGCAACGGAACAGGACAAACCATCCCTGCCAACCTTCCAGTCCTTTCGGCTGGTTCTAATGTCCTCTCCAGACGATACCGTGAGATTAGAAACAGTTTATCACTCAAAAGAAAGGCAAAAATTCGTTCTTTGGAATGGTATTGAAGACGAGTTCCTTGAAGACGAGTTCCTTGAAGATGAGCTCCCTGACATGGATTATATTAAACATGGAGAGATGGATCTTTCGTACCCGAGAGACGAAAACTATACCCTGTATGCCAATAGTTACCTTACTTTTTCACCATAACTGCAGTGATGCTGTGTATTCTTGCCAAGAAAAAAGCTCTTGACATCGTTCTCATATTACTCTTCGCTTATTTTCTAAGCTAGCTTGCGGTCTCGTTGCAAAGCTGCCGCTCCGAACATTACCTTGGATGTTTTAGTAGGAGGCCCACCGAGCAAGCCCTCGGCTTTCTTATCGCCATCGCCTCCTACATCGTCCTTAAATCCTCTACTATCATTGGCTCCTCTGTGGTCCTTGGATCCTCTATCATCGGCTCCTCTGTGGTCCTTGGATCTTCCGCTATCATCGGCTCCTTCATAGTCCTTAGACCCTCCACTATCATCGGCTCCTTCATTGTTCTTGAATCTTCCACTATCATCGCCCCCTTCATAGCCCTTGGATCCTCCGCTGTCATTGGCTCTTTCACCTCTCTTGGATCCTCCACTATCATCGGCTCCATCATACATGGCCCTTGGATCCTCCGCTATCATCAGCTCATTCATCGTTCTTGGATCCTCCGCTATCATCGGCTCATTCATCGTTCTGGATCCTCCGCTATCATCAGCTCATTCATCGTTCTTGAACCCTCCACTATCATTGGCTCCTTCATCGTTTTTGAATCCTCCACTATCATCGGCTCCTTCATTGCTCTTGAATCCTCCACTATCATCGGCTCCTTCATTGTTCTTGAATTCTCCATTATCATTGGCTCCTTCATCGTTCTTGGATCCTTCACTACCATCGGCTCCTTCGCCGTTTTTGGATCTTCTACTATCATCGATCACCTTACCACCTTTGGCAAAACCACTACAAATGAAGCCTCAAGATCCCGCCGCTGACATGGATTCGTTTAGAACGATACAGATCAAACCCTCTGCCCTTTCACCGCCCTTGGCTTCTTCATTGTATTGGACCCCCATTATCGTCGATCATCCTTACCGCCTTTGGAAAAACCGTCACAAAAGAAGCCCCAAGCTCCCACTGCTGGCATGGACTCATTCAGAGCGATACAGATCAACCCCTTGGCCCCCTCACCGCCCTTGGCTTCTTCATTGTCTTGGACCCCCCATTATCGTCGATCATCCTTACCACCTTTGGCGAAACCGTCACGAAAGAAGCCCCAAGATCCCACTGCTCGCATGGATTCATTCAGAGCGATGCAAATCAAACCCTCGGCCCTTTCACCGCCCTCGGCTTCATCGTCTTGACCCCCCTCCCCCTTATCATCGACTATCCTTACCACCTTTGGCGAAACCTTTACGAAAGAAGCCCCAAGATCCCACTACTAGCATAGATTCATTCAGAGCGATACAGATCAAACCCTCGGCCCTTTCACCACCCTCGGCTTCTTTGTTGTCTTGGACCCCCCCCCCCATTATCGTCGATCATCCTTACCGCCTTTGGCGAAACCTTCACGAAAGAAGCCCCAAGATTCCATTGCTGGCATGGATCCATTCATAAGACTGCCGATCTTCCATGATCCAGAGACTGCTCTGACAGGATTTACAATTACCAACCACGTCCCCATTGCAAACCCAGCTATTACCAAACCCACCGCCTCTACCACAGACACCCCCGGCACCCAACTTCAACAAGCACCACCATCAACCAGCGCCACTACCACTGTCCATGATATTCAACTGCAAAGAGAGGCTTTCAATGCGGCGCGGACCAATACGGAACAAGGGATCCTTTCGGCAATGATCAGTCTCGGTGGCATTTACTACCATGGCCAAGGCGGATCCTTACAGTATTTTCTAGGGCGATGCGATGGTCCACCCTTGCAGCAGAAGACCACGGGCATGCCGAGGTGCAGTACAACATTGAGACGATGCACTACCAAGGCCATGGCGTCATCCGCAACTTTAAGGCCGCTCTGGAATGGTATCTGAGGACAGCAGTACAGGAACATACCGACGCTCACTACCATTGGACTCTTGTATCTTCTTGGAGAAGGCGTTGCTTAGGACTTCGGTATAGCAGTGAGATGGTTCTGCAAGTCTGCCGACTGGTCAACCCGTCTGCTCAGATAGCTGTCGGCAACATATATTTCCATGGCTTGGGAGTTCCAAAGAGTTACACTTACGCCAGGGAGTGGCCGCCAATCAAGGGTCTGCAGCGGCACAAGCCAACATCGGCACCATGTTTTTCAATGGATTGGATCAGAGGAAAGCGATGGAATGGCTCACCAGGGCTGCAAAAGGAGACGATACATCGGCGCAGAGATATCTTGAGCGGAACCTGCACTCTTGACCAATAGCAACCAGAATAAAAACAAGTCAGAAATGGCGTGATTTACTATATTGACTTCAAACATGTTGTTTTCAGGTGTTCCTTTATTATGACATAACAAAAACAAAGAGCTGTTTCTTGAACGCTTTATCATTTTTTCTCCTGGAAAATATTAACCGGGTTTGTAGTAGCAATGGAGGTAATGTTATGTAGGTGGAAGTAGGAATAATGAAGCATAAAGAGGGGCCGGTTTATTCAGGAACTTTTTTTATTATTTTCTAAGGTAACGATGCCCCTCCATGACGATACATTAATTAAGAGTGGAGTTGTCTTAGTGTTCCTCGTACGTGCATATAGTTAACATCACTCCTTAACAGTACAGCACATGAGGACTGTACAGCCCGTCCTCACCAGGACGACGTGTGCGAGTTCAGACGAGCCTTGTTATTTGTGGGGCGCGTTCAAGGGATCTGGGTGTGCTCCTCCGACTCCCTAGAACGCCTTTCAACTCCAAATTATAATATGGTACTTGTTACATCTCACCGCGACCATTAGGGGAGAGTGTATGTATGATATTAACCATGTAAAACAACCACTGTAACTTTCCTCGCGTAATTATCCTACTAAACACTATCACATTCTCCAAACAACAAAGTCTTCTTATTTTTCGCACACCAATCTCTTGAATGTGTTCGTCTACTATTAAACTGTACCCCTCACTGCAAGATTCATGGGGTTATTTCATGTATGTGATCATCAAAGGCACTTGTACTCTCAACTGTATCTTTGCTATGAAATACAGGGGTGAGATTGAATGTTAAAAATCTTAAACTATTTGCTACTATTTTATTCTATGTTTTGTTGCCGACTGTGAAGAGATATATCAGCTATGGAAGCCTACAGTGCATTCCTTGGGCTTTTGGATATTTTCTATATGCTGTTTTATACTCTTTGCACTTGGAGTGGCCACCTAATAAACATGTTACCTCACCTTTCTATAATATCCATGCGCCTCAGGCCCAACAGAGTGTCTGCAATAGTATGGCTCAGTCACTTTCCTCTTCATAGTTGAATAGTCAGTTGTAGCAATCTCCAATAAAACGACTTTTACCTTCCTATTGTGGTGATGTAGATGGGGACGTGCCTTTTTTTGTTTTTTGTTTTGTAAGAAGTTTATAGCCAAATCAAAAGATGTAAAAATAAAATACTTTCCAAGAATGCACACAAACTACATCTAAACTGCGAAAAACAGATAAACAGAGAACCGGAAAAAGGCAGGGCAAATAAAACACAGAGAAAATAGAGTACAAATGTTAGATAGGATGGTTGGTGCCGGTCGGAGGCGGCTCGGCCGTGGGAGGGGGTTGGCGTTCCTCGCTCTGGCGCTTCTTCTCTGCCAGCTGAGCATGGGCTTGGGTGATCGCCAGGTCTACAGCAGGAAGGACGATGCGGGGGTCAAACGCTTGGTCCTCCATGACGAAAACAAAGTAATATCGCCAGATGGTAGCCAGGATGACACCGATCAGCAGGAACAGGGGGACGTCGTTGCGGGGTTCGAGGGGGTCCGAGTTAGGAAAGAATAGGCTGCAGATGTAATCCGCTGATCAGGCTCTCTCCTCCACATATCTTGTCATCGCACTCTGCCAGACCACCAGTTTTTTGGGACAGCTGAAGGAGGTGCTGCTTCGTCTCGACTTGCGTCAGGCAAACGCGACAGAGGATCCCGACCTTGTCCGGGAGAATGGAGTGGAAATGGACGCCAGATGGGAGTTTGTTGATCAACAGACGCCACCAAACATTGCGAGCATTGTAGGGAATCGGATTCTTCCAAAACATGGTCCAAAAAGACGGCGTGAGTGGTGATGGGGGTGCGATCATCGGTGGGTGATAGGGTGGTGGTGTTGGGGGCTGGTAGGCCTTAGAGAACACAGCCTGATGAAAAGTCCTTGTGCTGGCCAGTTCGAAGGATCCGTTCTCTGACTGGGTGATGGCGATCTTGTTTATTCGCTCGGCAAGGTCACCCTCCAGCGTCAAAGGTCCTGGTGTATCCAACGTCCGTTGCAGTGCAGGGTGAGCCTTGAATCGACCATGTCTATGATTGTCCTCCAGCCCACGGTGAGAACGGTTGATGCGTTTGAGAAGCGGTATGAAGGTCATGGCACCTTCAGTATTCGTTTCATCCGTCCAGACAGGGCGAAAAACTCGATCCATGCGCCAATTGGGGGGATGTGGCTCTGGCACATCGTCAGCCTTAAGCCAGAGAGGGAGTAGAGTAGCCATCATGGTGCCGACTGGTAAGGGCTGCTGTTTCCTGATCCCACTTCAAACTAGGCGGCCCCTTCATGTGCAGAGGATATAAAAAGGCATATAAAAAATATCCAAAGCCCAAGGAACGGAGTGTTTACTTCCATAACTGACATATCTCTTCATAGTGGGCAACAGAACACAGAATAAAATAGCAATAGACAGCACAAGAATTTTTAAAATGTAATCTCTCCCCTGTATTTCGCCCCAAAGATACAGTTGAGAGTACAAGTGCTTTAGATGATCACATACAAGAACTACTCTGGCGAATCTTGCAGTGAGGGTTACAGGTTAATAGTAGATGGACACATTCAAGAGTGTGGTGTGCGAAAAATAAGAAGACTTTGTTGTTTGGAGAATAGGTTGGTGTTTAGTAGGATAGTTAAACAAAAAATGTTACAATGGTTGTCTTATATGCTTGATATCATATATACATTCTCATCCCATAGTCGCTATGGATATTGTCGAGATCTACAGAGATGTAACAAACACCATATGATAACTTGGACCTGAAAGGCCTCCTAGGGATGTGCTTGACCGCTATTACTAGACCGAAAGCGAACGAAAGTGTCCAAACCGAGGAGTGAGAAAAAATCCAGGGGAGGCAAAAGGAGCCAGAGGAGGCTCGGATGCTGTCGCAGAGCAAAGAAAATCCTCGAGGAACGGGACCATGAAGGATTGGGAGTCGGAGCAAATTTTTTGTACCGTTCGTAGCTGGAAAGCCACACACTGCGAGGTGATATCGACCAGACCGAGACCCCCTTGAGACCGACGGAGACACAGGTAGTCCCAGGAGGGGCAGGATTGAAGGGTACAGTGAACTTGCGGATTGGTCCTTGGATTTTCTTGATCCATTGGCGTGTCGGTGGATGAACAGCGGTAACATGCCAGAGACGAGAAAGTAGGAGGGAGTTGGCGATGGTACTCCGACCCAGAATCGATGGCTGCAGACTGTGGTGTAAGTCGATGTGGTGCTTGATTTTTGTGTGTATGTTGTTGAAGAAGGAGTCTCGCTGGGCAGTGGTGAGGGCGAGAGGATATCCCAGATAAGTCAGAGAGTCTTCCACACGGTTGGAGTGGATGACGACAAGATCTTGCTGGAGGGCTTGTGAAAGCGTCCCGACGCCCCTGTACAGAGGGAAGGCAACCGTCTTCTTCAAGTTGAGTTTTACATTTGATGCCCGTTCAAACAAATCCATGATCTCCTTGAGACAATTCCATTCCTCCGCCGATTTGATGAAGGTGGTGAGGTCGTCTGCGTATGTCATCGGCTTCAGTGGTCGTGTCATTGGATGTTCGTTGAGACGGAAGCCAGAGATGCCGGGAGACTTGAGGATGGTGTGAAGGAGTGGTTCGAATGGAATGTTGTAGAGATGTGGTAAAAGTGGGTCGCCTTGTCGTAGTCCACGCCTCTGAGGAAATGGTAGAGCAAGATACCCGTTGATGTTGGGGTGGATCTGTGTGTTGAAGAAGAGGGTGAAGATGGAGTTGATGAGGGGGCCAGGGAAACGCATCTTTTCCGTGATGGCGCGCAGATAGTTGGGGTGAACTCGATCGTACGCCTTCTCTTAATCGAAAAGAATCCCCACGCCCTCGATCTTGTGTTTCTCGCAGTGTTCTCGAAAGGCTGCCATGACGAGACCATTGTTAGAGATGTTCCGACCTGGGACGAATCCTGTTTGGAGTGGAGTAATGAGTCGATCCAGCGGGGTGCAAAGACGCATGGTGATAATTTTGGTGAAGAGCTTGGCGTCCGAGTTGATAAGAAACAGCGGGCGCCAGTTCCCGAGATCCGCCACATCGCCCTTCTTGTATAGAAGGATCATACAAGTCTGCTGCCAAGACCGGGGCATCCTGGCGTCCTGTAGGGCTTGCGACATGACTCGGGAAAGGAACGAAGCAACTTCTTCAACAGACAGCAAGAAGGTGTAGAGCTCGAAGAGGAATCCCTCAAAGCCTGGAGCCTTCCCGCGCGCGCTTCTCGACAGAGCTTCCTCGACCTCCTCTGTACCGATTGGACGCATGAGGCTGTCTTGTTCCTCCTGTGAGATAGCCGCAAGAGCAGGGAGATTGGAGAGGAGCTCGTCGACAGCGTTGTGATCGATGGCAGAGGTCCTTGGGTGATGAGACTGTCTCGGCAGAGTCTGGGGCTCTCAATTCGGTGATGGTTCGTTTGGCGGCTCTGGAGTTGAGAACGCGGAAGAAGCACTTGGTACAGCGTTCCCGCCACTTCAGTTGAGTCCTGATTGCCCATGCGTTCATCGAGGCCTCCTGAAGTTTGTCGAGTTGCCGTTCGAGTTTGTGCCATTGTTCCTCCAGCAAGCGGATCTTCTCCAAGTCCGGATCTGGTGCTCCTTGTTGCCACTTGAGCCGTCGGAGTGCCTGTTCCCGATCCCGTTGGAGCTGCACCGAGATGTCCTCCTTCTCTTTGGACCTCGCTCTCATTGCTTGTTGGAGTTCCACCATTAGGGTTTTCTTGAGCTGGTCCCATGCATCTTAAGGGCTAAGGTCTTGCATATGTCGCAGGTCCTGTTTGATGGTGCTGGCCAGCTGTTCGGTGTATTCCTTGTCGCGCAGTATCGACGTATTCAGGCGCCAGACTCCTGGTACAGTTGCGAGCGCCTCCAGCTGTAACTCGCAGGGGGGCATATTATGGTCTGTTCAGTCGTTGTGCAGATAGGTGTGAGTTGGGGCTGTCACACGCTCCGCGAAGTCAGGCGACATGAAGATGTAGTCGATTGTTGTCTGACTGCGATGGTTGTTGAATGTGTGTATGGGAAGGGTGTTGAGTGGGTTGAGTGTGTTAATTGTATGGTTATTGAGCCAGGTTTTCCAAGATGCCGGAGCAGAGTCGCCCATAACAATAACGTCAGATCCAGGCTTGTCGAAAAAAGGTTCTTGAAGGGGGTTGTTGAAAAAAGTGGTGCGTGCTGTGGGGTCTTCAGAAGGTGCATAGATAGCACACACTTCAAACAGCATCTTGTCTGCAGTGTCGACCGATCCGATTTTCGCAAATATGGCACGACCGTCTCTATAAATAGAGGATGACAAAAAGGTGAGTTCGGGGTGTATGAGCAAAAGTGCACAATCTGGAGTCCAAATACTAGTGTATGTACGTAGGGATGTTGAGGTGTCGAATGGTATTGTTATCTTGTGGGTCGATGTTTGTTTCCTGCAGCGCCAGGATCCCGATCCTTTGAATATTGAGAAACTTGTGATAGTTCCTTGATGCCTTCGGGTTTGAGATCTTGTTGATAGTGCGTGCATGGGGAGTGGCGACTTTGATGGACTTAAACATTTAATTATCGATCCGATCGTTGCATCAACGGACGACTTGCTCTGGCGAGATAATAATCAACTTCTTGACGCTCTCGCTGAGGCCGTTCCATGATATGGGGGATTGGTGGTGTGTGGGCAGATTCGCTGTCGCTGTCGGAGGAATCATCTGCTGTAGAAGTCTGTCGGTAATATCCTGCAGTCGGTCCCTGGAAGAGCCCTCCTGCAACAAAACTGATGAGTCTATTGACACGACCAGGGGGTGGAGGATTAACTACCTGGGCAGCTTTCTGTGTAATGAGTGGCGGAGTGGGCGTAGCTTGAGGTACCGGCGCGGCCTGGGCAACAGTAGCAGCCTGGGTTGCAGGCATAGCAGGTGAGGTAGGTTCCACGCCTACCATATGTGTTGCTGTCGTTTTGTTGGTTTTGGCTCGTTTCTTGCTGGTCCTCTTCTTGCGTTCCACAAGTTGAAATCTTTCTGCATCCTTATGTTGGGTGTGATTGACTGGGTGTGCCTTGCTGGTGTCCTTAATGTTGTTGGTAGATCTGGTGGGTTTGGGCGGAGAAGGTGCTTCTGCAGTGTTGAGAATAACCGGCGCTCCTGGGCCCACCTTGATTTCTCTTGGCAATTCCGGGTGGCTTAGGTCATCAACTGCCTCAAACAGAACGTAGCCTTCCTGAGTCTAGATCTTGCGCTTGGGATGGTCTCGATAGTACATGCCAATGTTCATGGGCTTGCCGTACGAAGAAAACAACTTGAGGATATCGGGCAGCTTGTAGTGCAGAGGCATTCGTCGAAAGTTGACCTTGACGGCGTGGAAGCCTGGGGGGAGGGAATGGTCGGGAAGTATACTGTGCCATTAATAGTCAGTTCGTGCTGGACCAAGATAGAGCGGGTGAGGGAGTTGGCTGCAGGAACCTCAAAGGAGGAGTGATGCGGATGCTGTTCAGTGGAGTAGTTGGTGATGTCGTAGGTGTCCATCAGGAATCTGCCAATCGGAATATCGTTGGACACCTTGCGGGGGATGGAGAAGATGAGGGAGTCGAATGTGTTAGACCTGACATGCAGGTTCATTCCTCTCGGAAGAGTCTCATCATGAAAGATAGTTTTGCATTTTTTTGGTAATCGGGAAGAGGGGAGTTGGGTGCTGATGATGATGTCGATGATCGGGCGATGTCCGCGAAGGTTACCGCCCTGGAGCTTTTTTGGTGGATCTCGCCCCCCACGTCAGCATCGCCGTGGGACATGGGAAAGAGTTAGATGGGGATGTGCCTTTTGAGTAATATTTTGGTGGCGTTCATGTGACCACTATTTCGTTAGTGTAGAAAATGATATAGTTTTCACGCGAAATTATCAATGTTATTCTTGGTATAAAAAGTGCGAGCCAAAAAGGCCTATTCAATTAAGCGAAGTTGATACTGGCGAAAAGCATACCCTATTCTCCAGCCTCACCCGCACCTAACCAACACACACACAACACTCTTTTTTTCTTCCCTTCACATTCTATACATATGTTCCCTTTTCTACACGACACTGAACGACAACACTACATTCCACACATTCCTCTTCCCACTCAACCTTTTCTGTTCACCTTCTCAACGTGACATACGAACGATAACACCACCACCACCACCACCACCACCACCACCACCAGCACACTCTCTTTGCAAAGACGACGACATCCGTCATGAGCGACAACAGCCCTGGAGTACGTAAAACAGTTCATGAACGTTCGTCACCTTGCGTTGTTGCAGAAGTCAAAGAGAGAGAGAGAGAGAGAGATTATGTACTCATAACATATTGTTCCGTTCTGTTTTAACTACTACGAAGCAGATGCACTCCTTTATGCCAGACTGGAAGTTCGTTAACGAGGCTGCAGAACAAATTCTGCACGAGGGATTCAATGGGGATCTATATCAGCGACTAGGAGGAGCTCTTATTGCTTCAGAGGCGCAACCCATATCACAGGGTCAAGCGTCCGTCGTCTTTCGCTTTATCAACAAGCACCACTTGGCACTAAATTTCAGCACAACACCCTCTCTTACACGGCTTATCATTGCGATCTTGGATGGCTCATGGACACCGGAGCGTGGTGAGAGGAACGAGACCGGATTTTTGCTGCTTTGGAGGAACCAGGAAAACACCATCACATATCCCATTCCACCTTCAAGCTTTCTTCTTCGCTACATCTCAGCACTATTGCACATCAATATATTCCTGTTTGACACCGCCGCCCGCCCCATTGTCATCACCCATCCCTATCCAAAAGGAGTTGTCGGTATTCTTCATGATGCATCGTCCATTCTGGAATACGCGGACTACAATGTACTCAGACCAACTCGTACGGAACAGTGCTGTGATGTAAACAAAGACTATCTGTGGGGGATCTAGTCTAAACAAATGGACCACGAGCTAGGACTATATCTGTAAGGATGAACTGGGAGAAGACCAAGGAGTTCGCATAGGTGAGATCGATAGAATAAACAAACCAAAATAAAAGAGGGCGGGAGAATGAAGCGAAGGAGTGCTACAATAAAATAGACCCCTGGGCGCCGGCTAATCCATGATATATGTTGACGGTTGCACCGCAGTCCGCCGTTAGACGATAGATCGGCCTGTGGTCGGGTGTTGGGCTGCAACAGCGGAGGTCTGGCGGAAACGTCGGCAGGGCGAAAAGTGGATCTCTATGGCATCAGGAGGGTGCAAAGCGTCAAGGATAGGACAGACAAGCCGGGGAGAATAGAGGAAAGGAATGCTAACAATGAAGTAGACCCCTGGATGGCATGCTGGTATCGCGCGTCCCGACTGTTCGATCGCCCGTATGTCCTTTCACGCCTGGCATTGGTCGCGACATAAGGGAGGTCGAGGATAAAGGGAGCGCTGATCCTGCTTTCAATGGTGTTTGTTCAAAGGAAACACGTTAAAAGAATGGATCAAAAAGAGTAAGAGAAAGGAAGCACTCCGAACCAATCGCTCGGCTCCGAATTATTTTATTATCGTTTTCTACATACATGATGGTGGTCACAAGAACGCCACCAAAACATCACTCAAAAAGCAGATTCCCATCTACATCACCACAATAGGACGACCTTTCCATTGATCTACGGCCACCAACACCCCCGTCTCTACCACTTCCACCAGGACCTGCCGCGACATTCCGAACCGCCAAACGACCGCGCCAGCAGAGAGAAGGATGCGAAATCGACAGGGTTGCACTAGATACCATCTACAAGGAGGAATGGTATGTTTTGATGTCTACTACGTGGATGATTTTTAGACTTTTTTTGTTTGATTTTTACCACTTTATTGGTTGTCTTTGATATTTTTAAAAAAAAATCATTTAGTGAGGCCCGAGTCAAGAAGGAGGCGGCCGATCAGTGCCGCACGGCGAAGAAGCGTGCAAAGAAGGAGGCAGATCCGAGGGAAGCATTGGAGAAGGCACATATTGATACAAAGCAAGCGGAAGAGAAACGTGTAAGAACGCCTCGGGGAGTCATGAATGAAACTGCTCGACACGTTCGCCAACACTGCGGCATCAACGACGAAGAGGACTTTACCAACCATCACGCATCGATGATGATTACCCACCCTATTGGAGAACCTCAGACCGTTACTGGACGAGCTCTAGCGATATATAAGGCGGCCCTATCAAGACACTTTGACATGGCATGGATCGAGGAACAGGACCACATATCTGATCCTACCGTTGCCTCAGCAAACTCAACAACTATCACCCCAACCCCATCGGACATCGACGCCCAGGATGACAACAGCATTCGCGCTATTACCCTACCTCTTGCGAAACTGCTCAGGACGGATCTCCCCACGAAGGATCAAGATTACATCACCAAGAGGCTAAACGACGTACAAGGTGAGGTGTCTGACTTTATGGAATCCGTTGCCATGGGAGCGTATAAGACAACATTATGGGTATGTTTTCAACATTCTCTGTCTTGGTTGTGGTCGCGCAAGGACATATTTATTTCAAGTTAACTAATATTATATATTATCACGACCGTGTTTACTTTCTAGATCTGTCGCTTTGGCATCCAAGGAAGCATACAGCTTAACCTAGCTGACATATTCCCGCCATTCTTTGATATCAGGGACAACTACTTCAAGGAGAACCCGATCGTGGAAGCGGGAGTCATTACTCCGGAGTGGCAACAGATTGTATCCGATGCTATGGAGTCGAAGTCCCGAGTGAAGGATCCGGCGACCTCGCTATCCCAGGATTATTTGCAGTACCTTGGAGCTCGGATTCCAGAATTGAGACGTGCGAGGAAGACCCCCAACACTATCACCCACCCCTTGTGGGATACGGTGCTTGAAAGCATCTATAGCGGGAAGCTGGTACCACAAGCCTGGGATGATTCAAGGCATCCTGACTCACCCTCATCCAACCCCTTCAAGACCATTCCAAGCTTGTCTCAAGCCTCTGGTTCCGGCGCTGTGGATGATGCCTATGCTGCTGCTGATGCCAATGTCGAGGTCGGATACCAGTCAGAGGACTCATCGAAGGAAAGCCTGGGGGGTTTGACGACCACACTCATGCGAGAGTACGCTACGAACATCAAGATGATATGGTCTGGAGACATTTACGAGAGGTTGAGACGGTACGTGGTGCACAATGTTCTCCGACTCAATCTACGACCCCAGAGTGAGGAGAAGCACCGCATCCAAAAGCGGAAGCGTGCTATCAAGGAAGCCGAGGAGGTGAAGGAGGCGTCGGCATCGACAAGCCGAAAGCGTCGAGAGTCCCTGAGGAACTGGAAAAGGTGAAACCAGGACCTATTCAATCAACCTGATCACGCATTTGATACTAGTCGAGACGAGGAGCGCATCAACAAGATTTTCGGGCTCATTGACATCCATCAAGAGTGGCGGCCAGGAGTCAAGGAGCAGAACAAGTCACGTGGACTCACCCAAAGCGACGACTACGAGACGGACTCGGAGTTTGACGACTCAGACAACTCAGACGACGATATGGATACCGAGTTGGTTGTTTCGGGCTCGAGCAAGAGCAGCGATGATATTTTAAGGCCTTGCACTCACACAGCAGATCAAGATTGCGAGATGGGGGTCATGGAGGAGCAGTCAGATGCTGGTCGCTCTATTAATGCAGAGGCTCAGAGTAGTGGTCCGTCTCAATCTGTCGCACGCTCCTCAACAGGTACCAATAACTAATATCGGACGCTGATCCTTGCTGAGTTTGTGGTATTAACTGTGGACTAATATCTCTCACTTCCTTTTTCTCCACCGTAGGGCAAAAGGAGCCGACGTCAAAGAAGCTCCGAGGTCTAGAAGCAGTAGCTATCAGGTTGCTGGAATTGCCAGACTCGAACATACCCATCACTGAAGAGACAGTCAAGGCGAAGCTCTACGAGCCTGAAATGTACAGCACGGATGAGATTTTGGCCGTCTTGCGGCTAGTGACATTACTGAGACCGTTTACCCCTAAGAAGGCCCACTCAGGACCCCAGTCACCTTCCTATCCAAAGAGCGTCTTGACTTTGGGGCCGTTTGTGTATATTGCAAATGCAATCTTGAGATCGGCGGGATACAAGGATTTCACCCGTAGGATTTGCCCAGTTCCTGCTGTTGGAAATCGGCATGCTGTGCCGTTGGACGCGTTAGGGGTGTATGACATATTTGGCGGGCGAGCACCAGGACGCTTCGATATCAAGGACCCAAGTGGTCGAGTAATCACCACGTCGACCGTCGCGAGACTGTCTACCGATCATCGCAAATATGTTTTCGGTGGACTTTTCAATATCGCCATCATCAACGACGCCTGCACGAAACATGGACTTGATTTCGCACAAAGGTATGCATACACCAGGTCTTGATTATGACCTCTCCTCATTCATATCTATGACCATCATGAGTCGATTGAATAACAGTTTACCGTATATTGTTCGTAAAATGATAGAATGACGTACGTCGACTTTACACAGTACGCATCATGGGACGGCGGGCGATAACGGGACCAAACCGCCACTTCACCAATAGTGCTTACGAAGACAAGAAGAAGAAGCATGTTAAGCCACCAGGTGTGATCAACTGGACGTCGGAACTACTGGAAACCGGGCACACCCCTCAATCTGCAGCCAAAGCGTCGGAGGAGATCAAGATTGTTCAGGATCGTTTGGTCACAGAGCTACAACCCCTCAAGAAGGGCCTCAAGGCAGCCATGACGGTCAGGAGAGAAAAGGACCGCACTCTTCGCCACTATGAAGGACACGACCAGAGACACAAGAAGGGAATCTACCAGAACCTACAGGAGGCACGAAAAGTCGTCAACAACTTGAAGATCATTCCTCTCGAGGCTGAGATCCGGGAAAAGAAGCAGCAACGCTACTATTACAACAGGTTGTCCAAGGCGACCGCCCCCCCAACAGCACTATCAGAAGACCCTTCTCCCCTGCCCATCACGACTGTCACAGAGTCTGTCCCAACCGTTCAACATGCTGGGATGCAAGACTTTGTTCAGACAACCTCCATCAAGCAGCTACTGATAGAAATTGAAGACAAGGACCGACAACTACCTGTACCGGGCACTGACAGAGGATTGGTGACTATGTCTGAGACTGTCCCCTCCTTGTGGTCAACTCTGGAATCTTTATCAAACCGATACTATATTCTCCATGGTATGTTTCCTTTTCTGCTTTACTACTGTCGCTCTATCATATCAAGATCGTGTCTTCATGCAATAATTCCTACGGCGTTTCGTTTGACGTTATAGGTCATCCTGATACTCACCACACCGGCAACGACGACGGGGCTTCAGAGCCGCCCACCTCTCACGCTGATGCTGTGGACATGGACATTAATGGCACGGACACCCAGCCCTCTCTGCATTCAGAATCGAAAGTGTCATCTCTTCCAGAACGGACTCGGAACGCCATAACGATAACAGGCTCTTTATCCCGGAAGGCAACGATGGAGGACATGCGTTTTGCCAAGTCCAACCGCATCACCGCAAAACAGGTCAAAGAAGTCGGTGGAGTAGGAAGGGCGACTCGAACAAGGGAGCGTTTGCTTCGACAGCCGGAAAATCAGAGGATCTCGGAGCTTCACAAGGAGATAGGAGAAAACTCCGTTTTGAAGGCGCAGACTATCAGTGAAGTTGACTCTGCACAGGTAACCCGACGATCAGTTACACAACCCTTTCGCAACTTCGAGAGCAGCAGAAGCTTAGTGAAACAGTTCCACCACAAGGATCTTCAACTGCCGACGGAAAATGCAGGACTTTTCCAGAGGTAAGTTTATGGATTTAAGAATCGGAGTGCATCTATTCCTTGTTGTCAACTCCAATGAGCATTCAAATAACTAAAACGTACTTTTATTTTTGTTTTCTTGATAGGAACAGGACAGACCCAACCAGCATCAGTCAACACAGTCGACCCTATCGATGGGTGTTGCAAGTGTGGTAGACACCACCTCCCAATCCGCGTTGGAAGGGCACTCACCTATCCACAGGAATGCCCCAGAGACGCGTTGCCCATCATCCCTATCATGTTCGTCGGGACGGCAGGAATCGGAACCGGGAGTCGCATTGGCGGTCATCTGAAGTACGGCGGAAAAAAGGTCGTTGAGCGACATGCCCTCTCCGTCCCTGTACTGATGACCGATGAAAACATGACAAGCAAAGTCTGCTCGTTGTGCTTTGCGATTCTACGCCTCGTCAAGGAACTGAGACTTGTCAACGAAGTCGAGAAGCTGGTCACAATCAACGGTGCGGTCCAGTGCGAAAACCCCAACTGTGAGAGTGTCCGCGCCGGTTATGCACGTCGAGGCAGGGACAGCAATGCATGTGTCAACATTGCACTTGCGGGATTCACGACAATCATGAGCGACAACAGACAGCGACTTCCTCCCTACAGGAGATCCACGCGTCCAGAGGGCGCCACCCCTTCAGAACCCCAGTCTCTCGCTACTGGAACACAACAAACATCGAGCACTTCGACAACGGACCCATTGACAACAATGGCTCCAGCGACGCTGCTGATGAGCTAGCCTAGCTAGATTTATGTAAGTTCCCATCTGCTTGTTTCCCATTTATGATTTGCTACGGAGTCTGCTATCGGTAAACCTCAGATTAACCAAAATATCCTAAATTTTGGATGAAATAGACAAGAACTGCTTTTCAGCTTATCTCCGGGGCATACTCAACAATGAACAACTTTCAATAGCAGAAAGGGAATATAGTATTACGAGACAGTAAAAAATACAAAGAGAAAATAAGTTACACAGTAGAAGACGAAACGAACTTCTTCTCATCAAGCGCATCCTGAATAGCCTCCTCGGCAGTTGCGACAACCCGTACCCGACTCATGGTCTGTTCATGCAACATGATCAACACACTCGGCACAATCGCAGCCAAACATCCAAACGCCATTCCTGTACCTACAACCCAACCCGGACGGACATGATAGTTCATCCCCCACATGAACCCGCACAGGACCTCTTGGATCATCGAGTTGAGGTTGAACGAGCCCACAATCAGAAGGAATCTTGCGGGGGATACTATAAGGGTTGAGGGTGACGAACTCAGGAGGATTGTTGTTGAAGTGAGTTGTTCGGCGGGAGGTACGAAAAAGTCGACGGGTTCGATTCCTGCGGGGATGGTGTAGTTGTACCAGGGCCATGCTCTCTGCAATCGCTCCTTGCGTCTCAACAACCTTTTGTCGTGTTCATCAACCCAATCCATCTGCTCCTGCGTCAACGCCTCTGGCATTGGGACCGGTGGTGGAGGCACCTTCTTGCTAGAGCTTTTCTCATTTGGTGAAGACTGGGCAGACATGATACTATGTCCAGCGTGGCTTCCTGACCTCGATCCTGACGAACCATGATCCTCATGAATCACAAATGTCGGTCTCCGGGGTGAGTCACTGCTGACAGGGATGTCGTCAACCATCGACATGGTCATAGTCCTGGCTCTTGTCCGTGGCGATAATCTCCTCGAAGATGACGATCTAGGCAGCGTGGTATAAGAGGCACCCCGCTGGATAACCCGGGACTTGAGTGGCATCGCACCCTGCCCCTCTTCCAGTCTGCTCATAGATTCCGTGGTGTCCTGTCCTGTTTCATTGTTGACAGTTGCTGCATCTTTGGAAGAATCATCCGACTGCATATCCAATGGAAACGGGAGGAATGGCAGGACCACAGACTGAACCACTCGATGCGTCTCCTCTGTTAGAAGCTCGTTCAACTCTTTCTCTGGAATGTCTACACGGAGCCTTATAGTTGGGGACAAAGGCGCAGGTGGTACAACTGAAGTTGCTGTTGAGGGCGATGAAGATCCTGTATGATCGGAGGAATCCTGACCGTCCACGGCGACAATGGGGTGAAGAGGGCTCGCCACTAGATCACTACTAGACACTCGAGATCGATCAACAGACAAACTCCTCATAGAATCAAAGGTACGTGCCCTGGACTTTGATCTCGATCGTGACCTCGAGACAACGACTCTGGTTTCTGCCCTGTCCAAGGTCCTGGATCGCATGTCTGCGTTGGAGTCGAACTGTGGTGGTACAAGGCTATCATGTTCCATGACTGTCCCAGTCTCAGTCCGCTCTCGACCATAGCCCGGAAAGCATCGATAAAACTGCAGCCGCTCGAGCAACTTCTCTTCTTGATTGGATCCTCCAATAGCAGCTGTCGGTCTTTGATTTCCTGCATCCCCGGTGCTGAATCGAGCAAGAAACTGTTGATGAATGGCTTTATCCTCTCTCCAGACACGGACACCTCGCACAAAGCCAATGAATCGTTTCGGATGGACGGGGACGTTGGCGAGCGTAAAGAAGCCGTTGAGGACTTGGGAGGCAATCTCGATCCAGAGTTTCTGTGTAGCGTCGTCCTTCAGCGTGACCCAACCGAACATCAGAAGGACCAAGAATGCTCCCCAGACAACAACAGAGAGACAGCAGAAAAAGACGAAAAAGTTAAAGGGTGACTTGACGATCAGACGACAGCCGTCCTTGAAGTATTGGCTCCAGGGTGCGTTGCGGATCCAGGTCTTGAGGGAGACATGATTTGAGGGAGAGTGGGCGCCTCTTGTCTTGTACTGCTGAACCATTGGTAGAGCGGAGAGGGACGAGGAGGGATATGCAGGGGAAGTGGAAGGCATGGTATCTTTTTGGTAGTTAGCTTTTGTGTTGCTGGGCGTAAGTAAGTAAGGGTTCGTAAGGTAAAAGCAAAGAAGGTTTTTTTATCGGTTTTAGAAAGGAAGAGAGAAGAGGAGAAGGAGGAGGACGAGGAAGGGAGAAAAGGAAGAGAAAAGTGAAGGAGGAGGAAGTAGGAAGGGACACTTTACATCTTTGTCGTGGTTGCTGTTGATCGCTTCAAAGGCTGTGGGGTGGGAGCTGTCATGGCTGTTGCCTTGGCGCTGTGAGTCCTTGGGTGTCATGGCAGACTCGAAGACTTATTCTTTGGGCTGGTTTGTATTGATGACGCTCGTGAGTGAATGGGGAATAGTGGTTTATCGATTCAGCCCTGTGTGGGAATGAGCGAGGAGGAAGTAAGAAGGAAGGAAGGTGGGATGAAGTGAAGGAGGAGTGAAGTAATGAAGAGGAGGGGGAAAGGAGTGGATGCGGATGCAATATGCAATAAAAAAAGAGAGAAGCAGACAAGTAGGGTATCCAGAGCAAAGCGGGCTATGAAATAGGGTACAGAGTGTATGCATACAAAGAGAGCAAAGAGAGGGCAAGAGGGAAGGGGCGAGAGGGTTATGAGAGGAAAGTGTGGTAAGCAAAAACGGAGAAATAAACTACAGGGAGAGGGAGGAATGGAGGCGCTTGTGCAAGTCGAGAAAAAAAGAGTAAGAAAATGCAAGACCCCAGTCTGACACAAAGTAGAGAGAGATAGTGAACCTCCCCTCCACGGTCTCAACCCACCTTGGCGTCTCGTCTCGTCGATTCATATACTGTTCTGACTAGTTCCCTAGTTTGCCTTTAGCTCACTTCTGCCTTTCGCTAATTGCTACTGCTCTTGTTCGTAGTCAATGGCCCGTTCAGTTGTTGCCAGACCTCAATGGCTGTCGTCCATGCCAAGTTGCTGCTGTCCTTTGCAGAAATCGATGTTTGAGCGGCATTGTTGTTGATATTGCTCTCACCGCTTTGTGGTTGCAATTGCTGTTGTTGTTGCAGGTGCTGAACAGGCTGATTGATCAGGAGTGGGACTCCAGTCTTGGCCTTGGTCTCAAACCCTTTGATCTCCTTGACCCGATGCCCCAACAGCGTCCTGTAGATCGACTGTGTCCCACTCGCCTCAAACGCCGTCGCCTCAATCTTCACCGCAAGCACCTTCACAAACATCCCCATCCTTCCATCCAGCTCAGTCTTGGGCAAGGATCCAGTCGTGTCAGGAGTCAATCGCAACATATACTCGGTCGCCAGAGACTTGTGTGCACTTTGATAGAGTGACCCAAGAGCTTTCGCCACAGACTCATAGCATAGCTCCCGGAACTGGAGCGCCACCTTGGAAGATGCTGCATGGCAGAGACCATACTTGTTGACCGAGACTTCTGGAGACGATACTGCTGGTGCCTCAGCCTTCTTGTAATATGAGGGATCAACAGATTTGCCTGTTTTAGTGAAGACAAAACAAGGTTAGATTTTCACCAACCTAGAGTGCAGCGATAGAAAAACATAATCAAAGCAGCAACAATGACATACCAAAAAGTAGCTTCCTCCGCTTAGCCTTACGCTCAGCGTCAGAGTCATAGTCTTCGCAGCTTCTCTTCTCTTCTTCCTCTTCATCGATCTCCGACCCATCTTCAATCGAATCATCGTCACTACCTTCGCCACCATCCGAGTCGTCGTCGCCATAGTTATCGTCATAGCCCGCAAGGCCAGCATCGTATCGATCCAGAGCAGAAGAAGCTGTCTGCCACGCGCCCTGCACCTGCACGGTCCCATCCGAGCCAACAAACGTCTTGGTACCACCCATATACTGCGCCCGACCGCCTATGCTTGTAAGGTTCGACAGTTTCTCGGCTTTGTCCTTGGCGACTTTCTCGGGTGTCCTGCAGATATCACATCGGGCACCATCCTGGCAGACGGCCTCCTTTTTGACTTCCGTCTCTCCAAAGTACTCACACAGAAAGACGTGTCGACACTGGGTGGTGTTTTCACAGTAGGCGACCATCTTTTGAAACTTGTCCATTATGTCCTGTAATGACTTTTTGCGCTGTGGAACTTCTCCAGTTTTGGTCGCCTTTTGCTTCTGTCGTTCTGCTTCTACAGCCAGCAGGAACTCAATTTTCGATTTGTCCTCCCGAGAGTAATAAAGAATACATCTCGACAAAGCTCCGTCTCGTCCCGCACGCCCACTCTCCTGGTAGAAGCCTATTATAATATGAAATAAATGGGAACGTTAGATGTTACCCTTACATGGAAGACATACCATGTCTTCTCGAACTACGCGCAACCAAAGAACTTCCGAGGTACCTTCGACGGTTTTGGGGATCTCCCAGTGGCAGACAAAGCGGACGTTGGCTTTGTCAATACCCATGCCAAAGGCGATCGTGGCGACGATCACATCAATAGGCTTGCCAGTAACAGCAGGAGTAGTAGACGAGTTGCCATTCTTCTTCTTGGGATCATCCGCTCTCGGCTCCAAACACCACCGCTGCTGAACCTCTGCTCGCTGCTTCGGGGTCATTCCAGAATGAAATGCAGCAGCTGAAATTCCGTCTCCAGTGAGTCTACTAGCCAGATCGTCGCATGTTGCTCGCTGCCCACAGTAGATGATCCCGCAAACGGGTTCGACTTTTTGCTCCGCCAGCGGGACGGGTGGCTCTGTTGGGGTATATGTCCTTGCAGATGTGAACTGTGGTAGTGGTAGCTTGTTCTTTGTCTCTGTCGCCGCCTGTAGTCGTTTCATCCGCGTCTTGTACACGCCCTTCATAAAACTCAGAAAGTTGTCGTACCGATCTGTGTCGAACCGGACCTAAGGATACATCATCGTGAATAGTAAGTGCATTGTTCATGGCGTGCGGGAGAACTGGATGGTTGCGTTTTACCAATACGCACCTCGTAGTAAAGGTTGTCGCGATTGAAGGATGTCATGAAGAAAGACAGCTTCGGTGGCTCAGGCAATCCCAATGTCGACTTGATATCCTGCCGCACCCTAGTTTTCGATAAAATCGCAAAGTCTGATTAGCAACACATTCCGTAACTTTGTAGTCGATGTCCATGTAAACACAAGAAGGAACATACTTTTCGGTGGCTGTAGCTGTGAGGGCGGCGATGGGTAGCTTTGGAAACGCCTTCCTGAAGTAATCCAACTTCTTGTAATCCTTTCTGAAGTCATGACCCCACTCGCTGATACAATGCGCCTATAGAACAGAAAGGACGCGTGTCTATTAATACGCGTCGACATAGGTTTTAATCTCCATGAGGCATCTCGATCCAAATGTTGCAGCAAAGTGATAACATACCTCGTCGATAACGAGCCTTGCCAACATCTCCCTTCCGTGGAGCGCAGAGATGTACTTTCGAAACTCTGTCGTTGCGAGCAACTCCGGTGTGACTATTCTCGAAGAAGTTAGAGATGACCTTTGGTTAGCATGATGCAAGGCATATCCTTACTCCGACTCAAAAACAAAGCTACATAAATAAACCTTGATAAGAACGGCGCACAATTTACCGTAGAGTAGTTTGGTAATGGGTTCTGAGAGTGCGAGGTCGCGTAGCACTTTTGCCCGCTCAGTTTTGCCGATGGACGAGTTAAGCGCGGAAGCCTTGATTCCGAGACGCAAGAGTGCAATTACTTGGTCATGGATCAGTGCAAGTAATGGTGATACTACGATCGTGACGCCCTTGCTCATGACAGCCGGTAGTTGATAGCAAAGCGACTTGCCCCCTCCCGTCGGCATAATCACCATCATGTCCCTTCCTGTCGATACGTATATGAGAGGGTCTGTTAATGTGTCGTTCACGATATCATCTATAGCCCCGTTTGCTTCTTATGAAACCAGAGACAAAAAGTGTACCTTCCAGAGATGCCTGGATGATGGCCTCCTGTTGACCTCGGAACTCCCTCAATCCAAAGACTATTTCAGAGTAAGTATGGACCAAATTAAAAGGCGCCATACTCAGTAACTTTGATCGTGTGAGATTGCAGGTGAGTGCATCCATGACACAAGGTTATTTTGTTTACCGGTGCGGAGACATTTGTTACAGTCGGTGAATGACTTTGAGAGGGACTGCTGCTTCTGTCTGTCCTGGAAGGCAGTCGTGTTTCCCGAGTGGTTCTTGAAACAGAGCTGTGTCTGTACTTTTATCGTTTTGACTTCCTTTGCCTGCTTCTTCATGTTCCTTGCAGTCTCTCTATATCCTGACTGGCTGATGTAGTTGCAAGTGATTAAGCGTGTAATGAATGAAAGAATGCAAGAAAATGAAAACAAAAGATCGCGTTCCTGTCTTCATTTGACTTTAGTGTAATTTGGTGGCAACATGGACCCCTTAACCTGAAATCGTTCTCCATCAGTTCCCTCTTCGTCATGATCGGACTGGCAAATGTGCCCAGTAGATGGGAAAATGAATTTTCTTAGTGTTCTTAGTGCCCTTTGTCTGATGAAAAAAAGCATAAGTACTCACATTTTCACGCCCACTGTTCTTTCTCTTCTCTACTGGTCCTCTCTCTCACTCACCCACTCACTCACTCACTCACTCCTGTTTCCCGTTTCCCTGCTCCCTACCTTAACTCCCCGTAATAATTATGACCATGCCCTCGTCTGCTGCCTCGACCACCGTTCCTGCGGGCACCACCACCACTACTGCTGCCACCCCCGCCCACCACATCGACTACTGCATCTTCGACATGGACGGTCTCCTCATCAACACAGAGACCCTCTACACAGAAATCACCTGTAAGCATACCAGCATACCAACATAACAACAAGTGCTAAACACCTGACTAGCGCTGAAATAGAAAAAAAAAACAATAACAACTAGAACAGCAGCAACACCAACAACAAAAAAAGCTTCGGACTTGAAGCGAACACTGCGTCAACCGTGTGTATCCTTCAATACCCCTTCTCTCCTATTTCCTTATTCTCCTGTGTGGATTGGATGGGTGAAGATAGCCTTTCCCTTTTCTGGGCGATCAATGGTTGATGGCCATGTCCGTTGTTGCTACGCCCTACTGCACTCTCTCCCAGGAACACAACGGATATCTGTTGATCAAACGCCACGTTGCACTTTCTATCACCAACCAACCATCAGAAGAGACCCAATTGAACACTTACCTGCGCCTTCTCACTCACCATGGTGCAACATTTCTTTTACATCCGACTCACCTCCCTTCCTCTCAGACCCCTCGCCATCCCCTTGCTGTGCATTTTTATGCGTCAGAAGAGTCATCACTACAAGGGGTTTCTGACAAGAGTCGAATCGGACCATTCTATAAAACAAGGGCAACTCAACATAGAGTTCAATTGCTCTTTTCCCTCTCTTTCCTTCTTTTCCTTACCCACGGATACACAAATGCCGAGGATCCCAGTCGGATCCTCTGGGAGGCACTTAGCCCTTCCTCACCTTTATCCTGAGCAACTGTCCGAACATAAACTAACAGGATCTTACACCCACTCCTTGTTGTAGCTGAAATTCTTGCACGTTACGGCAAGACATACGATTTCGAGCTCAAGGCCAAGCTCATGGGTCTTCGTGAGAAGGAAGTAAGTAGTCTGCTGTGCGCAAAGAACACCTATTCTTCACCTAGACTTTATCAATTGAGTACTAAAATTAGCTACTCCGGTTTGGATTGTAATGAATGAATAGTCGGCGGCCATTCTGGTTGCGGAATCGGGCGCAGATATGACCCCAGAGGAGTACCTTCACGAGCGTCACCTTCTCCAGCTGGAGCGCTTCCCACACTGTGTCCCTCTCCCCGGTGTCATGGTAAAGTGTTTCTGTTCTTCTTTTCGGTTAATCTTTTCGGGATTGGGATTGTTTGAACGAGTATGTCCCGGTATGCACCCGCTTTCCATCCCCCCTTCACTTTCTAACCTGTGTCTCAATACGGAAATGTTTCATATATCCCATAGCGCCTCGTTAAGCACCTGAAGGCAAAGAAGATCCCCATCGCTGTAAGTCCCAGGAAGCAGGCGAAAAATATTAGAACGAAAATGCATGCTATACTCGCAACTAATATGATAATTGTGACGAATAGGTGGCGACTTCTTCGTACCGCAAGAACTTCAACCTCAAGTCGATGAACAACCAACACTTGTTCACCTTGTTCGACGTGATTGTGTGCGGCGACGACCCTGCGATCGAAAATGGCAAGCCCAACCCCGATATTTTCTTTGTGGCTCGGGATCGTTTGAAGGAGCACTTTGGACACAAGGAGATTAAGAACGAGAACTGTCTAGTCTTTGAGGATTCGCCTATCGGTGTCCAGGCAGGAGTTAATGCCGAGATGAAGGTCCTCTGGGTGCCTGATGTGAACATTGGACGTCTCTACCCTACTTTGGATGGACCTACTCAGCGTCTGGATTCGCTTGAGGAGTTTGACCCTGTCTTCTATGACCTTCCCCCTTTTGAGGCCGAGGTTGAGAACAATGGCGCATAATCCTTTCCTTTTTGTAGATCATAGAGCGTGGGAATTCCATTTCGTCTCCACACCTCAAAGTTAGACCCACAGCAACAAACAAAATAGAAAGCTCCATCCAAAAAAAAGCCGAAAAACAGCTTCATAGCAAACGTCACGTGTCAACGTTGAGTTCTGTGGCCACCAAGCGTTTCCAGGGGTTGTCAAATCAAAATTCTCTTGACTCCTTTTTTTTTTGTTCTTTCACACCTCCCCGCTCCTGTACTCTTTCACACTCTCTTGTCGCTCTCAATGAGACCATGGACGACGACACGTTCGACGACATCAATGAACACTCCTTTGTCGACGACGGCAGCGACAACGACAACGAAGACAACAACAACGATGGCAACAACCTTAATCAAGTACTTCAAGCATGGGACGACTTGCCGCAAGGACCTGCTCACGCTGTGAATCAACAGCACGCTGCCGGAGGGCAGCAGGCTCACCTTCGCGAGGCATCGATACCGTCACAGGATCACGATTTCCAAAGTCAGGTCCATGTTGTGACACGACCCATGGTTGGACCTGAGCGATCGCATATCCCAGAACCTCGGCCGCAGAACGTTGAAACCGAGGTACCAGCCGCCACCGCATATCGCGCATGGAATATAAATAAAGGAACAGTATGTTACTTTGCGAATGGAACATAGTATTGACAAGAGGAACCCTGGTATGAAACTTTTCGGCATATAGGAATCAACCTGCTCGATATGCTTCGACTCTTGGACCAACAGCGGGAAGCATCGACTTGTTTCCATCAAGTGTGGACACCTCTTTGGCGAAAGGTACACCAACAATTATTTAGAACGTTGCTATTGTTTTGAGCCTAAATATCGCCGAGGACATTGTTCACTAACCATATTCATATTTCTAAATGACGATAGCTGTATCACAAAGTGGATCAACCAGAATGCAGGAGGAAACGGTCCAGCGAAATGTCCAGAGTGCAAGTAAGTCACGGTAATGACCCTTTACCCTCTCTCTTTCGTACATAGGAGGAAAGTGCCGCGATGTTACACATTTCCACCAGCAACATCTTACTTACATTTTATGGGGTTGTTGCCTGCCTTTGAATTATTAGCCTGGCTACGACACGGAGAGATATTCGTAGAATATGGAGCAAATCAGTCGTGGTGGTGGATACGGTCGAAAAGGACGAGGCGAATGCGCGAGCCAGGGAGGAGAAGGAGGGCAGATTGCGCTGTGAAAGGGAATTGGCTAACTCTCGCCTCGCCTATGAGATGCTTAGTAATGAGCTGAAGGATATGCGCAAAAAGCATGACCGTCAGCGTGCTCTCAAAGCAAGGTACGAACTTTTGTCGTTGTCTTCAGGCGCCGTTGTCAAAATGTGAAATTGTCCGACTAATGATTGTTATTGCTACTTTCATGCTGAGTAGGTACCGGGCGGAAGTGAAGCAGCTAAAGATGGCGCATCCGGAGCGGGAAATTGTAAAGCACTTTTCGTATGTCACCACTCGGACGATCCCCATAACAGCCAGGGTAAGAACTTTCTCTGTCCTGGATATCACAATATACTTGTAGGACTCCAGTCAGGATGCTGACTCAACAGTATTTTAAATCTTATTTAACACAGGCACCGGTAGCAACACAGTACTTGTCATATCGCCAGGACGAAGAAATGCTGGTGTACAGTCGGCAGATGGGAGAACAGCACGGGATTGCAAAAGTGTCGATGCGGGACTTTGCAGGCAACTATCACGACTTTATCCCAGTGCACTCGAAACCTATCAAGGATGTGCGCTGTTATACTGGAAACCCAGGCATAAACAAGGCATTTATCCTCACCGCCAGTTTGGACAAGACCCTCAAAGTTACCAATGCTCTCTCCAAACAAGTCGTCCTTTCGTACGTCATCAACTGCTCATTGTCCTTTTATTTTCCTTTGCGATTTTGTGCCTTGATTAACTGACGCTGTATTGCATTACCATTGTTATTGGGATAGGTACAATATGGAAGGGGCGGTGTGGTCGTGTTGCTGGTCAGCAACAGACTCAAACCTGATGTACTGTGCAGTGAAGGCAAGGCAGACCAGCATATTGACACTCGACCTCCGGAATACAAGAGAGCCGGTCAGCAGTTTCAGCAATCCAGGACTGTTGGGCCACGCACCGATCCACTCGATGACACATATCGGCCCAATGGAGGGCCATGACCAGGAAGCGATTCTGTGCGGCAGTGTTGACGGGGCGTTTGTGTATAATTTTGAGCCGGGTATGAATGAAGGAACGCTTTCGGGAGTGTTTAGTCAGGAGATGATCATCAATGGGAGTCAAGGGTCGACGGCGTTGGGTGGCGACAGCTTATCGTCCAGTCAGTCCATGGGAACAACAATAGGTTCTAGTTCCACGATGGGAGGGGCAGAGAAGGGGCCGGATGGTCGATTGCTGCCAGTTCGATTGAAGGGATCGAGTTGTAATTCTGTCTCTTTCGACAGTGTCTCTCGGGACTGGATGGCCACGTACAACTTTATGAACACCAGGACGACACATCATGTCCGCGGTACTGTCGATCAGGACCCGTATTCTGGAGACTTGTTGCTCCGGAGTGAATACAAGGTCATTGGAGGAACGCCTGTACCGTTGTCGAGGAACAGCATCTTTTCAAGGCTGAACGATTCCGTCCACATGGCTGCAGGATCTGACTCCGTCGTAAGTCATTTCTTTGCTTCTTTTTGTTTCGTGTCTATGTTCTCGCCATTGCGATCACTTAACAATTATATCCAATGGTTCCGATAGGCACAAGTGTGGTATGATCCGAAATTCAAGTCAAAGAAGGCACAGGAAGAAGATAACGAGAGGAGACAGACATTGAGCGGACGCCCTATATCGACTCTGGACCATGGCCCGCTAGCTCAACATGTTATCCAAAGTGGGAACAATATTCCTGCGAACTCGGTGATCCGAGATGTCAAGCCGGTGGTGGTCTCGGGAGTGAACGAGTACATTGTGACACTCTCGGACAAGGAACTTGGGATGTATCGATGGTCCGAGAGTGAACCTTTGGGTGGCGAGGAGGATAGTGATGACGAAGAAGGTAGTGAGGTGGACGAGAGTGAAGGTGATGACCTGGTGCGTGTAAAATATGGAGGGAAGAGGCGGCGGCTTGACGACGATGACAGTGACAGTGGAGATGTTGTTGTTCTTGATGGCGCAGATGGTGAGAATGGAGTAGGAGGATCTGGGACAGTGGAGCAAGGTCCTTCCTCGACTGCGTCCTCTCCCATGTTCAATACCCAATAAACCTTTAGACAATTCATCCTTTCGTTTTATTACTCATCGTTCTTATCCTGTCAGTAGATGTTTCTGTGAACTAGAAACAAACTACTTTTGCTATGACGCGATTGTGTGGGGGGATTATGCACACTGGAAAGGTAGTTCGGATTGTGCTTCGACCTGGTTGGTTGGTTTGGCTGTTGGGGTGGTTGGTTGAGGTTGGTCCAACCTGGTTCGACCTGAGTTCGACTTTGTTTGGGACCTGAGATTCAAATTTTTGTTTGTGTGTGGGGAGGGGAAGGGGATGGGTGAAATGGAAAGGAACGGGCCACTTCTCCAGAGATAAGATAATGAAAAAAAAAAATCTCGGCAAACCAAGGTTACAATTTTGTGGCCTTCTTTCTTTCATCTTTCATCCTTCACTGACTGCCCACTACCGTTTCACTTTCTTATCGCTGCAGTGGACTTTGGGTTTTTTATGTTTCTTTCTTCTTCATCTGGCGGGCATATCTCTTTTTGTAAACAACGCACGGTTGGGTGGGTGTCTGTCTGTCTGTATTGTCAGTTCGTCGCTGTTCGTTCAGTTTTCGTTTCTTCAATTGATCGCTTAAGTACCTGATGATTAAGACTCTTGGACGAGTGTGGATGTCGCCAGAACGAACGACTGTTCAATTATTATTATTTTTTCTGTTCTTTTTTTTTTTTGGGTTTGTCAGCGGAACATCTTTCCAGACTTCAAGGAAAGGCCATTGAAAGTGCATCAAGTGTTTTGGAGAAGAGAAGGTTCTTTTTCGTTGATTGTTTTGAATGAAAAACAAAAGTAGGAGTGTGGACATGGTACAAAGACAGTTTAGTTGAGTCTAACTCATGGATTGTATGTTTTGGGTTGTGTCTTTGCATGGGTTTTGGCCATAGGTCCCAAGAAGAAGGAAAATGGGTTTGCTGGGAAAGAACATAATGTCCCTTGGACGCACAACGACAGATTCATTTCTTATCCTTTCTTTTCCCCATCGTAACTATAATCTTGTCACGGTCGTCGAAGAAAAAGAGGGGTTGCCGAATGTCCGAAAGAGAAAATGAAAAATAGAATAAACACCAAGGACATGTCAACAAGCAAAGGATATCTCGTGTAGAGAGAATGACAAAAGGCGTTATTTTTTGATCAAAGAAGAAGAGATAAAGAACGGATCGAGAGCCTTTTCCTCTTTCTGCCCAGATCGAACCTACTCTTCTTTTCTATCCTCTTATTTTTTGGGTTTTTGAACGACCCACAATCATCGAGTATCTATGACTGAAATGTCGTCCGTTTGCCTTTTCTTTTCGCTAGGACCGAGAAAGTATGAGACAGAAGGTGTAGATTACGAGAGGGTGGTGGATGGGACCCAGGGGTGTGAGTGTGAGTGTGAGAAGGTGCGAGTTGGAGGTGGTGGATGGGAACCAGGTGTAATGAGGTATCGTGTACAAGCAAATAGAAGCGGTCCAATGGGGAGATCATCCCCTGGGGCATGGTCCAAGCGGATAGCAAGGATGATAATATTAATAGAAAGGCATTTGTATATACAAAATACAAAGAGGAGGATAAGAAGAAAAGAAGCCAATGATGAGAAGGGAGAGATAGAGCGTGTTTGTCTGTTCTGCCATAGAGAGAAGGAAGGAAGGAAGGAAGGAAAGAAAGAAAGAGGAGCGGGCGGTGAATCAAAGGGCGACTTTTGGATGCAAGGGGAGGGAGGGTGGTAATAATGATGAGGACAATATTCAATATTCAATCAGACTCTACTCTAATTTACTATTCCGCTCGCTCTGATCAAATAAATAGCCTCCTCTACTACTTCTTCTTCTTCTTCTTCTCCTCATCACTCACCAACTCTTCATTCTCCATCGCCCAACAAACACAATGTCTGCCAACCCCCACCACCCTCACACCCTCTCCACCCTGGTATGCGTCTCTCTCTCTTCCTTTTCCTTCTTGCTCTTGCTTACTTACCTTTTCTCACAATCGCGATACCGAAACAAACGCCTTCTATCTAACCACACATACCTTTCTTTTTTATCCCATCATGACACAAACAGGACTTCCAAGGTGCCAGCAGTGCTGCCGCTGCCAACGCCATGCGCACTGAGCTCAACCGCCTCATCTCCCAGGTCAAGGACGAGAACGAGCGCAAGGTACCCTTCTTCACTTTTTTCTTGTTGTTGAATAATGATGAATAAAGCACCAGAGAAATGACGTGTTGACTAATCCACTCTATCCCTTTTGTCGAACCAAACTTCTTCCAATAGTTGTTCCAAAATGAGATGGGTAACTTTTTCATGCTGTTCAACCGCTTCTTGGCCGAGAAGAGCAAGGGCACAAAGATCAACTGGGACAAGGTCAAGTCGCCCCCAGAGGACCAGGTCGTTCCCTACGACAGCATCCCCAAGGTCGAGTCCAGCCCTCACCTCAACAAGCTCGCTGTCTTGAAGCTCAACGGAGGTCTCGGAACCACCATGGGTTGTGTCGGACCCAAGTCTGCTATCGAGGTCCGCGATGGTATGACCTTCTTGGATCTCTCTGTCCGTCAGATCGAGGTAATTTATCTTTACTGTCGTTGGGATAATGAACGCGGAACAATGCAGGCGAAATCTTTGTTGGTCGGCGACACAAAAAGATAACAAAGGAAGATCAGGAACAGAGACAGGCGGACATACCAGGGAAGACACGATAAAGACCAGGAAGACACGACGACACAACAGACAGCTGGACTGAGTTGTGTTCTTTGCGTGAATGAGATGGGTGGTGGGATTATAGTGAATGCGTGAGATTGAATATGTGTAAAACTCTATTTTTATTAATCGCCATTCACTTTGGTTTCCTCAACCTTTTGTTACTTTTCCTACTTCCTCTTTTCTCGTCTGCTCCTTGCTCCCCCCTTTTTTTATCTTTTTTGCTCTCACGCTCTGTCAATTACAATGGACTTCAAATAGTATTTGAACAAGGCCAAGAATGTCAACGTGCCATTCATCCTCATGAACTCGTTCAACACCGACGACGAGACCAAGCGCATCGTCCAAAAGTACGCTACCCACAACATCGAGATTCTGACCTTCAACCAGTCCAGATACCCCCGCGTCAACAAGGACTCGCTCCTCCCCACCCCCCGCAACCCCAACGGCGACATTGCCGACTGGTACCCCCCTGGTCACGGAGATCTCTTTGACTCGCTCAACAACTCGGGTCTCCTCGACCAGCTTATTGCCGACGGCAAGGAGTATGTCTTTGTCTCCAACGTCGACAACCTCGGAGCCACCGTCGACGAGGGCATCCTTAACCACATGGTCGAGTCTGACGCCGAGTTCCTCATGGAGGTCACCGACAAGACCCGCGCCGATATCAAGGGAGGTACCCTCATCGACTACGAGGGCCAGATCCGTCTTCTCGAGATTGCTCAGGTCCCCTCGGAGCACGTCGAAGACTTCAAGTCGATCAAGAAGTTCAAGATCTTCAACACCAACAACTTGTGGGTCAACTTGAAGGCCATCAAGCGCGTTGTCGAGGACCGCGAGTTGAAACTCGAGGTCATTGTCAACAACAAGACCACCGCCTCGGGTGAGAAGGTCATCCAGCTCGAGACTGCCGTTGGTGCCGGTATCAAGCACTTTCACAACGCCCACGGTGTCAATGTGCCCCGTAGCCGTTTCTTGCCCGTCAAGTCGACCTCGGATCTTTTCTTGGTTACTTCGGACTTGTACTCGTTGATCCACGGCGAGTTGTCGATCAACCCCAAGCGCATGTTCAACACTGTTCCCCTCGTCAAGTTGGGCGATCACTTCAAGAAGGTCAACGGCTTCATGTCGCGCTTCAAGAACTCGCCCCACATCCTGGAGCTGGACCATTTGACTGTCACTGGAGATGTTACTTTCGGAGCAGATGTTGTCCTCAAGGGTACTGTTATCATTGTTGCCAACGCTGGCTCGCACATTGACATTCCCTCTGGCAGTATCCTCGAGAACAAGGTCGTCTCTGGCAACCTTCACATCCTCGACCACTAAGCCTTTTCTTGGTGCGTCTTCAGTTCTCTCTCCCCCTTGTAGTTTTATGCATATCCTCTCCCAATAATAAAAACCTCGCATTTTGTACAGCATCTTTTTTCGGTCATTACGGACATGTAATGGATCGATGGGACTGCTTTTTGAACTTTTTCGTTGTGTTTGTTTCTGAGAGGAGAGAAAGCGAACGACCGCTCTTCTTCGTTCTTGTTCCTTCCTGTTACTACACCACTCCTAGGAAATGACACGACTACGAGCACTGACGCCTCTCTTGAGGCCAGCATCCTTCTCTACCTCAGCTAAAGCGTCGACAACATCGGCAGCATTGTTTGACAAGGGCATTGTTGCACCAGACAAGGAGCCTTTCTCAATATACATACACTGGCCGTACTGCTCGAGGTAACCTTGCGACTGGAGTGAAGAATACCAGCCAACCAGTAACCAGATAACCAGTCGTGCTGACAACATACTCTTCCTACAAATGAGCATAGTAAATGCACGTATTGCAACTTCAACAAATACGTCGACCCGAATGTCGATAACGAACGCATGGAACGTGCTCTGGTCACGGAACTAAAGTCCGAGCTTGCCCACTGGGGTCTTGATCAAGGAAATCGACCTATCCGATCTGTCTACTTTGGAGGTACCTTAGACTTGTGTACGAATGTATTTACACTCCTCGTGGTTGTGAGGGGTCGCTAATTGGCTCATTGTTTTTATATTTGAACTGTGTAGGAGGCACACCTAGTCTTGCAAGGGTAAGCTACATACTTGTTGTTCGTTGTTGATATTTGCTCGGTGAAGAAAAAAGGTAGAATTGGACAGAAGAGTAATGATACGTGTTTTCTTGTTGTGCGATAGCCAAGAATGTTCGAGTTGGTGCTGGATACCCTGAGCAGTATGTGCGCATTGACCAAGGACACTGAAATATCCATGGAGGTAAGAATGTCGTAGATATGTTGTGTACTCATGCACTTGTAGAGTGGCCTTCATATTGACAGCTTCACTTTCTTCACTCCTTCACTTTTTCGATAGGGCAACCCATCCGTAAGTGTTATGAGCCTTTTAACACAATGACGACGGACAGCGTTGAAGAACCGATTGATCTTGACCAAAGTTAACTTTTGCTACCTGTAGTCGACTACATCGATAGAGACACTGAAAGCACTACGCGACATCGGTATCAACCGGTACTCCTTAGGAATCCAGTCATTCCAGGAGCACATCCTTACAGAACTCGGTCGAGACCACACCCCATCGACTGCACTAAAATCTTTACTTGATGCACGAGCTGTCTGGCCAGGGAAGGTATCGATGGATCTGATTATGGGTCATGCTGGTCAGACGTTAGATGACTGGATCAAGGAACTTCGGTTCACGATGGACATTGTCGATGACCATCTGAGTCTTTACCACCTCACCGTTGAGCCCGGTACCGCGTAAGTTACTTCTTTATTACTCTTATGGCCACTTGGATATGGGAGGAAACTGACGAGCTTATTTGATTTTGGTGGCAAAAATGTAGGTTGCACACTGATGTCAAGCAAGGAAAAACGACACTGCCAGATGGTGATCTGTCTACGGATATGTACGAGGCCACCATCCAGGTACCAACTACCCATTTCGCTGCTATTCAACCCCATGTTCACTATACTTTGTTCAAGACGTGCTTATCATGTTTTTATATTGCCGCGAATCGATAGCTAACTCGAGAAGTTGGGTTTGAGCACTATGAGGTGTCTAACTTTGCGAGGAACAAGGCCTACAGCATGCATAACAGTGGCCACTGGCTCGGCATCGACTACCTTGGTACCTTACTGTCGTGGATGATGTTGTTTGTTTTGAGACAGGCAGGCAGGGTAACATGTTGATCGATACTGACAAAGAACCCTGTCTTTGTATGCTTGTTCGTTGTTCAATAGGCATAGGACCTGGCGCCCACGGTCGAATGAGCCATCCTCATACACGTCAAAAATTTCGCACATTCAACGTAAGTTGTTCTCTGATTTGCTTTTAAGTACCAACCCAAGTCCATGCTAAAAGACTCTTTAATCCTCTTTGTGCTGATAGGTACGAGACCCTGCTAGCTGGATGCGAGAGTGCGAGGAGCAAGGGACTGGGTAATCACTAGAGTCTTTACCGTTCTTGCTAATTTGGGATGACTGCGAGGGATACGTTAAACGCGATATCGCTGTAGCTCTGTTTTATGTATATGTGTTTGACTGACAAAATACACATATGCCGCTGTGCGCTTTGTAGGAGAAGAAAGACGGACGCAATAGAACCAGAGGATTCTAAAAGAGAACTACTCGTCCTAGGTATGCGGACACGACGAGGAATTGACTTTGGCAGATTTTATCAACTAACAGGACAAGGCCTACTGGAGGTAAGCATACACCCTTTCTTCCTGAGCATACAAAATGAAACGTGAAAACAAGCACTGATCACTTCCGTGGCTGACGTGCTCCGACTCTACTTTGGACTTGTGTTACCAATTGTAATAGTATTTGAACAAGGACGCGACGGCGTCGTGTATTGATGCGGGGTTGTTACAGCTCAGCGTAGCATCGTTGTCACCGACCGAGCGTGGCATGGCTGTTGCGGACGAGCTCTCTGTCCGCCTTCTTCCATAGCTTTTGTTTAGTTTTGAACAACGACTGGGACATTGCGAGTCAACCATGAAGGGCCAATTGAGCTTTAGAAGTAGTTTATTTTCCTGGTCGCCATAGTCTGTCAATGGATCAATGAAGGGCGCACTCCCGCACTTTCGTTCCTTCTTGTTCTTCTCCCCCACATATCTATTTTTCACGTACATGTACCTGTACATGTACCCACCCAGGGAGCGGACATTTTTTTTAAATGCGCGTGAAAGAGTGCATCCAGGGGAAGCGACTGCTTTTTCTCTGATGCCGTTGTTCGTTGCCCTTCCATCAACCAAATCGCTGCTTGTGATTGGCTGCTGATCGGAGGTGTTTATTTTCGAGTGCTCATTGTAGTATTTGCATATGTAAGAAGTAACTTTGCTTCTTTTTTTTTTTTTTTTCTTCTCTTCTTTCCCCCAACCCTTTCCTCTCCCCTTCACACCCCACCAAACTATATCCACCATGGTCTACAAAGTCGGTATGTCTCCACCTTCCATCTCACGGCCACTTCATCACCTCTTGTTGCTTTCAACAACAAAGTCAACAACTGCATGAAGGATGATCACATCAGCTCTGCGGGCGAAAAACCAAAACAAACAAAACAAACAAACAAACAAACAACCAGCCACGTACAGTACGGCGACATATTATTTTTTTCAGATCCTAATCTCTCCTCTTCATCCCGTTGACAACCGCTCCATGCAATAGCTGACATCAGCCTTGCCGCTTTCGGTCGCAAGGAAATCGAGCTTGCCGAGAACGAGATGCCCGGTCTTGTGGCTCTTCGTGTGAAGTACGGCCCCGCCCAGATCCTCAAGGGTGCCCGTATTGTCGGTTCGCTCCACATGACCATCCAGACCGCCGTCTTGATCGAGACCTTGACTGCCTTGGGTGCTGAGGTTACCTGGACTTCCTGCAACATCTTCTCCACTCAGGACCATGCTGCTGCTGCCATTGCCGAGTCTGGTGTCCCCGTAAGTCATGATTTTTGTTTGCTTCTGGTTTCGTGGGGTGAGGGCAATAGCATGAAGTGTGTGGGAAAATAAGTGATTCATTTAGAGTGAACGGACAAAACAATTGAGAAGGAGACAGAGCGTGAACAGTAAAAATAACTATGCAGAAGAAGTACAAGAGGCAATCGAAAAGACGAGAACATCAACGAAGAAGAGCGTGCATGACTTGTGACCCCATAGCAAGGATTGAGCATGAACAAAAAAGTCAATTGGGAGAGAATAACGTCAAAGCAGAACATGCACAACTCAATGGCAAAGGTTGAACAAGAATAATAAGTGAATGAACAATCAACTAACCAAACCCTCTTCGCAATGAAATCGTATATCAATAATAGGTCTTCGCCTGGAAGGGTGAGACTGATGAGGAGTACATGTGGTGCCTCGAGCAGCAGCTCCTCGCCTTCAAGGATGGCAAGGGCCCCAACCTGATCTTGGACGACGGTGGTGACTTGACCACCCTCATCCACGAGAAGTACCCCGAGCTCCTCGTCGAGATCAAGGGTATCTCTGAGGAGACCACCACCGGTGTCCACCACTTGTACAAGATGCTCAAGGACGGCAAGCTCAAGGTCCCCGCCATCAACGTCAACGACTCTGTCACCAAGTCCAAGTTCGACAACCTCTACGGATGCCGCGAGTCCTTGATCGACGGAATCAAGCGCGCCACCGACGTTATGATCGCCGGTAAGGTCGCCGTCGTTGCCGGATACGGTGATGTCGGAAAGGGATCCGCCGCTGCCCTCAAGGGTATGGGTGCCCGTGTCCTCGTCACCGAGATCGACCCCATCAACGCTCTCCAGGCCGCTATGGAGGGTTACGAGGTCACCACCATGGAGGAGGCCGTCGTGGAGGGTAACATCTTTGTCACCACCACCGGCTGCCGTGACATTATCCGTGGCGAGCACTTTGCTGCCATGAGGGATGACTCGATTGTCTGCAACATTGGTCACTTCGACATTGAGTTGGACGTCGCTTGGTTGAAGAAGAACGCTATTTCCCACGTCAACATCAAGCCCCAGGTCGACCGCTTCCAGGTCGCCTCTGGCAACCACATCATCCTCTTGGCTGAGGGTCGCTTGGTCAACTTGGGATGCGCCACCGGCCACCCTTCGTTCGTCATGTCCAACTCTTTCTCCAACCAGGTCTTGGCCCAGATTGCTCTCTGGACCGACATTGAGTCTTACCCCTTGGGCGTCCACATGCTCCCCAAGAAGCTCGATGAGGAGGTCGCTGCCTCTCACTTGGCCAAGATTGGTGTCAAGCTCACCAAGTTGACCCCTGTCCAGGCCGAGTACCTCGGTCTCTCTCCCGAGGGTCCCTTCAAGCCCGAGCATTACCGCTACTAAATTGTCTTTACTTTGGCATCCCCTTTTTCACTCTTACCTATGAACTCTACTATTGTAGTGAACTAAGGAGAGTGAGTGAATGGGAACCGAAGCATGGGCAGACATCCTCTTTTAAAGACCAATTCAACTTGTATCATAGTCTTTTGTAATATTTGCACAACTCCAAACCAACAACACCCATAAAAATGAGGTTGCTCAACCACCCCACAAAAAAAAACGCCAATGTCCGACTTAGTCTTCATGGAAGTGATATGTTCAATAATGCTGTCAGCATGCCTTTGCTTTGAGGGCTTGAGCCCCAGAGTCCTGACATGGACTGTTTGGAAGAGAGAAATGCGGTGCCTCAGATGGAACTTGTGCGTACTTTCCGACTGAAGGCCATGGGGGTCAAGACCATTGGTTCACTCGTCAGGTCCAAATGTGACCGCCTTTTTTCTCTTCAAGAAAGGCTCACAGTAACGCCGAGTGCACGGTTTGTTATTTATCCTTTTCATCTGACCGCTCTGATCAACAACCTTGCACCCTTTGTTAATCCTCTTCCACGCGTCCTTCTTTTTTTTTTTTTTTTTTTTTTTTTTTTTTTTTTTTTTTTCTCTTCATCTCTCACTCGGCCTCGCCTTTTCATTCAATAATGACCGGTATGAACAGTTCTCTTTTTTCATTTTGCACACGGATGAGAAACAACAATAAAGAGCCGCAAAGAGATCAAGCCACCAAAAGAGACATCATTCATTCTCCTCTCTCTAACAAGGAAGGCGCAAGCCTTAAAACAACTCTGCAAGCATAAAACTCACATTCAAGACAGACCTACAAACTCACATCTTTTTTCTCCCTCTTAACACTCCATTCAAACTACATTCTCTACACATCATCAACGACAATAAAATGGCACCTCGAAAAGTCACTCCATCCACCCCCACCAAGCATCGCGCAGACGAAGACCACGCTCCCCGCCACAGGAAGCGTGTCGTTCAGCATCTCCCCTTTGCCAAGATCGCATCCCGCCCCGGACAGGTCTTTGTCTTTGGCACCGGAGACTGCGCTCAGCTCGGTCTCGGCGAGGGCACTCTCCTCCGCAAGAAACCCGCTAACGTAGCTGCTCTCAACGAGCAACACATCGTCGATATCGCCGCTGGTAAGTTATCTGGATAGAGTCTCCACGCGTTTGTGAAAATAAAAAAAATAATCAATTCTAACCTAACGAACTTGCTTTTGTGAATAGGAGGAATGCATAACATGGCTTTAACCAAGGAGGGAAAGGTACCGGACCTTTACGACAGAAATACAGCACATTTCATGGCACACACACCCGCCAGCGGGTTTTCTTTGTCGTATGTTGATTTCCAAAGGAGACGACTCAGTCACTCACAATCCATCCAACAACATTCTTTGCGTTACTTTGCGACATTTCAACTCACTTATAGCTTTGGTCCTGGGGAGTCAATGACCAGCGCACTCTCGGACGCTCAGGAGATGAGTACACTCCTATGCCAGTAGAAGGTCTTGACGATGTCAAAGTCGTCAGAGTTGCCTGCTCTGATTCATTGACTGTCGCCTTAACTGATCTCGGTCACGTCTATACCTGGGGTACTTTCAGAGTATGCAACGTTTCCTTTTCTTACTTTATACAGACTTATTGTTTGGATATGCTTACAATAAGAAACATCCCTAACTCCAAGCGTTTTCTTCATCTCATATTAGAGCGCGGAGGGAATTCTCGGACACTCCAAGGAGACCGAGGTGCAGGACAACCCCACCAGGGTCGCCGGACTGGAGGATATTGTTGACATTGCTACTGGAACTGACCATGTCTTGGCCTTGGACAACACCGGTCTCATCTACAGCTGGGGTAACGGTCAGCAGATGCAGTTGGGACGCAGGATTGTCGCTCGCCGCATGCTCAACGGATTGACCCCCGAGTCTGTCGGTGCCAAGAACATGACGAAGGTCGGAGCTGGCTCTTACCACTCATTCGCCATCGACAAGGACGGAAAGGCCTCTGCTTGGGGTCTCAACACCTATGGACAGTGCGGACTGGATGATGCCAAGGTTGAGAATATTCCCTCTGTCGGACCAATCAAGACCCTCAAGGATGAACATATTGTGGACATTCAGGGAGGCGAGCACCACTCGATCGCCTTGACCAAGGACGGGCGTCTCTTTGGATTCGGACGCTCGGACAGCCACCAACTTGGTTTGGGATACACCGAGCTCCCCGGAACTGAGGACACCACATCTCACAAGAAGGCCATCCGTACACCCACATTGATCCCTGGCTTGCCCCCAGTCGATGCCATCTCTGTCGGAGGCAACCATACTCTTGCCTTGACCCGTGAGGGTGATGTTTACGCATGGGGTTTCGGCGAGATGTTGGCTTGCGGTAATGGTGAAGAGGAGGATGTCGAGAAGCCCTTGAAGTTGACTGGCCAAAAGATCGAAGGAGCTAAGATCGTCAAGGTCGCTGCTGGCGGTCAGCACTCTGTTATCCTAGTTGTCCATGCTTAAGTCCGCATGTTTTTATACTAGTATTTTTTCTTTTTTGCTCTTCCCCCTTACCTTCAACCACACGCTTCTCAATAAATATCATAAACAGTGTCCATGTCTGCTAGTTTGTCTGTTTGTTCATGTGTGTGCGTGAATGTGGTATGTTCCAAAGAGGAGTGACTCTTGGGCCCACATGCCTCTGTGCCAGTCACGCTCTTCGCTCCTATCCTTTAAAGAAAGGAACGCGACACACAAAAAGTGATCATCATCAACCCCACCTTTCTTTTTCTTTACTTCCCCTTACATCCTTCGCTGCCGACGCCACCATAACAGTCTTTTGCACCACTCGTTGCCCATACTAAAAGACAAAGACAGCTAGTTTCAACGAAAGCGGCAGCCTTGCTCCATTAAACCACCACCACCACCACGTCTCATCTCACTTTCCCGCTCTCACTCTCGCCCAAGTCGACCCGAATGAGCGCCCCTTCTCCTCCTGCAGTCCTGTCACCTGCAGGGTCAACAACCATGCTCTCACCCGACATGTCAACCTCTGCAGCCGGGTCCTCCTTCACGTCCCCTATCCAGTCCGCCACATCTCCAAGACTGATGCCCACAAAGTCAAGGCCAACAACAGCCCTCGTCTTTGGTCAACAGGCAGAGACGCTCCAGCCCCACCTCCTCCCTCCTCCACTTCAAGATACTGAATCGCTCTCTAGTGACGACTTTGTTCTGTCAGCCTCATCTTCTTCGTCCGCACCTACTGGCACTGCAACGGCAGCAGGAGGGGATAGCCATTCCAAGGTGCCTTCCGCACGCAGTGGACTCAAGACCATATCAGACTCCTTAAATCAGGACGACCAGAGCTCGGAGAGTAGTGACGACGCAGATGGTCGATTGACTGATACAGAGAGCGAGCAGGTCCGGGCGCGAACCAGAACAGGAACACCTGTCATCGCAGGGCGTACAAACAACCATCATCATGGAACTACAGAACATGGAACGACTACCAGCAGCGCGTTGCAGTCGCTTCGAGAGATTGAGGAGCATGATCACGAGGGTCGCCAGACACAACTCCAGGGGCTCGAGTCTAGATTTCGCACAACGACTCTGGTTGCTCAGGATCAGGACCTGACGAGCGACGGCGGTGACAGTACAACAGAGTCAGATATCCAACCCAAGAGTGCAATGGATCCTGCTCAAATCCAAGGCAAGTCTGTGCAAAATGATGATGAGTTTTAGGCATGGTGTCACGATTGGGTCGTAAGGCTGACTTTTTTGTCTTCTTTGCTATCTATTGCTTTATAGACCAACTCAAGGTTCTTCGCCCAAAGCCCAGTAGCGGCAGTGTCGGCAATAACAGTCTCAGTTCACGACCAAAGTCGCATTTACAAAGGACAGCATCAATGAAGTCATACGACTCGGACGACATTTCGAACAACCATGGAGGATACCAGAAGCACTATGGCGATGAAGATCATACCACCAGCGCATGGACGGAACATCGCAAACACTTTTTCATCCTCAGCAGTGCTGGAAAGCCCATCTATGCCAGATACGGAGATGAGTCGAGGATATCGAGTTACATGGGCGTCATTCAAGCCTTGATCAGCTTCTTTGCAGACAACGATGATACACTTCGGTGTATTAATGCCGGCGAACATCGTTTTGTCTTTTTGCTCAAGGCACCCTTGTATCTCGTTTGTGTTTCTCGCTCAGGAGAGTCCGAGTCCCAGGTACGGAATACAGCAGAACGGATACCATGTGGTTGATAGAGGCAGTCCAACCATTCAATTGTTCTAATAATACTTTCTCTCATATATAGCTTCGAGACCAACTTGGGTACCTGTATGCGCAAATCATTAGTGTGCTCACACAGTCGCAGATGACCAAGATTTTCGAACAGCGCAACAACTTTGACCTGCGAGGACTCATCGGCGGGACAGAGATCTTTTTGGACAGTCTGGGCAAGCTGATGAACACCTACCCCGGGTTCATGCTCGGTGCCATCCAATGCCTTACCATGCCCCGCGAACTTCGCGACAAAGTTGGAGCCGTCCTCGGCCGTGCCAAATGCAAAGTCAGTCTTCTTGCTTGCATTTTTCGCGAGATATCGTTACCATTACTAAGGACAAATTATTAACGGCTTTATATATTTCAACTATTGCATATAATAGCCGCTGCTGTATGCGCTGTTGGTAACGCCGACACAGCTGATTACGCTACTTCGACCACGAACACACTCAATGCACCCTGCGGATTTGCATCTAATCTTTAATCTGCTGTCGGGGTCGACCACATTTGAGAGTTCAGAGTCGTGGACACCTATCTGTCTGCCAAAGTTCAACAACAAGAGCTTTTTGCACGCCTATATTTGCTACATTGCCAAGAAGGTCTGCATGCTGCTAATCTCGCCAGACAAGGACAGCTTCTTTGAAATGTCCAGCGTCAAGCAGAAGGTAGTTGAAGGTCTTGAAGCAGGAGGCATGCTCGCCTCGTTGGAGAACTATGCAGCCGCAGGGACTCGAGGCGGGTTTTCCGTCGGTATGTACTTTTGTGCATGTGCAATTTTTTTTACCCTTTTTTTGACTTTGCCATTTTTTGGACATTTCCTCCATGAAGTGTACTGCCACCTCGTCAGTAAATGTTGACTTGATTATACTTTTCGGTACATTTAATAGGTGATACCGGTATTCCGGGATTGCGGCACTTTTTGTACAAGTCGCGTGTAAATGTTCAGTTTACTATGCCCGAGTTGACTGAGCCTTATGCTACTACAACTGCAAGGAAGCGACTCCTCCGACAGTACCAGAACATGAATGAACGGATGCATCGGAAAACCCGCCCCCTCAAGCTATTGTTCCATGTTGGCGAGCAAGAAACCTTACTTGGCTGGGTAATTTTATGGACCCTTTCCATTTTTGTTCATGGCAGTCGTTTTTTGTACGATGATTGTTTCTAATCATAGTGTACCTTTCTTCCCCTCGGTGATAGGTGACATCGGGATTCGAGTTGTATGCAGCGTTCGGACCGTTGGTGTCGAAGAGTGCCGTTGTTTTGATGTCGAACAAGTTGCTCAAGTGGATTCGCAAGCAGGAAGACAGCCTCTTGATCCTCAACTCTCCTAGCTTTGAAAAGTTCAAATGATCATAATAAAGGATCCTCAGTGATTGCTTACGAAGCATAAGAGTTGGTGGTGGCGAACTCTACTCTTCATATCGACTTCGCCTGCCTGGATGCTTAGTAATTGGCCTTGTGTCTCGTAGGCACAGCCTTCCAAATGGTTAATCAGTTGTGACTGTGCCTGCAGCCCTTAAGCCTAATGCCCCCTTCACCCTAAACATAAAAAGAGGTGTCGCACCCACTCATTTTTTTCGCATCACTCCTTTCTCTCTCCTCGACGATCCCATCCTCTTATAAACTGCGTTCGTCTCTTCGTTCTCCTCCCTCTCTCTATCCTCACCCACTCGCCTCTCCACATCCACACCACCCAAACTCAGGAAGAACAAGGAAGGCAACCATCAACAAACTACAACAACAACAACAACAACAACAACCACACATAAAATAAACGACGCGCGGATCGTGAGCCAATCGTTTTATTTTCTTGTGTCGCGAGTCTAATTTCGCTCTCGCAGCCTTTTCCACACACAATACACAGCCAACAACAACAACAGCAAAACGTCGTTGAATACCTCCTTCCTCTCCCTTCCAACTCCCGACTCCCTACATCATGTTCCAATCTTCTGGATTCGGCAGTGGCGGCTTTGGCGGTCAACAACAACAGAACACAGGATTCGGATCCGCCGGTAACGCGTTCGGCGGTGGCAGCACAGGCAAGTAGCACTGGATTCCTATTTTGTTGTAGTGCTTTGCGAAAAAAGATGCTATTGTGTCCATCGTAGATGATTCCCAACCATCACAAAACACCATTATGCCACAATAAAAAAAGCAATTGCAATGACCAAAGGAACGAACGCGCCCAACATACTAACCCCAACTACTATATTACCTTGCCTGTTCTTTACGTTGTCTTTGTGCACAGGCGGCTTTGGCGCTCCCGCTGCAGGAGGATTTGGGGCTGCCCCCAATACTGGCTTTGGAGGCGCCGCACAAACCACAGGAGGATTTGGTGCCACACCAGCAGCCGGCGGCTTTGGAGCTGCCCCAGCTAACTCAGGATTCGGAGGAGGTAACGTCACAACATAGTACAACTCATCGCTCGCGAAAGGATCCACCAGTTCCCTCTCAACAACCCGAAAGAGACATCCGTTTGTTCTTTATACATGACATCCGGCTTTATCTGAGGCACATGGGAGCATCAAGTCACCAAAAATAAGAAAGGGGAAACGGGCGTAAAAGCTGGCGTGTACATATCAGGAGTGCAGTTTCATCTAACAAGGACGACTTGCTATCGTTGCAACCTTTTCTTTTTTTTTCTTTTCTTTACTTCATCTATACCTTCATAACTTACATCCGCATTTTTTCCAGGCGGTTTTGGAGGTTCCAGCGCAGGTTTTGGAGTACAAGCACAGGCTCAGCCGCAGTCCGGATTTGGTGGTTCATCCTTTGGAGGTTCGTCTTGGATCCCATAGTCTCTCTCTCTTTCCAGAGTGACACACACAACCCAGCATCATCAGCAGGACAGTACCAGTAATATCTTCAGGAGATGGATATACTAACCGCATCGTTTGCGTGTTTGTTTATTAATTACTTTTAGCCGCCCCAACTTCAACTGCCGGTGGATTTGGAGGATTTGGAGGTAAGGACTCGTTGTTGGTGCAAAGCATATGTGATTATGTGATTGAACAACGCGAAGACAACCAACTAATGATTTCTCAATACTCGTCGTCTTTGGTGCATTTAGCAGGTTCTACAGCAACTGGAGGTTTCGGAGCTAACACTGGATTCGGCGCAAAGCCTGCGACAACAGGATTCGGAGCGCAGCCCTCAGCCGGCTTCGGTGCCGGTGCCAATCCTGGCTTTGGAGGTGGTAAGTGTTTACAAGTTTGAAGGCATTGGCTATGAACACTAGGATTTGAATGATGATAGGTGATAAGATTACTAACATGTGCCTATTTTTGTGTCAACTTGTATATAGCGGCGACAAACACCTTTGGAGGTGGAGCGGGAATGTTGGGCGGTGGATTGAACGCCAACCAGGCTGCGTCTGGCACAGCCAACCCCCCTTTCAGCCCATATGTCGAAAAGGATCTCAGCTCAGGACAAAACAGTCACTACCAGAGTATCACAGCCATGCCCGCCTACCGCAACTATTCGTTTGAGGTAAGAAGAACAACCATATATTGACGCGTCATTTCTTATCAAAAACGTCGCAGGCAATACATTCGCCCATTGCCATTGAAACAGCGATACTGATATTATACATCTATGATAACAATAGGAGCTTCGCATGCAAGACTATCAGCAGGGACGCAAGTTCCCTGGCCAAGCAGGCGGTTTCGGTGCCGCTACCCCTGGCTTTGGACAACAGCAACAGCCAGCGGCTGGCGGATTCGGCGCCGCTTCCGCACCTGGTGCCTTTGGAGCAGGAAACACTACGTCCGCCCTTGGCGGTTTTGGAGCAGGCTCTTCAGGATTCGGAGGAGCAGCTACCTCTGGCTTTGGTGCTGGGACTGGTGCCTTCGGAGCAGCACCCGCAGCCACAAGTAAGTATTACATTTCATTTCCAAATCGCCACGACAATTTATCTGGTGCTCTTTCACATAAACTCGTATACTAATTTATTCCCCTCTGTTATCACGTATCCATTATAATAGCTGGCTTTGGAGCTGCACCCGCAGGTGGATTTGGCGCAGCATCATCTGCTTTCGGCGCTCAACCTGCCGCTGGCTTTGGAGCAGCTCAACCCACAACAGGATTCGGAGCATCGGGAGCCTTTGGTGCCGCTGCACCCAAGCCCGCAACATCAGGCTTTGGAGGTTTTGGAGCGACGGCAACTAGCCAGCCCGCCTCTGGATTTGGCAGTGGAGCATTCGGAGCTCCAGCCGCAGCGCCTTCCATGTTCGGTGGCGCCGCTGGTGGAACCACCAGCGCCTTTGGAGCACCAGCCGCAACTACAACTTCAGCATTCGGTGGATTCGGAGCAGCCACATCAACTGCCCCTGCTGCGGGTGGATTGGGATTCGGACTAGGCGGTGCTGGTGCGTTCGGAGCACCCAAGCCCGCAACCAACTCGCTCTTTGGTGCCCCCGCTGCTAGCGCCGGACCTGCCTTTGGTGGATTTGGAGCCAACCCAGGAGCTTCCGCAGGAGGAGGACTCTTCGGAGCCGCTTCATCTGGATCATCCCTTTTCCCTGCTACATCTACTGCCGGTACAGGAGGACTCTTTGGCGGTGGTGTTACCTCTGCTCCTGCATTCGGCGCTTCCTCTGCTTCTACCAGCTTGTTTGGAGCCAAGCCCGCTACAACTGGAGGACTCTTTGGCACACCCGCAGGCTCTACTGGATTTGGCGCTGCTCCTGCTTTCGGAGCCGCCCCTGCTTCTAATAGCTTTTTTGGAGCCTCTACGACTGCGGCCCCCAGCCCATTCGGCGCCAGCACTCTCGGCGGAGGATTCCTCGGCAGCTCTACCAATATGCAGGCTGCTCAGCCCGCCATGGTTGCATCTGTGAGCGGCAACATTTACGGCGACAACCCCTTGTTCCAGAGAGATACAACCACTGCCGCCGCCAAGACCCAGCCTGCCATCTTGTCGCGTGCAGAACCCGCCCATAAACTTCCCGCTTTGGTTCCCCCAGTTCGTTTCAGCCCTCGTCAGACCCAAGTCCGTCTGCGCCCTACCTCAACTGCGACTTTCTCGTCCAGCGTTGCTGGAGGCGACCCTAATGCAAGCCGCAAGAGCCTCTTGCTCTTGGACGGTATCAACGACGACTCTGCATTCGCTTCTGAGGACTACACTCCTCGCCGCAGCGTCAAGAAGCTGCAGTTGAAGCCAAGAAATGTGGAGGGCGATTTCAACTCTTCCCAGCAGTTTGACTCTCAGAGATCCGCTACTTTTAACTCACAGTTGGAAGAGAGAGCTGCCGACTCTTTGATCAGGAACCGATCCTTGAATGGCGGAAGAAATTCCGAGAACCTCACTCCCCTTGCTGGCTCCCAGAGCCAGTTGAACTCTATCCGTTACGAGAATGTTGCCGCTCCTTCACATGCGTCGGGTAGCAAGGTTGACGGAGAATACTGGATGTCACCTTCGTTGGAGGAGCTCCGCAAGTTGTCTCAGGCCGAGCTTGCCAAGGTCAAGGACTTCAAGGTTGGCGTTCCTGGAGTCGGAAGCGTCTCCTTCTTGGAGCCTGTTGATCTTACCACCGTTCCATCGTTGACCTCCATCTGTGGCAACATTGTCCAGTTCGCCCACAAGATCTGCGTTGTCTATCCCGACGAGGAGAACAAGCCAGAACGCGGCAAAGGATTGAACGTCCCTGCCTTGATCTCTCTGGAGCGCTGCTGGCCTGTCGACAGAAGCACCCGTGAGCCCATCATTGTCGACAAGAACTCTCCCGCCTTTGCCAACCACGTCAAGCGCCTCAAGAGACAATCCGAGACTGAGTTCCTCGACTTTACCGCTGATAACGGAACCTGGACTTTCAAAGTGCGCCACTTTTCCAAGTACGGCCTGAGCGACGATGAGGAAGATGATCAGGAGCATTCTGCCCAGGGTCAGGCACATACTGGACATCACGGACTCTCGAAGTCCACTGTTGCCGCTGTCGCTGGCGCCACCGCTGCAGCCGCCGTTGCCGCTGCCGCTGCCTACCGCACCTTTGGATCATCCCATAACGAACACACTCCTACCCCTCGCCTTTCCGATGCCATGGACATGGACCAGGACGAGTCTTCTGGATCTGAGACTTCCTTTCGTCGCAGCACACTCACCCGCCCTACCAAGTCAAGCGACCCTCAGCGCCAAAATGTGATGAGAGCGTCCCTGTTTGGAGACTATCCCTCGAGCCAGGAGCGCCAGACGAAGCGCGGCAGCTTTTGGTCGAGCACATCTTCAAACAACTCGGAACAGGCAGATTCGAGGGAAGAGCATGCTGACGGCCTCGGAGCCGAGGTAAGCATGGCTTGAACACACTGCACTCTCTTGGACGAGCATACCAACACAACATTCAACAACCCACCGCCAACAAGAAGGGAACTTCATTCCCTTTTCGTCCTCTCCATCCAGACCTTTTCTTCTTATGTACTTCGATTACGTCCTACTTTGCGAATAAAATGAAAAACAATTTCCACTGACAATGGTTCCTCTCTCTGCTTTCTTTTTTCCCTTCTATTATATGGCCCGTCTTGCGTTTTCGCGATGTAATCTCATCGAAAGAAGATCCGTCCATCGTTCCAGCAGGAGTATACAAACGAGACTCTGCATAATCATCCTCCACGCAAGTTTACGCGTTCATTGTACGAACAGTCGTTGCTCTTCCGCAAGGGCAACCTTCTCGCCGATGCCGGGTTGATGATGGGTCGGTCCTGCAGAGTCGGCTGGGGACCCAATGGCATGATGGCCGCTTGTGGCACGATCTGCGGATTTGAGGCCATCAAGGAGAGGTATGTCTAATTTTCATTATACGTTCAAATGCATTTTACATGGATGCATTTAGCAACAACACGTACTTACTCCACTATTTCGTTTGACGATGAAAATAGAGCTGACCGCCCCAAAGGAAAGGAAGTTGTTGACTCTCAGGAGATCTCGCCATCAGTGGTGCAGCTCTCGAAGCTTAAAGTGGTCGCCGCTGCCAAGGAGGTTGAGGTGGAGCGTCACACAAAGTCGCTCAACGCACTTCTCCAGAACACAACCATCACTCTGGATCAGAACAACGAACCCAAGGCCAGCATTGTTCAGGGAACGTCGTTTACAGCTATGATGAACAGTCTCAAGGAGCAGGAGCATAATCTCTCGACGGAAGAAGTATACGCGTGGATTCTCGGACAATCGCTGTTTGACTCTCAACCTACAGCAGCCAACATTGCAGAGATGCCCAAAGCGGCACAGGAGTCGTACGAGGCGATTGGCCGTCGTGTTCGGTGCGGCAACTGGCTGTCGCATGTCATCAAGCCAGCCTTGGAGTCTGATTTACAGAGATTGGAGCAGTCGCAGGGACAGACCATCACTGGAGATACCATCTTTACGTTGTTGGCCAACAACAAGCGCCAGAAGGCCGTCATTGCCTCTATCCAGGCTAAAGATCCTCGTCTTGCAACTCTGATTTCACAGTCTGGCCGAGGATCAAGGCCTCTCACCGGAGTGGAGGATCAATTGGCACTTTACAAGAAATCGGGTGTCGAGTCGAGCATTCCCACCGATTACTTGAAGGTGTATGCACTATTGTGCGGAGCGCTGACGGTCAACGTGGCAGCCCAAGGTGCGCCCCGCCGGTATGTGACGGATGGCCTAGATTGGAGGCGGACGTTTGGCCTTCACCTGTGGTACAGTAACACGCCAGGTGTCAACCTTGCCGAGGCCGTGAACGAATATGTTCTGTCGATGTCGGAGAACCCAGCGGTTGCCAAACCCGTGCCTTGGTACCAGAGGAACAAGGAGAACCACGACCCTGAGCACTACGACATCTTGTTCCAGTTGATGGCTCTCTTGACGATCCCATCCAAGAGTCTCGAGGACGCGCTTCATCCTCTTGGAATCTCGCCCGCAGCCCTTGACAACCGTCTCAGCTGGATCTTTTACATGGTTCTCACGCAGTCGTTGCACATCAGCGGGTTCCGTTCGACATCATCACACTCCAAAATATGCGTGGACTTTGCGTTCCAGCTGGAGAGTTTGGGCCTTTGGGAGTGGGCAGTCTTTGTGGCATTGCACCTGGAGACAGCATTGGCCCGAGAAACTGCAGTTCGCCAGATACTTGAGCGAAACGTCCAGTTGGATTATCGTAGCATTGTTGGCTTGATCGAGACCGAAGAGTTGGCGGAAGAGAGAAGGAAAGCTGAGTTTGTGACGCAGTCGCTGTTGGTCCCTGAGGAGTGGGTCTGGGCTGCCAGAGCTACTCGTGCCAAGTATGAAGGTACTCAGGCTCAGGAGGTGCAGGGCTTGTTGAAGGGAGGTGAGGTCCAGCGAGGACACAACTTGATCGTGTCAACTTTGGCTCCCGAGTATATCCTGAACGAGGATCTGAAGGCCCTGTCCAACATGCTGGCGATGGTGGACCAGAGCAAGGTCGCTGGTTGGGAGAATGGCGGAGAGATCTACCAAAGGTACTTGGATTGCTGTTCTGGCTATGAGGGCACTGTGAGCCGGTTGCGGCTGAGCAGCAAGGTCACCTACGCCAACGACCTTGTTCCAGCAGAAGATATCAAGGCGCTTCAGAAGGAGGTTGAGGTGTTGTTAGAGCGTTTGCCATTGTTGTTGAAGCACAAGGGCACAGGCGCTCATCCTTCCTTGGATGCCTGCGTCACCGAGATGGCCTCCAAGTGCACCCACCTCCTGCGCGACCTCAACGATCTGGTGAGTTGTAGCTGCTAACTGATGGATATCTGCCTTTGATTACATATGAAGCCAGGTGTTAACGCATTTATTATTTTCTTTTTTCATCAATAGTCGATTCAGCAGAGCTCGTCGTTCACAGATCTGCCATTGACGGAGGATCAAAGGATGAGTGCTATCCAGCAGTTCAGCAGCGAGCACTTTGACAACTTTTTGAAGTCTGCCGAGATGTCCGCCTACTAGACTGAACGCGGATCGACACGGATAATATGAAATGTTGCAAGGGGTTGCCTTGAGCATTTTAGGGGAAAGTGGGGATGAGTTGGTCGAACAAGGTTGCATTACCGAATAATAAAAAGCGCAACAACAATACGAACTACAAGCGATGCGATGTGCTTAGTGAAAAAGGTTGTCATTTTTATCCTTCCGCAGGATGCGGAGGAGATGCAAAGTTGCGATGTTTTCGTGTCTGAATGAAGAATAGGTTAAAACACTATGATGATGGCGGAGCAAGGGTAACAACGGGCCACCAAGAATGATACTTCCATTCAAAGACTACCTTCCTCACGGGTGCCTTGAGCACCGGTGCTGAAGCTTTTGAACCTGAAGATGGCGAGGACTTGATTTGAGCGGTCGTGAGCTTGGGTCCTGGTGAAGATGCTGCCGGTTTCCGTTTCTGGGCTTCCAGTGTTGACTTTCTGAGCTCGAGCATCCTTGCGTCTTTTTGCAGACCTGCGATTCCGATCTTGCTAGCGATGCACACCTTGATCATGTTTTTGATATCCTGGTCGCATAAAAGCCAAAAAAAAAAAAAAAAAAAAAAACAGAGGAAAAAGGTCGAGTTAGTTGTTGAAATTGTGCCAAAAGAACGTCTGATGATCTAGACCGACCAGTAGATGTTTTTGGCTTACCTTGCGCCAAGCATCTTCGCAGAGGAGGACTTCTGCTTCAGTCGCGGAGAGCATCAAGAGCTGGTCCAGGACTCGTTGAGCTTCAGAAAAGTAGTCGTTCGCGTAGTCCAAAATTGCAATCGACTAGAGGAAGAAATACAAGGTCAAGAAAACAAAAAAATATTAGCTTATAGTTTTCAAGGCGCCAACCACGAAAATGATGGAGTCATTTATCCATAAGAAAACTTACGTCGAGACCATCACAGTCGACCCGGCTCAGAAAGTTCTCAAAAGTCAGCGCCTCAGGCGATGACAACAACCTGAATGCCCGGAAGCGATGGGCAAACAATGTCTCCAAATCGTTCAATCCATGGCTCGCAATATGAGGCGGAGTCGTCGTCAAATGGCCTGCCTTGGTGAGAGAAGCCAGGACCAAGAAGACGCCTCGTGTCAACTGCATCTTGACCGATGTCAGGTACTGCCACATCAGGAGCGTCTTTTTGGGTTTGGCGTATTCGATGACTTTTCCTGCGGTTGTGGGTGTGGTGGTGGCGGTAGTGGCGGAGGCGGAGGGCTTCTTTTTCTTTTTCTTTTTCTTCTTTTGTTCTGAAGTGTCCTTGATGCCGGATTCTTCGTGGGTTTCTTTGGTGAGGATGGGGTCGATGGGTACAACGGGTTCGGGTTCTATGACTTCTGACTGGATGATGGACCTGATGCGCTGTAAATGTTGAGAATGTGCGCCTAGCACCGAATCCACGTATCTACAGGAAGAGAGGGTGCAGATGTTTAGATGCCAACGTTTCGCGATGAAGGTCACATAAGATTCTCTGTAAGACAAGAATAAAACAAAAATGGCCCTTACGCGTAAACCATGGAGTATTCAAAGGGCGAATAAAGCTCAAGTTCAGATCCAAGGAGCAACAGCCATTCCATGACCCAGAGCTTCAAATGATACACCCACGAGACAAAATAAAACGGTGCCGCCGGTTGTTCCAGAGCTCCATATTCATCATCAGTAGGCCCCAGCTGATGAATTCGCAACTCCTCGAGGACAGCATGCACATCTGCATCAAAGACTTCAGCCTGCTCCTGCAACGTCTCCCAAAGCTGCACAATCTTGCGCAAGTTCCTCCTCTGTCTCGACGTATTCTGGCCCATAATCTGCAGCGTGTCCACAAACGGTTTTGTTGCCTTCTCGACAAACATGACAACATTCGTCTGGATCCGCAACTTGTACGAAGAGATATTGTCCTCGGCCAATTCAGGAATAGACTCCAGCATCTGAAATTCCGAGGCTGGGGTCGTATTACCGGCCCCACCGAGTTTGGTCTGGAGAACGTCAAAGTTGTCAAAGATCCAGGAGACGGGCGAGACGGTTTCCTGGATGGATTCGCGGACGACGTCTTCAACTTTGCGGGAGCCCATGACAATTCTGTCCTCGTAGAGCACGGTTTGGAGGATGGAGCGCGGGAATGCTCCTGGCGCTGGTTTTTGACTTCCAAACAGTATGAAGAAGTTCTATTTTTTTTGAGGGGGGGGGGGGGGGGGGGAGGGCGGGAGGTAGAGAGTCGCGATGCGTGAGTTCTTGGTGTACTATTACCATTGCAATTGCTTTCCAGAACGATTTTTTAGAGAGAGAGAGAGAGCTTCAGAGACTTACGACCAAGTTTGCGGTGTCTGTGAAGGGGAGGGCCTTCCCGATCGACATGAGGTCCGTGCACATTTGTACAAGTTGTTCGATTGTCTACCAGACACATAACAATCAAAGTTAGCATAAGTCATTCAACCAATGCGGACAAAGTCGACCACCAGAATAACAAACGCCTCGTAGTTTACCTCGTCAAAGTTCAACAGGGCAATGGCTCTTGGAGGAGTATTGGCGACGAGCTGACGATGAATGGTATGGTCAAAGGCTCCCACGACCTCGGTTCCGAGTGCATGAGTCGCCTTGAGTCCAGAGATATGAGTCCGCATGGCTTCCAGCTGAGGGCCTGCCTGAGGGTACTGAGAGCACTTGGGCGCGATCACTTGAAACAGAGCCATATAAGAGGACTGATTAGTTGCCCCGGAGTTAGCTTCTGGGCATTAAAGCAGTAGACTGGACACAACAAAAATACGGGTGAAAAAAAGCGGTGTTTGCAAACTTGGATCGAGAAATGTGAAGATGCTTACCCTGCAGTAATCAATACGCTCCATGACACCCTTGAGAACTTCGCCAGCATCATCTCCGCAATGATCCCAAATCCACTGTGTGCCTTCAGCCTCCATCCAGTACTCGGCCTGATCCAACATTGCAATCAAAGAAGCCGTCGGGATATCCTCAAACATCGAGACGCCAAACTTGTTGGTCATGAAATCTTCTTCCTCGTAGACTTGGCCCTTTCGCATCTCGCTCCAGATCAATGAGCAGCTCTTGGCGATAGCGAGAACACAGGATTTGAGGACTGCGACGAGGAATTCTCGGGGTGGTTGTGGGGCGTCTTTGGTAGATCCTGAAGGTCCCTCGTAATCGTCGTATTCGTTGATTTCCAGGAGGCGTAGGATGTGACAGCTGGTGAATAGCGTCTGCGAGAGTGCGTGTCCTGATAACCATGTCATCTATTATTCATTCACAAATAATTGGCAAACTCTTTTGTTAGTAACAGTCGGCAACCACCAAAAAAAAAACAACGAGTGAAAAAAAGAGGCGCGCTATTACCTGTCCGATCAAGATGTTGTCAAAGATCCAGATAAACTCTGTAGGCGTCACGCGCATGTTGATGTTGAAGACGGGGCGGGATGCAATGTCGTCCATGACCATTCCTGTATCCATCTTGGGGTCCATGATCTACTCGCGAGACAGCAATTGGCGGTGATGTGTTAGTTCCGCTTGTTTTCCGAGATCTTGGTCGGGAGCTTTGCCGCCAAGTCGTCCAAGTATAAGCCGGGTTGTTGCTCGTACCACAATGGCGCACATGGCGTCGAACAAGCTGAAGGACGGCACTTGTATCAATTGACCGACCTCCATATCTATTGACAGCAATTGATGGATAGGTGTTGTTGAATAAGAAGGCTCTTGCTTCGATATTGTCTGCACTCTAGGCCTATTTCCTGAAATATGCGTGACATACCTTTGGTGGCGGTATCGAGCAAGGCTGTGACATCCTCGTACGGGTAGACAGAGCTGCTGGGGCTGAGCTTTGTCGGCATTGAGTTGAGGCGCGGGACGCCGCTTCCTGAAGTTGTACGTGGTAAAATAAAGGTCAATTGAGGGATTCTTTGTCCACAAACATTTCCTTGGACTTGAGAACAAAAAATTATATTCAAAGCTGTGGATGGTGGAGGGGTGATCTTGAATTCTCACCTTGATCCATCTTTGACAAGTCAACCTCTTCCTGATCAGTGTGAGGATTTGGAAAGGCTTTATGTGTATTGAATCTAGGAGTAGATTCCCTTGTAGGTATGTAGTTGTGTCTCGAGTGGGGTGACAATGGTCCTCGAGTTGTGGGTTGAAGATGTACTTGTGCCTGAAGAGGTGAATGACTCCCTGTTCAAAGCGTGTCCGTGTGAGTGAAAGTGGGAGGTTCAAATAGTTCGAGGACGGGTGGACAACAAGAAGAAAGGCAGACTTAGAAAATATGCACGTGAGACTGGGAATAATGACTAATGCCACAGACAGGCTGACTGTCATTAGAGGCCGCGTAAACGTGTCGGTGTGGGTTGGCTGCGTACACTCTTCCTTTGTCCCTCTGACTTTGCCGCTCTTTTTTTTCCTTCTTTATCAAACTTCTTTCTCTGTCGCTACAGAACCATCACCGTCGACAGAAACATAGAAACGTACTACGCAAGGAACAACCACCGCATACCTCATTACAACCAGGAGCAACCATAACAACACACTCAACGAACTAGACAACCAACACAAGCAAGCAAGCATCATGGTAACAGCCGACACTCATGCAGACTGCTGCCATGCATTCACTTCACCTACATACATCTCAAGGGAAATGCACACAGGAAGAAACACCCTTCAGGTTACAATGTAACTGACACAGAGCGTTCCTTCTTCACTCTGTCTGGCGTCAAAACTACATAGTACAGCGGATACGACGACTACCCCAGCTACGGCATGGGCGGATACGGCAGCTCCAGAGGAGGCGGATTCATCGAGCAGTACCGGTGCTACTCTGTCGCCATGATGCAGGGAAACGAACGTCAAAACGTCAACCATGGCGGAAAGAGTAAGCTTGGTATTCTTGGCGGACCACATAATTCTCCTTTATGATTGAACTGGGAGGGAAGGCTTTGATGGAATGATTACCATTGACGACTGCGTCTCTTTGTTCCGTGTGTGTGTCTACTAGTTATTTTGCCACAGTCTGCATTGGCAAAGCTCGGTAAGTGATTTCAGGCTCTTTTGTTGCAGAGCCACACCTTGATGAAGGTCTATCAATGAAGTCCATAATAGCTAACATATAATCACGATGTAATTATTGCGGTGCTGTAGCCTCACTCCACATCCAGTACCCTATGCTGTTTGAGCTCTCCAAGGGATCGCAGTCAACACACGCCGGTGTGCTCGAGTTTATCGCGGAGGAAGGACGTGTCTACTTGCCTCACTGGGTATGTGTCTCTCCGATAGAGCTTTGACCCCCCAAAGAAATGATTATTTGACACTTGGCTTTTTGTGCAACTCGTGTCTTCCTTCAAAACCCCTGATCTCCGTGAATGCATTCGACGTTCATTTTGTTGTATCTTAAATAGATGATGAAGACATTGGTGCTTTCAGAAGGAGACCTTGTCACGGTCAAGAGCGCCGGACTCCCTCTCGGAAGCTTTGTCAAGATCCAGCCCCAGAGCGTCGACTTTTTGGATATCAGTGACCCCAAGGCTGTGTAAGTCATGTCATCTCTTTTTGATAGGTGTTGTCACACAAGGATTGCAATCACAGGAAACTCGACTGACATCGCGTCATGATCTACTTTATTTGATAGGTTGGAGAATGCGCTTCGCAACTTTTCGACGTTGACCAAGGGTGACAACATTGAGATTTCTTACAACGACAAGATCTATGGAATTCTAGTCATGGAAATCAAGCCCCCAGGTGTTGGTATTTCGATCGTCGAAACGGATCTTGAGGTCGACTTTGCACCCCCTGTTGGATATCAAGAGCCCACCCCCGTCCCCAGAAGCAGGCCCATCATGGTGAGACTATGCGTTCCTATCAACTTGGCGGACAAATTTTGGCCAGTGTTCTCGGACGCTTTACGCCTAGGAATAGATGGCTGACTACGTAGATTTCTTTAACAAATTGGACAAATAGGAGAGCAAGCTGAGGAAGGAAGTGGAGGAGAGGATGGCGACGCCTGATAGCGCCAAGAAGATTCCCTTTGAAGGTCAAGGCCAGAGACTGACACCTGCTGGTGGAAGCAAAAAGTAAGTCAAATCTGGACAAACGACATGTCGTCAAGCGCAGGCTAAAGTTGCCTAAAACGTCGAACAATCACCAGGCCTTTTTTCCCCGGCAGGAGCGAAAGGCTGTTGTTTTGTGAAACAATAGGCTAACAGCCAATATCTTTATGCAATGCCTTTGTCTAATTAGCAAATCGACTGGAAAATCAACTCCTGTTACGGCTACACCTACAACAACAGCTAGCCCAGCACCCGCAATCAAGGGCAAGCAGGTGGATGTGTTGGACAAGGATGGATCAGAGGCACCTGCAGCGTTGAACTTGCCTGTGGGCAACCTCTACTTTGGATACAAGTATGTGCCCCGCAAGACGGATGAGGATAAGGTCAGAGAGGCAGAGGAGCAGGCCAACAAGGAGCCCGTGTTTGAGGGATCAGGCCAGACTCTTCGCCCACCACGCAAGAATGCGACGGCCAGGGGTAGTGGAGCCAATTCGCCCAGTCCGTCTGTCTCGTCCGCGACCAGTGCCTCCAGGGCTCCCACACCAGCGGCACAGGCGCCCAGCACAGAGCCCAAGCCTGACCCTGTTCCCTTCCAAGGCAAAGGCAACACCATGCGCTAAGCTTACTCTGTAGAGTCTAGGAAGTGTGGTATGAGTTGGACCATTTTTGATGTCAATACTACAGCCCTTTCGTCTGTTTCTCAAATGTGTGGATGAGCGATTATTTTTCTGCCTTTCGAAGCGGTGTGCATGAAAAAAGAGGAAACGTGCACGATCGTGTGGACCACAACGCAAAAGAAAAACAGAAACGAATAAGGGTCCACCTTTACTCCTTGCTTTTCGAGACAAAAGACTGCGGGTGTGGACCAGAACTCGATCGATGCGCCTTTTGGGAGTTTTGGGAATGGCGAGCAACGAACTTGTTGAGCCAAGTTGAGTTGAGGCGTCCGATGCGTTCAAGAAAGGCGGATAGAGCAAGGTATTTGAAGGTGGTTGTATAGATAGAGGGGATCCGACTGGGCCGAGACGTCAGAGAGACCGAGAGACAGGGGCTGACCTCATCATCATCATCATGAATGGAATTGGATGTTGGAGCGGAGTGTATAGGACTGCAGCCAAGAAGGGGCTTGAGAATGAACCTTGTTTTTTCTTGCAGAGTTGGACATTTTTTTGCGTTTTTGCCGAACAAGGAACAACAAGGGGAGAGAGGGAGAGGGAGAGGGAGAGGAGAGGGAGAAGGAAGAGGGTGAGGGAAGAGGGAGAGGGAAGAAGGTGAGGATAGGGAAATGAGGCGTGAAGAAACGCATGTCAAAGTGGCACTCTGTTCATCCAAGCAACAAGGTCCGGAACCGTGGAGTATGTAAAAAAAAACAAAAAAAAACTGTCGTGCCCAGTGGTTGGGTTTGTTTGGTATGGAGTGTGTGTGGCATGCATGACTTTTGGTGTTTTGTTGCATTAGCGAGTCCACTCCCCTCGAATATGCACTCCAAAAGAAATGAACAAAAGCTTGTTTCTTGCCTGCATACCAACCCCTACAGTATCTATATTTTTGTACCTGTGGGATGTGTCATGGCCATAAGGACAGACAATGGAAAGGAAGAAAGCAGCAGGGAAGGTGTATTGAAGAAAAGAACGACAAGAATTCGCTCACCAAGAAAACAAGAAAGCAACCGCAGGTTGTTGACTTTAAAGTTGACAACACGCAAACAAGGAGGTCAAAAAAGAAAAAAGAGAGGGGACAGGGACAGGAGGGCAAAGGGTCAAAGTTCAAAGGGAGATGTCAAAAGAAACGATAAAAAAAGAAGAGATGGAATAAGCAGAAAGTAAGGGAAAGGGAAGGTGGCCAATTGGTGCATCTCGTTGGTGCGCGAGAGCACTGTCCTGCGTTTAGTTTTGTCCACTCCATTCCTTTTTTTTTTGAGTTGGTAGACTACATGCAGAGTCTGCCTGTTAGTATGGCATGATTGACCCAACAGCGTGTTATACGAGAGAGTGTGGTCCAGGGTGTGGGGTCGTTATCAACTTTGGGACTGAGTTATTTTTTCTTTCTTTTGCGCACAAACGCATGAGCAAGGAAGCGGGAAGAAGACAGAGAGCGCGGCTGGTGTCTGTTATCTAACGTTGTAGTCATTTTTAAGGGTGTCCAGGTCATCCAGGCGGAAAAGAGGGGGTTTTTTAGTCTGTGTTGACAGTCCACCACGGTTGCTGTTGCTGTTGTGGACTAAAGAAGAGTAGTTTGGATTTCTGCAGGAATGGACTATTTCATAATGATGAACGAACGCGACTGGATGCTTACGGGTAGTCGAGATATACCAGGAGTGGCATTAGGCTGTTTTAAGAGAGAGAGAGAGAGAGAGAGGGGTAGAGAGAGAGAGTGAGAGAGAGCCAAGTGATTGAGTGAGTGAGTGAGTGAGTGACGATGGCGAGCCCGAGGGGATCGGATGAATTACAAGACCAATTAGTAGTGTGTCTGTAGACTACAGTAGATGAATGAATGTGTAGGTTGCGGCAGTTGAGAGCAATAAGCTGGAGTGTTGCCCTAGTTCAAAATAGAACTGCACCAGATGACAAGCAGCTGCCTTGATAGCGCACATTATTTGGTGGCGGGGGGTCTGTCCTTTTGGTGGTTGTGGTGGGTGTCGATGATGAAGGGAGGAAGAGAGGAAGAGAACAGGGGTGGACATGGGTCCTTGCTTGCCATCATACACTGATTGCGCCTATATGATTGATGGTAATGATGGCAATGATGGGATCAGCACACTGACTGAGAAGGGATCATCGCGCGTGCCTGTGGTAATGCCTCTAGTATTAATTATATACCTTTTCTGATAGAAAAGATCGGGCAGTTAAATAGCTCCTGCTCGGCTGCTGCTTCTCCTTCTCTTTTTCCGTCTCCGCCTTCCCTTTCTTCCTCCTTTTCTTTTTTCTCTTTTCTCTTTTCTCTTTTCTCCTTTCTCCTCCTCTTCTTCCTCCTCTCCTCCTCTTCCTCCTCTCCTCCTCTTCTCTTTGTTCTTACCTTCCCTCCCTTCTTTCCGCTCTCTCCTCCTTCCTCTCCCCTCCTCTCCACCTCCCCCTTCCTCTCCTCTTCCTCCCCTCTCCTCTCTCATTCCCTTTACCTTTCTTTCATCCATTCCTCCATTCCTCCATTCCTCCATTCCTTACCCGCACCTCGACATCGGGGCTGAGCAAAACATTCGGCGAAATTACCTTCCTCTGACTGAAACAAACCCCTGGAAAATATAACTACCACCAGCAACAATGGCCGCCGACCTAGGAGATGAACAGAAATCGCAGGATGCCTCCATCGCCACCTTCGTCTCTGCCCTGCTCTTCAATGGAGCCGTCGGTATCGCCATCTACTTTGCCTTCTCCATCATCCGCAACTGGAACAAGCGCGTCTACCAGCCCCGAACCTATCTCGTCAACGAAGAGTAAGTCCTTTTCTCTTTGTCTCCTCTGTCATTAAAATTCCTCCTTCTGAGCTGTATGCAAGACTGAGCGTGTGTGCCCAGACCACCCAGTGTAATTGCTCCACAAGGGGCACTAGGTGTCACAAAAGAACGCAGCAATATCCGTCGTCATGTCTGCCTATTTTTCTTCTCCGCGAACCCTTCAGCTTGAGACTCCCGTCATCGGACGTTGTGGTATCCGTGAGCTGGTCAAGACTAGTGTCATCGGACATAATAGTGAGCTATTACACCAAGACACGACATCAGTGTTATTAACGCTTTTCCTTTCTCTACGTCCGTCAAATAGGATACGGTCACCGGAACTTGAGGGTGGGTTACTGAAATGGATCAATGCGTCGATCAGAGTCCATGACAATCAGCTCGTCGACCGTATTGGTCTCGATGCCTACGTGTTCCTCCGCTTCCTTCGCATGTCTGCGTAAGTTACTACAACAACAACAACGGGGCATATTCATTCAATAAGGAGACGTTCTGGTTTTGTTAATCGGAGTATATTTGAACAGTATAAAGCAATGAAATGATCCTTGCTTGTACTACACACAAGACAAGAAGGATGCATCTAAATTTGCTTGATGCTTGATAATGGGGGGTCATTACACTTTTCATTTATCTCAGACAGTCAACAACTCTTAATTCAATCTAACAATCTTCGTTTGGTTCCAATGGATAATAGTATCTTGTTCTCGGGATTCACATTGATCGGAATCCCCATCCTCATCCCCTTGAACGTGATCAACGGAGTCGATTCACGGCCTGGGGAGGATGGTCAGTTACCGAACCAGACCCCCAGTCTGACACGACTCGCCATCGGTAACATTGCCGATGGTTGGCGTCTCTGGTTCCATCTCGCCTTGACTGCCCTTTTCTCAGGTAAGGTTTTCACTTTCCAAAGACACACCAAGTCCTTTGCACAGACATCATCCTCAAAATAACCAAAACAGAGACATTCCATTTCGATCATTGCCCCCTAACAAAAATGCTCCCTCGCCTTTACACCTTATAGGAGCGACGATTTACATGTTGTGGATGGAGATGCAAGAGTACACCCGTCGTCGTCACGCCTACTTGATGAGCGAAAAGCACGCCAAGACACCCCAGTCAACCACCATCCTCGTCACCGCCATCCCCAAAGGTCTCAACACCGAAAAGGCCCTCTTTGAAATCTTCAACCGTTTCCCCGGAGGCGTTCGCTCGATCTGGCTCAACAAGAACCCCAGCGAACTCATCAAACTGTGCGAGGAGCGCGACGAAATTGCCCTCAAACTGGAGGCAGCCGAGTACAATTTCGTCCAGTCTGCCTACAACCAAAAGAAGAAGAAGGATGTGGACACCAACGAACCCGTGCGCCCCATCGGCAGGACCTCGGCCGTGCCTTTTGTCGGACCCAAGGTCGATCTGATTGAATTCTACAGTCAACGGCTCTCAGAGCTCAACCGTCTGATTACCGAGGGCCGCAACGCTGGCGCCTCTTCAACCCTCAATTCGGCCTTCATCCGTTTCCACAATCAGTTTGCTGCCCACTCTGCTGTCCAAACCGTCGTCCACCCAACACCCTTCCGCATGGCACCCATGTTTGTCGAAGTCTCGCCTCTTGACGTTGTCTGGGAGCATCTCAACCTTGACACCGTCAATAAAAAAGGTCGCCACATGATTGCCACGGCCGCCGCGTCGGCGTTGATCCTCCTCTGGACCTTCCCCGTCCTGTTTGTCACCGGTATTGCAAACCTCGACGCCCTCATCAAGTTACTGCCTTTCCTCAAATTTTTGAATGATCTGCCCACTTCCATCATCGGTATCATCCAGGGTATCTTGCCCCCCTTGTTCTTGGCTATCCTCATGGCCGTGCTCCCTATTATCCTGACCGCAATGTCCAGGTTTGAAGGACACGTCCGCCAGAGCGCGATCACTTTGGCTGTCATGAAGAAGTACTACTTTTTCCTGATCGTCAACGTCCTCCTTTTGACGAGTCTCGGAAACGGTGTGATCCCAACCCTCCAGAAGCTCATCAAGCCCGCAGGCGGTAATGGAATCCAGTTCAGTCCCATGGATGTCATCACGATTCTTGCCCAGACTTTGCCCGCCGCCTCAACTTTCTTTGTCACCTACGCCCTTCTCCAAGGTCTTACTGGTCCCGCGAAGGAGCTTCTTCAGATCGCCCCTTTGGTCCTCAACTATCTGTTCACCAAGGTTCTTGCCAAGAGCCCCCGCCAGATCTGGAACGTCCAAGGCAGACTCAGCTCGGTCAACTATGGAACTCTGTTCCCTCCCCAAGTACTGATGTTCTCCATCGGCATGCTCTACTCGACTATTGCGCCTATCATCCTACCAGTCGTCGCCTTTTACTTTACCATGTTCTACTTTGTCTACCGCCACCAGTTCCTTTACGTCTACTACACACCTGTCGAAACTGGCGGTCTTGCCTTCCCCGTCGCGGTCAAGCAAACATTCACAGGAATCTTTATCTTCCAGACCACCATCTTTGGCATCTTTTTGTTGAAGCAGTCAGAGCTGGACGTCATCCCTCAGCTGGTCATCCTTCTCCTCCTGATCTTCGTCACTGCCATGTTGTTTTCCAACTTGAAGGAGGCCTTTGACCCCCTTGTCACCTTCCTCCCTGTTGCGTTGTTCTCCAAGGACTTGAAGGTCAACAGAGCTGGATATGTCACGGACGGAAGCGAGGAGAAGCCAGCTCCAGGAGAGACAAACGACGAGGAGTTGGCTGGCGACGGCGAAAGTGGACATGCTCTGGCAATGACCTACCTCCCCCGTATCAACGAGCCCACCGATGAGAAGGCTCATCTCGGAGAGAAGCAGGAATACGACGAGGCTGCTACGGTGTCTTCGCAGCTCCCTGGTGTCCCTACGCCCAACCCTTCGCTCCACGGTGCTGCCGCCTCAGGCCTTAGCCAGACTACCTCTCAGCAGCAGAAGCAAATGCAGATGCATCAGGATATGCTGCCCGAGGAGCCAGTGTCGGCCGAGGAAGCAGAGTTGCTCCGTCTTCAGGAGCAGGCCTACTGCCACCCATCGATCTACAGCCAACAGGTGCCCATCTGGCTGCCCCGTGACGAGCGCGGATTGGTCGATGAGGAGATTATTCGCTTGTCGGCTATGGGCGTTATTGTGGCGACGACGGGTGCTGACATGGACCCCGCGACGGGCAAGACCCATGTCTCTGGCATCATTTTCGCCCCTGGTGAAGAAACCCGCTACCGCCTCGAGCGCGGCATGTAAATTTTTTAGCCTTTTCTTTTTTTTTTTCCCCTTAGCTTTTACTTTTCATTTCAACTTGCACATAATATCAATAATACACTTTTTTTCTGCGCGCCAAAAACATGTTCAGTGACTTTTATGAATTTATAAAGAGACCGTATATCTATGAGGTTTACTCGGAGCGAGAAGGTGTAGGTGTAGGTTGGAGAAGGATGTCGCCGTACCAGTCGAGGCACCAGACTCTCAAATGTCCACATCCGCGCTGCTTGCCCTCCCTCTCCTTCTCCAGTTCCCTCTCCCTCTCCCTCTCCTTCTCCTTCTCCTGTGCCAGCGCCAGAGCCCGTTGTTTCTTTACTCCTGGAGCCTTTTTCTGCTTCTTCATCTTCTTGTGTCCATCGGCCACAGCCAAGGTCTCCAAAGAAGAAGCCGCCGACGACGAGAGTGCATGACATTGTTTGCCACCACCGGTGGTCGCCGACTTGTGCTCACAGCTGTATCCATACTCGAGCGCCAGGTCCAAATAAACCCCGCTCAATTGATCCTCCCAGCTGACGACCTCGACATGCCACCCACGATTGAGCGCCCGCTTGATAACAGCATAGAATCCACCGCCTCCAAACTCGCTGTCGCCGCCGTCTCCCGTGGCTAGGACGATTGTTGAGGGCTCGTGGTCGAGGAGGGTTTCGAGCATCTTGAGATGCAAGAGTTCGTCGACTCCTTGCTCGCCTTGCGATCCTCCTCCGCTTGATCCCGGACCTGTCGCTGTTGTTGCTGTTGGTGGTGAAACTGCATTCACTGTTGTAGGCAGAGCTGACCTGTCGACAGATGGCTCTGCACCATCAAAAAGACCCGTCGACCCGCCGTTGCTGTTGAGATGACTGGGAGGGAACCGTAGTTGCTTGACAGGAACAGGGACAGCACCGAGTTCGCCCTGAACAAACTTCTTGACCCGCCTCAAAATAATCGTCTTGTACTGATGCTCCATCGCCTCATCCAGTTCCTGGAACAAGGGCGAAGACCCGACAAGGACCTGTCGTGCAGCGGTTCGATTCCGTTTCAGGAGGTCGAAAAACTGGGAATAGTTGAATTTCGGTAACAAGTGGCTGCCCCTCGCCATCTTGGCCTTTGGGCCTGCGCCAGTGCCGTTGTTGTTGATGCTGGTGCCGGGTGGGAAGGATTTGGGGGCGTCATCGTTCACTGTTGTTGTTGTAGGTGTCGCCAGAGCCATCCCTTCATCAGAGGGCAAGGTCGTAGTAGAGTACGCTGGACTCTTGTTCGGCGGGGTACGGTCCTGACTGTGGCGTTGGTCCTGACCATCCTCTGGCCTGGATCGGACATATGAAGATGATGTCCCGTCCACAGAAATACCATCAGTAACTCGTTGCGTATCCAAATGCTGTCGACTCTGATAGAATCCGTGCAAGATGTTTGAGTTGTCGACAAAGATAAAGACGCGCTCGTTGCTGGGAGTGATTGGGACAGCCTTGGGTGGTGGCGGTGGTGGTGGTGACGGGGTTGGGTCAATCTTTTGCTGTTCTGTGGAAGTCGAAGTAGCAGGTGCTGATCGTGACTTGTCCTCTGGCTGAGGAAGTGCTGACGGAGAGGTAGTGATACTGGTCAGCGACTTCATGGTGCCCAGCTCCTGTTGGGTCGTCGGTGCAAGCTTGGGCCTCTCCTCAAGCTGAGGAGGTGAGAGAGTAACTGGGTCCGGTAGGTGAGACTCTGCACGGGAGAGGGCTTGATCCAGGAGACCAATTCCCCTGGGGACCAAAAATGAGTCGCGGACTCGCAACGCCAAAAGTCGCTTGCTCTCCGCACTTTTACTTGAGTCCTCGCTCAAATAAGATGTTGGTCTCGTTGAGGTCGTCGAACCAAAAGCAAAAGCAGAAAGCGAAGCAGGTGTAACATTGCACCTAGGGGTAACTCGAAACGATGATTCCTCCTCGGACGACGACGACGACGAAGACAACCGGTTGGTGTCGGTCATTGTGTCAGCAGTAGTGCTGTTGTTGTTGGTGCAATTCCTCCAAAAGTTGTTGTAATGGGATCGTGGTCTCCACTGAAACTCGGGTTCGTACCCAGGGGTCTGGTCCAGGACCAGCTCTTGCACATCCTCGCTTTGCGCCGCCTTTGGTGGCGTCACAAGTGTGATAGGCGTCGATGCTGTCGTTGTCACTGTAATACTGGGCTCGGTGCCGATGCTTGATGGGCGATTGTTGCCTAGAGTTGGCAGCTGCTGTTGGGGGTGTTTCCGTTTCTGTTCCTCCATGAACAAGGCCTTCATCTCCCTGAGGACCTTGGCTTTGACTGTGTACCATACTCGCTTTTTCTTGATAAAGGCAGTACCAGTGCTGGAGACGTTGGCGCTGACGACTGCGGCGGGTGGGGTGATTTTGTTGTTGGTTGCGGCTGATGGAGGCTGGGGAAGTGTGATAGGGTCGGGATTAGCAACTGTGAGGATGGATAAAGAATGGATGGATAAAGAATGGATGTTGAGTTGTTGGATGCTGTTATCCGTCGGCTGCCCCAGCTTCTGCTGTTGTTGCTGCTGTTGTAGCTGTCGATACTGTTGCTCTAGTTCCTTGGCCAAAAAGTCCGTTATTGTCGCACTGGTGTTGGGCGATGCCTGTGAGTTGGATGTATATTCGTGCACAACAGGACCGGGCTCCTCTGGAGAACGACCCATGACCTCCTCTTTGTGGTCAGACTCTGACGAGACGCACCCGCCACACGAGGAACTCGAAGGCTCGTCAATAGGGAGTTTTCTGGTTGCCTTCTTCTTGAGTCGTCGCCTGTTTATCGTCAAGGTGTCCTCATCCTCGTCTTTGTCCTCGTCGTCCTCGGCATCTTCTAGAGGATCACGGTCATGACTTGGTATCGTCTGCGTCAACGGTGACAGCGCGAGTGTTGGGGAGGAAGAGGAGGTGCGGTTGAGAGTGTCCTGGCGTGAAAGAGAGTCGGCGGAAGCAAAGGAGTTGTAGGCCTTGTGTGCTTGGAGATATCGCATCACCAAGGACAAGTCACCCAGTTGGCTCGTTGTACTAGCAGAGGTGCTGGTGCTAGGGGTTTCTGAAGAAATGTCGTCGGGGGAGTCACCCCAAGTGGGTGCGATCATACTAGAAGGATCGTCTTCAGTAGGTGATGATGATGGAGGTGCTGCGGATGTTGCTGGTGTTGCTGGCTGTGGTGGTGGTGGTGCAACTGTGCCTGGCGTTGCCAGCGATGTTCGTTCAAGTTGGAGGAATGAGAGTAGGACGTCAAAGTTTCCCAGCGAGTCGCTGTTGTTGGTTGGTGTTGTCGGTGTGGTCCTGTTAGTGTTGGAGCAGCTATTGTTGGGGTGGTTGGTTATGCGAGTGTGAAGGACAGGTGGCTGCTGTTGAGGTGGCGGTGGCTCCCATGGCAACGTCATGGTGTAATTCTTGTAAGTCTGTGCGGGCTGTGCGAGTCAGCAGTGACGATGAGAATGTGCTGCAGTAGTAGTAGTAGTGGTAATCGAGGTGGGCAAGAACACTAGGAAAAGTAGAGCGGGAGTGTGCGAGTAGGGGGTTATTTGGTGTGGAAGAGGAAGAGGAGGAGGAGGAGGAGAAGGAAGGTGATTGTGAATGGGTAAGAGTGAGCGAGGAATGAAGGCTGAAGAAGAAAGATCAATCAGGCAGACTTGAAGGTGGTTGCCACCAAGTGAATCTGTGTTGAAGAGTACAGCGGAAAAGGGAAGAGAAGGACAGTCATGTGTTGTGGGAGATAGAAGGCACTTTGTGATTTATTCCATTCCTCTACTTCCCTTTTTGAGAATCCATATACAACGCCAAGAACAGAGTCGGGACACCGAATTATGAAGAAAGGAACGAGGGAAAGTAAAAAGACGCAAAGGTAAAAGAGGCTTGAACGAAAAAGAAAAAAAAAAAGGAACGAGAAAAAAAAAGAGGCAGATTGGGTATGAAGGCGAAGGTGGTGGCAAGGATAAATAAAGAGGCAATAGTTGATAATAGGTTGGATAAAGAAGAAGGACAAAGACAAGATAACAAGAACAACAAACAGCAAACTACTACAGCATCCCCGACTCGGCCATCATGCGCGCAATCTTCTCATCCCCTCGCTCACTATGTGTCCACAAGAAATCAGACCGAGATAATAATTAGTATTCAAGCGAATTCGATCCTGTACATCCAACTCACCAGAAACAAGAAAGACTCAAAGGCTTACCGAGGCTCGAGAGCAAGACTCATCTCGTGGAGGTCCTGGACATGCTTAGCACCATCCAGACCACGACGTATGTACTGCTGGATCTCAGGAACAGTCGTCAAACAGTAAGGAACAGATTGGTACTGCTGGATCTCGCGAATAACCTCGGCCGTCTTGATGCGCTTGTTAAAGTTGATGAGGTGGTTCGACTGCTTCATCGCATCCTTGTTGCCGTCGTAAATCATCACAAGATCTGTCAGATACATGCCGACAAAGGGCACACAGGGTGGGTTGGCCGAATGAAGTTCCTCGCGGTAATCGACCCAGTTCTTGTTAACGCTCATCAGCTGCTGCAACTCCATGAACGTGGTCATCGTCTTGGCTGGCACTTGTTCCCATGTACGCTTCAATCGGTGCACAGGCGACTGTAATAATGCAGCCACCGTGTTTGAAAGCATACTAAAGTCATTCATCTGACGCAAACGCTATTTTTTGTGGGGTAAAGTTAAGAAAAAGTTAGTTAGTCAAATGTACATGACATATTTCAATAATGGTATAAGCAAGAATGTGAAAAGAAAAAATACCTCGGCGATGGCGACGAGGTGGCGGATGACGAGGACACGCTTCTTGAGCTCCTTCTCACTAAGGACGAGCTCGTTGATCCAGTTGGCATACAAGTTACTGGTCTCGATCATCTTCTTGATGTTGACAGCCTTGGCCGCCAGCTCAGGATCTTCACTCGACCAAGCCTTGTTCAAACACTCGACAGGTCGGATCTTGTTGTAAACCGACGCCTCCATAATCGTCAACTGACGAGCAAACTCGAGCGGGTCCAGTTCCAAAAACTTGATCTTCTTCAGGTTGCGAGGTGTGATCGGTTGAGGCGCCTGTGTCGTTAGGTTGAGGACCAGTTTGCGGAAGGAGCTGTCGGATGCCTGGCGCTTTTCGACCGTCTTGGCAAGCTGCAGCGCTGCAAACCGCATCGTTTCCATCATGGCGGGCGATTCCGCAAAGTCCTTGATCATCCTCAATGCTTCCCGATCGTCCTCCTCGTCCTCCAAGTAAAAGGTCTCTAGCCACGACTTCATAATGTTGAAAACGCGCAGGCGGATAGGCGTCAGCTTCTTTTCCGTCCAGATCTCGAGCTCTTCAGCGTCCAGTCCCATGGGAGCTTGGATGGTGAAACGTAGGAAGAGAAGTGTGAACAGCTCCTTCGTGTTGGTGAAGGATCGGTAGGTCAACAAGAAAGTCGCAACAAAGGTCGCATCGAATCCATCGTGCAGGGTCAAACGCTCGATCAAGGCTGGGAGGGTGCCTCCCTTGACCTGACCATCACCGTTCATAACAAGGTCATCCGTCTGGTAGTCATAGTCCAAGAACCACTGTTGGGTCGTGGCACGGATCGGAGCCTCATCACCAAGAAGCTTCTTGACCTTTTCGCCGCGGTTGTCAAATCGGCCAGGCGAGCTGCTGTTGGCAAAGGCGCCGCCGTTCGCCTTGCCGTCTACTGAAGGATCTCCTGTAGGGAATGGATAACCGGCCTGAGTGCTGCGTCCACTGTACTCCGTGCTTCCAGGTGTCTGTTGTCCAGTACTGCTGTGGTGACCAGAAATAACAGAGGGTTGGGAGTCGGAGCGGTTACGCTGAACAACCATGTCTTGTGGAGGACGTCCGCCGGTGGAACGAGGCTTCAGGTCAGGCTCAATGTCGGAATCGTTGTCGTGGTCGTAGGCACTCTCAGAGTTACTGGTCATCAACGTTCCGTTCGAGTAGCTGTCCGACTGAGTATTGGTGTTGATGGGTTGGTTGGTGTCTGCAGTCTCCTTTTCCTGAACCAAAACTCGTGTTGTCTGGACAAGACTCTCGACCGCCTTCCCTGTTGACAGTGTCGTGCTAAGAGCCAGTTCCAGAGTTTGGCCCACTGCCAAAAGATCCGTTGCAGACTGAATGGCCATGACAAGGGAAGCAATGCCACCATGGAGGACCTGTTTCGCCACCTTGACGTCCGAAAAGTATCTGTCGGGGATGTTGGGTTGCTCGGTCAGCGCGGTAGAGCTGAATTCCGTGACCAGGGACAAAAGAGAACCTAATTGGGTGATGGTCTGTCGGGCTTGGGTCACCAATTGGGCAGACTGTGTCGCGTTCATTACAGGTTGGGAAGCCGAGGCTCCGTTGGGTTGGTTATTCTTGCCGGCCGGCTGAGGATGGTCGATGAGTTTCTCGATCTGCGCGGTTAGGGTATTGACGGCTTTGGACGCGCTCTTGGAATAGTAGTCCAGTTGGCTGAAAATGCTCTGGGTACTCATCTGTGAACCAAAAACCTTCCGTTCCGACGAGGCCAGGATAGGAGGCTCAGCCTTGAGAGATCCGTTTGAAAGAGCCTTTTGGAGAGATTGAGGGGTGTCGGTGTTGGCACCGAGGGGGCTTTTGACATTGGTAACCAGGCGCGCATCGACTTGGTGGACCTCGATATTGGCGGCAATGGCATTAGAGACATAGTTTTGAGCGGCAGTTCCGACCTCACGAGCGTCCGCTTGCAGCTTGATCACGGCATCTGATCCAGTCCAGACGCCCGAAGCCATCTTGGCAGAGAGAACCAACTTTGAGAGAGCGGCCATAATCTGGCGATGGTGCATCTTGAGACCACGGTGCTGGCGCATGATGACAGCGTCCTTGTCAACCGTTCCAGAGGCGTAAAGCATAACACGGATAGCCTCGACTACTATGGATGACTGAATCAGGTAGTATGGCTTGTATCCGTTGTCGGCCGAGTTCAAAAGGTTCTGAACAGCAGCGGCGGTATGTTCAGCCAGAGATTCCCAAGAAGGTTCAGGATCAAAGGGGTTTGGCAGGAGAGGTAATGGTGGAAGACCGTCGACTGCATCTGGTTGTGTTCCTGGTGCACCAGAGGGCTTTCTAACGACAGCAAAAGACTATTGCGAATGGAAATGTTAGGTAACCACTCACTTTTTATCGTAGGAAAGAAAAGAGTACAGATGTTCAAAAAGTACCTTGCTCTCGCCTCCTTGCTCTTCACCATGGTTGACATGTTCGGCTTCATTGTTGGTGGTATCGTTCGCCTGTGAGAGTTCGGAACGGTTGTCGGTGTCGCCTTGTTTGCTGAACGAATCCGGTCCATTGTCAGTCTCATCGTCTTCTGCCTCAGAGTTGTACCAACCATTGCCGTTTGAGGTCGACTGACGTGCCGACCAGTCTATGAACAGTCAAGAAATAGGGCGCAACGAAGGCGAGCACGTTCCACCGGTTAGTTTGTTTGTTGCTTTGTTGTTTTGTGGACGAGTCCTTCCTTGTACGTCGGCAAGTGTATGTAAACCTGTTGTGTATTTGATGTGTATGGGTGGGTGCATGTGCTTTGTTGGAGAAAAAGTAAAGCGTCGGTTGGGTGGGGAAGAGGCCTGTGAGAAACAACATAGTTGTTATGCAAGCTTAGCCAAGAAAACGCACAATCCAAACTTGCCTGTTCGACTGTGGCTAGCGGTTTCGGCGGTATCGTTTTCGCTCGCCTGGGCGTCCTGCTCGGGAATGGTCCAGCTTGACTCTTGTGTCCTCTGGTTGTAATAAAAGACCTGTCCATCTGGCGTGGTCTGTGGCAGCCAAAGATCGTCGGCACTCTAAAAAGAAAGGAGGAGTATTGTTAGAAAAACCATGCTGGGTGGACATGCAGCGATCGACCGCCCCCTTCCTTTCCCCTCATCCTCTGCTTCCATTGAGAGAGGTTTGTCTCAATTGTTTTTGGGTTCAATCGAAAGATATTTTCAGCATTAAGAGTAACAAAAGACCCCCCCCTAGCTCATGTACTGTACTCTCTCTTTCCTCCGACGAAATATACACCAGCCAAACAAGAACAAAAAAAAGTCAGGCGAGAACGTGAACCAATTGAAAAGCAAACTTACATCAAGGTCGTCGCCCTCGACATATTCATCGCCCTCCTCGCTGTCAAGGTCGCTTTCGTCGAGCACTTCGACATAGTTGGATGGGAACCAACCCTGGCGACCGTCGATAAGTCCAGCCCACCAGCCCGAATCGAGTTGAGCAAGGACCTGGATCACGTCGTCTCGCTGGAAGGTCAAGTTGGTCGGGTCTTCAGAGTGAAAGTCGTACATGGCCCTGACCAAGACCTGCACATCGATACCCTCGGACACCATATCTGGTTATGCTGTAATTGGGTTGTTCAGGGAGAAGCGAGGTGTTGTTCGATTGTTCTCGCCGACTTTTTAAGAAAGGTGTGAGATGGAGGGAGATGTGTCCGGGTACAGGGTGTCCTGTGTGGAGGCGAGGCGGCGATGTGGAGCGGAGCGGAGTGAAACCTGTGAATAAATAAGTAATAAATGTCCGGGTCCAGTTGATGTCAGCCAGGCCCAAGTATCGAGGAAGGGGAAATGGTTGATTCCAGGAAAGAGGGATGACGAAAAAAAGGAAATCAGGGTAAAGGATAAGAACGATGGCAGAGGATAAAAAAGAAGGTTTTTCTCTTTTTGTTGGAGGGATTGAGTTGTGTGGAGAAGGAGAGGGACAAGAAAAAAAAGGCGTGAAATAAACTGATGGGGGACAAATAAATAATAACGAAAAAACGGCCGCAAGGAGAGATTCGACGGAATGAGTGAGTATAACAGGACAAGATAGGTTGGTCACACTTCAAGGGGGTGGTGGAGAAATGAACAAGGGGAAGGAGAGATGATGGAGAGAAAGAGGAGATGGATAAGTGTGAAGGTAAAGAAAGAATACAAGAGAGATAGGGAAGAGAAAGGGAGAAAGAGTGTGCAGAAAAGAAAGATGGAAAAGAACGAATAGAAAAAGTAAAAAGAAAACCGACCAACAACAGGACGGTAGAGACCAAGGGGGACAAAGGGGGATAGGCACTATTGTTCTTGGTGCTTTTTTTTCTTTTTGTTTTTTTGTTTGTTTGTTTGTTCGTTGATGTTGAGGTTGGTTGGCGACTGGCTTCCTCGATGAAGAACTTGAATTGGTCCCCTCCTCTTTCACTCTGTAGAATCTTTGCCGGCAAAAAGACGAGTCAGCAGAAGCACACTTCAAGGTTGAAAGATGAAAAAAAAGGAAGAGCAAAAAGTGGAGTCAAAAGTTGTCTAAATGGCAATTGAAGGAGAGGAGAGAGACGACGAGAGAAGGTATCTCCCCCATGGTACCGTTGCACCAGTCGCCCTCTTCCTCTTGGCCTGCTTGTATGATAGAAAATCAAAATCAAATACAAAAGAGGTACGCATAGTGTGAGCATATGCACAATAGTCTACAAGCATGTCATACCAAAGGAGGATGGCTTCAAAGGTGAGCCCATGATGTCCAGAAGGCTTTTTCTATGTGTAGACTATCCCTTCAACCTTCAAAGAAGGTCGAATTTTTTTTTTCGGTACCGGGCGACAGCGCTTTTCTGTCTTTCTAAAGAAGAAGAAGAAGAAGAAGAAGAAGAGGCCGAAGACCCTTTCTTATTTTTCAGGCACCATCAGCTCAATTTTAGCTGAGACAAATTAACTTTGTCACATGACTGGTTTGAATGGATAGATACGTAGAGGTATGCCAGTATGTAGCATGTGCTTCATACCCTGCCTCCACTTCCTTTCCCCACTGTACCTTTCCTCTTTGCCCCATTTTTTTTCTTCCATTCCGCGCTAGGACTGGACAAGAGACAAAGAAAAGGAGAGCGTGAAAGTGTGTGAAGAAGACTGAGAGCACAAGAGTTCAATTTTTTCTTAGTAGTAAAACCTTGTCGCCTTATTTCTTTCTTTCTTTTTTCCTTTTCTTATCTCCTACTCCTTCCTCTCACCCTCTCTTCTCACCCAACAACAGCACCAGCCAACATGACCTACCCTCTCTTCTGCATGGGCAACCCCCTCCTCGACATCCAGGTCAAGGCCAACGACGAGCTCCTCTCCAGGTAACTATAAAAAAAACAAGTTTCCCGCATCATGATCTGATCAGTTCCCACGAAAAAACACAATCTTCAGACACTCGATCGTTCTCGAACCATGAACCATGAACTATGAACTGACCGACTCGGACCAACCGACGGAGAGTTTAAAATGAAACATATAGCTCGTGAGTGCTAACCATGGAGCATCATTTTTCATACTTGAATAGATACAACTTGAAGTCGAACGATGCTATCCTCGCTGACGAGTCCCACATGTCGTTGTAAGTGATCCGTTTGACACCTTCTCAAACAAGCTGGATCTCAGGGGCAGAAGACATAAGCAGGAACCACACAGGAGAAACGAAGATTGTGAACCGATTCAACAACCTGGGCAAGGAGCAATGATACTACAATACAGCGCTATCAACACCAACTCTCCCTCCACACAACTCTCCAAGGACACAACGATCTGGGAAACCCCATGCTTAGAAGGCAACAATTCGGCGCTATCAACGCCAAATCCATCGCACATGTGTCAGCGTTGTTAGCGCGATTCTCTCAACTGCACTTAACTGATCACGTTTCTCTCTGACTGTTACTAATCGACAAAAAAACCACCCAATTGATAGGTACGAGGAGATCATCGGCTTCCCCGATGTTGTCTACGTTGCCGGAGGTGCTTCCCAGAACACCGCCCGTGGTGCCCAGCGCTTGTTGCCCCCCAAGTCTGTTGTCTACGTCGGAGCCACCGCCGATGACAAGTTCAGCGCCCAGTTGGTCGCTGCCGCCAAGGCCGACGGTCTCACCACCGAGTACGTCCACATTCACGGCGGTATCCCCACTGGCACCTGCGCTGCCTTGATCTCTGGCCACGACCGCTCCCTCGTCACCAAGCTCTCTGCCGCCGAGAAGCTCACCGTCGACCACATCAAGACCGACCACACCTGGAACTTGGTCAAGGGCGCCAAGGTCTACTACATCGAGGGTTACTTCTTGACCGTCACCCCCGAGGGTATCCTCGAGATCGCCAAGCATGCTGCTGCCGAGAACAAGACCTTCACCATGAACCTCTCTGCTCCCTTCATCCCCCAGTTCTTCACCAAGGTCTTGGATGAGGTCATGCCCTACATGGATGTTGTCTTTGGTAACGAGGGTGAGGCCGAAGCCTATGCCCTTGCCCACAACTTGCCCGACCCCAAGGATGTCAAGGCTGTTGCCACCTACATTGCCAAGCTCCCCAAGGCCAACACCCAGCGCGAGCGTCTTGTTGTCTTCACCCAGGGAGTCAACAACACCATTGTCGCCAAGGCTGATGGCTCGATCCAGGAGTACCCCATTATTACCATCCCTGAGAACGAGATTGTTGACTGCAACGGAGCTGGAGATGCTTTCTGCGGCGGTTTCGTTGCCAAGCTCGTCCAGGGTGAGGACATTGCTGCCTCGATCGCCAAGGGCCACTACCTCGCCCACGCTGTCATCCAGCAGGTCGGCCCCACCTACCCCGCCCACATCAAGCAGGATTAGAGTCTTGTCTTCTATTGTTGTTCTCTAGAAAATAAATATAAAAATCTTATCATTATTGGGGTAATCACACGCACTCACCCAATTATGGTCCGCACATGCCAGAGCAATCTGACCTGCAGTGGACCGAATGACAGTCACTTTTCTTTTATTCTTATTGCTGTTGCCGCCAACCTCGTCGTCCTCATTAACCGCCACCACATTCTACGGAGAGCCAGGAATCAGGATCTTCGGTAGTGCAGGGCGTCTGAAGGAGAAAAGGGATCGACTCGGGTAACAACACTCTGGACACAACAACAATACAGCCAAAGCACACTCACTTGGTGCCATCAGTGACATCACACCCTGGGATCACCAATCGTCCCCCCATTCGTAACAACAGACTCAACTACTTGGGGCAACCTTAAGACAACCTACAAAAGGAACAGCCAGACTATCCTCACCGCGCATACACACGACACGGCACACGGCACACGATGGCACAGATCAATTACTCTCGCGATCCTCGGCTCAAGCCTGCCCCTGTCGTTGTTCTGGTGGATTCTGACGACGAGGACAACGCGCCTGTGCTTAGGAAATCTGTTACCTCGAACGAGGTCATCAATATCGACTCCCAGAGCGACACCGACGATGATGGAGTTAGTTTCGCACCAGGAGAAGTTTACAAGCCGAAAGAAGAGGCCGAGTCGGGCGGATATGTCAATACAGAGGATCACGAGGATCAGGAGATTATGAATATGGACGAGTCTTACGACTTTGGTGAGGACGTCATGCTGGACGACGACTTTGAGGAGGATATGATGCCAGACGAAGGTGACGAAGGACGCGAGCAGGAATATGAATACGAGGCTGATTATCTTTTGGGTGGCTCCATGGAGGTATACATTCTGCACGTGAAATGGGGTTACATGGTATATGTGTCACCATCGTCTTACGCGCCTTCCGCAATTCCATCTCACCTAACCAAGCTTGAAATTGGTCGCCCGTCTTCGAAAAAAATATTATAGGTGTCACAGGATACGACAAGAGTAGCTCCGAAGAGTATAGACTATATTGACCTCATGAACAAGTCATACCATGAATCCAAGAGCCGGAACTTGGTAAGATCCTGAGGTTGCCTCATTTGCGTACGTGAATTTCGAACCGAAAGACAACAACTTCAAAGCTGGTCATAACCATTCTTATCCTCTCTTTTCACTCATAGTCCTATCAATATCGTCTGGAAAACAGGAGTACCCAAGAGGAATTCGGCCCGAATGCACCTAAGCGGGTTCGAATGGAGGTGCCGGATGATGTCACAAGCGTGGAGATGGAGCGAATAGTCAGTCAAGTAGCCATGTACACAAACAGAGGAAAGTCAGTGGACTGGACAGCTGTGGCAAGGTATGGTTAGTCCTGCGATATTGCACTCACTGGAGTTGTTCCTGGGCATATGAATTACGGATTCTAAAAACTAGCGCTAATTATTTTCAGGATATACTCAGTGACGTGTTTCTATACACGGGCTACAGGCGGCACGAGACGGCTTATCAGGAGGCATTTGAAACAGCCATTAGACTGTATCCCATGACGCCTCGGCAAGCCATTCCAAGCTGGGTACCGATCCAGAGCAAGGTGTCCGTGCGGTCACTTTTGGGGCTGCGAGAGCTTGGTCATCTCAGGGTACCTCTCATCAAGGTTTGTTGTCACCGGTGGTTTAACCTCGTTCATGTTTACAGACAAGTTCCCCGGTCATAAATTTGTTTGACTAACATGTGTACCTACTTTCCATTATACAGGATCATCTGCTACTTCACACTACAAGAGCATATCGGCCGGTCACTAGCTTCAACTTTTCCAGTGGGAGTGTCGTGGACATGGCCCTGAAACCCTCAACGTGAGTTTTCTTTTTTCTTTTTTTTTTTTTGGTGCGCTGACAACTTTTGGAAAGTCTTTCAAAATCACTTGGTATGGGGATATTAACTAGGCTTGTCATTGATCTGACATCTATCAGTATGAAGCTGGCGATTGCGAATGTGGCGACTCAGGACAGTTACAACAGGAAAGGAAACCTGTTTCACTGCGATCTTAACAATGGGATCTCAAAGAAGCTTGAGGGACACACGCGATTCGATCAACGGTTCAATCAAGGTATGCGTCTTATTTTAGGTGTGCCATGGACATTTACTTGCCTTGTTCATATTTCCATCACGACGCGTGTTCTACCCATTGCAATCGAACTTTCTCGTATTTTCAACGTTGTAGAGATGGAGGCTACTGTCAACGACATCAAGCTGTCCAATTCAGAAAGGTTTTTTATCTCAGGATCTGATGATCACAAGACCATGGTGAGCATTTGACGGCTTTCAGATGTCTTCTAAGGTTACAATATCCTCTCTGATAAAACCAGCTCTAACGCCAGCCTCAAAACTTGCTCATCCATAGATCTGGCACGCGGAGACTGGTGCCCTGATGAACACGATTGGTGAGCCAGATTTTGTTGCGCATGGTCCAATTGAACAATTACGATATTGTTTGGTTTATACTAAAAAGCGACACTAACAGTCAGAGTGTTATCCGGACCATTCGCGGTATTATAGGTGAACACACCTCAAGAGTGACTCGCGTGGCCATTCAGGAATATGCGAAGGATAACCAAGACGTGTTCGCTACAGGGTCAGCCGACGGGTATGTCGTTTTCTGAGGTCGCTGATAGTTAGCTTTTGCTTTCTTTGCATGCATAAGTAAGCGCATGATAATGAATCCCACCTCTCTCGCTTATATATCCCCGCCAATAGGACGATCAAAATATATGCTCTAGACGACGAAGGTCTGATCAAGGTCGGGAATGGGACGTTGGCTCGCAGTGGTGGGAGACGGTGCATTTCGAGCATCTGCTTTGGCTTCGACCACTATTGGGACGTAGTGGCAGTAGGATTCGAGGGAGCGGACGGGCAGAAGGATGGGGCCGGCGGGAAGCAAGGCCTCATTTCTATATATGATGCCAACCAGATGCAAAAGTCTCTCGATGGTGATCTTGGCTACAGGCGTGGTGCATTCTGTGCTACGGAGAAAAGTGTGTCTTGCCTGTCATTTTCACCTTCAGGGGACCAACTGGTCTGCGGAACCTCAGGACGGGCCAGCGCGGAGGATGACGAGAAGGGAGATGAGGTGCTTCGCGTTCTAGACCTTAAAACGGCCAAGGTTGTACAGTCGGCCATCTCTGGACACGAGGACGTGAACTTGGTCGACTTCAGTCCCTGTCAGAGGTACTTGATCAGCGGGTCCAACACCAACGAGACGGCGGTCTTTGACCGCCGCCATATGAAGCGCGTGCTGCATCGACTGAAGCATTCGGAGAGGAACGATGACCAAGGCCATGCAGGCATCACCTCTGCCCTGTGGTGGCAGACCAGCTGTGGCACCAGTCAGTCGATGCTGATGACCGGCGGAGGTGACGAGACGGTCAGGCTGTGGGATCTTCGACGCGCGTCCGAAGACACGGAAATCTGGAACCTGGACACCAATATTGGCCCCATCGCGCGGATGACCACGCCCCCCTCGATGGAACATCTGATTGTAGGATCGGATACGGGAGCAGTGAATATCTACTCGATCGATGATGGCATGGTCGCCAAGTACAAGGACAAGGGTATGATCCTGCTCAACGACGAGGCTTAAACATTATTTTTTTTTGCTGGAACTCGGCCCGCTCTATCTTTCTCTATTTCTCTCGCTCTCTGTCGGTCTCTATCTGACTCTTCCTTCCTCTACACCCAACCTTCACCCCCTGTACATTTTTTTTTTCATCCTATTTGTACTTTTAGCATGTACCGTTGCAACAACAATGGCTTTTGACAATCTCTTTTTGAGCGATGTGAAAAATAATAACGTTTATCGTAGTGAAATAAAAAAAATATGCAAAATATATGTGTCAGCAAATTAAAACACAGCCTCGCCTTCTTGAGTGTCCCACATGTGGCGGTAGATACCGTCCATCTTGAGGAGCTGGTCATGGCGACCACGTTCAGCGATCTGTCCCTCCTTGAGAACAATAATCTCATCTATAGAAAGAAAACAAAATACAGACCACGTCAGCTCAGGGTCCGCAAAGCAAATGGCAAAGCGATGATAGCAAATAATAACAAAATAGGGAAGGGTACGTTACCTGCGTCGGCAATGGTTCTCAGGCGATGAGCAATAAACATACTGGTGCCTCCCTTCTCATGAAGGACAGAGCGGATGTTGGACAAAAGACTCTGCTCGGTATGGGTATCAAGAGCCGAGGTAGCCTCGTCAAAGAACATGATAGGCGAGTTCTTGAGGATGGCTCTCGACAAGGCCACACGCTGCTTCTCACCACCAGAGAGCATCAATCCGCGCTCTCCGACCTTGGTCTCGTACTGATCGGGCAGCTTCATGATGGCGTCGTGGATCTGGGCCTTCTTAGCAGCCTGGATGACCTCCTCCTCCGTGGCCGTCACGCGTCCATAGTGGATGTTACTCTTAATGGTCGTATTGAACAAGGCCGTCTCCTGCGGGACAACCCCGATCTGGGACCGCAAACTGTCCAGCTTGACGTCGCGAATGTTTTGGTTATCGATGTACACAGAACCAGACTGGGGGTCGTAGAAACGGAAGAGGAGACGCAAAAGTGTCGACTTGCCGCATCCAGAGGGCCCAACAATGGCGACCTTCTTGCCTGCAGGGACCACAAAACTGATACCCTTCAGAATAGGACGATCCGGGTGGTATCCAAAAACAACATCCTCGAAACGCAACTCTCCGCCTTTGGCAGCCAGCTTCAGGATGGGTGCATCGGGCTTATCCTGGACCTTGACATGGACCGCCTGCAGGTTGAACATGGTCTCCATATCGATCAGCGCCTGACGGAGCTCACGGTAGACAGATCCCAAAAAGTTCAGAGGCAACGACAACTGGAAGACGAGCTGGTTGATCATGACGACATCTCCGACCGTCATCGTTCCTGAAAGGACTCCCTGGGCGGCGAGGTACATCATGGCCGTCAAACTGGTCGAGAAAATCACGTTCTGTCCTGCGTTCAAAAAGGCTAGACTGGAGGCAATCTTCAAAGACGAGGTCTCGTACTTGGCCAACGCGTTATCATACTGCTTCAGCTCAAACTTTTCGTTATTGAAATACTGAATTTGGCAAATAGTGAGAATGGAAAAAGGTTAGATCTATCATGTCATGTATGCAGGGGTATAGAGGTGATCTCAACAAAGAAGGTTTGTGAATAGAGGCATACCTTGACGGATTCAAAGTTGATGAGGGATTCCACAGCAACGGTTGCGGCTTGGTTGTCGGCGGCGTTGGCCTGCTTCCTGAACTTTGTCCTCCAGGCGGTCGTCTGAACAGTGAACCAAGCATAGGCAGCCATGGTGGCGGCGGTGACAGCAGCAAAGGAGGGTCCAAATTGATACGTCAAAATACTGCAAACCATGGTAATTTCGAGGGCGGTAGGCAAAAGATGGAAGACCATAGACGAGAGAAGGAAACTGATGCCTCTGTTTGTTGTCGAGCGCGATTAAACGATTAGGGTATAAATATGGCGTTATGTTAGCAACTTTCCGCGTAATGCGTAGAATATGGTTGTAAAAATGTAAAGAGACACAACAAGGCGTACTTTGTTCCACGATCAATGGCACGGCTCAATCCACCAGTTTGCTTGGTCAGATGGAACGACATGTCCAGACGGTGCAGATGTTCAAAGACGTTGGCAGAGACACGACGGATGGCCTTTTGGGCAACAGCAGCAAAAACAGCGTTACGAAGTTCGCCGAAAATGGACGATCCAGCTCTTGCAAGACCATCTAGGAAGGATTGAGATAGGAATAAATTAGCCAAGGAATTTCGTTGTTCAGACGTTGTCTTTCCACCTTGTACTCCTAGTTCACATTCTTTTTTTTCTCTTGTGTCTCTTCTTTTCTTATTCTTCCTCTCCTTTTCTTGCGGCTCTTCTTTCCCCCTTACTTCCTCCCTTTTTCTTGAGGTTCTTCTTTTTCCGTTTTTTGTTCTTCGCCCTTCCATAACCATCCTTCTTCTTTTCCTTAAACATTCGACATAGACTTACATCCGAGAATGACGGCTCCGACGACACCAATGACAGTAGATTCGACAGGAAACTCGACATTCAGCTTGTCGATGATATCCTTGAAAAAGAAAGGTACTTGAACATTCAGAATCTTGCCCATGACCAACAATCCCAATGCAACCACAACACGGATCTTGACCCCACGGTCATTCTTGGGCCAGATGTAACTCGAGAGATCCTTAATGATTTTCCAGTCCATTTGATTTTGATCCGCGTTTGAAGCCTTTTCAGCAGCGGCCTTGACAGCAGGCGATGTTCCTGACGCGGCTGCCTGTTGAGTAAGAGGTATCTTGACAGTTTGAGCAGCTGCTCCAGATCCTGGTTTGGGAGATGCTCCAGCTCCTGATGCGGAGCTTCCTATGTTGATGCCAGATGGAGGCTCGTTGGTGTTCTTCAGACGGGGTGCTGTGGGTCGGGTAAAGAAACGCTTGTGGGTGGCATTGAACGCCGTGTCCTTGAAAAAACGGTTAACATTCCTTGCAGAAGATGACTACTTGACAGGTTGAGGCCAAAGAAAAAAAATGAGAAAAATAGGGGAGGAATATGCAACAAAGCGCATTAGTCATGCATGTTTTGTTGTTTCTCCTGTTCACATAACTCATAATTAAGGGACAGCAACAACGACGACAATGACGATAATGCGAGAGCACGCGTCTGAATATGTGCGTGAAATATGTAAGTACCTCGAGGAATTGGCCGTGTTGGGCGAGGGAGGACTTGAAGCAGATAGAGAACGTATGTCTAGGTTGGCGTGGAATTGCTGTTGTTTGGAAGCTATTGTTGGCGGGGACAGCGAGGGTCGAGGCGAGTCTCCGCAGCGGGGCCTTGACCGCTTGGTTCCAAACGGCGTGGCTGATCATCGAGAGAAGGATCCTAGTTCGGGTGTCCTTGTTGGAACCAGGGGGGACTGTATGATTGGGCGAGGGAAAGTGGAGAGGAAGGGAGAGGATGGGATTGAGTTGATGGGGAGGTGGATGTAATGATGAGTTGTTGAGTGGGGAGGAAGTGATTAGAAGAGAATGAAATGTAAAGGATAAAGGATAGATAGGTTCCGTTGGGTGTATTTGAACACCCGCTCAGTGGCAGATACAGTGCATACGGATCATCGATCAATTTCGCACATGTGCACACTGTGTCCTGTCTGTTTGACTGTAGCAAGGCATTCATAAAATGGCGCTATTAAAACAGTCACTTTTATTTTAACATGGGTGGGAGAGCCAAGGAAGGAAGAGCGGTTTGCAAAATCGCGCTCTGCTGGACTGCTCACAGAAAGAAAGAACAGGGCGGAGATGACTGAGAGACAGACTGCGCACATCATAACCTGGAGCCAATTGTTTGTTGTTTGTTGCTCTAGTTGACAACGGATACCTCTATTTGGGGGGGAGGAAGGTAATGCATCAACACAAGCACCAAGGGAAGGCAGATCTGATAAGAGGGAATAAGAAAATGGCTTAAGGCAATCTCGTTCCGTTGTTGTTATTGTCGGACCACTATTCTCCAATGACAGCGATCGTCACTGATCAACAGGATCCACCTTGTGCAACAGATATATACATTCGCCTAGGAGGGGCTAGGGTTCATGTCAACCGTAGGTTCATGTATGAACTGTGTCAGTGGGCCAATCATATATAATGATGCACCCCGACTCATCACACGCGTCGCAAAAATGAAAGACGCGACAAGTCCTGTCTCAGTCTCATACTTGCAGCATGTACGTATCGCAGTACAACCTGTTATTTATTTATTTATCTATTTTGTGGGTCTGGTGGAAGACACGAGGTTGAAAGGGTAATCATATTCGAGGGAACATTACATCAACTACGACGTACACAGTGTAAAAAAAGGGACTATCGTCGTAGCAATAGCCAACCGAAGAAGGGAGAGGGGAAGGAGAAAAAGAGACGCAAGGATTGAAGTGTGAGACAACAAAACAAAAAAAAAGGCACGCGAGGATGGCTGTGCTTACATTCGTTCTTTTCGCACTTTTTCGAATATTCATGCAGCCGAGAACGTACCTGAACAAGGCACACATTTTTATTATCTACGCGACTCACTTGCGAATTGCGCTCGACGTTTTTTTAGCACTTGAGCGCCATCAGTTGATGTCCCTTGTCGTTTTGGACAAAAGAGGGGGATTCCAATGCATTCCAACCTCAAGTCATTAGCAAAGATGAAAAAAGAAAGCAGAAAAGGGAACAAGGCAAATGAGATATTAGACCTGTTTTTTAAACCACATCCGCACCTCTTCCTCTCTCTATTTGTCTCTTTGTCACCCTATCTCCCTTCTTTGTCTTTTATTTTGCCCTCCCCCTCTTGTGGCCTTGTGGACCATTGTCCGAGGAGTGGAGTCTCTTGGGACTGAGCTCGAACCTACTGCCTTTTGTTTTTTCTTGTTCTTCCATAATTGTTTCTGTGGCCATTATTGTTGATGAACCTCTGTCAAGTCTGTCGGGTTTGAAATAAAGTGCTTCTTCGACGGTCGGTCGGTTTCATTCACATGTCGTGTTATTTGATGTGGTGAATAGACCAGCTAATGGTATAGCATAGCATGACATAAAATAAGAAGACATAAAGGCAGCATGCCAGATGCGGGTCCTCCGATTGACTTACAATTACAAGGAAAGTGTCTGTGAGTAAAGGGGGTTATGTATGACACTTTGTATTTTAAATGAGGCTGCATGTTTGTGCGCATTGAAGCTTGAAATCTGGAGACTGTAGGACATGCGCAATTGATAAGGGAAGGGACATATCTTGTTGTGTGTACGACGAGTGGGGAAAGAACAACAACGATCGCACCAGCCTTCGCCAATTCGTGGTTGCTTCTGCATGGCCACAATAATTCGTGTTTTCACAGTGTGGCGACATGATACAATACATATCCTTTTCGCGTCATGTTCATTCTCTCGTATCGAGTCAGTCCCCTCCGCCTATCACTTTCTCTTCAAGCCTTTTGTCTCTCTATTGTTTCTTTGGTCTCTCTCACGCCCACACACTCACTCTGTGAATCGGTGTGTGTATGTATTTTCTGTCCCTCTGTTGCGCGCGTTCTTTTTACTCTTTTTTGTCCCTGTCCCCCTTCTTCCCTACTTTTCCCTTGCCTTTCCCTTGCCGTCCCTTATCTTCCACTCGCTTCTCTCTGCCTCGCTCCCTCCCTCTCCCTCCTTCCCTCTCCCTCCCTTCCTTTCCGCCACCTTCCCCTTGGACAATCCTTTATGCTCTCGACAGGAACACGAAAACTTCTCTCTCCTGTCCTACCTCAGTCCCATCCACTCAATCCACTCGCCCACTCACTCATTCACTCCTTGTTTCTCGAGACTGAGTAGACAGACACACACAAACAACAATCGCAGATAGAAGTCTACTAAGGTTTTGCATGGACTCTCTACACCACTTTTCTCTTTGTTCTCTTGTTGCTGACTTCGTCTCTTGTGCACCTTTTTTTCCATTCAATCCCCTCTCCTTCTCCCATAAGAGACTATGGATCCCTTCTTTACTCTTCACTTCTTAGTAGTTCAGCCATTCATAAGTTTTTTTTCGTGACCCTTTGGACTCACCCAAAGACCACACCGTGATACACTCCTTACCAAAGAGTGGGAGTCAGTAAGAGAAGAGGAAGGCCCTATTGTGCGCCCAGCATCCGTTTTTCGTCCGTCTAGTGAAAAGGTCATCATTGTCGTCACTGAGGACAATGGTCAAGGTACTATTCTTATTCTAATTGAATATATTATATATATATAATATGTTCCGTTTAGCCACATCTGCCCAGGAAAGGGGAGGCACCCCAAAGGGGACCGTCCCCTTCTTGCCACCTTTTTTTCCCTTTCCCTGCAAAAAGCAAGAAAGAAAAAAGCTAAGGGAGAGAAAAGAGAGCGGGGGGTGGAGGTGGGGGAGAGAGAAGATTGCGAGAAAGACAGATAGTTGTGAACGAGAGAAGGGGGCAGGATTACCAAGTAAGAAGAAAGGAAAGGAGGACGAAGAGGAGGGAAGAGGAGGAGCGATTTGGGCGAGGGGTTACAATGCACGCTAGGTCAGTCCCAGGAGACAATGGCAGATAGAAGAAAAAAGTGATGTTGCTGCTGTTGTTGACAAGATGAAGGAGCTGTTGCTATTGGTGCCTGGACTGGGCTGGTCTGGATGAGTGAATAAGGATTACATGTATAATGGGACTCCCTGTCGTGCCTGTCAGTTCGATGGGGTCGTCATCTTGGTCAGAGAACATCGTGGCGGTGGCTCTGGTGGTTATTTGATGGTGCGTGTTTGTGGTGGTTCGTGGTGGTCATGGTCCTTCCGAATACAAAAAATAGGAGAGAGAGTGTGTGTGTTTGTGTGCGAGAGAAAGAGGGAGGGAGGGATGAAGAGAGGGTATTGACACTCCCTTGGAGGAAGATGTCGGGGATGAGTGAGTTCCTGTACTTTTGAGGAACATTGGAGGGAGGAGCACCAAAGGAGGACCGCATTGGATCGAATGAATGGACCCATGGAACATGCATACATACGATTCGCTTCCTTCCTTGGTTCTTTACTGTTCTTTGCTTCTGTTTTCTTTTTCTTTTACTTTTTCTCTCGCTCCTCTTTTCGTTCTCTTTTCGATTCATCCCACCTTTGGTGTTGTTCATTTTCTCCTTTCATCGTTTTCTCAATCCTCAAGTCCCCCTTTTTGCCTATCATCATCAGCTTCTTCCTTCTCCTTGTGGTCCGCGTCGTTCTCTTTTTTCCTCTGTTGACATCGTCTTCCATCCTCTCCTTTCCTCTCATCTCCTCTTCACTCTTCTCCATCATCCTCCCCTCTCCATCTGTCCTCTCTTTCTTTCTTTTTTCTATCCCTCGTTGTCTCTCCCGTCCTTTTGTTGTCTTCTCCTTCTTTACACCCGATCCTCTTCTCTTCTCTTCTCTCCTTACACGTCCTCACCCCCCGCTCACCCCTTCTTCCTCTCCTCTCACTTGTCCTCTCACCCTTCCCATCACATATCCTTTTCTTTTCTGTCGCTGACTAGTTGCCTTGCCCTTGTTGGTCATTTTGGTTTCTTCATCATCCTTGACGATACGCCATTGATTACAAGGACCCACAAAAAATCCCTGTCTGCAGTTGTCGTTAATTACCGCCCTTTTTTTATATATTGCGATCGAGGCGAGGGAGCCTGCTCTTTTCTTCCTTTTTTTTCCCTTTTCTCTCTTTATCTTCTTCCTTTGACCTTCAATCCCACCTCCATCTTCCCTTGTCATATCCCGGTTATTGTCCCTTACTCTCTTTTCTTTCTTCAACTTCAACATTCACTTCCTCTTCCTCACTTATTTGCTCTTTTATCAACGATTTAGTTACTGTCGCTATCGTTTGCCTTCCGTCCTCAATCTCTCCCTTGTATACTCCTCAACCTTCTGCCTTGAAGCTTTCAGCTTCGACAGATGGATAACATGTTTGCAGCAATATACCCCGACCACTCAAGCAATATGCTACACCCGTTTGACCTCCCTCCTTCCGCGTCCTCTCCCCCCTTTCTTTCCACAATACCATCTTCGATGGACCTCGTCAACCCTTCAGGCCCTGATCCTTTTCAGACTCCCTCTCCTGCTCAGCTGATGCCATCACCATCACCACTGGATCTCACAGCCAGTGACAATGACGCCTTCCATCAACAAGTCTTCGAGTCCATCCTCAGTCCGACACATCTCACCTCAATTCATTCCACCGCCACACCCACTCCTGAATCGCTCTTCACTCAAGCTCTTTCCCAGCCCTCATCTCTCTTCGACTTGACGATGCTCGATGTGACGACTGAGCCCGTTGCTGTCCCAGACGCGACTACAACGCGTCCTGACACGACGGTGACTGACAAGGAACGAGTCACACCTTCTACCACTGAAAAGAAGACATCATCTGCACCCAAGCCTAACATGACCAAGCGCCACAGTGTCAGTCGTCAGGCACACCAACCGCCACTTGTTACCCACCAACACCATACCCCACCACCTTTTGTGTCTCCCTTGCTTCAGCAACAACACCACTCCCATCCTCTTCACCAGCAACAGCTATTACAGCAGCAGCGACAACAGCAGCACCAGCAACTTTCAGCACACCCCTCATTCTCACACTCACATAGCCACCACCATCACCATCATAAGACTGGCTCGCTGGACTTGTCACGAACAGGACTCAAAAACTTCTTCCAACAGCCACAACCACAAACTCAGCAGCAGCCACAACAAAATGGCATGGTGGCTCATGGTCATCTAACGACAGCAGGACGTATCAACCTTCCAATGCAAGGAATCTCTAGTCTTGCCACTATTCTCGCCTCTCCAACACAACTTCCTATCAAGGAGCAGCTCGAGCAAGACCAGCTGCTAATGGAAGGGCCTTCTCAGGCCTCGCAACTACAGCAACAAGAGTCTTCGTTGGACCATGATCAGTTTTTCCCCCTACAGCACCTGTCTCTTCATTCCAATGGTAGTGCGACACTTGGTTCCGGTGGACCTCAGCGTACACAGTCTAGTTTGAAGCGCCGCCTAACCAAGGATAAACTTAGCAAACATGACCGCGAGGAAGTTTGGCCTTCAGATGTCGAGACCGTGTTCTATGAAGGTAGGCTTTGAAAAACACAGCTGTTACCATCACAACTTCATAATATATTCGCTCCAAGGCATGTTTCCAATGTTTCTAATGTTGTATACTTGTAATTTCCATTTCTCCATGGTAGCATTGGAGGTCATTCCCAAGCTTGGACGCCGCAAAGTCCTTGTCGATGGCAAACCATGTGGCCGCAACGAACTCATTGCCGATTACATTTTCAAGCGCACCAATAAGATCCGCACTCGCAAGCAAGTCTCTTCTCACATCCAAGTTCTCAAGAACACACGCAAGAGCGATACCGCCTGTAAGTTCAGCCACATTTCCCTGTGGTTTATGTCATATAGGACATTGCGGAGGAAATTCTTACTGACGACTTTATCAACATCTATTATATTGTTTATAGTCATGAAGCTGCTGATGGATAGTGGCGATGGCGAGGACGATTTGAATATCGATGTCACTGGGACCGGCTACTTTTCAACGTGCGAGAGTCCCGAGGCATCTCCAACATCGCCTACATCACCGATCGGATCGAGCCTCTTGGACCAACGACGCAGCTCGATGACGGCCATCCCATCTTTTGGCTTCAATCGCCAGCCACTTGCTCTGAGTTCGCCATGTCAGACCCGTCCAAGAAAGCATCGTCACACCCAAAGCATGTCGTCCATCTTTTCCGAGGCCCTGACAAGTCCTTTCATCTCTCTGCCAAACCGCAACCAAGGCTCGAATCACTCTGTCTACCAGCAGTGCGGCGGTACCCCGGACTCAGCCGTGTCGCTGTCCAACGATTTGCAGTGGAAGAACAGCCCGACGGCTTTCACATCTGGGTCTGGGTCAGAGGATGGCACATCTGACACGACCGCGACAGGAGCCGGTGCTTGCAGTACGTTTGGTCGTGAGGATTCGGGGATGGGAGATTTGACGGCTGAGATCTCGTACGCATTCTGGCCAAGCGTCTTTGGCCTGTTCACAGAATACATCTCGGACATGACCCCAGCCGTGCCGCAGATGCATTCTCTGGCCCGGTCGCGCGATCTTGGTCAGCAGTCGTTTGGCAGTATCAACGTCCACCAGCTACCCCAGGAAAAGTTCCCGACCCTGTACGACCTCTACCAAAAGACCATGTGCACATTTTTGTTCTTCAAGATCAAGCTGGATCTGAACCTGAACCTTAACGGCGTCTTTGGCAACACGTCGCTGTTTGATTCGACGGAGGGTCGACTGGTGGAATGCACGACATCTATTTATTCCTTTGGGAGCAAGGTCCTCGAGGCCAAGGAGCTCAAGCAAGCTGCCGTGGTCGACAACAAGTTTGTTTACAACTTTGAGTTTGTCAACCAGTTTTTTGGCGCTTTTCTCAATGGCATCCGTGGCCTGACAACCTGGGGCGAGATTGACATTGCGCTCACCAACCTCTCGGTCGTCCAGGTCTTTGAGGACAAGGACACCCGATTCGAAAACCCCGCACCGCTTCTCGTCATGGCCTTTGACTTTGAGCGCGGGCAAGGCGATGTCGAGACCTATTTTATCGCCGACGGATCGGACATGTTAGAGTCACTTGTTTGTTAGCCCCTTTTTTCATATTTTCTTTGTTCTTTTGTCTCTTTCCTGTACCATAATAAGTGTATCTACATTAGTTCATAAACATCTTTTCTTAATTCTTAATAGTTGCGGGTACGTGTTATGGTCGGTAGCTATGAGACACTAAGCTTTTTGTACATAATAATAATACAGAAGCACGCCTGACTCCTTAACATTTTTGTCTTTTCCGTCCCCTCCAAGGTGAGCAGAACAACTCGAAAAAACAGGACGGGATGCAAAAGGACAGAGTCTAGGTTTTATTAACTTTTCCATAGAAGTGCCACGGGTATGTTGTATTTACACACGGCAGTTCTGGATGGCAAACAGGAGGATGTCGCGAGCACCGATGGCCTCCAAATCGTCCATGGTCTGGGCTACGTTGTGCTTGAGGACCATGGAGCTGACGGCAACCCACTCTGGGTTCTCGAGAGGGGAGACCGTAGGAGCCTGACGACCGGGAGTGATGAGGGAGGCCTCTTTGAGGTGCTTGCGCTCGACGTTGTAGTTGATGTAGACGTACTTTTGGGCGGCGATGACTCCCTTTATCCGTCCAGCAATGGTCTGAACCAAGTCGGGGTGCGATGGCTTTTTGGATGCGATGAGCACAGCCTGTGAGGAGAGGATGGTGACGATATCGTGAAGTCCAGCAGCCTGCATCGTCTCTCCTGACTCGACCAAATCGACTATTAAACGCAGGTAAGACGGTGATTGGGAGGAATGGTTAGTGTTTAGTGTACAGAGAGGGTCCTGCGAGGACCCTTATTCCCAAGTGTTTTGTCGTTTTGAACGAGTGCAATATTGAAATATAGCCTCTTCGATCCCACTTCGTCCTGTGCGAATATGCGTCGTCCCATGATCATCCTGAGAACGAGCTACCGTGCCAGATCTACTCCCGATCTCTTGCAAAAGTGCATCCATGCATGTCGTCAATGCTGTACTTGCACCCTGACTATAGTTGATTGTTGTTCCCTGGCTGAGCTGAGTCATCCTTGGTGCTTGATGTGATAATTTTTCCCCTCACGTCGTCTCTCTTCTTAACCATTCACAATTTCGATCTCTCTCTCTCCCTCTTTAGTCTTTCTCATATACACGTCCCTCTTACATCGATCATTCATATATGCCCTGCCTCTTTATCCACCACACCTTCTCTTGTAGCCCTCTTTTCTGGCCCACCACCTCTTCCACCTCTTCCACCATACGAAAACTCAAAGAAACGATACATATAACATAATGAGACGATAAACAATAAATAATAAACAAAACAAATAGAGGACAAGAAAAGAAACAAAACAGAATGGACAAACGAACAATTGAAGACAAAGAAAAAAGAAGATCAATTGAAGACAAAGCATAAGCAAAAAGAGAGAGAGAGACGTACCAATGCCATCAGCGAGTCCGAGAGCACAAGCAGCTTCGACAGATCCACTGACAAAGACCAACTCGGTCTTCTTTTGCGCGTCGGTTCCAACAGTTCCGTTGGCAGCAGCAACCTTGGCGTCGACTTCGTCAAAGAAATTCTTGGAGATACCCTCAAAACTGGTAGCGATTCTCTTTCCGACGAGATCATCGACCGAGGCAGCACCGTTCTTGACAGGGACCTGGACACAGAGTCTGCACTTGCCAAAGCCTAGCTCAAGAATCTCTGTGACCTTGTCCTGGGCTTCCGCCTCGGCGACCATGTCCTGGCCGGTGATACCGAGGTCGACGTTACCCTCACCGACGAATTTGGCGATATCGCCAGCGGGAAGGAAGACGAGGGCGATGGGGAGGTTCTTGACGAGGGCAATGTCGAGACGGTTCTTGCGGTGGAACTGAATGTCGGCGCCCTCGAGGAGGGAGAGACAAGCGCTGTGGAGGCGGCCCTTCTTAGGGATGGCGAAGAGGAGGCGGTCGGGGAGATCCTTGATGAGTTCCATTGTGTAATCAGAGTTCGAGTTTGTCGGTTGTTGGCTGAATGAAGAAGGAAAAAGAAAAGGGAAAAGGGGTGATGTGAAGAAGCAAAGAAAGGAGAAAATGTAGCCAAAGTAGCGAAAGCGTGCGATAAAAGAAAAAGAAAAAAAATGTATGACTCGATCAAGTGTTTGTTATCATTTTTTTTATTTGTGGATCGAGCACCGTGTCAATCAGAAGAAAAATCCCCGACGAGGACCCCACAGAGAAGGGAACCCACTCTTATGAGCGCATTATCGACAATGATTGGCTGACAAGGTTCAATTCAATCCGATCCACTCTCCACTACAAAGGACGCCACGATCTTTTTGTTTTTCATTTGCTTTGACTCACACTTACAACGCTCTCTTTTTCTATTTTGATAAAAGACGCGCTGGAATGCGTGTGCACAACGTTCGTGTTCTTATTTGCCCTTTGCTTTTCTCTTGCTCTTCTTGTCGTCATTCTTACACTCAAAGATACTAAAACTAAAAAGCTCTTATCTAGTTGAACGCAAGGGGTGCAATGCCCCAATACTGCCATGTCGTGAGTTGGTGAATGGGATCCACAGTTGACTTTCCCTATTCCTTTTTGTGTCTGCTGGCTATTTTTTCTCTTCCACACAACCAAGGGTTTCAACTCTTGCCCCAACTCATAGTCAGAAGACAAAGTAATCGGTACAACATATTTACACTTTTGATCGTAGCGCTAATATTTCCTTCAAGAACACGCACCAGGGCACGTAGCCTTTTCTATCTATCTCTGAGGATCATCCAATATTCACCATGGCTGGATTTCGACATGGGTGCTGCCTTCGGGCGTATGCAGGAGGGGGTGTCCACATTTACCAACGACGAGGGCCACAAAGTGTCAATCAAGAAGATTTATCCGATGTTATAAGTCTAAAGGGACGAGTTTCTTGGTCCTATAAAGCACGCGTTTTACACCAAACATGCCTCGCTTTTGCAAATCATTAACCTCTTTCCATGTTACGGAAATAGGTAAGGAAATTCAATTTGGGACACTTCTAAACGGCACCAGGACACACATCGCAGCATCCTGTCGGAGATTAAACCCGCAGCGATTCGGCTTTCTATGGACAAGACACGCCTGTCCCAGGACCTCTCGTACGAGCTTGCAGTGACCGGTCGCGTGTGATCCCGTGAGCTAGAGACAGGAAGAGGAGGACCTGCTGCAGCTGCTTCAGGATTTGTAAGTAATCCATCATTGCCCTTTGGAGTCTCCCAAAACCCGCCTGTGTAACTCGCCACTTTCGTCTTGCCGACTCATCAATATAAACCTTCCCCCCTTCATATTTTTTGATAGTTCCAAGAAGTTTCTGCCCATCGGACTCACCTCTGTGGTGGACAATGAGGACACATATAGCCTTGGGGCTTTTGACTCTCTAGTGCCGTCTCTTTTTCCCGCATCGGATCCGGAGTACTATCTCTCATGGTCCATTTGCCCCTTACAAGGATCCCGAGAGCAGCGAGAGTTACGGAATGCGAACAAGTCTGATTGAACGATCACGAAGGATCTTCATGAGTTGGCTTTGCAGAAATCAGGGCTCCCAAGGACAGTCGCAGCACATTCCTCTACATCCAAGACAAGTGGGCATTGACGTCATTGGCAATGGATACGATCGACATGCATTTACGTGAGCAGCGCACTACCACCTCAGTCGTTTGCCTGCAGGACTTTGGTAAGCAAGTCTTCTTTCTTGCTCTATCTTTATCTCGACCAGAAACACTAACTTTACTGGTCCCGTCTATTTTGTCCGCCTCAGGATATGAACACGCTGATTATGGGTTTCTCTTTTAGTTAGGAATATATCTGTGGATGGAAATTAGAGCCGGGTACCTGCCGCGTGGTAAGAACGACACCCACTGCTTGATCCGCTGCATGGAGCTACTCAACACCGTCAGGGTAATGTCAGTGTTCTATGACAGCCACTCCACATGGGTCTCAGGTTTTTTTCCGTGACTAACCCTGTTGTTTGGCTTCTTTTCTTGCTTCTTCGTTCTCAATAGGCTCTTCTAGATGACATCCCCGTTCTTCAATACGTGCATACGCCACCTCGGCGTGTTCCAGACCATTTTCTGCCAGTAGACCTTCGACCTCAGCCAACGAACATCATTCCTTCGTCTCGACGGTTCTTTGGTTGTGTTGTAAAGGCAAGCATCAACACCTACGAGAAGTTGACATCATCGTATGGCATAACTACTCGGTTCCCTTTCTTGCACATAAACGTATTTAACCTGTTTGCAACTGCAAGGCTTATCTTCTTGCCCTTGCAACCCTCATTTGCTTGCTAAAATCTTGCGGGGGCTCTGTTGAGGTCAGGTGCAGCAATTAAGCAGCCTTTTTTAAATGTGGCTTGTCTTCGCCCCACTTTCCCGATATCGTTCACGGCGCTGCTTTCTAACGCCTCTATATGTAAAGTTGGTTTAATGCTTTGATTAGCATGGTGTGTACTTGAATGACATGGCGCTAATGATATGAAGAGTGCGTGAGGAGGTCCAACCTGAAAACGGTCGCGATGCATAACTATCGCGTGGGGGTTGCAACACCAGTCCGGCTACACCCAACGCATCTGAGGCGATGACGAGCGACAGTGTCGATCGTGCGATGCAGCAGCTTCACGCGATAACGAGGCTAGGCTGATGGCCTCTTGAACAGCTCATACATCAAATCCATTTGCTTGCACCCTAACAGCAGCGCTCCATGGAAACATCGCAACGGAAATGTTACTTCAGAAGTAGTGTTTATTGTCTAGTTGGTACTGTACTCGAAAGGTGCTCTTTCGCTTATGAAAACGGATGATGAAAACAGGGGGTGAAGGAGACGCGGCTAGTCGTTCCGCCCTGTTTAGTATTGTATTCTACATCAATGGATGATGGTCGGTGGTGTTGCTGTTGCGCTGCTACAGTTTTTTAGCATCTGTGGCTGAGGGCCAGAGGGTGCAGGTGCTGGGCGTCGATCAAGGTGACCTTGTTGGCAAAGACGGCAGAGGTGTCGTCCTCAAAGCACTTTGTTGATCACGGCATCGATGACACCGAGGTAGTGGTAGTACTGCAGATGACGTGCGGAAAGCCGCCGTGGGCCAAAGCAAGGCACAGGTGATCGTACAACGGCGGCGACAATGGGGTCTTCAGCTCAAGGCGCTGCAGCAGTGGACAGCGCGCTATTGTCAACGTGGCTGCGCTGTCATCCTAACGCGCCATGGACCTGCCTGATCCTCAGTGACTGAGCATAACAGCATTATCCACCCTGAGTGTGTCTATTGTTGTCATCAACTGTCCATGATGATGCCTAAATGATGACGGAAAAAGGGGTGTAATGGTCAGCAAAACTGTCAAAGGAGACGCACAACAGCACAATCCCTCCGCGAACCCCATACCCCAGACACGACTTGTTAGCCCTGCAAGGTGCTGCCCACTAGCTCTCACCCCCCGTGAGAAAGAGCCACCCAGTTTCCGCACAGCAGCGAATGCCACACGAGAGCCAGATCCTAGAATGGGCAGCATGAACAGCCCCAGTGCCTGCATCAGGTTTCGGTCTCCAAGAGAGCAAAAGCCGGAGGACCAGAAGCCATTCCCCTGCATTGCCACGACGAAGCTGCGAACCGCTTTTAAGGAACTACAACAACCGCCGATCATGTCCACAGACGTTAGGAGCAAGGAACTCACAAGGCCAGATCCTCCGGTCCGGAATGCGGAGCAGGGCATGCAATGAAGGTGCGATCCATGAAGGAAAGGGCCGTCATTACACAAGCAGCGCAACCTCGGCAATGCCAATGCTTTCGCAGAGGCCAGCCTTGGAAGCACCGAATCCTGGCCAAACCCGTGCCCCGAAAGGGTGGATATCAGACTTACAGGCCTCCCACGAGAGAGAAGACCCACCTCGGTACCCGTGTTTCACGCCATGCATCCGCCTTTATCTATAGCCCGCTGCCATTACCTTGAAAAGCAATACTGCCGAATGTTCTCTGCGAAAGAGGCTATGAAGGAGGAAAGAGTGGTGGTTGTTGGATTGAATGTGAAGTTGGACTGGTTATGTAGTTGGATTGGAGTGATTGGATTGGATTGGATTCGGAGAGAAGGTGAAGAAAAACGGTTACAGGACAATGGACGCCATAATTACGTCACCGAAGTGTGTAATTGTAGCGCCCCCTATAACCATAACTCGATCCATGTATTTGCTTATACACATATGGATCTAATATACTAAAATAGGAAATAACTATACTGTTGCTGGTTTTTTCGTTTGACTCCCATCCCCCTCATCCGTCGCCTTTCGCTTGACCCCCCTCTGCCTACCAGACCCCCCAGGGCGAAGACCCGGCTTGAAACTACGCTCGCTCTGCATCCAAGGATAGTTGCCGTCAGTGTCCTTGGGCTGGAGGTAGAGTGGCCGCTGTTGCTCGAGCAAGTGTCCTCGGATGGCATTACACATGTTGTGGCCGGCCATGATGTCGCGGTGCATGTACTTTTAACACTTTGAACAATACAATCGGCGGAAGTCAACTTGGCCAACGAACTCTCTGCAAGTCGGACATTTCTTGATATGTAATACTTATTGACATCAACAACGATGTAGGGAGAGCCAAAAAAAAGTCAATAAATAATGTCTCTTTAGCTGTACAGTTACTTTTATTTCCATTTATCGTTTTTATTCCAGTCTCGCCTAAAATCGGTCCTGAGCGTTAAGCGATGAAGAGACTGCTAGTCAGTCTCGGTCCTCAACTCGGCACCCAGATGGTAAAATGAACATGTTACACTGTACTGTTCATAGCGAATGAAAAGTACAGGAGAAAACAGGTTCCTTTAGTGATCCTATTAAGCTACATTTGACTCTCACTTCCTCAATTAAAAAAAGGCTGCTGGCACCTAACCTCAACAGAGCGGTAAGCGAAGAAGAAGTAGAATAACCTAGGATACTATCACAACGCGATGCGCTGGAAAGGAGTTGACAAGGCAAGCAAATGTCGTTGTAAGTGGCTGTTGGTTTGTTTACCTCAATATCATTGCGCTATGGGTCAAATGAGGCAAAAAAGGTTAAAGAGTTTTGTTCGCTTGAATACTTCTCACCTCTACGGCGCTTGACTTCCATGGCAAGTGTCTGTCGTTTCCGCAGCTAGTCGCTTCATATCCTTGAGTGCCTGGACATCATCTGCCGAGAAGAGGTCAAAGATGCTGTCGTCGATTGTCAGGGTAATCTCTATAAGGCCACCGCTGTGCTTCTTGAGGGATATGTTCATGAAATAGCTGGCAATCTCGGCGGGGTAGCTCACGACGAGGCTGATGTAGTGTCCATGAGGCAGGCAGAGCTGACTGAGCTTGACTCCTTGGCACCTGATCTTTTTTGTCTGCACCGTCCCGCGGGCGTCGATCACGTCACCCTCGTAGAGCTTCTTACAAAGCTTGGCACAAACACGGGGCAGACAATGTCGGAAGATGCAGAACCAGGGGGGAGAGTGTCGAGCTGCTACCCAGGGCGTCATCCGGTGCCAAGCCGCTGAACTGAACAACAAAGACAATGTCCGGACCCGACACGTGCTCCTTAGGGTAAAGAATAGAGGTACAAGTTGACCATCACGTTCCGATTTGTGGCTGACATGCGCATCTAGAAAGTCGGCCATGGACATCTCCAGGCTGCCGGTAGTCCGCATGAAACCAGACCATCCAACTATAGATGCCTTGCGCCGAAACATGTCGTGAGGAGATTCGGCACCATGGAACAGCATTGACGAAACTATTTTGCCATGAAATATCCGAACCATCTCGCATGGGATACTGACTTCTTATTCCTTGCCACGTGCTTTTTCTGTAGGGGAGCGCCGTAACTGGTCAACACGGTACTGGTGGGGGCCACGGCCCTCACAACATTTTTTATTTCAAGCCTCTAAACACATGGGTCGAATTGTGGATAAAGGCGGGGCGATTTACTCACTTCGGTAACGTAATTCGCCCGCCAATAGTCCTTCACATTCCCCACACCTTTCCATCATCTTCGGCACTTACTTCGTCACCTTTACCATCGCTCGATTCCTTTCACTCATCTTTTTTACCGTATCGTCCCCACTTTCCGTTTGTTTCTCACCGCTCCCTTATTGCCACTATTTCCACACCTTCATCCGTTCCCACGCTCTTTTAATCCCTTGCCTGTCTTCTTTCTTTTCCTTTGACTACACATTCTCTTTCATCCTTTCGCCTTTTTTTCTTTCGCACCTCGACTTCTCCACTCTTCTTTTCATTTGATTCTTCGCAACACCATGGCTGACAATAGCCAGAGTTTGTTGTGTATTGTTGACGGTGACCCCACCTTGAAAGCCTTCGCAGTGGACACATCATCGGAAATGACTTTTAGTCAACTGAGAAGCAAAATTCATCTCAGCAAGCCCATCTGGTTCAAGGATTTGGAAGCAGAGGATCTCACCCTTTGGAGCGTCTCGATCCCAATCACAGAAGACAACGACGACACTCCCATCCTGCTCGAACATGTCCCCAGTAGCAGCAAAAAAAGGCTCGGCCCGGCCACGCGTCTCTCAAAGGTATTCCCTGAGGAGCTGCCTGAAGTGACAGTCCTCCAACGACCTCCTCCAGGTAATGCACACGCGTTTATTGCTTTTTTGTGACTTGCTGTTTGCATCGTCGACTCTTGTCCATGCACTAACCTAAAGCACTCATCCATTTGCACTGACATAGTCCGTGCACCTGTCCCTGCCCGTCCCTCCACTCCACAGCTCAAGTCTATTCCGAAGGATCTCCTCGAGCAGGAACTGGAAGTCATTCTCAATGACATCCAGCTTCGCCCTACCACCCCCTCTGTTGATCCAATGGAAGTTAAGGCTTTCCAGAATGAAGAACTTGGACCCTTTTTCAAGAGGACTCTTCCGCATGGTGAGACAGCAAGAGACATCAAGCTGGTGATGCTGGGACTTGAGCTGGGCAAGCTGGCAAGGACGAGCGACGGCGAAACCTTGCATTCTATTGTGGAGGATGACATCGGCAAATACAGTGACCGTCGCGTAGTAGCTATGGTTGCTCCATCTGGATCAGGAAAGACTGCGACCGTAGTTGACCTCGCGAGCAAGCACTTTGTGATCTATTGTGTTTGTTGCATCCCGAGCCCCACCATCTCTCCCGGCTTCAAGGACCCGAACTTTATCACGCTTGCAGAAGACATTGAGAGCATGTACCGGGCCGTTATTCACAGGAATCAAGGGCGTTCGCAGGACGCAAAGGACATCGATTTCGAAGTCAAGGCCCTAGCAGGAGAACGCGTCAAGCTCGAATTCCTTTCACGGCTGCTCTTCCTTCAGCATCTCCTCGACAACAACCTTGCTCTAGAACCCCTGCAGTTCTTCCGTGAACAGACCACCAAAGGTGCCTTAACTACCGGTGACCTGGTCTACAAGCTGAAGGAGTACGACTACAACACAATCCAAGCCATGCTCAGCAAAGTCCAAGACAAGCTTCAGTCTATCCTTGTTTCCAAACGACTTGGACTGGTGATTGCCCTGGACGAGGCTCAAGTTGCGGTTACTGGGATCTTGTCCGAAAAGCTCATCTCACCATCCGCTTTGATCAACAGAGATGCCCTCTTCGACAGCAAAGAACCATGTGATGGTATTAATTTGGTCCACAGTAGTCCTGGCTATAGATCAAAGGCAACTATGCAAATAAAATCACAATATGTCTTATTCTCTATCTGCTTCCTACTTTCCTGTTGTTCCATTAAAAAAGAGTCTAAAACGGTGGCAACAACATACAAAACCACGACCTGCCTCTTCTCTTTGTTGCTCTTCCCTTCATTCTCCGCTCCAGCTCCATAAACCTCCAGCATCATATAAGAACTTTGTCATCATTCTCTATTTACTTTTGCCTCGCGACCAACACACGTCTTTCAAGAAGTCCATTCATTATGGAGAAGATTCCAGCTGGACGGCGCTCTTCTGGAAAGAAGGCACCATCTCCTTCCGAAATACCCCTCATAAAATCGTGGGTGTGCTCGTTCCAAGGTTGCGGACAAAGATACACGGCCCAGTCATCACTCCGTGTGCATCACAACAAAGTCCACGCCCCAAAGACCCGCCAATGTACACACACAACCAAGAACGGAGACAAGTGCTCTGAAAGGTTTCACACACTGGCGCTTCTTGATGCTCACCTCAGAGTCGCTCATTCTCACTTTGTCTGCAAGCACAAAAGCGACTCAGATAAAGTTTGTGGACACACATGCGACAGCAAGGAAGAGCACGACGACCATTTGGATGACGTGCATCGGACTTTTGCGTGCGGAAAGGGCGACTGCAAGGCAAAGTACATGACAAGACGTGTTTGTCATCAACACCAACGTAGCTGCAAAGGACAAGGCTCAGAGACTGTTGAGACAAAGCTTCCTGCATGTATCAACAAGGCTTCCAACGGTAATTACTACTATATTGCTCTGCAGAAATGTTGCGTGCTCAAATCTAACTTTCTTTTCTGTTTGTTCTTCTAGTCTGGTGCATCACGGTGATTGCTGGTGTGCAAACTCATCTGGAGAACGTTGTGTTCCTACCTAAAGCATATTTGGACAACGACGGATTCATTAAGGTACTTTATCATACATTTTAAATTTTGTTGGCTTTCAAGTAGACAAGCTTACCTCCTTGTAAATCCTTGGCATAGATCGACGGACTAAAAGTTTCTCCTGTCTTGTGGGCGGATACCAAGACCGAACTTACCTATGGTCAAAAACGCGACTACTTGAGGATTGCCGAGAGCGGATACCGTATGGCCGGGAACATACAGAAAGATCAAGGGTGTTCGATCTGTGGAGACGTCATTACTTGGAGAACTGTCGGCACTTCGCTCAGAAAACCTGGTCTTCCTGTTTTTAATCGCCACACTGTCTGCAATACATGTTTTTCCCGCCAAAGGGGAAGGGTATGCGTCGTTTTAGACGCTGAACGCAGTTTGTTCCCCCCTGTATAGGCACTAATAATTGTTTTTTTTTTTTTTTTTTTTTTTTTTGTCTCATCAGATTGCAGCAGATATCAAAGAAACATATGGAGTGGCGGATAGGAATGTTTCTGAACTTGCGAAACTTCCGGAGCTGCAGGACCTTATCAATGAACTTCTTAGTGACAGATGTTGCGCAAGCTGCGATACAAAGCTTACGAGGGACAACGCAGTCTTCAGAGTTCGCCGCTCGATTCGAGACTCTCGAGATAATCCTCTAGATCTTACAGGACGTTGCAAGACGTGCAAATGTGTTGCAGATGTCGATTTTTCGAGGCAAGTACGATCTTGGGCCTATCTAAAACGTGCAAAACGACCCGGGGATTATGAGAGCTTGGAAAAAGCCATGATGGCTTATGTCACGACCCTTGCTCGAGGATTCTGTGTCGGGTCCCCTGCCTTCGACCCTGAGGAGTTTGTTGTGCTCCGTGATGAGGCCGCGGTATCCTATTGCAGCTGTTTTTATTGCAGGAATCCGACATGTAATGAGATTGGTGCGGATGCTCGAAAGCGATCTTCGATTGACCGAACACAGTTCAAGGATGGCGTTGCTCTCAATTACAGCCATCCTGACCAAATATTAGTGGTGGCATGTCTACGATGCAATTGGTAAGTTTATTGTCTTTCATCCTTCCTGTCTTAATATCAGATATTTCTTTCATAAAGTTTCTAACCTCATTTGATAATAGCTTATTCAGTGATCGAACCATCCAGGAGCGGCGAGACTTTCTTCATGATTTGAAGACAGAGATGCCGAAAGGGACAAAATGGGCAGATGAAGTGATCGAGAGCATCGAGGAAACTGTGATAAACGGTGGATTCGATGAAGCGAGGGTGGAGCAGTGGCCCGAAGACAAGGTCCTACAGAGGAGGTACCAGAAGTTTGAGTACGGCCGGCAGGAACGCGGAAAAGCTGATCGATTGGCCTCCTGGTCGTATGAAAAGTATCGCTATTATTTGCACTTATGCAAAGGACGATCACTCGTCACCGGGATGAAAGTGACCCTGCCAAGAAAACTGGATATTGATCGCAACATCGACACTGACAAGTACGATTTCGATACCATCCTACTCATGGAGAATGAGATCAACGTGGCGAAGAAGAGTATGTCCGAGTTCAAGGACTCATCTGCATTCAGACTCTCCAAAGAGTCATTCAAGCCAAAGTGGGCGGTCAAGATCTTACGCGCTGATCTATGGAAATTGATCGAGGACACCAACGCAACGAAGGATGGGTAAGTTATAGTGTAATATGGAAACAATCGACAGACTTTCAAAAATGGTATCGCTAACAATTTTTTTTCGAGAATTAGATGGGAACAACAACTGCATGGTGTGCGATCAGAACCCCGTCCCAGCTTGGAGGTCGAAGCCGAGTCGCCTCTTCTACCGCCGTTTGTGTTACTCGAGGAGCATACCCTCCAAGGTTCTGCTCTTCCACGACAAACCATCAGCCCACTATCATCGTCTATCATAACCAGCCTGCCATCAAACGTCCCATCCAAGATATCTGTTACATCTCGTCGCAGCCAAAAATCGATCAAGGATTTTTTTCCATTGACCCCTGCTCATGGAAACTCCGCCATGCGTGCACTGCCCTTGACAGCAGAAATCAATACCCATGGTCGTCACCCACTGGTGGACATCAGCAACGACGGCAAGGACGTGGCGCAAAAAAACCCTTTGAACTCAAAGCCCTCCCTCAAGCGGCCCAAGCTCCACAAATAATCTCCATTGTCACCACTCTTCCTTGACTTTTTTTTTCTTTGTTATAGCTTACTCGACTCTGTATTACACAAATTTGCTAGCTAGGTCTTGAAAACGAAAATAAACCTCAGTAAACGTAGAAGGTCTTGGACGTTACAATATCAATTGGCGTGAGACGGCATTACACTAATGTAAGGGGACTATAAATTATAGTATCAATCTGTCTGCATGCACGCAAAAGAGAAAGATTATGACTCACTCACTTCCACTGCATTCTTCTCCCACAGCTTAAATCGCTGTGTCAACAAAAGATATTGATGAGGTTCCCTTTACAATTCGAAGTATTCGTTTTGTGGCCGAGGAACACAACAGCACCTGAGCATCGATGTCCACAGTGCTTTCACTTGTTCGTGTTGCTTTCTTCTGAACCACACTGCAGAGACTGAAAATGAATACAGTCTTTTCCCCGACTAGAGAGAAGGGGAGGGTCTTAATTAAAAAAAAAGAGCCAAATCCAATCCAAGTTCCGTCGTGGTTTCCTCACACCCTTATCCGCAACGCTGAGCAACATGCGGGCAACACTGGTGATTATTGGCACCGCACTCTCGTTGCAAGATGCCGATCATGTGTACTCGGCCATCGCCAAACCCACCAATTTCTCGAGGATTACTGAATTTCCCCGATTCGATGAAAAAGACGTTATCAAGATCCACTCGAAGCTAGTCGACATGTCAGACTGTGAAATCCCGCCCGCCAAACGCCACAAGCTAACCGGACGAGCCCGATTTTCCATTGACGTCGTCGAACGCCTTGCCACACGCTGCTCTTCTCAGGACTCGAAACAAGCTATTCTCGATGACGCTGTTGACAAGTCGATTGAGCATACAATTAATGGGCTTCGGATCGGAGTACGCACTATTCTCGAAAGCGACAAAACAAACGAGGCAGCTCGGCTTCTTAGTCGAATGGTCTTGGCCTATCATCTCCAAGATGCCAAAATTTCGTTCTCGAGCCAACTGCAGTCCGACTTTGTGGCCAAGGCGCTGTGCAGACTGCAACAACACCCTGATGGTGTTCACCTGATCATGGACGAGCCCTTGGTGGTTGAGGCGGTGGAGGAGGCGGTGGAAGAGGGACTGAAGTCTTCGGGCAAGGATCCTACGTTCATCGAGTACATGGATCAACTGAACCGGCTCATTGAAAACCTTGGTGCGAAGTCAGCCACAAAGGGGGAAGCTCTGGAGATGCTTGTTCGTCGATCGCTTCAGCGATTCAATGGTATCCCAGTGGTGGATCTTCCTTTCTTGAGAGGCCTCCCTTGCCTGCATGGTGCAGCAAGTTTCAGTTCCAGATCGACGAGATCAACACAGCCAGTGGATTTGGATACAAGGGCAGTGGCGTGACTGCCGATCTTGCCTTCCTTACTGCTTGTCCTCCGTGCAAGATGCTTGTTGCGCGATCTGGTACACGTCCGGATGGAGTCTGGTTTTTCCCTGATAAACGGTACGCCGGCTCTCTCGCGATCAAGTTTTACAGCAACGATGTGCCTCAGCTCACGCACAAGGAGAACGAGACCTCCAGCGATATTCGAGCGTGCTTCTTGATGACGGACGGTGACAAGTTGAACGCAACCTTGGCAGCCACTCGACACTCCTATGAGAATGCAGGCACCCCCTCCAACGTTAAGGGAATTTTGCGCATTCACATGGAGTTTCCGTGCGTCAAGGGAGTGAAGCCGGTCACTCACGTCAGGAAGGATCCGACGACTCGCGCTAATGATGTGATGGTGTACATCAACTGTGAGAATATAGACAGCTTTTTCGACGAGAGTATCAAAGCATATAGGAACGATATGATCAAGCTGAAGAAACTGATCAAGTATGTCTGCGGCTCATAAGGATCGTTCTGCAAATAAACGCACAACGCTCTCCACATGCCTCACTTTATTTTCTTTGTTTTCTCCACGTTCTTCGTTCTCGATTATATCGTCATGTCAGTCCTTCCCATCTTGCCCTGTTTCTCCTCATCCATCCAGCATTTCTCACCAATAGAAGAAGGGAAGAAGGGAGAAGGAGGAAAGCAACAAGCAGCTCACCACTACCACTACCACTACCACACACACGCGCACACGACACAACGCAACGCGCGCCAAAAAAAAAGGCAGAGTTAGGAGATAGGGAAGAACAGAATAAAAGAGAAAAAAAGAATGTTTGGTACTCTCAATATGGAATGCATGTGTTGTGTGAACCTATCTACGCTCGCTTCGCTTTCTCTTGCCCTCAGTCTTGAGGAGATGCAACATATTAGGTCTATCATTGCTCTCTAGTTAGTCATTCCTTGTCACTCTCTATCATCTCTGACTCTGTATGACACTACACCTAGAAACCGAGTTGGCGACTTTGTAAGTTGTATCATAGTAACAACGTCAATCATCACTGCTTCAACTCTCGTCCCCGTTCTATACTTCTCTGTCCCAGTCTTCGCCTGTTGCAAGAGGTAACCAGTTACGATAACACCTACAACTATTCTACAATCTTCTTTCTTTTATTGGTGCGCGATTTAATTATTTATTAAAATACGCAGGAGCGTGTCGGACGTACAGTCGCTAATCCACGCTTCTCTGTGTGCTGCCTATGAGTCAAAATCCCAGCCATCGAAGCTTCCCTTGCTGAATTGCAAAGCCTTTTCAGAGGTATTTCTTGCAACCACCCCGACCTTCAACAGTGCCTTTGCCTTTACATCCTTTGGTACCAGTACATAGTACCGTGCCATGCGACATGCGTTGACCGCCTGACAGAGGGAAAGCGAAAAGAAAAAAAGGTACTGTGAGTGCGATAGAGGGCTTTGGGAGGATGGAAATATGGCACGTACGTTGCAAGGGCGACGGTCGAATAGGGGAAGATCCAAGGAATAACTCCTCGAGAGAGGAAGGCAGGTTTGAGCAAAGGAGGAAAACCGACAGGATTTGGCCCGCCAAGGCAACGAGTCTATTTGTCAAACAAGGTCTGAGTGAGGCGGACGAAAGGGTTGTACAGTACGTTCATGGCAAGACAGTATTGCATTTGATGGAAAGAAAGGAGACTGCTGTAAAAAATCTTTGACCGAGATCTCGACTGACAGAGGGCTCATCAGACCCGACAGGTCGCGTTGGGGATGCGGGGGGGCTGGCTCGGTGCTCGCCACTTCATGGCACTCATACGACCCAAGTTGTGTAACTATAGGCATTCGGGCTCCTAGGGGTCCCGTCTGACACCTCCTTCCCGTGGCTGTGGCTTGGATTAGTCAGGCCTGGCACGCCGGCACGATTTGAGGAAATCTGGCGTTAAAAAAAAAAAAAAAGGAAGGGAGGGCACAGCGAAATAAAAAAGTGAAGGCACAAAAAAAATTGAAATAGAAAAGCGAGAGAGAAATGAGGAACTGACAAACACACACTTGCTCCACACCTCCGCGAGCAAAGCCGCGGGTACTATTCTAGTCATATACAAACACTCACCTTAAGAATAAATTATGCTAATACTTCCATAAGGGCAATCCGCAAGTATTGAATATGGTTATTATTCTCGAGGAAATGAGCTGGCTATTCTCGATAATTCAGCATTGTATTAATTATTGTTAATGAGGAACCTTTAATGAACTATACTAAAACAAGGTGGATGTGCGGTGTGGATTAATAGCTAGCCAGAACACCAGTCTTCCTTAGCAGGCGGATTGCTCCACAGCACACAATGATAGTACTCTTCCAAGTTGGTGACATAAGAATCGAAGCCTTCAAGCCAGGTTAAATTCCTGATATCAAGCTGGTAATCGCATTCGTAGAGGGACACTCTCAGTTTCTGCCAAGAGTGCTTGCATAAGCAGTACGAAATGGATTCGCACATCGGGTAGGCGCCATGACAAACAACACCGAGAAGGGATACCGCGAGTAAGAGTTTGGATATGAGCTTTAGAGGGAAATACATTCTCAATTCCTAGGGGGATGAGTGTTGATAAGAAAGTGGAGTGGAGGATTGTTGTGATTTGCTATATTGTTGACAGCGATAGGCAACAGCGGGAGCGAGGAAGTAGAGAATTTGGTAATGATTGGGTGGAAGGGATACTTTCACTACAGACTGAGGAATGTCGGATTTGTGATCATCTATGGCATTTATATATCTCTGAGAAGGAGGCCAAGAGCAGACCTTGTATATAAACAGTTCCCCCGAAATTTCTCAACGCCAAATCCACATTGTGAGCCCTCATTTTCACACGAACACAACAAAGACTTGGTGCACAAACAGTTCCCATGAAATTTCTCATTCGCGCGATGCCATCTCCCAACACCAAGTCTACATTAATAACAGCAACAGGAATTGCTCGCTCATTGGCAACAACAACAACAACAACAACAGCCCACGAAAAATCCCTCAAAACAATGCAGCGTATCTTTGAACCAATAGCATATACCTCCCTAACTCTAATATATAGTCACTGTTGTGTTTGTATCACCTCCCTCAATCATCTTCATCATCCTTTGGCATGACTGTTCGGCGTTGGGGAATCTCACTTTTCTTGATTGTACTCAAGCTCTTGTTCCTATTTGAAGATGTAATGCATAGACATTCTAAGTTCGCGTTATGACCATGCCGGAACTTTACCCGTTGTTTACGTTTGGACAACAAAAGTGAAAAATGCGTCAATTCTTTTTATATCACATGGCGATTTCATCGAGCATTTAAAAAAGAGGCAAAATCTTTTTTTTTACTCCATTTATTTCTTCTGACAGTTTCTTTGCCTTTTTTCCCACGAACTCCACTTTGTTGTTTTCTTTTCTACTCTACTTTTGCCTATCAGCTCTTGACTTTTCCAAATACGCCTCAATCCAAAAAACATCAGCCACAAACCTTTGTTAATAAATCACGGACATCGGACCTCCACAACGAAGTTTTTCAAGCTCACTTGTTTCTACGTGTGGCTGCTTCTTGGACATTAATCAAAGCCTCGCCTTGTCTCTACTTTGTCCTTCGTTCTTGTTTGTCTTGTTCTAGTTATTACTCTTGGTCTTTTCTGTCTTCTTCCTCCCTATCGACTCTTACATGGGATTGGTTTATTTAAACAATGAAGATTGTTATTGTAAAGATGAACCATCAAGAGCATGGATTATGCAGCGGAAGATACTCCGGCACCGCGAAGCTCCTTTCAAGCATTGATGGTGGGCTTGTTGACGAAAATTGTTTCTTTGAGATAACCAGTACGGCCTGCATTCCATTTAGTGATGGTGCGTACATAGTCCTAATAAGATTTGGGATACTGGGGAGAAAATTGTTGCGCATAGAGAAAGATGGACAAGCAGTTCCCTTACATCAAGTAGTTATGACCAATAGCCCAAACAGCGCAATAATATTTGATGAGGACTCTTAAAAACGAATAAAGGCGCGAGACTCTCTCTGTCTGTGCCGCACACACACACACACACACACATACATACACACATATATATATACACACAAATACACACAAAAAAAGCGAAGATTCGGATTGTTGGTAAGTTTATTTTGATGCGTTGCCTACAGCTAAGTCCTTTCCGCACGTTTTATTTTACACGCCTTTCGTGCGCAACACTCCGTTTGTTTTTTGTTTTTTTTGTCATTTTTTTCTTCCTTCTCAGGCTTATGCGTTAGAAAAAAAATAGGAAAATCTTCTCTCCATCCCGCTAAGTAAAAAGGAAAGATCTTCTTCTTTTCATCGCTATGCTAAGCAAACCATGACAGCATTTGATTAACTACCCTGAACTAGGGTGCATAAATGAAAAATAAAATAAAAAAGAATGGAGATGTTGTTCTTTCGAACAACCTTTACCTACTGACCTATGGCCGCGCATCCAACGCCAAAGTCAACCTGTCCAAAACCATGGCCTTCCCTATGGCCCCCTCCTACTCCAAAGAACTGCAGATCCATCTGGAACATCTGGACGTACGATGGCATGACCACAACTCCGCTAATGCCTTGATCTACCTTGGATTCCCTATCTTTTTCAACCGCGATCAGGAAAAAGGGTTCTGGGACAAGACGCTGAAGAAGATACAATCAGCCATAACCATGCACTCTTCCCGCTCCCTCTCTGTCCTGGGCCGAGCCACCATCACCAACTCTCTTATCCTTTCCAAACTTTGGCACCTATCCTGGGTAGTTAAACCTCCGCTCGACTTTGTGCGAAAGGTGAAAGCTGCCGTCACCAAATTCGTATGCTCCTTTAAACCAAGGCCTTCATGGGAGGTGATCACTACTCCAAGGGACAAGGGTGGCCTAGGTGTCAATGACCCAGTTACTCAATTCCATGTTTTCCAGCTCAAGCACATCCGCAATGCTCTCTCCACTAACGTCTCTTGGGTAAGGACATCATCCTGGATATCATCCGATGGAGAACCAAAACGTCTCACCGCCTTGCCTTCCTCCTAACACCCCTGGACGGACAGTACAGATCCTTATTGGCAGGTTTTCCCGGCCTGCAACGATTGATATCCGCGGCGTCCTTCCTTCCTTCCCTCAAAGCACTGTCCCTTGCTGACTCCTTGCCTGATTCCGTAACACTTGCCTCCTCACCAATCGAATGGTGGTTTGAAACGACAGACACCACTATCAAGGCCCTCAGACTCCGAGTGGAAGAGCTCTTTCGGTTTTCTCCAGGCAACAATGGGCTCAGAAAAACACACATTTCCCCCAAGCTCCGCCTCGCTCAAGTGGAACTAGGGATCCAAGCCTACCAAGAACGTCGTCGGATGCGTCGCAGTATGCAACAAGCGCTCTCGAACCCACCCAAGGTCACAAAGAACGATACAATGGCACAACGTATCCTCTCATCTGTCTTGATCCCAAACGACAGTAATCCTATTACTCTGGAATCGGCCACGAACAAACATCTTCGAGCCTTTTTGAGGCAGGAGACACCACCACCAGACCCAAACTCATCAACCCACCCAGAGACGGGAACCTCGAAACAATGGCGCCAATTCTGGAGTGCAAAGGTACCACACCGGGCCAGGACCATGTGGTGGAGGTTTAAAAGGGATTGGCTCCCTTGCGGAACTCTACGCCATAAGATCTGGGTGCAGGATCCTCATTGCAACATGACTGGATGTCATGAACGACGTGAGGACAAGGCGCATCACATCTTTCAGTGCGCTCCTAAATACATCGCTTGGCAAACAATCCTTAAGCAACACACATCCAAACCACTTTGGTCTGATGACGACCTTGATAAGGTCTTGTCTTTCCATCCTCCGACCTTTGATATCAAACCCCAATTCAACATCACTATCCCACAATTGTTGGCTTGTTGCCTCATTGGTATTTCAACAGCCAACGCCATTCTTTTTCTGCATCAACACACTCAATCTAGTAGCGATATCATCCACACCATACTTCGCGAAATCACCAAAACCATAGCACAAAATAATTCATTCAAGGCTGTTTAAGCCACAATAAATCCTTTCATTCATGCCAAAAAAAAAAAAAAAAAAATCGAACAACCTTTACAACATGGTGCTTAATCTCAGCAGATCGACACAACAGAGCGTCTCTACTGCTTACAATACACCATTACTTAAAAGTCGTCTGCAATGAATTTATCTCTTCCAATATTTGAAATTAACATTAGCAGGAACCTCACCAAGCTTTTCCGCTCTGCAAGATAACCCCACGTAGTATGATTCAGGATTCGAAGATCTATTCATATTCAACTAAAAATGGCACAAGGCGGTAATCGTCGCGTTCTAGCACGGGTTCTGACTTAGAGACATTCAGCCATAACCCAACGGATAATAGCTTCGGGCCATTGCCTGCTCAGGCAGGCCCAAATACCAATTATCCAAATGAACGGTTCCTCTCGTACTAAGTTCAATTACTATTGCAACAACATTTCATCAGTAAGGTAAAACTAACCTATCCCACGACGGTCTAAACCCAGCTCACGTTCCCTATTAGTGGGTGAACAATCCAACGCTTACTGAATTCTGCTTCAGTATGATAGGGAGAGCCGACATCGAAGGATCAAAAAGCAACGTCGCTATGAACGCTTGGCTGCCACGTTATCCATGATTTGAGTAAGAGAGGGTGACGTTAAGGGTGAGAGGGGGTGACGTTAAGGGTGAGGGGGTGAAGTGAGGGTTACTCTGCACTTCCTCCTTTGTTTTTATTCTCACCTCATTTCTTGCAACGACATCTCATTTCGAATCAATTTTGCAACAAGAGGACGCCGAAGAATTCCGCTCAGACGTGGTGCTGCCCCTTCTCTCATGGCTGAAACCCCTCGATTACACCCAGCTCTTCAGCTCCTTCAAAAAAGAAATTGAAGAGGATAGACACTTGCAACACAAAGCCTACACTTCCCAAGACGGGATCTGCATTTCTCTACATTCCCTTTCTACCCTTGCAAACGGCAATCCAATAGACGAAGGAGTTGTCAATAACTCTTTGAAGCTATTTCAGACCGCCTATTCTCCAGCAAATAACATCATATTCGTCCCTTCCACAATCACATCCCTTTGGTAAACAAAAAGCTCGCTAGACTGGAATAGTGACCTTTTGCAAGCTGGGCGCATACAGAATGCTTTCGCATTACTCCACTATAAACAACATTGGTCACCTCTGCATGTCGACTTCGCATGCACAACCGTCTACTATGGGGATTCCTTCTACAAGACCAAACCCAGCACAACAATCAATGCTGGTTTATCTTGGCTATCCTTCAACAGCTACAACATATCGAAGTGGATGATCAAAAAAATCAGCATTCCCCAACAAGGAGCCTTTTCCAAGGATTGTGGCATTATATCTCTTAATGCAATAAAGCGTATTGTCAACACTCATACTCCTGCTTGGACGTCGCACACCTCCGCCGAGCACAGACTACGACTCTTTAAACTGCTGTGCGGTATTGAACGGGTATTACTTTATGTTATCATGTATGTTGCCAATAACTGCAAGGTCATAGTGTTACTATTTTCTCACAATATATCCTTTTCAATCCTCTGTAGCTACACATCATCAAGTCTCCTGCTCTCCCAACACTGGCGTCCATCACCTCGGTTCATCACACTCAGACCATTTGGCCAACTATTCCCGGTCTCCCTACAATATTCAAAGACCCTGAAGACTTCCAGGATCAATTAAAAGGGTGGGCGTACTCTCAAGGATTTGATATACGACGAGAACGAGCCGATTACAAGAAACGAACAAGTACCCTTTCATTCATTTTATTTTAGCATAGTACACAATGCTCATCCTTCATACAATGACTTACGCATCGTCATTTTTTACATTCTCTTTACAGTAACATTTACTTGCAGGCGAGCCGGTTTTCCCAGGAACAAAACAACGGCGGAACTATTCCGACGTGGACGACAGTCTCGTCGCATTAGCTGTCCTTGCACAATCAAGATTCGCTCGTCTAAATCCAACGCGCCACAGTGGTCATTAGTCAAAACAACCCTCCACCATAATCATCCTCTAACACCTCCAAGCTCCTGAAGCCAACCCTTGGTTGCTCAAGCGATACGTGTATTCTTCAACATTCTCCAAAACTTTCAACAAGTGCATAAAAATCAGAATACGTCAGCCATTCAAATTCAGCCCTGAAAACTATTGCTCGTTTACCCATTCATTATGCTAGATTATGAGAAAAGACTGCAATTACTTAATATACGATGGATTTATTCTTCAAAACAAGTGAAGTAAGTGTTAACACTGATATCGATTTTGTCGATAACGTTACAGAGCTTTTTGTATCAGTGAGGTTCGTTCTGAGACTGCTCTTGTCTTGCGTTTATCCAGTTGCTTTCAAGGCGGCTCAAACCCCTTCTCATTACATCCATGAAAGCCTCCTCCCACGCTTGATTAGGTTCAATGACTGATGGACGATGCTCCGAGTCGACAACCGGGGGACCAGAGACAAGTGGCTGTACCGAAAGAGGACAAGCGTCAGAAGTATCATGAGACGCTGGCTCAATTGTTGGTGCAATATTAGAGGGCATTGAGATGGATCGGTGGTCATCACCTGCAGTGTGGGTAGGTTGACGGTCGTGCTTGGAGGTGCGACCATCTCGGTGGTTATCGTTGGCAGCGGAAGTACAGTAGCTTGATCCTCGCCGTTGGCAGCGGAAGTAACTTGATCCTCGCCATTGGCGGCGGAGGTATCTTGATCGTCATTGTTGGCAGCAAAAGTACAGTGCTCCAAAAAAGTGATTCATCTTTTTGCGATTTCGACTTTTTTTTTGAAATGCTCATTCATCAATGTTCCGACCGGCCCCCAGATTCCTGTCATTCATTCTCTCGATTCGTAGCCTCATTCATTACAACTTGCTTCTTTTTGCATGGACCATACTAATATCGGGTGGGCGCGCAGCTACGAGAGTAAAGGGCCTGCAAAGAAAGAGTGGTCCACAAACTAGTTACTTTTCGCCTAAATTCCCTACGCTTCTTCATTTCTTCCCTTCTCCCGCTGCCAAAACACGACCGTAGACACATCCTTTACCCATCTGTTAACACCCGCAGCACGATACACATCCCTGATTTGCTCCCTTCTTCAACCCACTCAAACATTCCCTTCTTTCGCCATCTTACAACCTCAATTTAGACCACGTCAAAGTCTTGTATTTGAATAAATAAAAAAATCATATAATATCATATGTCTTTAATTGAGTATTCTTCTGGCTTCATTCTCTTGCTTCATCCTTCTCCATTTTTTCGCCTCCTCCTCAACCCTTTCTCTTCCTTCACATTCACCATTACTGGTCAGGGGCATCCATACTCCTGCTTCTCTGTCTTCTGGAACCTCGCCCCTCGCCGGACTTTGACTTTGGCCCTCTCTGCATCTTCTTTGGCAAGTCTACCTCCTCAACATCACCGCCGTCGCTGCCATCATCGTCTCCCGTTCTTGTTCGTTTGACAGCAGCGCGAACACCATTTCCATTGGCTGTCGTAGAATTGGTCGCCTTGGTCGCTTTGGTCGCTTGGCTTGCTGCACCAGTGATAATAGTCTTGCTTGCTTTCTTGCTTGCTTTCTTGATGGCCTTGGACTTCCAACCGCGCGGAAGGCTGACTCCACGTGGACGACCTTCTCCTTTCCGGTCACTTTCGGTTCCATCGACTATACTGTCTAGATCCAATCCCTTGCTCAAATCTGCGCCTACGGTTCCAGGCTCTTGTGACTGTTGAACTAGAAGGCGAGCACCCTCTTCAAGAGCTTGCATCGTCTCCGCGATCCCGTCCAGCTTAATGGTGTTTTGACGAGACTTTTGGTGGAGATAAGGATCCTGTTCCCTGGGGCTTTGGGTTGTGTTGAATGAAGAGCAACAGGTGGAGGTCGAAGGATAGAGTTAGGGTCGTCCATAAAGGTGTCGATGGATAGATCCGTGCCGACCGGGTCTTTGCTGGCACCCTCGTTGACTGTTACCGTCTGTGCACGGAGGAAAGGTTTGACGGAGAGTTGTTGCTTGAGGTTCGGATCAAATTGTTTTCCCTCTTTGTACCAGCGTGGCAGAATCATGCAAGGGTGAAAAAGGAATCGTGCATCCTCCATCATCAAACAACAGAAATGTCTACAAACAATGCCCTTATTCTGTCGCAATGCGCAGGTACAGAAGTAGGTGCGGTTTGTTCGTAAGGCCACATACTCTGGGCGCGTGCCTTTTCCAGCGTCAGCCATAGAAGAGACACGGAAAACCCCTTCCGATGTGTGCCTGGGGATGGACGCGAGCAAAGCATGAACCGAGCCACGCTGAAGTTGTTCAGCGCGGGATAGTTTTGACTGGAGGGAGTGAATGGAATAAACCAGCGATTAGTGCATTTTCCTTTGTGTTACATAAACCAAGGAAGAAATGCTCGTAAAAAGAATGAAAAAGTAGCAAAGAGGATAAAATTAAGGCAAAGAGGATAAAAATAAGGCAAAGGATCATTACATAACTCACCAAGCAAAAATCACCATCCTGGACATAAGGAACCGCTCCGAAATTAACGACTGTGAACTTGAGGCCAAAGGAGTAATCCATCTCGGTTCGCAGCTGACCTTGGGCCCACTGGCTGAGGAATACCTTGCTGGCATCGAGGACTTGACCAAAGATATCGTAAGTCGTATCGCTGACGCCTAAGCGTCTCATCGGTCTGGCGTCATTCGGATCATTCAACAAAATGGCGAAGAGATCGATCTCATCTTCAATCTTGATCATGATCGCTTTGAACAGATCCGATAGGGAAGTCTTGCTGTTGTGCAGAAACATCTTGAGGACATCGAAAAGAAGACAAAGCAAATGACGGTTCATGTGCAGAAGAGGCCTGGAAGATGAGGCTAATTTGTGTCTCGACTCTGGCCAGGTTCAAGTATGAACGGGTGTAAAAATGAGTGTAAAAAAGGATGTAAAAGTCAGGTCAAGATGGCTAGCATCCTCAAGACAAAAACAATTTCGCCAGCAAAATGGACACTCAAGGCGTCAAACACCTTTTGTTGCTTTCTGTCAAATCAAAGAAGCAAAAAAAAATGGACAGTTCACAGATAAGAGCGTCGCCTAGTCAAATGACGCTTAAGGCATCCAGCAGCGCTGGTCAAGCCAGGGTTAGACCAATTGTCGGCAAATAGAAACCTCCTCTATTCTGCTGTAATCCTTACTCAGTTGTAAAGGAAGCAGAATCGGGCTTTGTTTACAATGGGGTAAGAAAAGGCGATTCTGTATGTTCCTACAAGTATGTAAAAAATGGATTTGGGGCTAATTGATACACCATTGTAAACATTCCAAAAAAACCAGAGCCTTACTGGGTTGTACGACCTTCGTTTTATGAAATACTTGCCTATGTGTGTTTATTCACTCGTTGAGTGCGCCTCACACTAATGTAAAAGACCCCTTTCATCGAATCTTTACTCAAAGTAAGCTTTCATTCATACACCCTTGTAAACATTTAATTTACAGAGCATTGCAAGAAATTCTTTTTTGGGCAAAGTCCTTTGTATTTCATTCAGGTAATTATCTACGAAATGCTGTGCTTTTCGTTTTTATTTTATTTTAAAAAAGCATCCTCCGGAGTCTTCACTATTTTCTTCGTCACCTCTGCCCAGTCACAGAATGGACCCTGCGCAACAATGTGCCTGGTCAATTTTCTAATGAGCTGGACAACAGTTGCTCTAGCTATATACACTATTCGAAATGAATAATGTAATCAAGACTTATTAGCCCTATGGTTAAGTGGCAGCCCCAAGGCTCGCGATGTCCCCAAGCTTCACAACAATCCTTATCTTGTTCCCTTGACCCCCGATGTTGAACAAACTTTATTAACAGTTATATCAAACGAGTTTTGGCGTTTTTGAGGTCCTTGTAGCCCCACGATCGCTTCAACCCATGCAAGTCACCATCGGAGATCCTCTGGATATCAGCCTAAGCGACATCTCATCTCTTTCTCTTTAAAAAAATAACGATTTCTGTATATCACGTGAGGGCGGAGCCCGAACTAAAAATGTTGTGAGGGCCGTGGCCCTCACCAGTATCTTGCGCGTAGCGCCAGCGCGAAGCGCCTGTGTCTTGCGCGAAGCGCCAGTATTTTGTGAGCGAAGCGAGCGATGGTCACGGGCAAGGCCATCAAGAGTATCTTGCGCGAAGCGCGCCAGTGTCCTGTGAGCGCAGCGAGCGTACGGGCACGGGCTAAGAGGATATGAGGGCGTAGCCCGAATCAAGGGGCTTTGAAGAGGATGTGAGCGCAGCGAGCAATGGTCACGGGCGCGCGCCCTGGCGAGACAATCGAAAGTATCTTGCGCGAAGCGCCAGTATGTTGTGACCGCACGGGTACGAAAGGGAGAAGATGATGTGAGGGCGTAGCCCGAACCAGAGGACCTTTTTTGCGCCAAGCACCCGTACTTTGTAAGCGAAGCGAGCGATGGTCACGGGCAAGGCCATTAAGAGTATCTTGCGCAAAGCGCGCCAGTATCCTGTGAGCGCAGCGAGCGTACGGGCACGGGACAAGAGGATATGAGGGCGTAGCCCGAACCAGAGAAACTTTCTTGCGCAAAGCCCCAGTACTTCGTAAGGGCAAAGCTGTAGCTGTCAGATCCCTGTTGCCGCCTGCGGCAAAAGGAAGCGACCGCTGGAGCGTGGCCGTCTGGGCCATCTAGCGCAAAGCGCCAGTATGCTGTGAACGAGCCTTTTCGCAAGCCTACTAAAAAGCAAGAAATCCTCTGGCGTGATGTAGAGCAAAGGGCAGTCAAGGATATCTTGAATATACTGCGAGTGAGGGTGACCCGAGAGAATAATGAATACTAACAAGGCCAGGGGGATGGCTCCTCAGCTACTAAGATGACTATCTAATAAGGGAGGTCAGCTGGGCCCAGCTGGGACCAGGGATATTATTCTTTATGGCACAACAGGAAACTCCACAGGTATGAGCTCTACATTCCCCAAGCATGCCATTGGCCACAGGTAGTTGTGAAAAAATTACAGTCACACTACAGTTGAAAAAGGAAAAAGGTAATAGGCAAGTGGCACCCTTATCTTTAAACGAGTCTTCTTCAAAGACCCTTCCAAGACCCACACCCCTCACCCCAGACCCCCTTACAGCAACTTCCGGCACCCGTGGCATCGCCCACGGGCAACCTTTCTAGTATCATATATTAAAATCAATGTCTCTTTATCACATGATATAGACAAATTTTCTGTAATTGCATAATTGCACAACCGCGTGGCGTCTCCATGCTTGACATCATGTTATCGATAACATCACCCCTTTTTTTTAACCCACCCCTTCTTTTCTTTTACAACAACAAAAACTGCAACAGAAAGCAACAAACAACAATAGCAACAACAGCAAGCAACAAACGACACCAGAAACAAAAAAGACATCCACCAGCATGGCATGGACAAAATGAGACATGAGAATGCAGACGCAGCATGGACTGGACAGACATGAGGATGCAGCTTGGCATGGACAGACATGAAGATGCAGCTTGGCCCTTTTTTTTTTTTGAAAAAATGCACCAGACTCATGATGTTAACACCAAAGTGAGAACGTCACTATCAGAGTGGGTTGCGTACGCATATTACCCCCTCTAAGGTGTGAAATAAAATATTCCTCTCTTTCTTTCCATTGACATATTCGACCATACACCATCCTTTTCAGCATGGACAGACATGAGGACTCAGCTTGGCATGGACAAACACGAAGACGCGAGCACACATACCACAAGGAAGAACAAGAATGAAGAGAACACAGACGCCAATCTACTGAGCATGGTCAGTGAACAGTAGGGTAACGGTATGTCGTGGCACAAGGAGAGTGAAGAGGTTGTATTTTTTCTCTTTTAGAAAAGGGTAAGCGTCTCATAATTCTCAGTATCGATTCTCATTAATCCTTGACCATATTTTGACATATCTTCTACAGTCTCAAGTTTTATCCTATTCAACATGCGCAAACCATCCACGCCTCTTTATACCCGTACCGGAACCCGTTCTTCTGCTGCTGCTCCAAAGTAAGTCTATGTCAGTGTCTATATGCAACTATGTTATTTATGTTCATTTCTGTTCATCCCTGACCTTTAGTACTGTTTCCTACTTATCGCAGGTAACAGTCCTCTTTGAGCTCTAAGGTCTTGGTTCGGCTGCTGCAGCGCATTGTAAAGGGCGCACCACTCTCAATAATCGCAGGCGCTGCAATACAGACGATACGTAGAACGACAATACAACTATCGTGAATGTCTCTGATCCAACCCCTGATGTCCCCGTCAACAACATGACCTCTGATATCGACAGCAGAAGCGTCTTGATCTCAACGGCTCCTGTTCACGACCCTGTCCCCGACAACATTACGTATTTTGAGGATGCGTATACACACCTCCGGGGTTTCAAGCCCAAGGTTGCCACTGTTGTTCCCCACCCCAACGCCAACTTCAAAGGTAAGTGGACGTCGATTAAGGGTCTTTTTCAGGACCAACTCAACTCAAGACCAGAAGCAGGAGCAGGAGCAGAGGCAGAAGCAGGAGCAGAAGCAGGTTGCAAAAAACGTCTCTAGCAACAATACACCTACTATCGCCGTCCCTGTCACTGGTCAGGACACGGACAAAGACTATGGATTCAATGACGACAATGATTTCATTGACGTCCTGAGTGATTTGCTGACGAATGGCAATTTGACAATGTCTTTTCAATAGACATTTACGATGCCTACCAAAACGGCACCATCAATAGCGATCGCCCGCCCATTGTTGGGACAACCTCGGTTAAGTTGGACAAGCGACGGCGAATGATTGTTGAAGAGGAGACTGATGAGGAATCGGAAGCGGCACCATCATCCACCACCATTACCACCAGCACCACCATTACCACCAGCACCACCAGCACCACCAGTACCACCAGCACTAGCGGTACTAATTCCAACGCCAACGTCTGCGACTCCAACAGCATCACGAACACGCGCACGCCAGTTCCCACCTCCAGACGCATGTGCACCAAGTGTGGGTGTGATGGCCGGAATCCTGTCGGCCACCTTGAACATCTTGCCAGGTCTTTTGGGACTAAGAGGGCGACCTTGGATGCCTGTGCCGGAAGGTGTAACCAAATAGAACTGGCCGATAATCTCCCGACAGAGATCGACAATAGCTGGGTCGTGCCTCACAACCTTTGGCTGGCAACCAAGTTCAACACCCACCTCAATGTCGAGATATGGTTTTCCGTCTCTGCCGTGAAATATTTATACGAGCACATCCGTAAGGCATGTCTTTTGTTCATTGCCCCCTTATTTCTATCAAAGCAAAAGAAACAATAGTATCGCAGCACAGAAGTCAAAGCATCAATGGACATACACAAATTTCTATTTTTCATTTTTCATTTTCCCAATGGACCGAGCAGAGCCAAGATCGCCCTCGAAAAAGAAGGGTCTTCTGTTTGCCTCCACTGATCAATCCCATCGTCGTCTTTGCATCCACCAGCACCAACACTAGCACTAGCACTAGCACCAGCACCAGCAGCAGCGCCGCCACTGCTACAGCTACCGCTACAGGGTATAACACCACCGCCACTGAAGGCTCAATCGCTGCACACCAAAAAAAATGCAGCAAGCAAGGAGGTACTTTTTTTGCGCATTTTTTTCCCTGGATGTCTGACCATTGCAACTCCTTGCTTACTATTTTTTCTCACTCTCTTTTTGTTTGCTATCGTTTGTATAATAGCATCCTTCACGCATCGAGATTCGCGAATTTCGCGATATGAGATACCTCTCTTCCCATGAAAGCATGTGGCGCGTCCTTGGATATCCTTTGTACGGTCGTTCACCTGCTGTGCAACGTCTA